GGGCCGGGCCCCCGATCGAGGAGACAAGGGCGTCGGGTGCGCGTGTGTGAGGCGGGGGGCGGGGGCCGGCGGGGGACCAGCAGGCTCACACTCACAGTGAGTCGGGCTGGAGAATGTCCCTCAGGACCCACATCAAAGACATTTTCAAGTTGTGATTGTCTCTGCCACTGCTGCCTGTTGCGGCCGCTGCGTGTCCCCGCAGACTCGGGCCACGGGGGCTCACTGTTGCGTGGCTCACCCCAGAGCACAGCCCTGCTGGGGTCCCTGTGCCCCACGGTGCCAGCACGCGGTCCCCCCACACTCTCTGTCTCCGGCGGGGCCCAAGCACAAGCGTTTGGAGTCAGGGGAAGCCTCCCTCTGCCCGGCCTCCTTGGGCTCCCTGCTGATTCTTGCTGGAGAGAAAGCGGCTTCTCGGCCCGCCCAGTCCTGCCGAGTCAGACTCGGCCTCCGATGTCCGTGCCTGGGACCCCTGCCCTCCCGGTGCAGGAGGTCACCTGGGGGAGGTGCCTCCCTTTCCTAGCTGTGATCTGTCCCTGACACCGGTGACGTCGCAGTTCCGGGGGGCTCTTGAGACAAACCCCAGCGGGCCTTCCTCCAGCCGGACTGTGCCCAGCTCCCCAGGCCGGGTCCACTGTGCACCCCGAACCCTGTCCCCCCATTAACCTGGCTCTTGGCTCAGAACCCCCTCCCCCTGGGTGCTATGGTGCTGCCCATCCCCCGAGGCCACCGCGGCCGCCGCCTGTGCGTTCTCTCACCGGCTTTCTCAACATCGTCTGCTCGCACAAGCGTGACCGAGAAGGATGGTGAACACAGGAAGGCGTGACCGGAGAAGCAGAAAGCGAAGCCTCCCCTGGGATGGGGAAGGGAGGAGGCCGCAGCTCGTGGCACAGGGGACAGAATGCAACACAGGACCAGAACAGCTGGCAGCCGGCGCCCCCTGAGGTGTACCAGCGGGAAATGCCAACCGCCGACCGCCGCCGCCCTGGGTTTGGGCTGCGAGAGACTGAGGACCTGGGCGGTTCTAGACCCGGGCGCTGCTCCTTTCAAAGCAGGGTTTTAAGCTCGCGTGTCAGTTAAAAAGACCCCCCCGACCCCCCGCAGGACACAAAACTATGAAAGCAACTCAAAGGCGCCCCTTCGCCTCTCGGTGAAGTGGGCCCAGTGGGTTCCCAGAGGCCCGGGGGGCACCGGCGGCAGCAGGGGGGGGGGCTCGGGGGGGAGGTGCGGCCCACGGTGCTCTCGGGGGGCATCGCGCAGTCCGAGCCCTCGGTCACCGCCGTCACATGGCCAACGAGGTAGCACCCACGTGGGAGCGGCCCGGAGGACCCTGGCACAGCGGCGGGGCCTCAGGGCCTAGGAACCAGGGGCCCTGGGTCCAGCTGCCAGGCCCCCGGCGTCTGCTGTTGTCCCTGAGGGTCCTTCCTCACACCGCCTGGCGGGCAGGTCCCCTGCGGCTGGGGACAGGTGCGCGGGGCGGGGGAACCACCGTGTCTCCCCTCAGCGTCATCGTGGCGCTGATGCCTGGAGCCACACCTACCACGGCTGCCCCGGCTCAGCCCTCCGGCCCGGCTCAGGCCCTTCCTCGCAGGCGCAGGCGCTGCGCACCCCGGCCCTTCCCGTCCTGCACCCGGGGCTCCCTGGGCCCGGGGGAGGCAACGTCAGGCCAAGGGTAGGTGCCGGGGGCGGGCTCGTCAACAAGTGATGCCAAGAACGGTGGCACGTGTCCCCTCTCACGGCAGCTCTGCAGAGGGCCGGGGACGCGGGGTCTCACCAGGGACCTCTCAGTGGGACAGGTCTCCAGCGACCCTCGCCCAGCAGAGCCGCGCTGCTGCCACCGAGCGGTCACCTGGGTGGGGCGCCTGGGCCCGGACCCCCCCTGAGGCCAGGCGGGCGGGTCCTGCTGCTCGCGGCAGCCCCTCCCCACCGGGGCGGGGAGCTGCCTGAGGGGACACCTCTGAGGCCCCCTCCGCCAGCGTGTCCCAACATTTAAACTCAGCATCGTGGGGCCACCTGGGAGGGCTGGGCAGCCGGCTGAGGCGCCCGATGCGGTGCTGCCAGCAGAGGCGGCCACAGGGGCCCACAGCGCCCGGGGCAGGGGCACCCATCCGCCCTCATAACGCAGCTGGGTGGGGGCAGGCGCCGCCTACAGGCTAAAGCAGCTGTTGGCGCGTTTCATGTCACCAATGGAAAACCACACGTTAATTTTTTATAACTTTTTTATCCTCACCCAAGGACATTTTTCATTGGTTTGGGGGCGGGGAGGGAAACGGAGAGAAACATCCATTGGCTGCCTTCTGCACGCACCCCAACCAGGGACCGAACCCGCTTTTTGGCTACAGGACAACACTCCAACCCACTGAACCACCCGTCCAGGACAGAAGTTAATTTTTAGAAAAAGAAAGACTCCTGCAGCCCAGTGTGGTAGCAGCAGCTCATGGGTTCCCGCGCCACCCGGGAAGCTGGGACACCCTGGTCCTCGGGGAGCAGGGCCTGGGGGTCCTGCCTAGCGGGGGTGCAGAATAGCCTCCAGGTCCTGGTCTGGACTGTGCGCCCCTCCCAGAGCCGCCTCCCAGGGCTGCTGGCCCGCAGCCCTGGCCAGGCAGGCCGGGGGCTGGCCGATCCTCACAGGTGTGACCCGCCGCTCCCAGGCGGGCGCTGCCTCTGGCCTCGGTGTCGAGGCCGGAACCTCCTGGTCTGCCTGGCCAGGTGGCCCTTACCTCCAGCACGTGGGGGGCGGAGCTCCGGCACCCACCGCGCTCCCCGCTGTTGTCAGGGGCCTGGCCCCCCGTGGGCTCTGGGCCTGAGGAAACGCCCCGTCATTGCAACAGCTGCCTCCGTGATATTAGCACAGGGCACCTGTTTGCGAACAAAACACACACGCCCCCCTGTGCCCCCACCCCCAGGGTGCTCCCCCGTGCCTGGCCAGACACGCAGCTCCGCCTGAGCGGAGTCCTGCCCTGGGGGCCGTCGACAGGCACCGCGGCGCGTGTGGCGTGTGGTGTGGCAGAAGAGGTCAGACCTACCGCAGGAGACCGGGAGTAGGGCATGAGGGACAGAGACGTGGTCTAGGGCCTCACGGTTGCAGACTGGAAGCACGGGGAGGGGCTCCCAGAGTCCGAGGAGGAAGAGGAGCCCGGGGCTCCCCGGAGGACTCGGTCCTGCGCTCTCAGCAGCGGCGTTGGTCCGCGGTGGGAAGCGTCACACGTGCAGGGGGCTGGCCCTGCAGCCCCGTCACTCCGAGGTCATTCGAGGGGCTCCCTGGGGGCATCATGGGTGCCCAGGCCTTGGTGCAGGACAGGAAGGGCGGGAAGGCGCAGCTCCCGGGGTCCGGCAGGACAAGGACAATGGCCTCCTCCGGACCCGGCTCCCTAGACTTCGGCCACTCGGCAGCCTGAGCACAGTGACTCCCTGTTCCCTGTTGCTCAGGGAGGCGTGGCCACGGCAGAAGGGGGGCTGGGCATGCCCCCCGCGGCATCCCAGCCTGCGGGACAGCCTGTGCGGGGCGCAGACGCTCACGCGAGGCTGGGGCGAGGGGCGGTGTGCCGGGGGAGGGCAGGGGACAGAGCCAGGGACGTCCCCACCAGACAGGCTGGGACGGCAGCCCAGGCGGGGGGCGGCCCAGGGGGAGGCCGCGGCGTCACCCTGGCTGCAGACACGGAGGCGGGGCCAGAGCGGAGCAGAGGGGCTGGCCCCTTGCCCCCAGCAGGCGGGCGGGCCCCCAGCCCCTGCTGGGCCACGGGGTTGACACTTCTCGGGGCAGCAACAGGTCAGTGCCCGCTCGGGCCAGCCTGGCACCGGGCCGCGGGCATCACGGCAGAGCAGGGCCTGACCGCCAGCTCCCTTGGGGCCTGCACAGCCCTCCTCCCACCTTCGCACCCGGGCCCCTGGCAGGCCCTCCCCACCCTGCCCAACCCCGGAGCTGGGGCGCCTCCCCACTCTCCGAGGCACCGCTCCCTGGTCCCGTGAGCCCCCTTGAGCCAGTGCCACGCCCACAGCAGGGCCGGGAGGTCCCCAGGCGCTCAGGCAAGGGCTGACCAGCCTGCCTGATCCCCAGGATGTCACAAGAACCCTGCCCAGCAAGAGAGAGTGTCGAATCGGGGTGCGCTGTGCCGAGCGCAGGAGCGAGTCCCCCTGGGGAGCCCCCTGCTGGGCTCGAGGGGGAGGGTGCTGCCTCCTTGGTCACCTGCCGAAGCCCTGACAGGGCCCTGGTCCCTGTGGCCCAGGGTGTCAGCCCTGCCCCGGCCCCCGCCCGGCCCCCGCCGCACCTCCCAGCCCAGCACAGGCAGGAAGTCCCAGAGCAGCAGCAGCGGCTACTGCAGGGAGCTGTAGGGCCCCGGGCCGCCCTCGCCTGGGGGCCTCTCGGGTGTCTGTCCGAAGACTCTAGCAGCTCCTCTGCTGACCCGGCTCCTCCTGCAGGGCCCTTGACCCCTGACCCCTGTGTATCCCGCCCTCCCCAGGGAGCAGAGGAGGCTCTCCACGCGGGCCCTGGTGGCAGGTATGAATGCAGACCTCAGGGTTCGCGGGCGCAGAGGGGCAGAGGACGCGCTTCTGTCCAGAGGGACCAGGGGCGACGTTGTCCCCAGGATGCGCACACCCGTCTGCGGCACACCTGGCCCACGGCAGGCTTTGGAGATGAAGTTCTAGCAGCACACGGCCACACCTCTGCGGCTGCCTCTGCGCCCAGCCCCCTGGTTGAGGGTTTGCAACACAGACTGTAAGGCCTGCCAAGCCCAAAATAATTGCTCTCTGGACCTTTAAGAAAAACGCTGGGACCCCCAGCGCCCAGCACGAGCACAGGGCTGGCCGTCCACCCCGGACCCAGGACCGGTGCCCGCAGGAGGGGCTGGCGGCTGGAGGCTGCCCCGGTCCTGCTTCCCACTGACTGGTCTCGGAGGCTCCAGGCTCCGCCCCCCACCCCGGGGTCAACACCCAGGGGGTCAGGCCCTGACTCGAAGGACGAAGGACGGCATTGACGTGGGGCCGGGTCACAGCCCCAGGCAGGCAGCTCCCCACACCTCCCACGCCCGCCGGCCAGCGAGGGGCAGCTGGGAGATGCTCCGCACTCTGACCTCAGCCAGGGCGGCCCTGCGGCTCCGGGCAGTGGGCTGGGCACGGACCATGGCCTCGCGGCCGCTGCTGGTGGCCCCCCCGGAGGTGCTGCTGAAGCCCTTGTCGGTGCCCAACCGGCTCCTGCTGGGGCCCGGCCCCTCCAACCTGGCCCCGCGCGTCCTGGCGGCCGGGGGGCTGCAGATGATCGGCCACATGCACAAGGAGATGTACCAGGTGGGCCACGGGCCGTCAGCCCCGGTACCTCCTCCCGCGGGGGCTGGGGCCGGGAGCCAGGCCTGACCCGCGTGTCCGCCGCCCCCAGGTGATGGACGAGATCAAGCAAGGCATCCAGTACGTGTTCCAGACCAAGAACCGCCTCACGCTCGCCGTCAGCGGCTCGGGCCACGCCGTCATGGAGGCCGCCCTGGTCAACCTCCTGGAGCCCGGGGACCCCCTTCTGGTCGGGGTCAATGGCATGTGGGGGCAGCGGGCCCTCGAGATCGGGCAGCGCATCGGTAAGGGGCGGGCAGAGGGCGGGGGGGCCGCCAGGAGCCCCTCACCCCGCTCCCACCTGGCCCCCCGACCTCGGTGGCCTCCACCTTCCGCCAGTCTGGCCCCCGGTGTTCAGAGGTAGAAGCCCCCCTCAGACATCTCAGAAACAAACATTTTCTGCAGCCACAAAACACAGAGGCAGGGACAAGGTCTCCCTTCCTCTGGGGGAGCAAACTTTCCAGTCCTGTTCGTAGCAAGGCGGGACGCGGGAGCGGGAGGGAGCCCTGGGTTTAACAATTGACCGTGGGTCCAGCTCCACACGGGGCTGCGCCCGTCCAGTTAATGGACAATTTTGGGCCGCCCCTGGGGCTCCCCACCCCTCACCCCGTGCACTTTGACCCGTGCACTGGCTGGGCAGAGGCCAGGCCCCCGGGAACTCTGATTGTCCTCTGCTCAGCCTGGATAGGCCTCTGCCCTGCCCACTCCCTCACCCCCCCAGCCCCCCCTGCCGGCTTTGGATGGTCCTGGGGCTTGTGGGCCTCCCACGCGCAGCTCTGCGGCTTGCTGTGCACCGGACCTGAGCCAGGGGGCGAGGGGGCGGGACAGGGGCCTGTTCTCCTGGGGCCTCTCCCTCATCCATTCCTTCTTCCTCCCTTCCTTCCTGCTCCCCTTCCTCGGCCCGGAAGGCCCCATCCAAATGCTTGTTTCTTTCCTGGATGCGGAGAGCGGGACACCCGGCCGCTGGGCACGGGGGAGGCGGCCTGAGGAAGGGCTGGGCAGGAGAGCCGGAGCCTGCACGCGCCCCCTTCCGCTCCCGTGCGGAGCTGGGGCTGGGGCGGCCGGCTCGGCTCTCCTCTGTCCCCCACCGAGGCCCCGGCCGGCCGTGTGTGTGGGGGCAGGGGTGGCTCACGGCTCACTCCGGCCCTGCTCCCAGGAGCCCGCACTCACCAGATGACCAAGGACCCCGGAGGCCACTACACGTTGCAGGAGGTGGAGGAGGTGCGGTGGGGGGGGGGCGCCTGCTGGCCCTGGGGAAGGAGAGGCTGCCGCCTGGGTGGGCTCGGCCTGGGGTGGGGGGCGGGGCCTGTGGCTTCTGCGCAAGGCCACTCCCCACAGGGAGAGCACTGGGGTGCCTGGGGGCGGGCGGGACCCCTGATAGGGTGGGTTCTGCCTGGCAGGGAAACTGAGTCAGGAGCCCAGTCCTGCAGGCACGGCTGACTTCAGGAAGGTCCCACTGTCCCCCTGTGCGGGGCGAGAGGCCGAGGCCCCTGCCCCTGGTCCCCCTCTTCCTGGAAGGAACCCTCCTCGAGAGCTGTAGGCTCCCGCAGGCCCCGATGGGGGCCGCACCCACCGCGGCAGGGGCGCGTGTCTGGGGGCAGAGCCTGCCCTGCCCTGCCCTCACCAGGAAAGGCCTTCTGGGGGTGCGGGCCCGTGCCGGTGGAGGCCTCTCCCCGACCGGCTCCGCCCACAGCGGTCCCCTCTGTCTCCTCAGGGCCTGGCCCAGCACAAGCCTGCGGTGCTGTTTCTGACCCACGGGGAGTCGTCGAGCGGAGTGCTGCAGCCTCTCGACGGCTACGGGGAGCTCTGCCACAAGTGAGCCGTCCCTGGGGCGAGCCTGACCCCGCACGTGCGGGGCAGCGCAGCTCAGGCGGGGGGGGGGGTGCGGGGGGCGGGGGGCCGCAGGCCGCTCTCGGGGTCCTCCCTGTTCTTCGCTGAGTCCGGGTGGGCTCCCCGCTCCCGAGAGCAGGGGCAGGTTGTCCATGGCCAGGTGCCCCCCCCAGCACCCACTGCCCTCTGTCCCCAGGCTGGGAGGGTTTGGAGCCCCGCCCCCCCGCCTGAGGTCCCAGAGCCCCAAGGCAGCCTCTGCCGCCCGCTGCCCATGCCGGCTGTGCCCGCCCCTGCAGAGCTGGCCGCCAACCTCGGCTGGAAGGATGGGGCCCCACAGCCAGGCAGACCCCTCCGCGGGGCCCCAGCCCACAGCCTGCCCCCAGTCCCGTGCGGCGAGCTGGGCTCTTGGGCGTGACCTGGCTGTGCAGCCCGAGGCCCACCTGCCCCTCCAGGCCCCACGCTGCCTTTTTCGAAGCGAAAGCGGGGGTGGGGTGAGGCCCGGCTTTGGCTTGGGCTGTTTCTGGACTCTGCCCTCCGGGCTCTGAGCGTGCGATCAGCTCAAGCCACGTGGCTCCAGGCCCCACGGCCCCGTCGCCCTCGCGCCCCCTGTGTGCGGGGTCGTGAGGCTGCAGCCCCTCCTGCCTCACCGCGCTGCCCCCCACAGGTACCAGTGCCTGCTCCTGGTGGACGCTGTGGCCTCCCTGGGCGGGGTCCCCATCCACATGGACCAGCAAGGTGAGGCCCCGCCCTCAGGCGGACGAGCTCCCAGAACTGACCGCACCGGTGCCTCTGCTGCACTGCCAGGCGCCGACCTGGGCGCGGGCGGGGCTTCTCCGGGGTCAGCTTCCGGGGGGGGGGGGCTCAGAGCCCTGGCAGGAGGGGAGGGGAGGGGCTGCGGGGCCTCTGGCCCCGGCTGGGCCTCAGTGTCCCCATCTGCCCCGGCCCCCGCCAGCCGTCACACCCAGGGAGCTCCGTCGTCGGGGTCACTGCCTTGCAGGGGGAGCCTTTGGGGTCGACAAAGGGGGCTCCGTGGGCTGACGCCCCCACCGCTGCCCTCAGAAGGAGGGGCCCGGGGGCGCAGTGCAGGGCGGTGGGGCTATCCCTGAGGTGCCACGCTGCAGCCGGCTCAGGCTGGCTGCGCCGCCGCGGAGGGAGAAGCTGGGTGGAGGCTCCAGCCGAGGCCCAGCGTGCAGGCCTCCCAGACAGCAGGCGGCCCGTGGACCCAGCGCCCTGCCCCCGGCTTCCACCGCGTCCTTTCCACGGATTCTGTGAACTTCCCGCGCTGCTCCCCTCTCCCCTTGGGGACTTCAGGGTTCTCCCTGGTATGAGGCTCCCAGGACGAAGCCGGGAGGGCGTTCCTGTCCAGGCCTGTGCGTGCGCGCTCGGGGCCCCTCCCCTGGGGCCCCCACCACGGGGCTTGGGAGTGGGGCGCAGCCCGGGTTCGCCCGGCCCGTCGTCCCCGCAGCCCAGAACCGCGAAGGCCCTGCCCTCCGCGCGCGCTGGGGGTATTTCGAGCCGGTCTGGGCGCCTATGACCCAAGGTGTGAGCAGAGCAGCCAGCCGCCCTCCGCTCTGTCCCCTGCGCTGACACACTCTGACGCCACGCGCGGCTCTCCCCATGCCACCCGGACACTCGCCGCCTGCCCTGCAGCCCAGCTCCGCCTACCTCGGGGACAGCGCCTGACCCCGCAGGGCAGGGACGCCCCCTCACCTCAGACACCAGTGGCATGGTGGCCCTGATTACCCAAGACGTCAGGTCCTGGGCTCCGGGGACCCCCACCGGCTGGAATGGCCCCGCCCTGGGCGGGCTCGGCCCCATGAGCACGGCCCCTCCCCCCACAGGCATCGACGTCTTGTACTCGGGCTCCCAGAAGGTCCTGAACGCCCCTCCAGGCACGGGGCTCATCTCCTTCAGTGAGAAGGCCAAGTGAGTGACCCGGGACTGGACCCAGGGGCCCCCGCGGGGGGGGCAGGGCGCCGCGGGTCACACTCCGAGATGCCCCTGGAGTGCTTGTCCCCACCCGGTCAGGTGCCCCCCGGCAGGTGCGCCCGAGCTCTGGTTCCTGGGGAGCAGGTGGCTGAGGCACGGCAACAACCCTGGATGTGAGGCGCTGGGCCGGCCAGGCCGCCCTCCGGAGACGCCCCTCAGGCAGCCTGGGCAGGTGTGGGGGGCAGGGCCTGGCCGTCCAGGAGTCCACGGCCTCAGGCCCAGGACTGGGGCCCAGGGCCGGTGCCCCGCTGCCGCCCGCAGGCCGTGCGCGGGCGACCTTTGGTGCCATTTACTGGTACAGACTCTTTGGGGTGAAATCGGGGATTCTGTGTCTCAGGTGAGCGGGGAGGGGTGAGGAGGCGGCTTGGTCGGAGTCCAGAGCTCGGGGAGGCCCGGGCCGAGCTGGCAGTGCCCCGCCCATGGCTAGGGGCTGCCTCGGCCCCCCCACCCCGTGGCACCCAGCTTCACAGATTTTTACCCCAAGGCACGGTGGCCCCCAGGAGAGGTGGGGCCCCAGCCATTTTGATGTGTTTGGACTCATCAACCAAAGAGCAGTCCCTCCAGTGACGATCACCTTTCACTGACCCCTGACGTGGGGGCTGAGGCAGGAAGTCTCCCCGGGGAGGAGGGCGCACCCAAGTGGCAGAGGTGCTGGCCACGTCCGAGGGCCCACAGCCCACCTGGGCCTGTCCCTGGGTCCCGGCGTCTGAGAACCAAGGGCCGGGGGAGGGGGAGCCTCACAGTCCCCACCGCCGGACAGGCGGGTGCTCAGGCTGGTCCTTCCCCCCAGAAACAAGATCTACACCCGGAAGACGAAGCCCTACTCCTTCTACCTGGACATCAAGTGGCTGGCCAACATCTGGGGCTGCGAAGACAAACCCAGGATGTGAGGGCCGGGGGGGCCGGGGGGCGTGGGGGGCCCGCCCACTGCCCCGCCCCCTCAGTTCTTCTCGCTGCGTCCCGAGGCCCCCGTCTGCGCCCCGCCCCACTGCCCCACTGTTCCGGGGCCCGGAGGCCCAGGGCCCTGCCCTCCCAGAGGCCCCAGCCCAGCACAGACAGCTTGGACGAGGCACGTCTCCCCACTTCTGGGCCTCAGTGTCCCCGTATCTCAAAAGAAGGGGGTGAACCAGGGGCTTTCTGTGCGGTGGCTCTGGCCATAACCCGAGGCCCCATGTGCCTCCCGTGGGGACGAGAACACGAGGCACCGTGCCCTGCCCAGCGGGCCCGGGGGGAGGTGGGAGCCCGCTGGTCAGCGTCCTGCTGAGGCGTGGGCCTCTCCGAGCCCCACCAAGCCCCGCTCCTGCGGCCCCGGCCCCCCTTCCAGCTTGAGTCCATGGTTCCCGGCCTGGAGCGCTCCCTGCGGAAGGGGGCTGGCCCTCGTCACAGAGCCTGACCCTTCGGGGCCAGGAGACCAAACTTCTGCCCCTCCCCGCCCCGGGTGGCCTGGCCGCACCCCATCCTGCCTTCCAGGTACCACCACACCACCCCCGTCATCGGCCTCTACAGCCTGCGAGAGGGCCTGGCGCTCATCGCGGAAGAGGTGAGGCCGGGGCGCAGGCCCAGGGCCGCAGGCCGAGAGCTGAAGGCCACAGGCAGTGGGGGCCAGGCTGGCGGGCACTGAGCGAAGCCTCCAGGTGCGCGGAGGGGAGAGGGCGAGGGGCCGGAGCGAGGCCAGCGGCCGGGCTGCGAGCTGCTACAGTGACCAAAGTTCAGCAGCCCCCGGGGCAGAGCCGCAGCCCCACACCAGGGGTTCTCCAAGTCCAGGGCCCGGGAAGGGTCCTCCCAGCCTGAGGGAGCCAGCTTCATCCCCGCAGCCCGCCTCCCACCAGTGCCTCTCCCCGGGCAGGGCCTGGAGAACTCCTGGCACCGGCACCGGCAGGTCACCATGTACCTGCAGGGGCGCCTGCAGGCTCTGGGCCTGCAGCTCTTCGTGAAGGATCCGGTAAGAGGGCAGGGGACGGGGCAGGGGGCAGGGGACAGGGCAGGGGACAGGGGGCAGGGCAGGGGAGTGGGACTCGGCCCCGGCGGGGTGGGGGGGCGGGCAGCTGCCGCGCACCCCGCTGGATGGGCTCGGGTTCCTGTGGCTCAGGGGAAACCGCCCTGGGGCATCGCTGTCAGGGTCGCGGCCCCCTGGCTTCTGGGGCTATGGGCACTTGGTCTGGTGCCCCCGCCTCCCCCAAAGCCCCGCCACCCGGAGTGGTTCCAGGTGGTCTCCAGGCTGGAAGACGCCCTTCAGCCTCCAGAGCCCCAGCCAGTCCCTGGCTTGCAGGGAGCTGGTGTCAACTGAATGGGCCAGGCACTCTGAGAGTGACCTGCTTGAGGGACCGGCCACCCAGAGGCACCTGCGGGGCAGCGGCAGGAGGGCAACCTCGCTGCCCTCACCCCTTCTCGCCTCTGGCCCCCCAGCCCCGCCCGCCCCCCTGACGCCCCGGGCAGGGGCGCCCGAGCTGCGTGCGGGCGCTGAGCCAGCCTGTCCCGCAGGCGCTGCGGCTCCCCACCGTCACCACGGTGGCCGTGCCCGCCGGCTACGACTGGAGAGACATCGTCAACTACCTCATAGACCACTTCTCCATCGAGATCACCGGTGGCCTCGGGCCCTCCTTGGGGAAGGTGAGGGGCGGCCGCGCCCGCCGAGACCCCCGCCGCCCCGCAAGGAGCACGGCTGCATCCAGGCCGAGGCCGGCGGTCGCCCGGCGCCAGGGTGGCAGGGGCGTCAGGAGACAACATCCCTTTCCGGACCCCGGGGGCCTGTGCAGGGGGCGTCTGGGCCTGGCCTATTGGCTGGTGGGGCATGGCCCCCCGATTCCACCTGGAATGCGCCTCCTTCCTCCGTGTGGCCGGCCAGAGAGGAGGCCCCGTGGCCGGGACCAGCTGTGCCCACCGAGAGGCCGATTCTGAGCGGCCTTTAAGGGACCGCCGCCCTGCTGCCCCTCCCGGGCTCTGTGGGCTCAGCCTGGGTCCCAGGGCCCCTCCATGTGCCCCGGGGGGGGGCTCTCATGGGGAAGCCCTCCCGGCTCTGCCCAGAGCCCAGCCCGGGCCAGGCGGGGTCCTTGCGGGGGGGCGCCAATGTCTCGCCGCCCCGACCCAGGTGCTGCGGATCGGGCTCCTGGGCTGCAACGCGACGCGGGAGAACGTGGACCGCGTGACCGAAGCCCTGCAGGAGGCCCTGCAGCGCTGCCCCCGGAACAAGCTGTGACCGGCCACCTGCCGGCCCCTCCTGAGCGTCTGCGCGATGGACAGGCCGCTGCCAGCCCCCAGCCGCCCTGCTCCCTCCTGGTGAAACTTGCTGCGAAAGGCCCTTTGGGCTCGGGATCCCCAGCTCCTCCCAAGTGCCCTGCAGTCCCCAGGCCCCTGGCCCCCCGAGAATACTCAATAAAGAGCAGGCGGCCATCCGGTCATCTGTCCTCACCGTGCGGGGCTGGGCCGCAGGAGGGCCTGGCAGGAAGGCGCGACTGCGGCTTCTCTGCGGGAGGCGGGGCAGACGGGGCGCACGGGACCCAGGCCCTGCCCCCCGGGGACCCACAGCCCCAGGGCTGCCCGCGACCCGAGACCCGCGGACACAGCTGGGCAGAGCGCGCCTGGAGCGCACAGCCAGCACCTGGGCCTGGGTGAGCCCCCGCCCCCGGCCCTCAGATGCACAGCTGTGGGTGGCCTGGAGCCCCAGCCTCCGCCTCGTCCTTGGCTGGGCTCCCTCTGACCCCCTGTCCCTTAACTCTGCCCCTCACTTGGGGTTTCTGCCTGTGCCAAGCCTCCTCGCCCTCTCCCCGGGTTGAAGCTGCAGGCCGGCCCGCTTCGGACCTTGTCTGGACCAGGGTGGCTCTGGCCAGTCACAGCCACGCCCACCTCTGCAGGTGTTTCTGGCCCGGAGGTTCCTGGGTCGGGGGGGGGGGGCGGGGAAGGCCGGCAGGGCAGACGCCCCAGCCCAGTGCAGCCCCGAGTCTCTGCGGGTGGATGGGGTCGGCCTGGCTCCGCCCCATCTCTGGCCGGGCGCGGCCGACGCGCTGGGCAGACCAGAGGCCGCCAGCCCCGGGCCGCTCATGGCCACCAGGGGAGACGGGCACTCGTGCCGCAACCGTAGTCGTGATTGGCACAGGACCTCAGGGGCCCGAGGGGCTGAGATCTGAAGGAAAGGTGGGCGGGGCCCCTCCAAAGGAGGCCTGGGACCTGGGGGCCCGAACACACAGTGCAGGGGGTCACCCTCCAGACCTGCCCTTTTGCTGAGAGCAGCCCTGTGTTGGTCGGGCGCCCCCAGAAGCAGACGCTGGAAACCCAAGTACAAGGCCCGCCCAGTGGCAGGTCCCCCGGGCGCCCCCCGGCCAGTGTCCCTCGATTTCCATCGCCACGGCTGTGTCCCACAGGCAACTGGAGACCCACACAGCCTGTCCTCTGGCACGAGGAGCATCTCTCACTCAGCACCTTGTTGTCGCGGGAACGTGGCGCGCCTGCTGCCGGGTGCTGTCCTGCTGCGGGACAGGCTGCCGTCCACACGCTCGTCCGCTGCGGAGGGGCCTTGGGGTGGTGTCCCCTGGGGGCTGCTATGAATAAGGGGGCAACGAGCACTCTCAGGCAGGGTTTGTGTGGACAGCTACTCATTCCTCCTGAGGGGACACCCAGAGCGGAGCCGCGGGCCCCGGGCCCCGGCGGGTTGAACGCTGGCCCGGCTCCCAAGTTCCAGAGGCGGCCGCCACACGGCCGTCCTCGCCGGAGCGTGGGGGGCCCAGCGGCTCCGCCTCTGCACGGTCGCTCGGTGTCTCGCCCCACAGCGGGTGGGAAATTACGTCTAATTTGGCCCTGCTATGCATTTCCCGGAGGATTTGGGGCGTTGAGCATCTTCTCATGTGTTCACGGGCCGTTAGAGTGTCTCCTTTGAGACCCGTCAGCTCAAGTATTCTGCTCGCATGACTTGATCTCATCTTTCTGGCGTCGACATGCGGTGATTGTTTGATGGGTGCTGGAAACGGCCAGATGTGTGGTCAGGAGAGTTTTCTCCTTGGCTGGCCTACATTCCTTTTCTTTTTTTAGAAGATTTTATTCATTTATTTTTAGAGCAGGGAAGGGAGGGAGAAAGAGAGGGAGGAAACGTCCCTGTGAGGTTGCCTCTCGTGTGCCCCCTGCTGGGGACCTGGCCTGCACCCCAGGCCTGGGCACCGACTGGGAATCGAACCGGCGGCCCTGCGGTTCGCAGGCCGGGGCTCCGTCCACGGAGCCGCACCGGCCCGGGCTGCGTTCCTTTCCGTAATCATGCCTTTCAAAGAGCAGGCACTTGAAATCTGCCCAGAGCCCAGCTTGCACGCATGTCCTTTTCCGGTCTGCCCCGCTCACGCCCCGTCCTGGTACCATCCCCCGTTCCCGTCCTGAGATCTCGGCGTCGGCTGTCGCGGGCGCTTGAGGCACCACGCCGTGTGGATCTTGTGTGTGCAGTGGAATTGGGGTCGGAGCGTGGTCTCATCCTTCCTGACCCTGAGCCGTTCGAGCCACGTAGTGACATAGACTCCCCTTCCCCACCTCACGGGCTCGACGCCGTTGCCAGTTGGCGCAGGCTGGGTCGGCCTCTGCCCCCGCCCCCGCCCCCCACCCCCGCCGCCCACTGGGCTTTGTCCTTGAGCTGGGCCACGCTGTCCTAGAGGCCGCAGCCTCGCAGCAACTCTGCAACCAGGAAGCGCAAGTCCCCCACCTTTGTTCTTCCAAAACTGCTTTTCCTGTCCTAGAGCCTGTGAGTTTGCCTATAAATTCTAGAACCATCTTGTCTCGTGCTTGCTGGAGCTGTGGTGGGAAGGTGCCCGCGAACCTGCTGGCCGGCCCACCCGAGCTCTGGCTCACTCAGAACTAACAGCCTCCGAGCCCCCCCCGCCACCCACGCGCCCTCCCAAGGAGGGGGCGCCATCCCCAAACTCCACGGGGCCGCGGGGCCGCCGGGCCCCAGACTCGCCCTCTGTGGTGGGTGGGGCAGGGGACAAAAACGCCGGCTGCCCCTCGCAACCATTAATTTATTCAAGATCAGATGCACAGGTTTCCTCTCCCAGAGTGCCATTCGACGCAGGCGGGGACGGGCCCGCGGGTTCCAGGTCTCCTGCGGACACTCCGTGTCCAGCGTCGGGACAGCGTCGCACCGGATGGATGGACCCGTGTCGTGTGAAGCCCACGCCCCTCATCCCAGGCCCTCACCCCTGCAGGCAGGCAGCGGCTCCAGGAGGCCGGCTGTCCGCGCTCTCAGACGCCCAGGGGGCCGTCACCCCTCGGCCTCCGTCCCCCCAGGGGAAGCGCCGCGTGTGCCGGGAGCCCCGGTGGGGCAGCGCAGCCGCGGCAGAGCCGGGCGCCCGCTCAGCTGGCCTCGCCGCCCAGGGCCTTGGTCTTCCGGAAGATGCGCTGCATGGCCGCGAGTCGGTCCTGGTCCTGGATGTGGAAGACCTGGAACTGCGGGCAAGGCAGGGGTCACGGAGCATCCTGGGAGTCCGCCCGGGGCCTCGGACGCAGCGTGGGACGACCTCGGCTCCCCCGCAACCGGCCTTCCTGCCGCTGGGTCTCTGCCCGGAGGGTCCCCTCTGCAGGTGGCCCGCTAGGCCCCCTCCCCTAGACCTTCCTCGCACGCAGCTGTCCCTGGATGGGCCTGACATGCGGGAGGCCCGGCCAGGCGCTGGCTGAGGCTGGAGTGGGTCGCCCCGCCGGCCGCCATCCCCCCAGGCCCCCGGGGGTGCCCCGAAGGGGACACGTTGGCTCTTCGGGGCGAGGGTGGGGGCGGTCCCGGGGGGGAAACGGAGGGCCAGCAGAGCTGGTGGAGCCTGGGGCAGCCGGGAGACCCCCCAAATGCCAGGGGACGTGGCAGGGGCCTCCTGGGTCCAGTGGCGCAGCGGGAACCTGCCCGGGGAGAGGAGCCCCGGGTGGCGGCTCTGAGCACGCTCGCGGCGGGTCTGGGGCAGCGCGGCGGGTGCTGGGGACAGGCTTAGACGAGCCGCCCCGGTCCCCAGCCGGTGGCCCTGGGCCTGGCAGGCAGGGGCCGGCGTGGCCTGTCTGACCCCCGAGGTCACACCCTTCCCTGGGACGCTGTCCAGACGCCTGACCTGACCCAGCCCCCTCAAGTTCCTGACCCTGGAGGGAGGCCGACCAGGGCTCTGTCCCCGCCGCACGCACGGGACCGGGGCCCACCTTGTCCAGCAGGACGTCGAAGTAGGCGGTGGCCCAGTAGGCGGGGTCGCTGGCCGGCAGCTGCAGGAGAGCCTTGATGCCGTGGCCGACGCGGGGCGGGGGGCTGCGGCCCAGGTGGGTGGCGTGGATGCGCAGGGACGCCTCGGGCTGGCTGGCAAAGCGCTCCACGCGCCGGTAGAGGGCGCCCAGGTCCAGGCCGGAGCCCTGCAGCAGGTTGCGCTCGGGGTGCAGGAAGTGCGGCAGGTTCTGCGTAGCCAGGCAGCACAGCAGCACCACCAGCAGCCGGTACACCGCGCCCTGCAGCTCGGCCCAGTCCTCGGGCGCGGGGAAGAGCGCGGAGGCCCAGAGCAGCACTGTCTGCGGGGGACAGCGGCCGTCCCTCACCGCAGGCGGCCGCGTGGACGGCCGGGCCCGCCCTCTGGTCTCCCCCGTGCCACCCCGCGCCGGCCCCTCGCCCCCACTGCCCCAACCAGCGCCTCCGGTGACTCCCTGCCAGGCGCTGCAGCTGAGCAGAACCCCGCCCAGCCTCCTCTCCACGGCTCCCCGGCTCCAGCCTCCAAGGTCTTTCCCAGGGGACCCGAGGTTCTGACGCATCCCCGAGCCCTTCCTGGCGCCCGCTCCCACTGCCCGGGAATTCCCAGCCCATCTGTCAGCCCAGCACACGCGGCCCAAGACGCGCCTCCAAGCCACAGCGGGGCTCGCCTGGCCGCCCTAGGCGCCCTCCCCCTTCCCTGGGCCGGAGCCCCCCGGCCAGGGTCCCCTCCCTCTGCCAAGCCCCATCGCCCCAGTTCACGGCCGGAGCCACCGTGGGTCAGGCCCCAAGGGACCCCCTCAGAAGCCGGCACCCCCAGGCATGGGGGGGGGGTCCTGAGAGGGCTGGTGAGTGGCCTGGGGTCGCACGGGGGCTCCTGGCAGAGCCGGCTTCTGCGCGCGGGGCCGCCGCACTCGGCAGGCGGACGCCCCCGCGAGCCCGGGCCTCGCTCCCCGGGAACCCCAGCAAGGCCGCGGAGCCCCAACGCGGAGCTCGCTCTGGGGTCCAAGCTGGGAGCCCCCAGCTACAGACCCAGGCTGAGCAGAGCGCCCGCAGGCTCGCTGAGCCCTCACGCGTACCTTGAGGTGGCCGAAGGTCAGGCCGGGGCTCTGGCCCCCATTGCGCCAGCTCTCCCAGTTGACCCGGTCCAGGACGGAGAGGCTGTCCAGGCGGTGGCCAGGCAGGGAGCCCAGCGCGCTCAGCAGCCGGGAGAGCAGGTAGTCCGTGGAGACCCTGGGGGCCCGGACAGACACGCCACTCGCGGTCGGCTTCGGGGCCTCGGCCAGGCGTTGCGGGAAGGAAGTCCCCCCGGGTGGACGCTCCTGAGCCCCCAGGGCGGGCCCGCGGCAGCGGCTGTCGGGGCTCCCCCAGCCAGGCTGCACGCACGGTTTGGGACCCGCACAAAGGGCTGTCCCCTGCAGAATGCCTGGCTTTCACGTGGATGCTCAGGGCCCAGAGCACGGAGGGACATGGGAGCCTCTGGACCCGCCGGGCCCTCTTGTCGGGACAGGAAAGGGCCACTCTCACCAGCCCAGGCTGGAGCGAGCAAGGCTCCTGGCCCCTGGCAGAGCGTGGGTGCCGCCCCCCAGTCTCCCCCCAACGCCCCACCTGGGAAGCCAGCCGCCACCGGCAGCTGCAGACCACGGAGGGCTCCGAACCTGCCCCGGCGATGCCCACTGCGCAGGGCAGCGCACACAGGGACCCTCGCTGCCTGCCTGCTGGAGGGGCACGTGCCTCACGTCCCCCCTCGCCGGGCAGCCTCAGCCCCGGGCGGTCATGCGCCCGCCGAGCCCGGGGCAGGGCCCAGGGAAGGCCACGGATAGCCAGAAAGGACTCGGCTCACCGCAGCCCTTCCCCTTCCTTAGCGGCTGGGGGTCCTCACCGGCCTGGACGCGGCGCCTGCTCTGGGCTGGGGGGTGGGGGCGGGGCGGCTGCCAGGGCCACCGCTGAGCTTGTCCGAGCAGCGGGAAACCACAGGCGGGACGAGGCAGCTTTACCGGCGTCGCCCACCGCGAAGAGGTGATGCAGGCACACGACCCCGCGGGCCGGACCAGCAGGACGAGTGGCTGGGCCACTCAGCACCTGGGGCAGGCGGCCGTCCAAGCGTGTAGATCCGGTGGGGTCTGCAGCGGGGCTCGGCCTCGCCCCGTGGCCCCCCCACCCTCCCTCCCTCCCACAGGACCTACTCAGGCCTCTGCCTCCCAGCAGACGCTGAGGGCGGAGACGGGGGGACCCAAGGAGAGGCTGCCGGGCTCCTGGGCCCGGGGGCGGGGCATCGCGGCCAAAGACCTCGGGTGGGGGCTCCTGGGAGGGGACACTGATCTGGGAAGAGCAGCCCCGACGGAGGCTCTACTTTGTCTATTAGACCCTGACCCGCCACCCCGCGGCTCGGGAACCCGCCGCCACCCGACACAGGCCGCCTGCCCTCTCCGCCGCTTTCCCACCCTGGGCTGGGTCCCCCGAGGGCCCAGCCGGGCGGCCTCCCGCACGCTCGGGTTTCTCTGTACAGCCCACGCCCCGAAGCTCCAAGAGGGACCCCGAATTCCCCGCAGACCCCGTAACCTCGGTGGTAGCGATGCCCACGGGGCAGGCATGGGTGGGGAGCAGCAGGGTGTGCCCCGCTTCCTGCCAGCCCCCCCGGACCCGACCATCCCCGGAGGGGCCTTCTACCTCCAGAGCTGGGCGCTGGCGGGCACCAGGGCCACCTCCTGGCTGATGATCCTTTCCAAGCTGCCTTCAGGGAAGCCGGGCACCCGCTGGGCGCCCTCCAGGGCGGGCAGCCTGTGCTTCCACCGCACCACCGGCACCACGTGGAAGCGGATGGCCCTCCAGCCGCTGGACACCAGCAGGGACAGGTGCAGCTCCTCCTCCCTCAGGCTGTCTGTGTTCAGAGCCCCTGCAACGACACCCTGCTGGCCTCACCTGCCCCGGCGCTGCCCCCCGGACGCCGGCGACCCCCGCCTGCGGACCCCTCCCCCACACGCCAAGGTCAGCCTGGAACCTCAGCCGAGCGGGGGGCTGGCCTGCGCAACTGTCATGGGCAGAACTGTGTCCCCGAAAACCCTCGTGTGGAAGCCCTGCCCCCCGCGGCACGGACGGCGGCCGCAGCTGGAGGCGGGGTCGCTAAAATGCGGCGAAGTGAAACGAGGCCGCCAGGGCAGACGCTGAGCGGACAAGCCTGGTCCTTCCAGCAGAGGCTTCAGGGCCTCCCCGCCCCCAGGCAAGCGGCCACGCGAGGGTGCGGAGAGGCCTCAGGAGAAACCCGCGGGCCCGCGCCTGGGCCTTCCAGCCTGAGGACCCCTGTGGGAGCGCCTGGCCTGCGGGGTCTGGTCTGCGGCCACTGCCCAGCGCCGCGAGGGCGCCGGGAGCTCACAGCCCCCGACAACAGCAGCACCTGCGTTAGGTTCTCCTGGGGCACCTCCCCCGGCCCCCCGCGCCCCAGCTCTGCCCCCCTTCGGGGACCCGTGGCCACGTCCCCCGCGGCGCTGTCTGCGGCAGGAGGGGCGGCAGCGATGGCCCAGGCCGGGCCAGGAGAGGCCGCGACCCCAGGAGGAGCAGTGCTGCCCAGGCAGGCCCTTGGCCCGAGGTCCCAGGTGCTGCCCTGTTGGCTGGACCCCAGGCCCCTCCGGCCCAGCCCCGGGGTCCTGCTCAGCCCAAGGCCGGGGCCCCGCTTCTCAGGGGGAGGTGAGGAGGGATTCCAGCACTTCTGTCTGAGCGGCTGCTCTGCCAGCAGGCACCCCAGGCCCAGGCACCCCCAGTGCCTCCTCAGGGTCAGGGACCGTCTCGGGGTGGCTGCTTTCAGCACGCTGGCACCCCTGTCCTGCGGCCCCGCGCCCCCGGAGGCTACCGGTCATGGCAGCCCCTCCGCCGAGGAGTCGGTTCCTGGGCCCCTGTGCTCAGCGTGGCCAGCAGGCCAGGCCACCCCCCCCCCAGCAGCCAGCCCCCGGGGGCGGCCTCCGTGGGCCCGGGAGGCGGCCGAGGCTGGGCTTCGGATCACACCTGCTCCCCCCCTTCCCCTTCCTGTTCCTTGGATGCTTCCGGAGAACTCCCCTCCCGGTCAGGCTGGTGCCCAGGAACCCCCACCGCAGACACACCTCCCAGGAGGGGCCCAGACGTGAAGGAGGGATTCGCAGGCTCGGAGCCCAGCACGCAGGCGGCCCTGCCCCGAAGGCCGACCAGCCTGGCTGCCATAAATTCCACTCCACACCTGGGCGATGGGGCGGGAGGTGGCGGGGGAACATTCTAGCAGGAATGCTTCCTGCTCTCCTCCCCACCCAGGTCCTGGGGCCCAGCCCAGAGCCCGCAGGCTGCCCAGGGAGGGGCGGCCGCGGGTCGTGGGGAGGCGGGGACCGGGGCTCCTCCCTCGGTGGCCCCTCCCCATGTCCCACAGCCTGCCAGGGACAGTCCTCGCCCTGGGGGCCCCACCCCCGCCCCCTGCAGGGCAGCCCGGGCGCCACCTCGGGGGACCCAGCCCTGGGCAGGTCGTGTCCCCGGAACCTGGGCCACTCGCCCCCTGAATGGGCCTCTGTCTCCCCTCCAGGAAGAGAGGGGCTCAGTGGCCCCCGCCCCTCCCTGCCAGCACTTGAAGCGCCTGTCACTCAAAGCCACGGGGGGCTTCCTTTCCTTATCTACCACTGGTCCTACATTTTGTCCTCGAAATTGTGGCTTGGAAGGCGGCCAGCCACACCTGCTGCCCGTCCCTGCCGCTCCAAACCAGTCGGGCCTGGTCCGGGGTTCCCAGGGGTTCCCAGGGTTGGGGTGGGCGGGGGGCAGCCTGAACTCGTCACGCGCAGGGGAAGCCATGCTTGGAATTTCCCTGCGGGCCCCGCGGCCCGCGCCTGCCCGGGGCCGCCTTCTCCGCTGGGGGCGCCTGGCCGCCCAGCAAGGGCCTGGAGGAGCCTTGTGCTGTGCCGACGGGGGAGCCTGCCTGTCTCCTGGGGTGGGGGGGGACGAGGCCTGCGGGCGACAGGCCAGGTGGGCACAGCCACGCGTTGTCCAGGAGGAAGACAGGAGGGGCCCTGCCCGCGCAGATGGGGAGGTTCAGCGATGGTCGCATCAGATGTCTGGGGCCCTAATGACAGGCCCAGCTGCCCCGGGAGGGCGAGGTATCAGCCCCAGACGGGTCACCGCCTCCGCCCCCGGTCACCAGGCAGGTCAGGGAGGGGCTGGGCCGCAAAGCCGCCCCTCCCGAGGGACGGGTCTGTCCGGAAGCCCGGCCACCCCGTGACTCTCCCCGCTGGCGTGCAGAGGGATGGCCGGCTCCCCGACTCCCGCAGGAGGGAGCCCCGCCCAGGGGGCCGGTGGCTGAGGCCCGCGGGGGGCCCGAGCCCAGACGGCAGCCAGACCGGGCTCCACGCCCTGGGCAGCCTGGGGCAGGTCGCTGTCCTTCAGGTGCCATCCCTGCTCGCTGGCCTCACGGCCGCCGTGAGGGCCGGACTAACACCGGGGCAGCCGCCCCCACAGCCACTGCCCCTCCTGAGGGAAGAGGGACTCTCTGTTTCAGGCCCTCGCTGCTGCCGCCAGGACAGCCCGGCACCTCTCCCTGGCCCCCAGGAGGACGGGCCTCCTCAGCCCAGGCCCGCGTCCTGCAGCCCCCACGGCTCACCTGGCCGTCTCTGCCACGGAACCCACGCTGGGGCCAGGGCACCCATGAGCAGCCGGGCCATAAGCAGAACCACCCCTGAGCACACACATGCACTTCTGCACGCGCCCCTCACACGCATGCACGCACAACCCCACAGTCACACGCGCGCATGCACACACACAGAGTCCCCCCAGTCCGGAGCGGTGCCTGGGGCCCGGGAGTGCGACAGCTGCGGGGACCGTCGGGCCCGCGTCAGGGACCCTCAGGAAGCCCATCAGCAGGGAAACAGCTCACAGGTCACGGTTTCCAGCCGCGTACACAGCAACACCCGCTACAGGGCTGTTCCGGGTCACCAGGGAAACTTAACATGACACACGTCCTCTGAGAGCACAAGGCCTGTCCCCAACTCACATGCCCCTGACACCCACACTGAGCGATCGCACGCGTGTGCACTCACACGCGTGCACAAAGCGGTCCCGCCGCTACCTGGCGCGATGAGGCCGTGGAGCTTGCAGTGCATGATGGCAGCCACGAGAAGGTCCCTGAGGAGGCGGAGGACCTTGCCGGGCACAATGTGGCCGCAGCCCTTGGCGCTGCCGTCCGAGGAGGCGGTGAAGACGTCGTCCGTCAACCACTGCCCCAGGCCGGCCGCTTCCCTGGGGACGCCCAGGCGGCAGGACGCAGGGCCACCGTCCCCGGGCTCGGCGGCCCCCAGCTCCTCACTCAGGAGGGCTCCGGCGTCCACCCTCAGGGGCACCTCCACGTCCACGGGGTCGTCCGAGGAGCGCAGGGCGAACTGCGCGGCCTCCAGGTCCCGGGAGTAGTCCACCAGGAAGCGGGGGTCGCGGGCGTGCACGCGCTCCAGCAGGGCCAGCAGCACATCCTCCGCGCGCTGGAAGTCCTGGGCCCGGGGCGCCGCTCGCGAGCGGATGGCCTGCAGGTAGTGGGGCCACAGGGGCACCTGCGCGGCCATGGCCGGGCCGGGCGGCCGGCGCGGGCCCGGCTGTGCGGACGGGGGAGGCACCTGCCCCGGGGAGGAGGGGCTCCGCAGGCGGGCGCGCGCTCACTGGCAGAGCGGAATTCCGGGGAGACCGGGCTGCAGCAGGTTAAATAGCTGAACCTGGCCCAAGCCTTTGAAGTCGGGGTGAGTCAGCCACCGACAACTGGGAAGGTCTCCAGAGGGGTGGGGAGGGCGGCCTCCCGAGCTCCTCCCGCTCCCAGGCCCAGGCGCGCAGGCCGGCCTCCCGCTGCTGTGCTGTCCCTGTGGGCGGGGGCCTGTTTCCGGTGACCCCCCACCTTTATCCCAGTAGCAGCAGCCTCAGTCTCTGCGACATCGGCCCCCCCACCAGATTGGAGGTGGGACGCAGGGTCCCCCCTGCTCGGGTGTGAAAGGTGAGGCGGGGCAGTGGCTGCCCCGGACCCGGACCCCGAGCGCCAAGGCTGCCCAGGGCCACCAGCTCCCGGCAGCCTTTCTCTGACACGGCGGAAGTGGCCAGCCTCAGGCCAGGGCTGGGGGCTGCATTTCCATAGCAACCGGGGCATCCCCTCAGGTCCGTGGCCTGCCCCCCAGAAGCTGGGAACCTCGAACTTGGCGCCGGCCCCCCAGGTCCAGGTGTAAATCCCGCCCCTTCCCCCGTGCTCCTCTGCCCCCCACCCTGGCCCCCGGGGCGCCCATCCCCCACCCCACCTGGCCTCCACCCTGGGAGGAGGGCACCCTCCACCCCTCCACCCCCCGCCCCCGGCCTGCCTGAGCTGGAGTGAGTCTGGCTCTTGGGAAGCCTCCCTGGCGCCACCTCTCAGGGTGGGACGCACCCGCCGGCCCCTCCAGCACCTGTGCCGGGCGCTCCACCCGCCTGGCCCCCTCCCTGCTCAGGGTATGCAAGTCCCGGCCAGCAGGTGGGGGCCTCCCAGTGACCCTTGGCCCCTCCAGCCTGACCTCGAGCATCAGGTGCTCCTGCTGGAGCTTACGGCCCCGCAGAGCCGGCTATCGGCTATCGGAGTGGCGCCACCCACAGCACCCCTGGGAGCTGCGCGCCTGAGCCAGAGCCGCGGCAGAGCCAGAGCCGCGCCGCGCACTCCCTGGCACCCGGGCGTCCTCTGTCCGCGCCGTGGCCTTCCCGTCTACCAGTCGGATTCCCACGCTCCCCCCTTCCCAGGAATCTCACAACTGTCTCCTGAATTTGCCCAGGGGACGTGTGGGCCCCTGTCTCCCCGGGACGCCCAGGGCCCAGCTCCACACCAGACGGGCCCCCCACCTGACTGTGGAGCAGGGGTCCAGGGGGCAGGAGGGCTGGGAGAAGGGGGGCGTGGGATAGGGCCCCGGGCAGGCCCCGGCCAGCTCTGTGGTCCAGGGGCCAGTCGGTCAGCCCAGGGCCCGACTGGGGCTCCCTCAGCCCGGCCCCCGGCCCCAGGACCCTGCTAGGCATCCTTTGCGGCTGCCGGGGAGGGTAAGGCCCCCCTCAGGGGCTGCGGGCAGCGTTGGGTTGTTGGGGTTGTTTTTTTGGGTGACAGATAAACAACACAACATGTCATCTCTGTGCCTTTGATGCGCCGTCCAGGGACCTCGGGGCGTTGCTGCTGCCAGTGTCACCGCCCTGCCGAGCTCTGCTTCCCAGAGCGAAGCCCTGACCCGGGAAGCTCAGCCCCGCCCCTCCCCCGGCCCCCACCCTCCCAGCTTCTGCTGCTACAGATCTGACTCCTCCCGGGGCCCCACACAAGGGAAGACCCGGGCGCGTCCTCTCTGAGGCTGGGGCAGGGTCCCTCGCGCGGAGGGACCGCAGGTCCGCCCTCCCGTCTGCCCGTGGACGCCTGGGTGCCTCCGCGCCGTCGCTGTTGTGTCTGATGCCGCTGTGACCGTGGGCGAGCGAGTGTCTCTTCCAGGCCCTGGCGTCCGCTCTTCGGGTCTGTGTCCAGGAGCAGAGGCGCTGGGTCGCCAGGCAGTTCTCTGATTCATTGTCGAGGTGCCTCCATCCTGACTTCCACCGAGGCCGCCCCATTTTCCCTTCCCACCAACAGCGGGCGGGGTCCCCGTGTCCCCGCATCCTCGCTGGCCCCGGGTGTTTTCTGGGGTGCTGGCAGCAGCCGCCCCGACGGGGAGGCGGCCTCCCCGGGTGAGGCTTGTGCTTCCCTGGTGGTCAGCGCTATGGGGCATCTTGTCGCGGGTCGTTCGGGTGTCCGCTGTGGAGAAATGTCTGTCCCGTCCTTGGCCCGCGTCTGAATGGGGCTGTTTGGGGGGTTTTGTCGTCAATTTATGAGAGTTCTTTGTGTATTCTAGACCTGAATTCTCATACTGGATATATAACTTGCAAATATTTTCTTCCGCCCCGTGAGCTGCCTTCTCGCTCCCTTGATTTTGTCGTTTGGTGCACAAAAGTTTTAAATTTACCCCATTTATCTTTGTTTTCTTTGGTTGCCTGTGCTTTTGGTGTCACGTCTGAGCAGCTGCTGCCACACCCGAGGCCCGGGTGTTTTCCTGCGAGTTCCAGGCCCCAGAGCTCCGAGCCCTCAGCCGCCCCGGGCCCTCAGCCGCCCCGGGCCCCTCTCCTCACCGCGGCGCCCAGTCTGGGATTTCTCCTCAGCCGCCCCCGCGAGAGCAGGGGACAGAGGGCAGGGCTTGCGAGGGCCCTTGCACCCCCGGACTGTCCCCCACCGCCTGCCGGCCACATCGTCGTTCTCGGGCTGCCCTCTGAACGGGGGAGCCCAGGGTGGGCGCCGCCCCAGCGGCCCTGGTGGGACTGAGCGCAGCCCAGGTCCCCGCCCCCAGGCCCGAAGCGCCCGTAGCCCCCAGGGCAGGGGTCAGAGGCCCGCAGAGGCCCCCGAGAGCTGGACGGACAGGGAAGGGCCTGACCGTGCCCGCTGTGTGAGCCTCCCCGCGCCCCCTGCTCTGGCCACCTTCCACCGGCGTGGACAGGCGGCCAGAGGACAGACACGCAGCGGGGGCCCTGCCTGTCGGGCAGCAGGGCGGCCAGCCCTGGCACCTGCCGGCAGATCTGGGCGGGGCCGGACAGGGCGATATTTTGGTGCGGGCGTGGGATGCAGCCTGGTTCCTGTCCGGCACCCGCAGGGGCGCGCCCCACGGAGGCTGCGAGCCACGGCCGCTGGCAGGAGCAGCCCCTCTCCTACGCAGCCTGCGCCCCGCCCGCCGGGTGCGGTCAGTGTCCCAGGACAGTGCCGGGCCCCGGGGCAGAGCCCCTGAGAGCACAGACGGCGACACGGGAAGGCAGGCAGATCCCAGAGCCAATGGGGCGGAGTCGCCGCCTGAGGCCGAGAGGGTCGGACAGAGGGCACCGCATTCCTGTGTGGCCTCTCACCCTCTTCCCTGGGTGTCCTCCGTATGACCTGTCTTTGGAGGACACGTCAAGGGTGAGTGGCCCATTCACGCAGGCCTGCCTGTCAGGGCGAGGGCGGGGAAGACGGGCCTCGCCAGGGTAAGCACCGAGCTGTCTTGCGAGTTTCGGGGTCCCTTCCCCTCGTGGGGAGGATCTGGGCAGGGCGGCCAATTCTGCCCGCGGGGGACAGAAGCCGGTGAGGCCCGCTGGGCTCTGCCTCGCCTGGCCTGTGCCTGCCCTGCCCACCTCTCCCCAGCTCCCCCCAAGCCCTCCAGGCCCACGGGGGCTCCGGGGGAGCGACAGGCAGCCTCGGGCGCCTGGACCTGCCCAAGCTGCGGCGTGGGCCCCCGGGCTCTGAACTGAGACCTCTGCGCCCTGATTTCAGGAGCCGGAAGCCACTGCTAGTCCGGAGGGGCCGGGCCCAGAAGGGCTGTGCAGGCCTCCCTCCAGGAACCGCCCAACAAAGCCCACGCCCGCCGGGGATGCTCAGGAAGCCCGGCCCGTCTTGCATGGGGCACCTTGTGACTGTCTTCTCTGGAAGGGGAGGGGGACACGGGACCCTGAGGACATCAGGGCAAGGACACAGATGCCCCTTCGGTGAACTTCTGTCTGAGGACGTGGCCTGGGCCCCTATGGGCTCCCCCACGCCCAGCAGCCCCGGGGACTGACACGCTGCCCACTCAGTGCCTGTCCTCACTGGATGGCCCCAGAGGGACGCACCCCATCCCCAGGGCACCCCAACGGCCCCCCCTCATCAGAGGGACGTCCCTCCTGCTGCGGGCCACTCCACAGCTGCCTCTTCCGCGGAAGGACTCCCGCCGGCTTCGGCCCAGCTGGGGCAGGTCCCGAGGAGACGCGTGGGGGTGGGGGCTGGCCCGGCTGAATGCCTGGTGCCGGCCCCGTCCGGAGGCCCCGGGAGGCCCCGTCTGGGAGGGACAGGCTGGAAGGGGAGCGTCCCTGCTGGTCCTTCGTGTGGCTCTGGGAAGTCCGGGTGAGCGAGCAGAGCTGACCCTCCCCTGGCAGGTACGAAGCACGTTGCCCACGGAGCAGCGTCCTTCCGGGTAAATCAGACTCCAGGAGGTGTGGCCGGGCAGAGGCGGCCTCCCTTCACTGGTCGGCTACGTGCCAGCGCACTGGTGAACTCTGGGTTCTGTTCCAAATCTTAGGGGGCAAGTCAGAGTTTGATTCTCCAACAGGAGGCCCTGGCAGGCTGCGTGCAGGCCACCTCCACCGGGTGTGGCCTCCACGCCCGCGACTCCGCCCGGCGACGGCCCCTGGGAGCGTCTGTCATCCAGGTGGACAGCTTCACCCAGGGCGTCTCCAGGTCTCCAGGGAAATGGCTTCCAGACAACAGCGTTCCTCAGTCCCCGTGGCAACGAGGCTTGCACTCCTGTTTCCAGGGAAACCAAGGCTTCAGTGTTGCGGTTGCCACAGCAACACCTAACCACTCGGTTGTCTCCACAGTCCCAGCTCAGAAGGGGCAGCCGGGACAGGGAGCAGGTGCTGCAGGTGTGGGGCCTGGAGCCGGGGCGTCTCAGGAGGAGGCGCCCAGACCGGAGCCCCTGGCCCCCGACCCCCCGCCGCCATGAGCTCCGCCTCCAGCGAGCCTGGTGACGGGGACGCAGCGGAGCGGTCCCAGCCGGGGCTGGACACTGTGATCCAGGTCAGTGGGCAGCTGCCCCCGGCACCTCCCGGGCTGGCGCCAAGGGCCCCTCGAGGGGACAGGGGCCCTGCAGAGGCCGTGCCTCCCCGGCTCCGGGGGCTCCCTGCCCGCGCTCGCGTGGTCAGCAAAGTCCCTGCCCGTGTGCCTGCGCGGGCGCAGACTGACCGGGGCGGGGCCGGAGGCCTGTGCCCGCGGACAAGCCAGGCTCCCAGCGGGGCGTGGGGCGCGGGGAGCCGAGGACCCTCCCGCCGACGGTCTGGACCCAGTTCACTACTCTCCCTGTGGCGAGTGTGGGGGCCGCCAGCCCTTCCCCAGAGGCGCTTGCCACCTCTGCCCCCGGGACTGTCCCCATATCTGTCCTGTGAGTTCCAGCAGCTCCGGTTCTGACTTCCTTAGCCTCACCCGCGTAACAACACCAACAGTGGCAGGGAGTTATGCCTGTGACCCTCCCCATCACCTCCCCGCTTGAGGGGGCCCCCGAACATGCCATTGAAGCCCGAGGCCCCACCCCTGGGGGCCCCCTCTGCCGTCACAGCCCCGCTGGCCTGGGGCCCAGGGAAGGCCATGCGGCGACTGAGCTGCTCGCCAGCTCAGCTCTTAGAACCTCAGGATGGGCTGCGGGGAACATGGCCCCACATAGAACCCAGGTCCCCGGGAAAGAGCACCTGTGCGCAGGCAGTGCTGGGCCGCTAGCCAGCGCCGTGGAGTCCCCACACACGTGTGCATGCACACGCGCGGGACAAGGGTGTCTGAGCAGGCGGTACGACGGGACAAGGGGTGGCGCTGGGCAGGTCTCGGCTCTCTGAGGCCCTGACGGGGGGCTGACTAGGGGTGGGTGGGAGCAGGGAGGGAGGCAGGGCTTACAGAGAGTTTCCAAGACTTTCAGCTGGTGTCCCGGGCGCCCTGTGACCCTGAGGGTTCCATCAACCCCTCTGGACTCGGGGAGACTGAGGCTCGAGGGCGGACACACGGGGCCGCGGTTGCAGGCGGCTTTGTGAGAGAAACACGGGACAGCGTCGACATCGGCAGTGGGCCCAGGCGTGTGGCACATGTGGCTGCCACGGGAAGCTGTCCTCTGAAGGCCCTGAGGAGCCCCGGGCGGGGCTGCTCCATCCGTCCGTCCATCCCACACCTGTTACTAGCACTGCGGCAACCGCAACCACGGTGCCGTTAGACCGGGGCGAGCAGGCGCCGTGGGTGGGGCCCAGACAGCCTGTCCAGATGGGGCAGCAGGGCAGCCGGCAGGGACACTGAGGTTCTAGGGCACCGTGCGGCGTAAGGACGGGGCCCCGTGGGTGACTGGGCCTGAGCCTGCCCCCCAGTGGGGAACCCTGCCGGCGCCCCGCCCGCTCCAGCCAGAGCCGCTGTCCATCCCATCTGAGCTCTGCCCCCACTCCCGCCCCTGCCCCGGGTCCATAAGTGACATCGGAATGGCAGAAGCCCTGGCCCGGACCCTCCTGGCCTGCTCAGGACCTTTACCAACACAAAGGCATGTGTGGACGTGGCCTGGGTGCGGCCCCACGTCCGCGAAGCCCTCCAGACGTGGCATGGAGGCGGCTTGCTGTGCCCGCCGCTCTCTGGCTCTTCACCGTTCCTGCCCGGGTCACTGCGAGCAGCTACCGGAGCGGTTTCCGGTTTGGCGTGCTACACAGGGCACCGCCATAAACACTCCAGACGTCGCTGGGCGCCGCACGTGTGCATCTCTGTTGGGGACCTGCCCAGGAGAGCAGAGGCTGGTCCCGGGCCGCACAAGGGCAGGTTTGGTGGACGCTGCGGAACGGGCGTCCAAAGAGGTTGCGCCTCCCGGCCGCGGCGGGCGGCGGGGCGGCGGCTGCCCACCCGGGCCACCGCGCGGTGCTCCCCGCGGTTCCCCTGTGCAGCCACGCGGCGAGCGCCCCGGGGTGACCCTGTGGTCTTACTCGTCACCTGCCTGGTGGCCAGCGGAGTGCACGCCCCTTGGGTGCCTTTGGTAGGTGTCTGCTCTAAACTTTTGCCCATTTTTTTTTCTGTTGTGGTGTCTTCCCTTTTTCATTGTTGATCTCAGTGTGGCTGTTTAAACGGGAAACAAGCCCTTTCTGAAGATGTGCACACCAGGCACCGCCTGTGGGCGGCCTCCCCCCAGCAACGGCGCCGTCCGTGAGCAGAAGCGCATTGCTGTCACGCGGCACGTTCGTCAGTGTCCCCCTTTCTGTCGGCGTCTGTGCGCGGCCCGAGACACACGCTGCGCCCACTGCAAGGCCACAGCGATGTCCTTCTGCTTCCTTGTAAAAGCCGCGCTGCTTTACTTTCCCCCTGAAATCTGCAATCCACGTGGAACTGATCTTTGCATGAGGCATGAGGCGGAGAGCGCCGCGCACTTCCTTCCGTGCGCGTGCCCAGTGGCCTGAGCCCTGCTTGGGAAACCAGCATGTGTGTGCAAGCGTGTGTGCGCATGTGTGAGTGTGCGCAAGCGTGTGCGCACGTGTGCAGGCTTTGGAGGCCCGTCCTGTGGCTTTGCTTCTCCCGTTCCCTCCTCCCGGCCACCTGACCCACGCCTCCGTAGTTTACTGCCCACGGCAACATTTCTGCCCGGAAGACCTAGAGTCTTGCGATCGTACAAGAGTAAATGGGTGACGGTCTCGTCTTCTGCAGCTGCTCCTCTAACTACGCACAGGAACACCTGCTCTGGCTGCTGGACCCTTGCGTACCCTTCAAGGCCCAGCTCGCCGGCCACCTCCTCCGGAAGCCTGCGTGGCACCGGCAGCCCAGGAACAAACATGACTGACAGGTCGTTGCCCTCCCCCGAGTTCCCTGATAGGAATCACTTTGCAGTTGGTGACACACAGCTGAGGCTGGGTTATCAGTCATTCGTGTAGTGACCTGTCAGAGCCCGTGGTGCACCACGCATCAGTCACGCCAGGGGCTGGGGTGGCGGCCCGCGGTGAATGAGACGTTGTCTCCCTCGTCCGCAGGCCCTGGAACAATGCCTGGATTGGGTCTCTCCTTTATTATCGGTTGAGGACCAAACTGCCCCCACAGGAAGCAGGACCCTGCCCAGGGCTCCAGGGCTCAGTGAGCCATCTAAACAGCAGGGCTGAGGGGCGGCCTGGTGGGGCCGGGTGCTGCCCAAGACAGACACAGAGAAACCTTCTCCCGAGGGGAGGGAGCCCGGCAGGCGGCCACCCCGGCCCAGGGCCCTCTCTGCAGCCACCAAGCGGCCGGAGGGTGGCAAGCAGGTGTCCGGTGGCCGGAGGCGCTGTCCTCGGCTGTGTTCCTCAGGCTGTGCCCACCCCTGGCTAGGGCCAGAGCTGCCGCCCACGCGTGCAGGGAGGCGCGGGGTGGGCCGCTGCAGAAAGGCTCGGGGCGCCGGAGCCGGTGGCGAGGGAGGAAGAAGGTGGGTGCTGCCCTCGCCGCTGCCTGGTCTGAGGGGGTGGGGGAATGCCTGAGGCCAGCGTGCCTGCTGGATCCTGGTCTCTGGCCCCTGGGAGGGTGCTGGCATGGTAGCCACCCTCGTTGGGGGCCCACAGGCTCGGGAGAGGACAGCCTTGAGCAAGTCCCCAACCCCCTCGCCCACAATGTGGAGGCGAGGAGCTGCTCTTTTGAGTCCAGGTGACAGATACGAAAACGTTTGCTGAGAAACCCTAAGCGGCGAGCCTCCTGCCTCACTGCACTTCGCGTTCCCGCGCGGTTCCCCTTTCCGTGGGGCGAGCCCGGCCAGCCTCCTGCAGCCCTCGCGGCAGCCACGCGGTGGCGCTGCTGGGCCTGCCTGCCCGGCCCAGGCCGGCCTCCCCGCGGCGACTCCCTGGCGCCTGGTTGAGCCGGGGCGTCCCCTAGACACCGGCTCTCCCAGGGCCTGCCACTGGGCTCCCCGGAGCCACCCAGGGGTCTCCGTAGTTTGGGTCTGGGCGTGGGGGGGGCCTAATCTTCCTGTCCGTAAGTCCTTGGGTCCCTTTCCGAATGCGTCCTCTTCCGGCCTGGGGAGCAGGCCGTCAGCGGTCTGCCCCTGCGCCCCTCGCAGCCAGGAGGCTCAGGAGAAGCCATGCGGGGCCCCGACGCTCGTCACCAGCGAGGGGAGAGGGTCAAACCGCTTTTACTGTGCGATTCCATCTCTGAGCTGCAAGCCCACCCGCCTGTTCCTCAGCCTCCTTCCGTCCCGGGGGGAGTCCCATAGACCCCACGCTGCCCTCCATCCAGCTGCCGGAGGGGGGGGCGTTCCTCTGGGACGCCCCCCCCCCGCCCCCGCCCGACACACGCTTTCACAGATGAGGCTGCCCGCAGGCTGAGGGCAGTCGGCACACCCACGGCCACGCAGGGCCCCAGCCCAGGCCTCCCACAGCTGTGACGCGGGGCGGGGCGGGGGGCTCCCCCGGGTGGCGCTGCCCCTCCACAGCCACGACGGAGGGGCGGGTGCCGTGGGAGCAGCCGCACCACCGGTCACACTCGGACGCCCTCTGGGACCGGGGTGACCCTCCGGGCCCCGGGCCACCGGGTGCCCGCAGAGCTGTGACCGCGCTGCGTCTAGAGCTCAGGTTACCGGAGGAGGGCGCTGGGGAGGCGGAGGAAGGACATGACCGGGCTCAACCGTGCTTCGGGGTCTTTGGAGAAACGGAGTCCAGCCCGGCGTCCCCTCCGGCCGACCCAGGGTCCCGTAGTGGCGCCTGGGAGTCTCCCGGTGCGCGGCCTGCACAGCGGACTGACACCCTGCAGGGCCCGGCCAGGAAGCGAGCGGCCTGGAAGCAGGGCCCGCGCCCGCCCTGTGGAGACGGGAACCCGCTGTGAGCCCCCGGGGCCAGACGCGCGCCGGCCAGAAGACGGTGGCCAGCGGTGGGGTCCAGGTGGAGCTCTGAGCAGGCCCCCCGGCCGGGGACCCAGCCCCTCCCGCGATCCACCCGCTGAGGCCCCTCCCACTCGTCGCCCCGCCCAGTCCTCCTCGCCCCGCCCCCTCCCAGTCTTCCCCTCCTCCGCCGTTTCCGCGGGGGCGGGGCGGCCTCACCCCCGCGGGTCCGGGACAGGAGGGGCCGAGCACCCCCTACGCACCGCCCCCGCCGCGCCCCCTCGGCTCCAGCTGGGCCGCGGCCCGTCGCAGGCACCCGGCCACAGCTGGAACCCATTAGGCCCCCGCGCCTCTGGGGACGCCCCGGCTAATAAGTGACCCTCTGTGCACGCAGGAATGAGTCAAGTTCGGGCCGCGCTGCCGCTTTCCCGTTACGGGTGGCGCCGCGGACGCCCGGGGGAGCGGAGGGGCCGGGCAGGGGGCCAGGGGCAGAGGCCTTCCGGGCCCAGGAGGAGGCTTCCTGGACGGGGCCGTGCCGCGGCCCGGGGGTCCTCGCCACCCCTGGGCCCCAGTTTCCCCGGGGCGCCTCCCGGGTGCACGGCCGGCCGCGGCTGAGCGCCGCCCCCGCCGTCCTCCCGGGAGGACCGCAGAGGCGGCGGTGGTCTTGGCACCGGGTTCTCCTTGGCCCGAGGAGTGGCAGGCACGTCTCCCGCCCCGCAGTGGAGGCTGCTCCCGCCCACCCGGGCTCCGCTCGGGCTGGAGGGGGTCGTGTGGGGGATGTAGAGCGAAGGCGACTCCCCAAGGCCTCCCAGGGGACTGACATTCAAACTCAGGAGAAGCAAGGCTCCAGCCTACCGCGGGGCTGGGCTCCAGGGGAGGGGGACCGGTGGTGGCTGTCCCTACCACCCCCGGCAGCATCTGTCCAGGTGGCCCAGCCTGGGCTGCCGCTGGGGGCCCGAGGCGGCTTCCCCAGCTGCCCTGCAGGTTCGGGGTAACGGTGGCAGTCTGGTCCTGATAGAGAGTTGGGGGGCGGGGGGCCAGGGAGTGGTGGAGGCGGGTGTGGGTGGAAGGCTCCCTTCTGGGGTCTCAGGAGAGGGGACGGGTGAGCGTGAGCCAGGGCCAGCAGGAAGCGGTCCGCTCCCAGCAGCCCGGGGCCGGGCCAGAGCCCAGCAGGGGTTCTGGATGGGAGAGGGTGTCCAGGCAGCGCTGGGGAGGTGTCAGAGGACGGAGGACAGGCTGGGGGGCGGGGGGGCGAGCTGCTGGTGGCGCCCCAGGACGTGGGGCTGGCAGGGAGATGCGGGGCGTCCCGGGAGGGGGATCTGTGGCTCTGAGGGCCCAGGACGGGGCGTCCCGGGAGGGGACTCCTGGGCTGACCGTCCCAAGTTTGGAAAGTCTGGGACTTGTGTCGGGGGCGACAGCAGGACCCCGGTTTGCCACCCTGGAGTCGCAAGGAGTGGCCATCCGTCCCCAGAGCCCCCGGGAAGCGTCGGGACATCCCGGATGTGGCAGGGCAGGCGCTGAGACCTGTCCCGCTCCTGAGTGACCTGATCCGGCCCTGCCGGACTGGTCCAGAGGTTTCTGGCTGGTTTGAAATGGCTGCCACCCCGCCCCACGTTCACCGGCCCTGAGGGTCCTCCCCACAGTCAGCACCACAGTGAGACCTGGACATAGGGGCACCCCCAGGCCGGGCCCTCCCAGGCGAGCAGAAGGTCCCCAGGCCAAGGCAGAGGGCCAGCCCTGAGCCAGAGGCTCCCCAGGGCCCGAACACCCTGCCGAGTACAGGCCGTGGCCTCCTCCACGGCAGGTCAGCTGCTCCTGAGGCTGGGAAGGGGCCCTGCCCGCAGCTGCCCCGCCCGCGTGCCCTCCCAGGCCCACTGGTGCCCACAGGGCTGGCCTTGTTCAGAAGGGGGGGGCAGAGCCTCTGTCCTGACGCCAGTGCCTGCCCCTCCCCCACAGCCCCCTGTGGAAACCCCTGACCCCCCGCTGCAGGTGGGTGGGCGGGGCATGTGCGGGGCCGCGGGCCCAGGGGGCGCCTGCCTCCCTGCATCCCTGTGGCGGCAGAGGGGGGCAGTGTCAGAGGGCAGGGCGTGCGGAGGACCTAGTCTAGCTGTCCTGGGACTGGTCCTTCCTGGTACTTCCTCACTGGTGCCACACGCAGCGTCTGGCAGGCAGGGTGCCACCCACTGTACAGGTCGGGGGACCAAGGCACGTGTCTTGGGCAACTGCAGCCTTGCCCAGTCCTCTCGGGGCATTTTGCTGCCGTGGGGAGCCCTGTGGTCAGCCCGCTGCCCCCGCTAACTGCACTGGGCTCACAGGAGGGCGCCCAGCAGCTGTCCGGGGGCCTGGCAGCCCCAGGTGTCTCCAGCTGGGTGTTTTTCAGAGACTGGAGGACACTGTCCTGAGTCCCACGGCCAGCAGAGAGGACCGGGCGCTGACCGTGCGCGGGGGAGACTGGCGGGCCTCGCCCACCCCCCTGCCCGCCCGCATCCGGGAGATTGTGGCCGGCAGCCTGGGCGAGGAGCCGCCCCAAGGTGAACAGAGCCGGGGCGGGGGCTGCTCCACCACCAGCTGGAGCCCCGCTTCGGGGAGCCGAACCCCCGCTGTCCCCGACCGGTCCCCTGCAGGCCTGCCGTCTTCCGGGGTGAAAGGCCACCCAACCACACCCTCCCAGAGGGTGGACGAGGGGCCCTGTGTGCACACCCCCAGCGTCCCCACCGCCAGGCCACGGGGACCCTCCCAAGCCAGCCCTGCGTTTATTTGTGTTTGTGACACATTTGTGACCTCCAGTCTTGACTTCACCCACATTTGTTTTTCATTCGATGAGTGAAGCCCTTATAGCTGATGCTCACAAAACACAGATGCTCATCGGCCCCCCATCCCCACCCCAAAAGCTCCGCTCACCCAGCCCTGCTGGCCCCTCGAGGTGCCTGCTCGCTGTCACGCTCAGCAGCTGAGGAGCTGGCTCCACGGCCGGGCTCCTGCCCCCAGGCCACTGGCCGTGCGGCACCTGGCCCCAGGGCACACCCACGGCTCCGCGCCAGCCCGGCACCCCCCTGCGTGGGTCCCCGGGCCCCCTCTGTACGGACTTAGGGCCCGTCCCATCCCCTAAAGGAACGGGGAGCTTGCGACATGTGCTAAGGAAAGAGAAACCCCGGGTGCGGTGTGAAGCCCCTCGGTCTGAGGAGACCCGATGGTCGAGTCAGCCATTCCCACGGCTCCCTAGGGCGGGGCACCCCCACTCCTCTGTGGCTGCTTGGGGCTCACCCTGGGCACGGGCTGCATTTGGGGGAGGGTGTTGGTAGACGGTGGGGAGACGGCCCACCGGCCGGAGCGCAGGCCCCCAGTGGGAGACCCACCTCCGCTCCAGGCCCCGGCCAGAGCAGCCACGGTGCCGCTGCAGGGACAGGGTGCAGGGGTCGTGCTGCCCCCAGGCTGACCCCGCGCCTGCCTGCAGGGGAGCGGGAGCCGGCTGCCCCGGCCGCCGCGCAGGAGGAGCGCGAGCTGCTGCAGGAACAGCTGGCCCGGCTGGAGGGCCTGCTGGCCCAGGTGGGCACCGCGCGGGACGAGCTGGCCGGCAGGCACCACGCGGTCCGCGAGCGGGTAGGTGTGCGCCGTGGGCTGCCACAGGCCGGAGTGGGGCGCCTGGCCCAGGGCAAGGTGTCTCCCGCTGGGAGCAGCCGTCGGACCCGCGGGACCACCAGCAAGTCCTAGGCTGTGCATCAGCCACGCAGTCCACCCCTAGGCGGCAATGGGGAAATCGAGGCTGGAGGTGGGAGGAGGGGGCAGGGCGGGTGCCGGGCGGCGAAGGCACTGATTGTGCCGCCTGTCCCAGGGCCCCACGGGGCGGCCTGGTCAGTCCTGACTGTTGGCACAGCGCCGGGCCCGGGGGAGCCAGCGCCGGCGCTCAGCCAGCGCCTGCGGGGAGGGGGGCCAGGCCGGAGGCAGACCGGAGGGACCGAGCCCTTTGCAGCCCCGCGGAGGACTCGGCCCCGCCCACCCTCAGCAGCTGGTGGAGAGTTGGCTGTGTCCCCAGCCCCCACCCCTTCCCGGCAGCTGAGGAACAGCTGTGACCCCGGCCTGGGGGCCTCCGCCTCTGAGCCTCTGGGGTGACCAGCGAGCTGAGCAAGAGGCCTGTGTGGCCATGGGGTGTGGAGCTGGGGGCCTCCGCTGTGTGTGCGGCGAGGCCGAGGCAGAGCGCAGAAGACGCCGCCCCAGCCCCTGTCCGGTGTCGGCCCCGATGCGGGGTGGGCGGCGGGGGCCCAGCCCACAGGGTGGGGGCTCGGAGGCTGCCTTCAGAGCCCCCTCCCTCTGTGGGGCCAGAGCACCAACCCCACGTTCCAGATGGGGAAACAGGCTCAGAGTGGGCCAGGGCCGCCCAGGGCCTGTGCTAAGTGCCCCGGGGCCCGGACACTCTGCCTGACCCCAACACTGGGGACACCTGTTCTCACGGTTCCCGGGGCAGGGCTGTGAGGGCAGAGTCCTTCCCAGGGGGCCGGCCCCAAACGCCCGGAGAGCATGCAGTGAGCTCCTGTCCTCCCCGGCGGCAGCGGGCCGCTGGCCGCGGGGGAGGGGGTGTTCCTAGCACAGGGTGGGGAGATGTTGGGAACGGGCGGGGGGAACAGATGCCGCAGGAATTCTGCGGGCAGATTAGTAACCCCGTGAGTCAGCCTGAGCTCGCGGAGCCCGCAGCTCAGCACACGCTGCGCCCGGGTGCAGCACCAGCAGCAGCTGAGCCTCCCCCAAGTGCCCCGGGCGGGTGGGGGTCCGGTGGCCGGTGTGACTGCTTCCTGGTGTCCCCAGCCCTGGTGGTAGCCCCTGCCCCCGCTCCTGGATCCACCTAGGACTTCCGCCCCTCCCCTCTCCTCTGGCGGGTGGCTGAGGAGGGGACACACCTCCGCACACACCTGTCCCCAGGTCCCCAGGTCAGGCCACAGGCCTGGCCCCCAGCTGTCCTGACCTCCCTAGCTCTCAGCCCCCCTCCAGCCGGCCTTTGGGGCGCGAGTCCTCCCCGATACCCCAAAGTGTGCTCAGTCAGTACTTCCGGGGGCCAGCAGCCCCTGCTCTCTCTGGGCGCCCGGGTCCCCATCTGCCCAGCTCTGGGGCGGGCCTGGCTCACACGTGGGGGTGGTCGCTGCCCGCCAGCTGGATGAGGCAGTGGCGCCAGCATAGTAGGCAGGAGGGGCAGCTGGAGGGGGCGCCCCACGGTTGGTTGCTCTCATAGGGGCGCCCCCAGGCCTGCTCTGCAACGGCCGTCCTGCCCCTTACGTGGCCGGTCCCGACCCTCGAGGCCCCCGCCTAAGCCGGCTGCACACCCGCGGCACTCAGACAGGGTGCGGACCCCCCACCTCTGACCAGCCGTGGGGCGGGGCCTGAGCCCCCCCGCCCCCGCCCCCGCCCCCGCCCGCCCCGGCCCTGCAGGGCGCCCAGGGAGCCCAGTCTCTTCCTCCTGGTGGGCCAACGCCCCCCTCCAGCTGCAGGCCCGGCTGCGGACCACGGAGGCCCGGCTGCGGAAGTCAGAGCTGGAGCACAGCATGGACCTGGAGGAGGCCCTGGGCCGCCTGGAGGCCGCGGAGCAGAGGTGAGGCTGGGCCGGGGAGCTCGGCCGTCACCCCAAGAGGCCACGGGCCCCACAGGGCCTCGGGGCTGTGGGTCATCCTCTTTCCTAAGCGGCCCTCAGGCGAATGTGCCTGTAGGAGGCGGCTCCAGGCTTCAGGGCTGGGAGCCGGGCGGAGGGAGACAGGGGAAGGGGGGCAGGGCAGGGTGGGGAGTGGGACCCTCCGCCGTGGCCTCGGCCTGGGGCACAGGCCCCACAGGCCCTGGGAGGCTCCCTGGCCCTGCTTTCCCGAGCGTGGTCCCCGACGTCGGCTGAGGCGGGAGCTCTGGCCCCTGAGTGGGCTGTGGCCCTGGGTGGCCCAGCCCGTCCCAGGCGCCCCTGGCGCTGCCCCGAGCCCACGCTCCTCGCGCTCTGGCCGGGCTCCCAGGCCCTCGGGCCTCCAGCTGCTCTGACTTCGCGGTCAGGGGCTCATTTGTTCACCACGGGGGACGCGTGTGACCCCAGCCCCCAGAGGCAGCCCCTGACCCCCTGACCCACTGACCCCCTGACCCGCTGACCCCTGGCCCCGGGACGCGGCCCCGGAAGGGCAGGGCAGGGCGCCCCTCCAGCACTCCGCCCGGCACTGCCCGCAGCCCTGGGGAGGCGCCCCTTCCCGCGCGGCCTCCTCAGGGCCTGGAAAGGGAGGAGAGTGCTGGGAAGCCGTTTGAAATCCGGAGCTTTCCGGGGGGTGACCCAAGCGCAGGCTCACGCCCCAGGGCAGGGAACCCGCTGCTGTGGCCTGGCGGGCTGCCACGGGGTGCCGGCCCGGGGGGCGGGTCACCCCAACCCGGGGGATTTGGTGTCCCTGAGGTGCAGCCACGCATGGACCCGCCCTGGGTGGAGAGGGCCCGCAGGCCACGGTGAGGGGACCGCCCCTTCCTGTCCCCACCTGCCCCGCTGCAGGGACACCCCCAGCCTGCCCCCTTGCTTGTCTTGGGGTTCACGCTGCACCCGGGACTGGAGGGCCAGCCTCGGCTGTGGAGGCCGAACCAGGAGAGCTTGTGGGGGGAGCAGGGTGGCACCCAGATGCTGGCCCTGGTGGGGGGCCGCGGGGGACGGGGTGGGGGCGGCACCCTGACCCAGCGTCGCTGGGTCTCGGAGCCTCTCCGAGCAGAGCCCCGGCCCATGCCCTGCGGCCCCGCCGTGCAGGAGCACCGGCCTCTCCCAGGTGAACGCGCTTCTCAGGGAGCAGCTGGCGCGCATGCAGAAGGCCAACGACGCCCTGGCCGAGGAGCTGGCCCGGGCGACGGGCAGCGTGCTCCGCCTGCAGGCCCAGACACAGGTGCCTCCTCCGCCTCCGCCCTGCGGGGACACCTGCTCCGCGCCGGGGCTGAGGGGGTGGGGCTGGCCTCCCGCCTCACCACATGCCCCCTCCCGCGGCGTGGCCTCAGCGGGCAGAGGAGGCCCCAGGGCCGCAGACTCTCTCACTGAGAGAAGGAGGGCAGGACCCCGAGATCAGCTCTGGAAAGCAGGGACAGGCCCAAGTCCTGGCTCCGGCAGGCCCCCGCCCCGGCCAGACCACGGCAGTGCCCCCACCGCCCCTACCCCTGGCCCGGGCAGCAGGGCCCGAAGCCTTGGCTGGCCAGTTTTCTCGAATCCTAAGTCCTTCAGGGGGTCCGAGTGTCCCCAGGGCCAGGCCGCACCCCTGGAGCCTCAGGAGCCCTCCCCGGGCAGAGCTGGAGAGGTGCCTGAGCTGGGGCCAGGCCTCCGGGCTGCAGGATGGAGTAAGGGGTGGGGGCCGGGCCAGTGGCCCCTGAGGGAACAGGCGGTGGGAGGGAGAGGGGTGTGCGGGGGCCTCACCTCCCGGGCCCCTCCTTCCAGCCCCGGCCGCGGCTGCGCCTCCGGGAGCGGCCCCGGGACCTCCTCCTCCTGTGGAGACAGGTGGCAGCGCTGCGGGCGCCCCTGGCTGAGCTGCGGTCAGCCGCCGAGAGGTGAGCCGCCCGCCCACCTGCCCGCCAGGGTGGGGAGAAGGGGCATCTGGTAGCGGCCCGGGCGCTGGGCCCTGCAGGCTGCTCCCACGGGCGCAGCCGTCCAGCTCCCCAGCACCGTCCCCAGCCCTGCAGGACCTCGGGGGCCCCGTGGATGAGCAGGCAGGGCCGGAGGGCAGTCGGGACAGGGCGGGGGAGGTGAGGGTGCAGGACAGAGGCGAGAGGAGGGAGGAGCCTCCGAGGCGCAGCCCCCGGGCACCTCCCGGCTCCATCCGGGCGACTGAGCACCTATCAGCTCCCCATTTGCACACGAGGGAGCTGGGCTCGGAGGGTCCACACCCTCTGCAGCCTTGCCCAGCCCCCGCCCACCCCTCCCCGCGGAGACGGGGGGCAGTTGATAGCACATGGTAGGGGCCTCCCCTGAGGAGGGGTGAGGGCCCCGAGCAGGGCACCTGTGCCCAGGCCCCGCCTCGCCCGGCCAGTGTGGCACCTCCCGGGCCCCTGCCCACAGCTGGGGTGCTGCCTTGTCCCCAGGGGCCTGGCTGACCTGCGAGCAGACGCGGCCGGGACAGCCCGACGCCTGCGCACGGCCTGCTTGAGCCTCGACCCCGGCCTGTGGCTGTCGGCCGGCGGCGCGGTGGGCGCCCTGGAGCAGCGGCTGCGGGACAAGGCACGGGAGATCCGGTGCCTGCGGGCCAGGTGGGCACCCGAGCCGAGGCAGGGGTCGGAGCGGGGCCCCGCGCGCCCCTTTCCTGTCTGCCCCGCAGCTGGGGCTCCGAGTGGCGGGCGGTCCCTCCGGCCGACAGGCGCGCCCTGCTCTGTAGCCAGCCCTGGAGGCCACAGTGAGAGCCCCCAGCTTGGAGGGTCTCCGTGGGCTCGGCCATGCTCACGTGCACCGGCCTCGTGGCTCGGTCCCAGAGGTGGAGTTTTCAGGCCTCAAAGCAGGACCTTCAGGGGCCAGCGCTGTTTTGGGTCGGACAGGCCGGGGGAGGACGCGCGGGAGGGTCTGCGTACAGAATCTGCGTCTCGGCCTTGAAGTCTGTTTCCTTCAGCAGAAAACGGGGAGACAGTTCCCCACTGAAGGCCACAGCGCATGGTTCTGCAGGACCCAGGGCCCGGGGTTCACGTGGCCACGGACGCCTCGTCAGGCTGCCGGGCCGGGGTCCGCCCTGCCCTCAGGGGCCGGGAGCATGTGGGGTGCGCCCAGGGCCTGAGCAGGGTCTCCTGAGGCCACGAGAGGGGAGGCCCAGGTGCCCCAGGGGAGCCAGGGGCCTTTCAGAAGAAGGGAGTCCTGGGAAGGAAGGGACCGCGCCACTGTCGCCCACTGTGAGGCGTATGGTGGCAGAGGCGGGCCAAGGCCCGAGGCAGCACCGTGCTTGCCGTGCCCCAGGCACAGGCAGGGCCTCCGGAGCCGCTGGCCCTGAGGCGGGAGCTGAGTCAGGGTCAGCGCGGGGACCTCAGATGCTGACCTTGGGGTCTGCGCTTTGCTGCCAAGACAGCAGGAGCCGTGGCAGGTCCCGGAGTCAGGGAAGGCTTCCGATGAGGCCCACGAGACAGGCGTGGCCAGAGCCCGCGGCCCAGCCTCACCGGGAGGTGTCCGGTGCAGCCAGGGCGTCAGAGGGCCTGCCAAGCCCTGGGCTGGTGCCCTGCGCTGACCCCTCTGCCCCCCCTCCCCGTGCCCCCGGCTTTTCTGCAGACTCTCCGAGCAGACACTGCTGGTGGAGAAGCTCACAGAGCAAAACTCAAGGAAGGAGAGGACCATCTCCTCCCTCAGGGGGGACGTTCAGAGGCTGGTGCGCGGGGCTGGGGAAGCGGCGGCCTGGGCAGAGGCGCCTGCTGCCTGGCTAAGGCTCGCCTGTTGCAGGCGTCCCAGCGCCGCGGAGGCCGGCTGGCGGCCGACGGCGTGGAGGGCCAAGTGGAGTCCCTGCGGCGTGTCCTGGACGTCATCACGGAGGTGGGCCCACCTCGCCTCGGGGCTTCCCCTGAAGGTCCCGTTGGGCGTGGCCCTGAGCGCTGTCCCCGCACAATGCAGGTGGCCCAGGCGGACTCGGGGTCCCCGGCGCTGGCGCAGAGCAGCCGCACGGACAGGCAGGGGGCACTGAGTCCGCTGAGGAGCCCCCCACGCACCTGGTCCCCTCGCTGGGGCCCGTCCCCACCACGGTCCCGCTCCCCGGCCGCCCTGGACCCCGCGCTGCAGGCCGTGCAGGCAGCGCTCACGAGGCGGCGGCAGCAGGAGCAGGTGGGCGGCCACCGCAGGGCTGCATTCGGTCCCCAAGCGGGTGCGACGCCCGTGGGGCTGGCAGGCGGAGCCGCAGGGCCTGCCCCTGAGCCCACGGCCTCTGGAGGGGCTCCGTCCACAGCGCCTCCTTCCTGGGGGGGTCGGTCTGTTCGAAGGCCGGAGGGGACTCATGCCACTGCCCGCCCCGAGCAGGAGCTGCGCGTGCAGCTGGAGTCCTTGCAGGCGGTGGCGGCCGGGCTCCGGGAGCAGCTGGCGGCGTGGCAGCGGGAGCTGCAGGCCTCACGGAGGGCCCTGCAGCAGCGGGAGCAGGAGCGCGAGGGCCTCCTGGACAGGCTGGAGGCGCAGCGGCTGGAAGCGCAGCGGCAGGAGGCGGCCCACGAGCTCCTGAGGAGGTGGCGCACGGAGCCAGGGCGGGAGGGCGGGCGGAACCAGTGTCCAGCCCCCGGCGCTTCCTGCACCGCAGGATGAGGCGCGTCTCCCTGACAGATCCTGCCCCTGCCAGGCTGCCCGCCCCAGTGCCTCGCCCCTCACCTGGGCACCCCGCACCCCCTCCGCTGCTTCCCAAGTGCTGCAAGCCCACCCTGTTTCCACGCCGCCCTCCCTGGAGCAGGCTGTCTCCCTCCTCCCCCGCCCCCAGGACTCCTTGGGGCTTCTCCGTCCTTCAGAAATGGCCCACATAGCCCCTGCCCCTTTCCCTGCCATCCACCGGGGTGGCCCACGTGCCCTCCTGGCATGTCCTGTGGTCTTGTGGCCATGGTGCCATCAGCATTGTGGCTCTCTGGATGCTTGTGTGCGCCACACCTCACAGGCCGTCCTGGGGCTGGAGGTGGCGGGGTCTGCCTCGCCCTCCGCGCGCTTCCCTGAGCTCCTGCCCCCAGCAGCCCCCACACCTGGCGCCCCCTCCCGAATGTGCCCAGAGAGGGTCGCCCTGCTCCCCTCCCCCAGCGCTGCCCCAACCTCGGCCTCTCTGCGCCCAGAGAGAAGGCGGCTCTGGCGGTGGAGGTGGAGGAGCTGCGGGCCCAGGCGGGCATCTGGGACGCGGACAAGCAGAGGCTGGAGGCGGAGACCGCGGAGCTGCAGAGGCGCCTCCTGCTCTGGGCACAGCAGGAGGGGGAGCTGGAGACCAGGTGGGCGGGCCTCAACATCCTCACCCACGGAGGGGACCCCTTCCTTGGAGCCTTGGCTGGGGGAGGCTCCCCCGGCTCCCTCCAAGCTGGGCCATCACCCCGACGCCCACCCAGCATCTGCCCAGCGCCTGTCCCGGAAGCTCCACTCCTCAGGCCCAGGATGGGGGCATCCCAAGCAGGCGCCACAGGCGTCACCCAGGCGAGTCCACTCCGGCGTGGACAGAGAGCTTCCCCCGCCCCGCCCCGCCCGCCCCGCGCCGGGACACAGGGTCCTGGTGTGGATGCCACTCTGTGGACTCGCCAAGTTGGGGCCTCCGAGTGACTGGGGGCTCCCCTGGGGCTCCCTGGGCTTGGAGGGAGTGGCAGGCAGCCTCTCTGCCCCTGGGGCTGTGAGGGGGCCTGCCCGGCCCTGCACCGACCTCAGCCCTCGGCCTCTGACTTGGCTTCAGCCAAGGGCGCCTGGAGCAGCTGGAGGAGGAGGTCTCGGGGCTCCAGACGGAGCTGCTGTCAGCCCGGGAGGCGCTGACCACGGCCCAGCTGCAGGGGGACACCCTGGGGAGCGAGAGAGCGGCGCTGCAAGGCGCCCTGGCCCGGGTAGGCCCCCGCGCGCCCCCACGTGCCCCCGCGCGCCCCCGCGTGCCCCCACTGTGCCCCCGCGCGCCCCCGCGTGCCCCCGCGCGCCCCGCGCGCCCCCACGCACCCCCGCGCGCCCCCGTGTGCCCCCGCGCGCCCCGACGCGCCCCCCCGCGCCCCCACGCGCCCCCACGTGCCCCCGCGCGCCCCCGCGCGCCCCCTGCGCCCCCGCGCGCCCCCAGGTGCCCCCGCGCGCCCCCGCGCGCCCCGCGCGCCCCCTGTGCCCCCACGTGCCCCCGCGCGCCCCCACGCGCCCCCGCGCGCCCCCCTGTGCCCCGCGCGCCCCCGCGCGCCCCCACGCGCCCCCGTGTGCCCCCACGCGCCCCCGTGTGCCCCACCCCCGCCACCAGGCCCCCCTGCCACCTCCCCCGGCTGCAGCTTCCGTACCCGCCAGGCTGCTGTCTCCCTCTGAGGCCCCCCACGGTGGGACCCCCTCCCCGTCCCAGGCCTCCGGCTTGCACGCCTCCACGACGGGGGTGGGGGGGCTCACTCCCCCCTTCCCTGGCACCAACAGCTCTGCCTGAGGGAAGGTTCTGCCCGTGAATCCGAGAGTCCCTCCCGGTGTCCCCCTCAGGGTGACCGCTGCCCTCTCCCCGCCCCAGGCCGAGTCCGGCAAGGCTGACCTGGAGGTGCTGGTGACCCGGCTGAAGTCAGAGGGGGCGCAGCAGCGGGACGCCCTGGCCAGCATGGCCGCCCTGATGGAGGGCCTGGCCCAGGACAAAGGCGCCCTGACCCACCAGGTGCTGCAGGTGAGGCGAGGGCCCAGGTGGCCGTGGGACTCAGTGCCCACCCTGGCCTCGGAGCCCAGGGCCCCCCCGCACCCGACACGCCCCGCCTTCCCCATTCCCGGACTGAGCGCGGGTTTGTGGGGGAGCGGCCCACACAGGGACAGGGAGCCTGACCGGCCTGGCCCGCAGGGCAGGCAGCGGGGCGTGGTCAGCCCGCGGGGCGTGGGTGCGCGGGGCGTGGCCTGGACGCCGACCGCTCCCCTCAACCCTGGGCAGCTGCAAGAGGCGCAGGACCAGCTGCGGGAACAGGAGCGGGCGCTGAGGCAGGAGCAGGCAGGCACCCGCGAGCGGCTGGAGCAGCTGGAGGGGCAGGTGGGCCAGGTGAGAGCTTCGCAGGGGTTCCTGGCTCCGCCCCACCCTGCAGGGCCACCCCTTCCTCTCTGGAGGGTGGACAGGTCACAGGTCACGCTGGCTCAGGACGTCAGCAGCAGCGCTTTCGACCTCAGCGCTGACTGACCTTGGCTGCAACCGAAGGGCAGCTTCCCCGCACTGGGGGCCGGGGGGACAGGTAGGCAAGGGAGGCCCTTGACATCGTGCCTGTCCCCAGTCCCCAGGGTCAGGTTCTGCCCTCAAGGGGGTCAGAGGCCCATGGTCCTCCCACGCGGCGACGGGGCGCTCGCTGCTTCCTGCAGGGAGTCGCTTCTCGCCCAGCTGGGCTCACTCTCTCGCCTGAGTCCCCCAACCCATCGCCGTGGTCTTGTGTTGAAGAGGAGACCACACTCGGGCCGGGGGGTCACACTGAAGCAGTTGTGCTCTCTTCTGGGCCCCCCGTGGCCCCAGACTCGGTGGCCCCTGTCACCTCTGCGTCCCAGCGCAGCCCCTTCCGGTTCCTCAGACTCGGTCCCCTCTCTTTTTCGGTCACCTGTTTCCTCTGCGTTCAGTTACAGCGTTCTAGTCAGTGCGCCAGCGTGCGGCTCAGCGAGGCAGGACGCCAGCACGCACCCCTGCAGCCGAGGCCCAAATGCGCACCCGCCCCCCGCCCAGCAGGCCCCCGCGCCCCTCCGTCACGCCCGGCCCCGCAGCCTCCGCTCTGCCGCGGGCCAGCGCCCCCGGCCCCTGCTTCAGAGCCTCTTGTCGATGGAGTTACAGCGCAGGCGCCTTTGCGTCCAGCTTACCTCTTCCGACAGGTCTTTGAGCGTCATCCACGTTCTTCGGTGAATCGAGAACGTGTTCTTTGTCACCGCACCGTAGCATTCCCTTGCAGAATAAGCCACATTCGTGTACCCATCCCCCGGCGGCTGGGCGTTGGGGGTGTTTCTGGCTTGGGGCTGAAATGGACAAGACTGTTATGAACGCTTGTGTCTACATCTCATTGCTTTTGGGCAAAAGCACAGGAGTGAAGTTGTGGAGTCATGGGGGAGGTGTGTGTTGAACTTGATAGGAACCCGCCGAGCCGCTTTCCCGAGTGGGCCCATTACTTTGCCCCTGGGCAGCAGCGCGGAGACTCCAGCTGCCCTGGGCCTCGTCGGCCCTTGGCATCACCCGCTGTTGCTTGTGCATGATTCCACGTGTGTGGAGTTACGTATCGTGGTGGTTTATTTGCATTTCCTGATGACAAGGGACTTCAGGCACGTTTTCATGTTGTCTGGGAATAACGGCAGCTCTTTATGGTCTCAGTGCCTTTGTTTCTTCTTCCCTGAACATGCTGGGAAGACGGGAAGCGTGTCGCCCAGGCGCGGTGAGGGCGGTGGGCGCGGGGGGGCGGGGCTCAGCATCTCGCCCCCTGGGCGGTGTTTTCTGCAGGCGTTTCAGAGGTGCCCCTCCTCTGGCCGGCATGTTCCCTTTTACTCCTACTCTGCTGACAAGCGTTTCTTATTTTAATCATGAATGGGTTTTGAATTTTGTTAAACACTATTTTTCTGTATCTATTAATATGATCATGTCATTATCCTCATTCTGTTAATGTGGTGCATTTTATTGATTGATGTTTTAATGTCAGTCCAACTTTGTATACCTGAGGAAGACCCTACTCGGTCATAAGTGAATAGATATTTTATAAATTTGTCAAGTAAATTCTATAATGTTTTTGAGGGATTTTTGCGTGTACATTCATGAGTAACATCGCTTTGTAATTCTATTTTCTCGTAATGTTTTTGTCAGATTTGGAATCAGGGCCCCATAAAGTAGGTTGGGAAGTGTTTCCTCCCCCTCTGTTTCCCGGGAGTGCCTTCGCATTGGTGTTGTGCCCTTCTAACCGCTGGTAGAACTCTCTAGTGAAGCTGTTTGGACCTGGAGTTCCCTTTGTGAGGGAGGGTTCGGTAATGAATTCAGTCTCTCGAACAGACACGGGCTCCCCGGGCCCCCTGCTTCTCCGGCTGCGTGTTGTGCTTGTCCTCAGCTCCCGAGGCCCAGAGCCTGGTATGGGGGCCTTCCCAGACACGCAGGTGGGGTGTTGTGCACATTCGCTAGCTGCTCTAGAGGGGGGGTCGATCTTCAATAGTCTCCTTCGCCAGTATCAGGAGCAGAAAGTGCTGGTCTTCAAGCCTGAAGACTGCTTCCGCGGGGCATGGGACGCTGGGGCAGCCATGGATCCTGCGCAGCGTTTTGACGGATTCATTCCACCGCCCTCTGACCTTCACTGTTGTGTTTGGAAGTCAAATGTCCGTCTTACTGTTGCTCATTTAAATGTAATGTTTGTGAGGTTTTTTGCCCCTCTGATTTTTAGATAGTTTCCTTTATTCTGGTGTTCAGAAGCTGAGTGCTAAGATAGAGCTATGCAACATTTTCTTTGTATTTACCTTTGTAGGGTATCATGGCTCATTGTAAATCTGCAGCTTGGTGATGTATCAGATTTGCAAAATTCCTGTCCAGTATCTGTTCAAATGTTCTCTCTCCTCTCCCTCTGAGACTCTAATTATACGCATGTTGGGCCTTGTCCTGTGTGTCTGTTACACACTTTTCTGTATTTCCATCCTTTTTTCTCTTCATGATTCAGTCTGAACACATTATTTTGTGGATTTTTCCAGATTATCAGTCTTCGATGTTGTCTAATATGTCCCGGGGTATCATCTTTTTAAAGTATGTTGTTTATATTTAGTTTCTGGTTCAATGGTGAAATTCTACGTCTTGCCATTGGCCTCCTTGAGCGTTACTCGCAGCTGTTTCAGTCTGTGTGTGAGAACTTCAGGGAGGCAAGGAGGTGCCTGTGTTTACTTGATATTCTTACATGTGGTTTTTGCTGTACGATCTTATCTCCTGATAAGCCTGGTAATGCCGATCAACTGTCACATATCTCGTATTTAAAACTATAGAAATGATTCCATGGGAGCTGCTCTCCCATGGGGACGCGCCCTGGACTCCGATGCGGCCGGGGCGGGCGACCACCGCGCTCCGTGACCAAGGGCGGCCCTGCCGGGGGTGCCACTGGAACCGGGCGCTTCTCAGGGCCCTTCCGCTGCTGCGGTGGCTCTGAAGTCGAGGTTTTGGACCCTAAGGCACTGCCAGAAACCCTCCTCGACTTCCTGGTTTCTCAGCCAAGACGGTTCAATCAGCACACGCTCTGAAGAGGGACGAGACACTGCAGGGAGGTCTTGTTCCTCTCTCGCCTGGTCTCAAGGCCTCGGCTCCTTCCGCCCCAGCTGGCCTGCGGCCCTCGGGGCCTCGGTCAGCCTCCATGGTGGATTTGGTGGTGGTTTGTGTGACGTTCTTGGTGGGAATGTTAGCCTGCGGCCATGGCGTCCTCTGTCGTTCCTGTGCGATGTTGGCTGCACCCCAGACACCTGCGGTCCTGCCGGGGTCACCGGGCAGCAACTCCGCTGTCATGGCCACGGGAGAGCAGCTCCCCTCTGCTGTGACAGCACGTGAGCACTCGGAGGCCGCGTGGGTCCCGGGGGTCCCGTGTCCACTCTCCTCCACCTTTTCCTCCGTGTCAGCCTGCACAAAACCGCTTCTTCCAAAGCCCATTCCTGAAGAGGCCCTGCCCAATCCCCACTCTCCCTCTCGCTGCTGGACCCTCCCCTCCTCTAGGTCGTGCGTGAGAAGCAGGCCCTGGAGGAGCAGCTGGCCCAGAGCCTGCGGGACCAGGAGGCCCAGGCGGACTCCCTGCGGAGGGCCCTGCAGGAGGAGGAGGCTTGGTCTGAGGAGCGGGCCCAGCTGCTGGCCAAGCAGGAGGCCCTGGAGAGGCAGGGCCAGCTCACGGCTGCGGAGGCGGCCGAGCTCAGGTACCCAGGCCCATGGGGTCACCCTCTGTCCGCACTGCTTTGCCCTCGAGAGCCTGCACTGCCGCAGGGGGGGGCGGGGGGCAGAGTGAGCACGTCTACCTGGGGGCGGGTCTGTGGGCGGGGGGAGCGTGTGGAAGAGGTGGCTCCGGCGACAGCCCTGGGGTGGCCCTCCTGGGAGAGGCGGCCGCACTGGTTGGGTAGCAACTAGCGGAACGAAGACGAGGAACGTCCTGCTCGTGGATCTGAGATGTTTGGGGCCCCCATGGCTTCAGGCAAGGCTGCATCCAGGTGCTCCCGCGGCGCCGCAGGACCCTGCCTCTCCCCCTCTGGTTTGCGGGCTCGGGTTGGGGGGCCCAGAAGGCTGGCAGCTGCTGCAGGCTCGCCCCAGCAGACGCAGAGCGCCCCTCCCCCCAGGGCCCGAGAATTGCTGCCATTAACCGTCTTGAGCTGCTTCATGTCTCCGAACCGATCCCGGGAGTCACAGGGCTCCGATTGGCCTGCTGGGGTCACATAACCGTTCCTAGAGTCGGGGGTCCCAGCCCCGGGGAACCCCGAGGCCTCGATCAGGGGCAGAGCGGGCTCCAGGGACGCGGGCCTTCTCCAGGAGCCGTGGCACGGGCGCCGCAGGCCACGCCAGGGGCGACCGTCAGCTGCTGCCTGCAAGCTGCCCGGGTCCCGGGGCCTTGGACACGCGGAGCCGGCAGCTTCCTGGGCCTTGTGGGCCTTCTCGGGAGCATCGAACTGTTTGTGCCGAAAAGATGCCCCCCCAGCGTTCCAGAATCGGGGGTCCCGAACTTCTCCTCCTCAAAACGAAAGCCGGAGTGAAGTCCCGACAGAAAGCCCGGCTGAGGCTGCTGTGGGCCGCCTGGAGCAGAGGCACCCCGGGGCCCTGCCTGTCCCCGCCTCCGGGCCCCACGTGCTAGGGGGCCAGCATCTGCCGCGGGGTCGCGGGCCCTGGCCAGAGCTTCCTGGAACTGGGATCCCGCCCCGATTCAGTCCCAGCTGCGGGGCCCAGGACCCCGCACGGCGTCACACGCCTGCCAAGCCGCGTTTCAGGATCACCAGTCCGAGCTTCTGGTGGTGGGCGTGCTCGGGACTTGTCCTGAAACTCGGCTGCCTGGCCGTGCAGCACGTGGGCACCTCGCTGGGCCTGTGCGGCCGGGCCGCCACATTCTCCGGGCTCCTGGAGCATGCGGGCGGCCAGCGTCCTCCACGGTTGGCCTGCCGGGCGGGGCGGGGGGGGGCCCAGGCCCCGGGGACACGCCCTCAGTTCACGGGGTGCCGGCGTACTGGTCAGCCCGGGAGGTGGACTCGGGTCTGCCTGCACCCCCGCGCTCGCCAGCGCTGGCCAAAGTAGGCCGAGCTGCCCTGGGGCTGCCGAGGAGGGAGCGACCGGACCCGCCTCAGACTCCCAGCCTCCAGGTGCCGGCTCTGCACGGCACAGACCTCCCTCCCAGGGAGGCCCGGGGGCGGGACGGCGGTCCAGGCAGAGGGGTGGGGAGCACGCGGACGCTGACCAGGTGGGGACCGGATGGGAGGCCGGATACCTGAGAAACGGGACCACTGGGCTCTGCAGCCACCAGCGGCCCTGGAAGGCGTGGCAGGGCCAACCCCCTTCAGCGGGCGCAGTGGGGTGCTGGGCGACCTAGCAAGGCCGCTCCCTGAGTGAGTGGCCCTCACATGCAGCTAGCGCAGGAGAGTGTCACGCTCCTAACCTCTCGGCAAATCGGACACATGGTCGTGGTTTTTAATCTCCTTGAGTATGAATACGGTGGAGCAAGTTTCGTAGGTTTATTAACCACGTGTGGGTGTTTTGTGAGCAACAGCCACTTCCCTCGTTTGTCTGTAGGATCAGCTGCCTTTCTGGCCCGGGTTGGCAGGAGCTCTTTGTGGGTGACGGACATGGGCCTGTCCGAGGCTCTGTGCAGGTTTCCTCTTCAAGCCTCTGCCTTGTTGCTCACGTGGTTCGTGGACTCTTTTCTGCACGAAAGCCCCGCCCCCATCTTGACGTGTGTTCAGACCTGTCCGCCTCTTTATTTTTGTCTTCTGGTTTTTGTGTCTTTCTTAAGATTATAAAATACCTTTCTGTATTTTTTTCTGCTATTGTAGTTCTGAGTTCCTCGGTTGCTTTGTTTTTGCATTTAGCTTTCAGTCCACCTGAAGGGTTTCTCCTGTAGCATCCAGTCGGTTTGCACAGGTTTAACATGAAGAGCGTGTCTGCTGCTTACCCTCTGGCTGCCCGCCTGGGCCTGGCAGGCTGGTGACTGGCCCACCGTCCGACCGCTCTCCGCAGGGCCCAGCGGGACGCGCTGGAGAGCAGCCTCTTCGAGGCCCAACAGCTGGTAGAGCAGCTGCAGGCGCAGCAGGAGCAGCTGGAGGGAGAGGCCCAGAGCGCCCGGCGCGCCCGGCAGGTCCTGCAAGGTGCTCCAGCAGCTTCTGCCTCTCCCTATGTGGCCCAGCAGGGCTCCTTCCGTGGAGCCCAGTCCCACTGCACGGCCCCCGGGAGGGGCACCACCTCGGCCTGGAGCTCCCGGGGCTGAACAGGCCCCACCGCCGCTGTCTCTCTGGCTCACGGCTCAGGCTGGGGTCGGCGCGGCGGCCCCGCTCCGCCCCTGAGCTCCCACCCCTGCTCAGCCCATCCCCCCGGGCGCAGCGTCCTCCGAGCAGGTGGCTGTCACAGAGGGTCCATGCAGGGCGCAGAGGGTCCCCGGGCGTGGGACCTGGTGGCCAGTTCCGGATGCATCTGTCGCTTTGCAGTGGAGCTGGAGCAGCTGAGAGGCGCCTGGGAGGTCCGGGGGACCAGGCTGGAGTGGGATGTGGGGCGGCTGCAGCGGCAGGTGGTACAGCAGGAGCGGGACGCACAGCTGGCCCTGGAGAGCCAGGCGCTGGGCCACCGCGAGGACCTCGCCCAGCTCCAGAGAGAGAAGGTCTGTCTCCCTGGCCACCAGCTGCGGCCACTCCCAGGGGCCTTCCAGGTCCCAAAGAACAGCAGGCCCTCAGGGGAGGGGCCCGAGGAGACCAGCCGGCAGGCAGAGGCGCCGGGACGCCCCGAGGCGGAGCCCAGAGTGGGTCCAGCGGGCCAGTAGGCCCGCGAGGCTGAGCCAGCGTGGCCGGGTCCCCTTGCTCACAGGAGGGACCAGCCTCGGCACGAGCTGGCCTGGCTGCAGGCGGAGGGCGTGGCTGGCGGGAGCTCCGGTGCCGTCCGAGCCAACCCCCAGCCACAGGCCCCTGCAGGCCCTGTCTGGCATGTCCTCGTGCTTCACGCGTGACCGGGGTGCTTGGTCCTCCATGACGCCCCCGAGAAGCCTGGGGACTGTGGGTCTGTGCAGACAGAGGAGCGGAGGCCGGGGCCCGACGGCCCCTTTGCAGCCCCCGCCTCAGTGACACTGTGTGACCCCGGGGCACGTGGTGGGCTGGGTGCACAGCCCCCGGGGACCTGCCCTGCTCTGGCGGCCCCAGAACCAGGTCTCGTTCAGGGCCACAGGCACCTGCTGGCCTCACCGCCAGCCCCCCCGTCTTGGCCCAGGAGACCCTGCGTCTGTCCCTGGCGGAGGAGAAGGCGGTGGCGGCGGAAAGCAAGGCCCGGGCGGAGGCTCTGGAGAAGGAGACGCAGAGCCTGAGGCACGAGCGGGACAGACACCTCCTCCAACGGGAGCGTGAGATGCAGCAGGTGCCGGGGGCGCAGGCAGTGGGGGGCCCCCCCACCCCCGTCCACGCCGGGCCGCCTCTGGCCCAGCAGGAGGGCTGCATGGGCGCGGCCGTTCCAGGCGACTGCAGTGGGGTGCGGGGGCCTCCCCCGTCAGTCCAGGAGGAAGGCATCCCCCGCCCGCCCGTGTCCTCGACTGCCCCCCATTCGCCTGAATATCCGTTCTTCCACCACGCAGCCCGCTGCCCGCACACGTGCACGGCCCTCTCTCCACAGGCTCCATCAACCCCCACACACCTGGCTGTACCCTCTCCATCAGTTTTGTTTTGTTTTAAGATTTTATTTATTTACTTTTGGAGAAGGGGAGGAAGAAAGAGAGGGAGAGACACATCCATGTGTGGTTGACTCTCGTGCGCCCCCTACTGGGGACCTGGCCCGCAGCCCAGGCCTGCGCCCTGGCTGGGACTCGAATCGGCGGCCCTTTGGTTCACAGGCCGGTGCTCCGTCCACGGAGCCGCACCCGCCGGGGCCCTTCAGTTTGTTTAACAGTCGGGGGAGCTGCCCCTCCCCGAGCCGGTGGGGAGCTGGGCGCACACTGTGTCCTGCCAGGCCCTGTCCCAGGAGGAAGCAGGCAGGAGGCTGCTGCAGGAGCGGCTGCGCAGGGCCGAGCGGGCGCAGCAGGAGGCCCACGACCGGCAGCAGCAGGCGGAGGTGAGCGCTGGGCACTGGCCTGGCCAGACCCTCCCGGTCCAGGGGCACGTCCCCGTCCACCCCGGCCCCCGAGACTCGGTTTCTCTTGGTCGTCCCCAGGTCTTCTGCTGGGAGGGGGCACTGTCTTTCTTGATGGGACGGAAAGGCTGAGAGGGCCAGTCGCTGCCCCCACAGCTCCGGGGGCCCCACCAGGACGGGAGGGCCTGGGCCGCGTGGGGGGCTGCAGCAGAGGGGGCCGAGCCTGGGCCCAGGCCCCCACCCCGCCGGCCCCAGCCGCCAGTCTGAGCATAACGGCCGGGCGCCCCACTCGCTGAGGGGCCCCCCCAAGGGAGGAACCGAGCCCGGGCAGGTGGCGTCCGTCGGAGCGGGATGGTCCCCCGACGCCGACCCCCGGAGAATCCCGTAGGGTCCCGGGAGAGGCAGCGCCCGTGACAGGGAGAGACCTCGGGAATCGCCGGGGTCACCGGGACCCCGACCTGCCTTCAGGAGCCGTGTCTGGGGCAGGCAGGCAGTAGCAGCTCGGGCCCATGGCCGTGTCCCCACCTCTGGCTGGCCGTGTGGCCTCAGCCCCTCTCTGAAGTCGGCCGTGCGGAGGCAGGCCCCTCCCAGGAGGCGGCAGCCAGAGCGGGGAGACAGGACGCGGGGACAGGGAGCTCAGGGGCGCAGCCAGCAGGTGGGGCCCGCGGCCGCGCGCGTCCTCCGAGGCACAGCCGCGAGGCGGCGGGAGGTCCGTCCCTGAGGGGCGCGGCAACACCTCCAGCCGCACCCACGTGGCCTCGAGGGGCCAGCCCGTCTCCCCTGCTGCCACCCGGGTCCCTCTGGCCCTGGCACCTCTGCGCGGAGCTGCCCTTTCACTGTGAACCCCGAGGCCCCTGTTCACCTGGTCCCTGGCATGTCCCACCCCCGGAGGCACAGCCAGCCGCCCCATGGTGCTGAGGGAGTGACTCAGGGGTCAAGGGACACACTGACAGGCGGGCAGGGGCCGCCGGATATGGGGCTCCCCGTGTGCCCCGCATGCCCAAGAGGGCGGGGGCTCCGCCCCAAGCTCCTGGGCACAATCAGCAGCCCCAAGCCCGGCGTCACTTGAGGGAGGGCCTCTTCCCGTTGGCCAAACGGCCATTTCTGCCCCTGGCCGCTCAGCCGAGCGGGCCCAGCCACAAGGTTGCAGGCAGGAAAAGGGGTCAGGGTTGGGGGACCCTGCCCTGGCCTGGCTGCCTGGGACCCCAGAAGGACGGCACGGGGGACAGGGGCACAGGGTCCGCCCCTCCCCACTGGCGCCCCCCGCTGGGGCCCCTGCGCCCACCTGTCCCCACTGTCTCCTCAGGCCCTGGCACTGGTGGCCTGGGCGGTGGCCAGGACGAGACCCAGGCCCGGCCCCGGCCCCCAGCGGCCTGGTGCCACGCCACAGGCAGCTGCATGATGTCCCCCTCGGCTTGCTGCCCCCCAGGCCACGGCCATGAGCACTGCCGCGGAGCTGGGCGCCCTGCAGGCGCAGTTCGAGGAGGCCATCGCAGCCCATCAGAGGGAGGCCGCGGCTCTGAGCAAGAGCCTCCGGGGGCTGGCGGCCGAGCGGAGCGACGCGGGCCGAGAGGTGAGGGTGCGGGGCGGGGGGGGGGGCGGCGCGGGCAGGTGTGGCCATCGGGGGCGGGGGCGAAGCGGGCCATCGGCGTGCAGTGCGAGCCCTGGGCCCCGGGGCAAGTGCTGGGGTGGGGCGAGGCCGCCCCGGGGCCGCGGGGCAGGGGGAGCCCTGGGATGGTGTCCTGGGTGGGGACGCCCTCGGGCAGGGTGACGGCGGGGGGCAGGGACCCCAGCCAGGCCAGGTGGAGCCAGGCAGGAAGGCCGCCCGGGGAGGTGTCCCTGAGGCGAGCTGGGCAGGATTCAGGGCGGCCGGAGGCGGGAGGGCAGGGGGGCGTGGGGTCCGGGCTCGGGGGGCGCGAGCGGCGCCCAGGTGGGGCCCGCAGGGACCAGGCGGCTCGTGCGCCCCGGGCAGCGGGCCAAGGCTGGCAGGCGGCGCTGACCTGCGTGCACACCACACGCCCGGCGGCCGCGGAGGAGGGAGGAGCGGGCGCCCCCCCGGCACCGGGGGGCAGGCGGGGTGGACGGAGGAAGAGAGCATGATTTAACATGACAGGCTGTTTACTTTGGCCCCCAAAGAGAAAGGTCTCCTTTCAACAGATTTCAAAGTCAGGCCGGTCAGCGACCACACGGGGAAGCAAAATGAGATTTTAAAACTGGGGGCCGCGGGGGGAGGAGCGGGGAGGCACACAAGTTCAGGTTCTCGGAGAGGGGCCCCCAGAAGGGGGCGGGGGGCAGGGAGCCCGGGGGCGAGGGGGGCAAGGGGAGCCCGGAAGCGCCCTCGCTGGCGCCAGGCTGGCCAGAGTCGCCATGGAAACCATAACATTTTCACAGCCCTTAAACTGGAGGCACGTCCAGCCCTCTGGCTGAGTCCACACGCGTGTGCGGGCGTGCACACATGCCCCGGCACAGCCTGCACACACACACCCCACACACCCAGGCACACACATCCCTGTCCACACAGAGACTGTGTCCCCATGCACATACATGTGCACAAAAAGTGGCCACACACACACACATAGGACCCTGTATGGTCAGAGCGCCATGTAAATGCATATGGACCCTGTGAAGTTCACACACGTGTACGACAGGCAGCACATGCACCCCCACATGTGCTGGCCTGCGGGTGCGGTATTGCCTGCGTGTCCACATGGACACACATGCAGATGCACAGCTGCATGCTCACCACACCGTGTGCCCGCACATGCACGCCAAGCACCCGTGTGTGCTCGCATGTGCTCACGCACGAACATGCCGCATGCTGGCCAGGGCCCCCCAATGCCCCGCCCCTCCTCCGCGCAGAGCTCTCAGCCACCCCCTTGCAGGAGATTTCAAAAGAGGCTGTTTATACAATTTCTAGTAAAGAAATAATTATTATAATCACATTAAGCGATTTGGCTGTAAAATTCCTGTAAAAGGGATGGTTGTTCTCAGGCTGGGGCGCGGGGGAGGGGCCGCATTTGTTTTGCTTGTTTTCATCTCCCTGTCCTGGGAACTGGAAACAGCCTCTGTTGTGATGGATCGGCCCTTTCCCTGGTCCTTGACCTTCTGGGCGGATTCTGCTGAGCTCAGCGGAAAATGCTCTGCATGGCTTGTGGCTCCCACATGTGGGGGGCGGGCGGGGAGCAGGGGGGGGGGCTCGCGCCCTTCCCCAAAACAGAACAACAATAACAGCGGGCTGACGCGGGAGCCAGGCCGGCCGGGGGCCTGGACAATGTCCCACTGAAGCAGCCAGTGAAGTGGGGTTTGCTCTTGGCAAACTGGCGCCTTGCCGTGGCTCAGAGCTCCTGTGGCTTCCCCGCTCCGGCGGGCCCCCGCTAGCCGCCTCGGCCTCCTCGGCCTCCTCCTCAGGGACACGTAAGCGGGAACGGAACCTTCGGCAGGGTCCTGCTTAGGGCCACGGGCAGCCTGCGAGGCGGGAGGCCAGGGGCCCTGGCCGAGCCCCGGCACACGCCCACTCCCAGCCGGGCACTGGGGGCCGGCGGGCTCTTGGCCCAGGCCTGCGCTCTCCCCCAGCCCGCCATGCGGGGGCTGGGCCCAGGGGGAGCAGGACCCCTGACCCCCACCCACACGTCGGTGTCAGTAGGCTCCTCCTGGAAGCCCCCACGTTGGGGCCCGGCTCCAGGGGTGTCCCACTCCGGGCCCGGAGCCAGCCTGTGTGAGCTCACACCTGCAGCCTCCGTTCGCCCTGGGTCACCTCCTGGGGTGCGGGCTGGACCGGTTCGGGGCCCGCACTTGCACGCTCCCGGCCGAGCTCACGTGACAGGCGAGCTCCCTGCCCACCCGCAGCACAGCCGGGCCCAGGTGGGCCCTGGCACAGGCAGAGGAGTCCCAGGAGACCAGAGACCCGCCCTCCCGGCTCCCTTCCCAGGAGGGACCAGGGCTGCCCCCGGGCACCGGGCAGACAGGGGCCCGGGCGCCATGCCGACCGGCGGCCCGCAGCCCTGGGGTCCGGGCAGGTGACCCCGCCTGGGCTCTGGGGCTGGCCCTGGTGAGCCGTCCTGCAGCCTCAGTGGCCGCGGGGGAGGTGACCACAGGTCGGCAAAGCCGGGCTGGCTGCAGACCAGAGCCGAGGCCACGTGTGCCTGTGCCGGCATGACCCATGGCTCCTGGCCCCGCATCGGCCGGCCCCGCTCCCCGCAGCTGCCCGTTTCTCCCCAGGCCGAGCGGCTGCAGGCACAGCTGCGGGAGGCCCAGGAGGCGCTGGCCATGCTGCGCAGGGAGGCCGAGGAGGCCCACCGGGCGCTGAGCGCCGAGGCCCTCGAGAAGGACGTGCTGCAGCGGTCCAACGCGGAGTTGCAGGCCGCCGTGCACAGGGCTGAGCAGGAGAAGGCCAGGTACGGCCTCCACCGCACGGGGCTGCGCCCTCCCGCCCCACGGCCGCACCCCACCCCCGGGCCCTGGCAGGACAGCAGGGGTGCCGCTGAGCTGGGCCCGGCGGCGGCAGGTGGACACAGCCCACAGACCCAGAGGGGCGGCTTTGCTGGCCGTGGGAGAGGAGGCCAGGACACAGAAGGGCCTGTCCCTGCGCTCAGGGAGGGCCCACCCAGCAGGAGAGACAGGCCTCAGGGGCCAGCAGGCGACGCCCCGAGGGCTGGAGCGAGGGGAGTGGTGGGGAGAGGAGAGAGGAGCCAGGGCTGCCGGGCCCTTAGACCCACGGTGCCCTGAAGGGGGCGGGCAGCCGGAGGAGGCTGGGCTCTGGGCGTCACGGGGCGTGTCTGTGGAATGAGGCGGGAGCCCGTGGGGCGGCCTGATCGCAGCCACGGGACAGCCCCAGCCCGCGACGCCCCGCCCAGGTTTCAGCGCTCCAAGGAGGAGAAGGAGCACACGGTGCTGGTCCTGGAGGAGGCCCGGGCCGCGGCCCAGAAGGAGGCGGGCGAGCTGCGGGCCAGCCTTCGGCAGGCGGAGCGGGCCCAGTCAGACGCCCGCCGGCAGCTGCAGGGGCTCCGCAGGCAGGTGCGCGAGCCTGTGGCCCCGCCAGGGCCCCTGGGCTGCTCGGACTCACACAGTCCCTGGGGGGGCCCACGCCCACCCCCACCCCATAGGGCACAGACGACAAGCCCCAAATCCAACAGCCTAAACCTCAGGCTGAGGCTCAGGGACCGCAAGGGTGGGAGTCCAGGCCGAGGGCGCAGCGCGCAGCTCGGCTCCGCCCCGGCGCACAGGCCCCCCTGGGAGGGGGCGGGGGAATGGCAGGCCTGGCGCCGTCCGGGGGCCCTGAGGCTGGCGCTCACCTGGGGCACTCGGCTGGGGTCGGCTCCGCGCTCCACAGGGCCCTGGCCCTGGGAGGAGGTGCCGGGGGACCCCGGAGTGCCTGGGGGCCAGAGCCAAGGGCGCCACATGGAGCCCTGGACAGAGCCGGAGGGAGCCCGACCCGCGTGCAGGGAGCTGCCGGGAGGGAGGACGCGTGGGCAGAGGCAGGGGTCCAGGGGGCTGCCGGGCCCCCATCGGTGCGCCCCCTCCCCCGCCAGGTGAAGGCGCTGGAGGCCGAGAACCAGCGGAAGAGCCAGGAGGTGCTCCGGCTGCAGGCCCAATGGGCACAGGACGCCTGGCGGCGGCGGCAGGGCCGGCGCGAGGCCCTGGAGCGGCAGAGGCGGGCGGCCGAGGCGGAGGCTGCCCGGGAGGGCGCCCGGATGCAGGTAGAGGCCCCGGAGCCCCGCGCGGGCGGCAGAGGTCCGACACCCCTGGGGCTCGCTCTCGCCCTCCACGGGACCCTGGACAGGTGCCCGAGTTTCAGTAAAGGACAGAGGCGCCCCCAGCAAAGAGAGTTCTGAGTCCAGGGACAGGCCAGGGGCCCTGCAAAAAGACCAGTCCCCCACGAGGTTCAGGCCTCTGAGCTCACGCCCGCAGCCACGCCTGCACACGCGTCCGCACGCCCCGGGCCGGGCGCACACAGGCACGCGTGTCCCGTGAGCCCCCCACGCCGGCACACGCAGCCCCAGGCCCCACCCTCAGGTCCTGCTGCCGCCGGGCGGGGCTACATGTGGCCCGGCGGCCTGGGACCCCGCCACACGCACAGCCTGAGGAGGCCCGGCCTCAGCCCGCGAGGGGGGTGCCGTTCAGGCCCAACGCTGTGCCCGCGCGGCGGTTGTCAAGCACCTGCCACACCCAGAAACAGGGGTTCACCTCCCTTGGCCCACACGACCCCTGCGCGACCCCGCGGCCCCTCACCGCCAGCTGTGAATGGGGTCCTCACGGTGCGGCCGCCCAGGGAGGGCGATGACGAGGCCCCTGCCCTGCCGGCCTCCTGCCCCCAGGCTCACAGGCGAGGGCGCCCGGGCCTGCGCTGGGGCCCGGCTGCCCCTTCCCCCGGCCGTACTCCCCTCCCGGGGCAGAAGGGTCCCCGTCCATGGCCCTGGTCACTCGCCTCGTGCGAGTGGAGGGCTGGGGACACAGGCTCTGACCGGGGTCTGCAGCCGCAGACAGGTGGCCTAACTGGAAGTGAGGGGACGGGTGGCAGCCGAGGGACATGGGGGAAGGGCCGGCCCCTCTCGCCTGGGCCGGGCCCTCAGAGGCGGCGTCAGGAGAAGCCACCCACACCCCGCGGCGCCCCCGCCCGCGCGCACTGAGGGTGGGGCGACAATGTTCGTGTATCTCGGTGTTACCTGCCGGGAAGCCTGTGGTAGGCTGTCCGGCGCCCTGAGGTCCCAGCCCCGGTCTCAGGGTGACGCTGACCCAGCCTTTGCTACCCCAGGCCATGAGCAGGCAGGCAAGTGTGGGCCGTGGACCTGTCTGGCCCCGCGTTCAGGAGGTTGCCTGCCGGGGCGTGCTCTGCGGCCCTGGGGTGTCCTTTCCCTGGGGACCCCTGTGCGTCCCCGCTGCCAAAGGTGGGCGGGAAAGCAGGCCCAGGTCCCCCGTCTGTGAGGTGCCGGGAGGGGCTGAGGCGAGAGGCCCGGGGCGAGTGTTCAGAGGCCCCTCCACCCCGTGTTCAGCCTCCATCTGAGTGTCCCCCACCCCCACCCCGGCCCGGCCGCAGGTCCCGAGGCTGCAGCGGACGCTGGCGGAGGTGGAGGCTGTGGCGGAGGCCCGGGCCCAGCAGCGGGAGGTGCGCCTCCGCGAGAGCCAGGGGGCCGAGCGGACGCTGCGGGCTGAGCTGCAGCAGGCGCAGGCCCGGGCCGAGGGCGCCTGGCGGGCCGCGCAGCCCCAGCGGGGCTGGCCGTGGACCACGCTGCGCCGGAAGCTGGGGCTCTGGGTCCAGAGCCCCTCCGTGGGCCCCGCGCGGCCCAGCTCCCCCCTCCCAGGTCAGCGTCCTCGGGGGCTTCGGGGACACCTCTCCCAGCTCTGCCACCTGCCTGGGCCACCGCGGCCGCACAGCCAGGGGCCACAGCTCCCCATGGGGGGCGGGGGGCACAGGGTGCCTTCGGTATCAGCAAGTGCCGCCCCTCAGCCCTCACTGGCCCACAGGCTCGGGTGGCTCCCAGGGTTGCTCTGGGCGGCACCACGCCAGCCGCCCGGCCCGGTCCTGCTCTCCAGCCCGAGGGCCCTCGCCCGCCCCGGGGCACCTTGGCCAGGCAGGCGGTGCACATGGCCTCCTCGCAGCAGGCCCTGAGGGACCTGGTGCAGAAGCTGCGGGACACCCGGCGGGAGCGGGTAAGGGGGCGGGAGGCCCTGCCCGGGGCCCCGGGTGCTGTCCGCCTGTGCGTCCGGCCCAGGTCTGCCGCGCCCCTGCAGGGCCCCGCGGGTCACCAGGGCCCTCAGCAGCCAGGCCGTCCCTTGCGTGACAGACGCCAATGGTCCCTCGAAGCCGCACCCCTCCACCCCCAGGCAGAGGCCCCGGAGCCAGCCTCGCGGGGGCACCACCATCCCCGGCGCCGCTCCCAGGGGTGCCGGCCGGGCCACCTGCAGAGAGTCCCCGGCGGCTGCTCCCGCGGGACCAAGCTCCCGGCGCGGCTCACTCGCGCTCTCTGTCCTTCTGCCTCAGAGCTCCCCCAGGCGGGCCCCCGCGGGCAGCCCCTGAAGGGCAACTTGGCCCCATAAGCTGTGGGCCGCCACCAGCCACCACACCCTGCTCCCTGGCTCTGTGTCCGCACCCCAGACCCGGACGCATGGGCCCAGCCCCCACTCTGGCCCCTCCGCACCCTCCCAGGGCCTCTGCTGAGTACCCCTGGGCTGCCCACCAGATCCCCAAACCCCAGGGCCTCTCACCGGACACCTTGGCCCTCCGCTCCTGCCGGCGGCCTGCTGACCGTGCCCTCCTCCCAGGACACCTGGCGCTCCGAGGCGGCCAGCCGGAGAGGCCTGCTGGGAGAGGCGCAGAGCGAGCGTGCCCGAGCCCAGGGCCACGTGGGGCGGCGGCACCGGGCGCCGGCCCAGGCGGAGGGTGAGCGCCATCCCCACCGGCCCCGGGGTTCCCCGGAGCGCCGGCCCCGGGCCAGCGCCCAAGCCAGCACCCCACCGAGCTGGGGGGACACTGCCCAGAGACCGCGGGAGGCCCCCCACCTGCCGGCCCCTGCTCTTCCTGCCCTCGGAGGCTTCTCCGCACACACAGGGCCCACCCCAACTGCATCTCTGTTCTGTCCCCAGTAGTGGGTCCCACAGGGGCCGGGCCCAGGCCATGTCTGGGAAAAAAAGGGGGCCCGAGAGAAGGGTGGGCCGGTGGGGGGCCTGGGGGGGGCAGAGGAGGGGCCTGACCTGCCCCAGTGCCTTGGGCTCAGAGGGAGGCGCAGCGAGCGTCGGCGGGAGCCTCGGCCCCGTCCGTCTGGGGGCCAGGCGCTGTTTCCCGGCCTGTGTGCTGGAAAGGGATGACCACCCCCCACCCTGCGCCTGTGCGGCAGCCCCTAGACCTCGGAGTCAGGAGAGCCACCCTCTCGCCGCGCAGGCCGGCGCCAGGCGGAGGCGGAGGCGGGCAGCGCGTGGGCCGCGCGGGCCCCGCGGGCCCCGCAGGAGGAGGCGCTGCAGAGGCTGCAGGCGGAGCACCGGGCGAGCGCGCGGGCCGCCGGCCAGGACCGGAGGCAGCTGCAGGTGGGGCCCACGCCCAGGGCAGGGAGGGCCGGCAGGGAGGGCCCTGAGTTGGGGGGGCCCGGAGGGGCCCTGGCCCTGGCGGTGCCGAAGGGGAAGCCGAGTCCCGGGCGGAGCGACTTGGCCTGGCGGTGAGGCCAGCGCAGCGCGGACCCCGGCCCCGCCGTGGGACCGCTTTTGATCCCACATCCCTCACCCGTGGAAGGAGGTTGCACATCAGGAGCTCAGTCAATGTCCCCAGTGTGGGCGCTGTTCTGGGAAGGTGGCTCGGGGCCCGCAGGGTCCGGGCGAGGGGACTGGGCCCAGAGGGGCCAGCTGGGTGAGGGGCCTGGCCTCAGCCGCCCCGTCCCTGCCCAGCCCCGGCTGAGAAGGCTGAGGCTCCGAGGACCTCGGCCGCGCGGAGGACAGTGTGCTTGGGTCCGGAGCACTGGCCTGGGGGGCCCCGCGGGAAGGCCAAGGCCGAGGCGGCAGGCGGGCGGGGGCGCCGCGCGGGACACGGGCCGGGACGCCGGCTCTGGGCCCCAGGGGCGCAGGGAGCTGCTCGTCCGCGCCGTCTCCGGGCCGCATGAGGAGGACCCCAGTGAACCAGCGACGTCCCACATGGGCGAGGGAGGAGGGGACGGCCCTGCGGGGGTGGGCGCAGGCAGAGCTCAGGAGAGGCCTGTGAGGCGAAAGGCCGTTTCTGTCCAAAACCCCTGTGTCCGAAGCTGCTGGGGCGGTGGGCCGAGGTGGGGGACAGGCCCAGGGCCCGGGGCCGGGCTGGGGGGCGGCAGGACTCGTGAGGCGTGGGCCTGAGAAATGGGGGCGGCGGGGCCTCCGTATGTCCCCACCCACCCCGACGGTCCACGTGTGTTCACGTATGTTCCACGTGTGTTCGCGTGCACGCGCTCCGGGCACATTTGAAAATAAAGCTGAGCTACACCTGCTGCGTGGACCGTCACACAGACGGCGCTCAGGCACGCGACACGGGGCCTGTCTCCTGGGGGCCTGTCTCCTGGGGCCCCGGCTCCAAGCGACCACCGAGCCTCCCCCTGCGCCCGCCCTTCCCGGCACCGTCTCGTGTCTCCGCGGGCACTTGACCTGGAGAGTCCGACAGCTGCTCTTTGGAATTCAGAGCCTCGCTGCCGAGCGCTGCCGGGTCCGGGGCCTCGGGGCCCCGCACCCACGGTCCCCTGGGTCCCCTGTCACCAGACCGGGCCACCCTCCGCCCGCCCTTCCCGCCCCCTCGCCCACCTTCCGCTGGCCTGGCTGCCTCTCGGCTCCGCCTCCACGTCCTTGCCTCTCCCGGGAGAGCTCGTCCCACGTGCGACCCTCGTGGGGGCTTGTTTGCTCTGCTGTCCCTTGTTGACAGGACGCCTGCTGCCCCCTCACCTCCTCACGACCTCCATTTTGTCCTTGATGTAGGTCGCCCGCTCTCCCCTTCCCTCTGGTGCCCGCCCCCCCTTCCCTGGTGTCGGGGGCAGGGGAGCGTGGCGGCAGCAAGTGTGGCAGCGATGACATGCTGGGCTCAGGGGCTGCGGGTGGCCGCTGGGACCCCTTCCTGCGCCCGGGCCCCCCGCCCCGCGCTGCCAGGTTCTGCCCCTGCGCACTGGGGGCCCCGTGCGCACATCTGCCTGCCCCCCTGCCCGCCTGGGACCGACAGGTCCCTGCAGCGCCTGCCGGAGCCTCCGCTTGACACATCCCGGCTCCGCCGCAGAGGCGGATGGAACCCTGATCGAGTACCCCCGGTCCCGCAGGCCGGGGTCGCGCGTGGGTGGTGTGTGTGTGTGGGGGGTCTAGCTCCCTGCAACCCTGGGACCAAAGTCCCGTTTCCCAGCCATCCGCCGAGGACGGAGCAGCTTCCAGAAGCTTCTCCCAGTCCCTGGCTGGGCCTCCTCATGGGCCCTCCCCCAGAGCGCACAGCCCCGACCTCAGGTGCCCACCTGGCCGGTCCCCTGGTGGCTAATCACCAGCCTCCGTTGCGGCTGCCAGCCCTGTTGCCACGTGATCAGACGCCACCACAGGGGGACATCAGGGCCCGCGGTCCCAGCCCCTGCGAACTGCCCACTGCCCGGCTGCAGTGACGTGCCCAGCGCGGCCACAGACCCCCTGTGGGCACCGGTGCTGCGGGCGAGCCGCGGGCACCCCGCCTCTGCGGGGTGGGGCGCCTGTCTGCCCTCAGGTATCAGGTCGGGTGTTCGCCCGCTGACCTCGGTCCCGGCTGATCCCAGAAACGGGGGATGTGGTAGGTGATTTGAAGTGCGGCTTCCAGAGTGGAAGCCAGGACACCCATTTATCGTTGAAATTCAAAGACGCCGCCTCAGCACCGACCCGCGCTGTCGTCTGCGCCGTCCGTGCCTGCGCTTGGTGAGCCCGCTGGGCCGCAGAATCGTGGCTCGGTCCCTGCGAGCTCTTCCCCCTCGGTCGGCGCCCCGCCGCCGCACGCCCCGTGCCCATCGGCCCTGACATCCGCGGCAGCCCCGCGCCGCTCCCTGGGCCCGTCCTCCTTCCTGGCCTTGAGCCCCGCCCCGCCCCCACCCCAGCAGGGCCTGCGGAGTCGAGGGTCTTCATCCCGGGCCCGCGGACCCTGCGTGGCTGTGCGCGCGTCTTCATCCGCGACGCGCGGCCTGGCTCCCGCCCCGGCCGCCCCTGGAGGACGTCAGTCAGCCTCTCCTCACGTGGGCCCCTCCTCTCGCGCTCCACGCTCCCCCACCCCCGGCCTGTGCCCGTTGCGGACCCTCGGCTCTGGTTCCTCAGGCCGCCTGGGTCTCGTGAGCCACAGTCGATCGCCACGCGTGCTGTGGTTCTCTCCTGTGCACGGCTCTGCGGGGGTCTGGCCTAGCTCACACCGGCCGTGGAGCCGAGCCCCCCGGCCCTCCATGTGACCCTGTTCAGACACTTGAGACCTAAACGGAAGGCAGAGGGAAAGGCCCCCGGGGGCCGCGGGGACCAGCTGTCCTGTCCCCGGAATGCGGGGGGCGCGGCCCGGAGGCCCCTCCTGCACACCCGGCAGCCCCCTCCGCCTGGCCCTGGAGCCAGGGTCCTGGGGGACTGGGGGTTCCCACTTGGGGGTCCTCGCACGTGGGTGCTGTGGGCTCCTCTGGGTGCTGTTCAGATCCTCTGTGCCCGTGCACGTGTTTCTGCTTGATCAAGAATTCATTCCATTTTTTAGTGAAGTGTGTGCACTAAAATCTGTCAGTATCATTCATGTCAGACTTTTCTAGAACTCTGGAGAAATTACCATTTCTCTTTTTTTAGGCGGGTTGGTTCCATCTACTCTGTCTCACAGGAGCCCTCGGAGGTCTGGTCTCCGGCTCTGAGGGACGTTTTCCCGAGTTTTGTAACCTGCTGGCCATTGCGGTGGGCGTGCGAGGGGGTGGAGACTGGCCTGCGGCCCCGGCAGCCGCAGGCCCGGTGGACGGACAGCGAGCGCAGGCCCGGGTGGGTGGCGTGGACGCTGCCGGGCCCTCCCGCGCCCTGAGCCACAGCAGGTCCGCGTGCTGCGCGGCGACTTCCACGTCGTGGGCTGGGTGTTTCTCCGTTTCACATAAGCCAACGTGTTTGTCCAGAGAAAGTTAATTAAAAACATATTTTTCTAATTAAATGGCAGGCTGTGCTATGCAAACAGTGAGATTCTTGTTTGAGAGCAAATCCCTCCCGTTTCCAGGGCTTCCCTGGGGATCCACTAGACCAACAACGCTGAGGGAGCCCAGGGCGTGAGGACCCAGCCCGCGTCCCCCCAACCCCCTCGCCATGACCCTGATGCGGAGCCAGGGCACAGGGACCTCCTGGAGCCTGGACTTGCCCCAGTGCCAGCCCCGCCCCCGCCTCTCCCCACAAGGCTCCCCAGGCCTGGGCTGAGCTGAGTCCAGGCCCCAGGAGCGAAGCCGGGGAGCCCCCAGCCCTCCAGGCGCACGCTCGCCGGCAGGGGCTGCGAAGCTGATGGCCAGTGTTTTGTCAAAAACGTCTGTATCTGTACTTCTCTGGAGTGTTCCCTTTATCAGCCTTTTTTATTACGATCATTTTATCTTCATTTAATGAATTCATAAGCTTTCCATCTTTTTCTGTCACCTGGATTAATTCGAATAGCCTGAGTGTTAAGCATTGTATTTGATTTTTTTTTAAGATTTTATTTATTTTTAGAGAAGGGAATGAGAAAGAGAGGGAGAGAAACATCCCTGTGCGGTTGCCTCTCGCGCGCCCCCCTCTGGGGGCCTGGCCCACAACCCAGGCCTGGGCCCCGACTGGGGATCGACCCTTTGGTTCGCAGGCCGGCGCGCCGTCCACCGGGCCACACCAGCCGGGGCTGAGCTTTGCACAAGGTTGGGCTGAACTTACCTGCAAACCCCGCCCCCCCTTAAACCCGGGTTCGCCCTTTCTCGGCTCCTCTCCAGGTCTCCCGTCGGGTTGGCTGTTTCCCCTCGGCCGGCGCCCACCGGGCGTCTCTCAGGCACGCGTGCTGGCTGCTGTCGCCGCGGTGCCTGGTCAGAGCTGCCGCGGGCCCGCGTCTGCCTGGGTGTCGGAGGTTCCGGTCCTGTCTCCTTGTCTGACTTGCCGACGGCTCATCTCTTGTACTGGTCTTTCCGAAGACCCCACTGTTGCCGCTTCTCTCAGTTTTGCCCCATTATCCATCCCAGCTTTTCTCTCTATTAACGCCCTCTCTGGGCCGTTGCCCGTCCTTCTGATTTCTGACGTCGAGTAAGGGGCGTGTTCACGTCCCGACGGTCCCTAGCGAGCATCCAGCGTTGCCGCGTTCTCCCTGGTGGTGGTTGCTGTGGGAACCATGGCTTCCCATGTGGATTCTTTTCCTTGTTAGCCATTTTGTAGCAGTTTCGTGTTTGTTTCTTCTTTAATTCAAGGGTGGTTTTTCTAGAGCCTGGTTCCACGTGGTGCCTCCCTATGTCACCACACAGTCCTGCCGGTTAGGAGGCGTGGCCCGGGCCGCGCAGGTCCAGGTCAACTCCTGAAAGGAGCGGGGCTCCTGCTCCTGGTTTGCCAGGTGTTTGCGGTTGCTCGTGCTTCTTGGTTGGGTTTGGCCCGTGCATTCTGGGGGAAGCGGGGCAGCCGATCGCCGAGCGCGCAGGGAAGAATAGAGGGCTGCGACGGATCTGGCGCCGGGGTGGCCGCGGCGGGACGGGAGCCGCTCCGCAGGCCGGGCAGAGAGGCCGGCGCACTGGGGCAGGGTCCAGAGGCGTTCAGCCGTCACCAGCTGGCGCCAGGCCTTGGGCTCCCATCTGGGCCACCGAATGCCACCGTGTAACGTGGGGGACTCCACCCCGTTCTGTGTGAGCCGTCCGGGGCTCGCTGTGTCCTGGGACAGACTGGAGGGTGGAACCGGCGACGGGTGGGTGGACCTGCGTCGCCCAGTGGCTGAGAGGCACCAGGCTGGCTGCTGGCTGAGGCCCCCGCCTGCTGCTGGGGCGCCAGCCGCTTTCCACGCCTCCTTCTGCAACGCCCTGTCTTTGCCGTGGCCCCTCCTGTCCTCTGACAAGAGCCTGCGAGATTGCATCGCCCTGTGCCACGGGTGGGGAAACGGAGGCTGAGGGCCCGGCCCAAGGGCACTCACGGGGCCCCTCCCTGCCCAGGCCCCCGGGGCGGCGTCATGCTTCCCGGCGGCTGCGGGGACCCTCACAGCGAGCCCGGCTGCGAGCCTCACGCCAGACCAGGACTTAGAACCAGCCCAGCACAGGAGATGTGGCGTCGCCAACGCGCCCCGCTCAGCGGGACGGTGGCTCCGGATTCCACAGAAACTGAGTCCTCACGGGGGCGTCTGACGCTCCCCGTGAACCATCTGGGGCTTTTAGAAATACCGGGGAATGTTTCAGCCGTATTTGAAAGAAACCTCTGCTTTTCTCCTGGAAAAGGTCTACAAACAGAAAACTGTAATTCTCAAATGTGCAAGGGAGGGTGAAACGTCACCATTCGAGGGACAGGTGTGGCCCTGTTTGCAAAGGACTGAAGTGTCCTCCAGGAAAAGTGTGTCCGGGGCCACCGCGCCGTCGCCGGCCCCTCGCCGCCCCCCAGGCAGCCAGCGTCTGCTCCAGCCTCCGGGGACAATGAAACGGGAGGCTGCACAAGGGGCCCCCGCAGACACAGCCCCCGCGGGGGACGTGGCTCTGGTGGCCGCGGGGGGGACACGGGCTTGCTGAGCGCGAGAGCCCGTCGCCGGAGGGCGGGAGCCTGCGCGGTCATCGGGACCCTGCGGCCTCAGGCCCCTCCCTGGCTCTGTGCCCAGCCGCTCTCCGCCCCCCCAGCTGTCCCTGCCCTCCCGCCCCCCCAGCCTGCTCCGCTCCCCACGCTCAGCGCCCCCCCCACCACACTCACAAAGGGCCCCAGCAGTGTTGGGTCCCATCCAGCGGGTCCGTCTTGGGCCTGTGTCTCCCTGACCCCGTGGAGCACCCCGCAAGGGGACGGGCCCTGCGCCCCGGTGTCCGCCCGCGCGCTGGCCCTCCCTGCACAGCCACCTCTTCTCTCTGCCCCGACGCCCACGCGGCCAGGGCCCTTGCCCTCCCCTCCTCTGGCCTCTAGAGCCACCTGGTTCTGCAAAACTGTCCCCACATCTAGTGACTCCTGGGCCCCCCTCCACACTGAACTCTGAACCGTCACCCCAGTGGGCTCCCTGCCTGCCTTCCCACAGGGTGGGTGGGTCTGGGACCGGCTGGCAGCTCGTGCCTGGGCGTCCCCACCGCTTGCGGCCCCACATGGTGTCCCTCCCCTCCCCCGGGGTCCCAGCCCCCTCCCGTCGGCCATCAGAGCCCACGGGCCGGAGGCCCTGGCCGCCCCCCGACGGAGCACGTGGAAGCTCCAACAGCTGGAGACTTGCCGACCTCTCCAAGCCGGGCTGGGTCACAAGCCAACCCCGAGTTTCCCACGATGGCAGAGCCTGCGCAGAGCTCACCAGAGATCCCCAGGGCTCCCCGTGGGCTGGCTGGGGGCCCAGGGGACAGGAATGCTCTGAGCAGAGGGGCGGCCCGCGGGGCGGCCGGGCTGAGCAGGGCTTGGGGCGGGTGTCCGGCTCAGCCCCGAGGCAGCGCAGCTGCAGGGGCGGGGGGTTGCTGCGCAGTGCCTGGGCTGGAGGGGCTCCGGGGGCAGGCGGTCTCTGGCCTTCACCCCGAGGCTGGAAGCAGCAGAGGGACAGCAGGCGTGTCTTTGAGGCCACTCTGGCCACAGCACAGGACCCGGAGCCCCGAGGCCACGCCCCAGACTGGCCGGCTGTGCGTGCGTCGCCCCCCAGTTCCCCAGCGGCCAGCGGCAGGCCCCCACGGACACCCGTGTCACCCCCGCAGGAGCAGCTGGACGCGCTGCACCAGGCCCTGGACGCGAGCAGGAGGCACGGCCAGGGCCTGGCCCAGAGGGGTCGGCGGCTGCAGGACCAGGTCGCCGGCCTGGAGCGCAGGTGCCAGGAGGCGGAGAGCGCACTGGGGGCCCTGCGGCAGGTGAGGCCCTGCGGCAGGTGAGGCCCTGGCGGCCGGTGAGGCCCTGGCGGCAGGGCCCCGGGCGGAACGGAGGGAAGTCCCGGTGCTCACGTGCCACCCAGTGCCCGGCCGACAGGCCGGCGCCCTGGGCAGGATTCTCAGCCCGCGCGGCCGCTCCCGCCAGGCGCCCCGAGGCGGCACCCGGGGGCCGTCTGCAGGGGGCGGGGGCTCAGGCGCCCGGGCGCCGTGGGCGCAGACGCGGGCTCTGATTGGTGGTCCCGGAGAGGGGCGGCCTCTGAGTGCGAGCCCGAGCACCTCTGGCCAGAGCACTGCGGCCTGTCCCCTGGGCAGGGACCTGGGGCAGTGTGGGGCCCAGACGGGGGTGGGGCTCGGGGACGAGCACAGATGTCCCCACAGCTGCCATGGCTCCCACGGCGGCACGGGCCCTGGGCAGGGCTCTGGGAGGGGCCGCCCCCCCACCCCCGCCCCGGCTCACCTGTGCAGAGGGGCCCAGCGCCTGTCACACGTGGCTGTTCCAGGCAGCAGTGTCCAGCCCGGGCTGCTGGGGGGGTGGGGGGCGATGTTAAGTGTCACCCGGAGACATTGCAGGGGCCACCTCAGGCCCCGAGGTCCCTGGGCTTGTCCCTGCACACCTGTTCGCCAAGACCCGCAAGGCCTGGCTGCCCGGCGGGGGGGCGTGTCTGGCCTGGGCCGCGTGTCCCAGGCGCTGGGCGGTCAGCCGGTGGAACCAGGGCGCTGAGGCAGACGTGTGCCAGCGGGCCTGCGGGCGCCGGGGGGAGAGGCGGGGCGGTCAGGGCCGGGGGAGAGGCGGCCGCCGCCGGGCACGAGGCAGGGCGTTCGGTGGTGTCGGGAGCAGGGGCAGAACCAGCAGCAGCCGGGGAGCCCACGGGGGTGGGGTGGCGATGGCTGCGTGTGCGCTGGCCACGTGCCCCCCGAGGAGCAGGGAGGCCCCCAGTGACAGGCCTGCGGGGCCTGGAGCCTCCGGGGGGGTCTGTCCCGCGCCCCAGGCGGGCCCTGGCCACCAGGCTCACGCTGTCCCCCTGCGGTGGACTCAGGGACAGGAGGGCCTTCCAGAGGGGAGTGGCCAGGTCAGGGGCGGTGGTGGGCAGGGACCCTGGGGACAGCATTGGGGTCTGGATGGGGGCACGGAGTCCAGCAGGTCAGGACAGTCACGGGCAGCCCCTGGACAGCTTGTCCACACCGGGCCACCTGCCCTTCCAGGAGGGAGGGTGGCCAGCAGGGTACGGCCACCAGGACCCTGTCACTGCTCCTGAATGGGGGGGGCCGCGCTGAGCTGGGGGACCCGGGGCTCCTGCCGGGGCTGACGTAGGCGCTGCCCGGCGGGGGAGGGGCGGCGCAGCTAATGAGTTCCAGGAGGTCAGCTGTGAGGGGCCGCAAACCCATAAACCCTTTATTGGTGTCTCAGGAGGGGAAGCCCGGCCGCGGCCGTGTGTTTGTTTTGGACCTCACTTTTCTCTGTTTCACATGCACTGCCAGGACCGTCCGTGAGGTTTTAAAGGAACAGGACTTCCTTTCTCAGCGGAGGGGGCCCTGTTTCTCTCAGTCCTGAAGAAGAAAGGAACCCTGGGTTTCTGACGCTCCGACCGCTGGCCCCGCGGCTCCCCCCAGGCTGCCCCTCCCTGGGTCAGGGCGCCGGGAGCCTGGCCCCCACGTGGCCCCGATGTGGCCCTGCGGGCAGGCACGGGGGGCTGGGCACAGCCGGGCAGGGGCAGGCCTGGCTGGGACCGAGGGCCTGGCTCCGACGCCACCCGGCCGCTGGCAGGCCGGTGCCCGGAAGGCAGGCCGTCCGCGGCAGCGCCCGCAAGGCATGTCCGGGGGTCAGTTCCTTCCTCCCAAGGGCTAATCCCGGGGCAGACACAGCCCCAGCCAGAGCGTTGCCCCCTGGCACTGGGCGTTGAAGCCCCGCTCACTCCCCCTGCCCTGTGCCCGGCAGGTGGGAGCGGGGACAGGGGGTCGAAGAAGGAGGCTGCACTCAGGCCACGTGCAGCTCCAGGGAGGGCCGAGGGTGGGGACAGGGACGCGACAGGCTTGTTGGGGGCAGGTCAGGGAGCGGCCGAGCCTGTGCTCAGCAGGCCCCGCGAGCTGGCTCAGGGTGGGCGCCAGGTGCCGGGTGCCCCGAGGCAAGGAGGGTCGCTCCTAGGCCGGGAGGCTCTGGACGCTGCGCACGTCCCCACTGAGGGCACAGCTGCGCGCAGACAGGGACCTGGCTGGGTGCTCCCGCAGCTCCCACCCTGGCTCAGACGTGGACGCCCCGGTGTGACTGGGGGGCGTGGCCCAGGGCAGCGCCCTGTCCCCGCCAGCCTGTGCTCGGGGATCGGGGCGGCCCCGAGGCGCCCACACCCTCCCCACGGGGAAGCCGTCTGACCGCCATCGCCCAGCAGACGCGTCCTGTGCTGTGGGCGCAGTTCGCCCCGGGGAGGGGAGGGGGTGTGGTGGGGGCCGAGCGGCCGCTGCGCCGGCCTCTGCCTTGGGCACGCCCGCGCGCGTGCGCAGGAGCGGACGCAGGGACGCGGCCCCGGAGACGGTGGTGTCCTCCCGGTCGCCCCTGGGAGGGGTGGACGGTCAGGGAGACGTGTGAGCCGGCGCAGGGGCCGGAGCGGGAGAAGTGTGGGGAGCAGGGCTGGGCGGGCCACGGGCAGGGCCGGGGCTGCCCCCGTGGGGGGATCTCCCCTTCACTGCTGGACAGACACCCCCACTCCCGGACAAAGAACTTGCGAGCGGGTGGGAGGCAGCGAGATCCGGCCTGCGGTGCCGCGGGACGCGCAGTGGGCCAAGTGGAAACCAGGGTGCCGTTAAAGTGGATGCGAGGTCTGCCCTGTAGGCCTCTGGGGTGGGACTCTCACGCGGAGGAGGCCCCAGCCCGCAAGCTGGCCCTGGGCCAGTGAGGGCAGGAAGAAGGGGCGGCGGCCCCAGGGGAGCAGCGAGGTGCCCAAGTTCTCACCCAGGTCCCGACAGCGGAGCTGCAGTGGCCCCGGGAGCTGGCTGACCAGCACCAGCCAGACCTGGCGGTGGAGGCCGAGCCTGGAGCGGCCCCACCAGGGGTGGGTGAAGGTGCTGGAGGGGTAGGGGGGCTGGGCCAGGACAGAGGGCGGGGAGGGGGGTCCACCAGCAGGGCTCTGGCACCGCGGTCCCCACCCCGGAGCCTCCATCACCAGGAGGCAGGGAGGCCCCACCCTCTGCCGTCCCCCACCCGCAGGAGGGGTGGTAAGGACAGTTCCCCGATCAGAGGTCGCTGCCTGGGGTATGTCCGGGTGGTGACTGGCAGACGTGGCCCTGGCACCTGTCCTTCAGAGTCAGGAGGGAGAGAGCAGCATGTGGGGACAGGTGGTGACAAAGTGTGACGGAGCCTTGAGCATGTAGCTGCGGTGCCCGCACACGTGTGCGCACACGCCGACACGCTGGCCCCCGGGCTCCGCGCTGCCAGAGGCCTCATGCTACCGATAAGGAAACTGAGGCCCAGAGGCGACACCGCTGCCCGGTGTCACCCCCAAGCTAGCGTCCCTGACCCTCCAAGCCACTTCTTTCCTCGTCACTCTTAGTGCGTTCATGACCTGAGCGGAAGGGGGTCGGTCCACAGGGGCCCCTCGGCCCCCGGATGAGCGTCCCTGATGAGAGAAGGGTCTGCCTGTCCCTGTGCATCTGCTGACGTTTCGGTCCCGTGCACGTCGGCCCCCGCGGGAGCCAGGTCCAGAGCGCTGGGCGCGCCGGCCCCGGACCGGCCCGCTGGAGCTCTTCCCCATCCCCAGGTGGCCCGCCCGAAGGAGCCGCCGGACCAGGAAGCGCAGCAGCCGCGCCAGGCCCGCCTCAGCCCGGCCTCCGCGACGAAGCAGTGAGCCCAGCTGGCAGCCCCCGGGAGGGCTGACCGCTGGGCCAAGCACCCGGACCAGCCACGACCGAGGAGGCCGGCACTCACGCGGCTCAGGGTCCACGCTGGTCGGGGCTCACCCCCAGCACCCTCTGGTCCCCGGCCCACTGAGCTCCCCGGCTCTGGGACGCGGGCCTGGGCTGCCGCTGGACCGTCCGTGCTCAGGGACACCCCTGCCCAGCAGGCCCTCCCAGCCGCACGCAGCCTCCCCGAGCCACAGCGCCTGGCACTAGGTCCCCACCTGGACGAGCAGATCGGAACAGACCCCGGCGGCCGGGCCGCCAGGCCGCTTCCTCGACCACAGGCTGCGTTCCATGCCCTGGGCTCTGTAAACACCGGGAAACACGTGGAAAACCCTTCCACTGGCTGGAGCCAAAAACAGAATGTCCTGCGAGGCCCAGCCTCACCTCCCACGCCCGGAGCTGCAGAACCTTCCGGATCCAGGAACTGCAGGTCTGTCACGGTGGCAGGTGGCTGGAAATGACTCAGTCTTCCCCGTGACTCACTGGCCGGGGAGGAACGGGGTGCAGAAGTCAGCCTTGCACAGCCTCCCACGCTCACACCTGCGGCCCCGGGCCCGTCCCTGGCGTGGGCCTCGGAGATGGGGCGGCGTTCACGGCCCGTCTCCCCGCAGCGCTGCTCGGAGGCGTCCGTTTTCCTCGGCAGGCGGCCTCCGCTGTGGTGTCGGCGGCCCCAGCCGGTCCCGGATTCGCCCGGTGCCCGCGGTCCCTGCGGGCCCAGCCCCTCCCGGGAACCCCCGTCGTACCCTCAAGGACTGGGGGTGGGGTCAAAAGCCCACGAAGCCCACCCCACCGTGGCCACGGCACGCGTGGCCCAAACGCATGATGGCCACCTGTCTCCTTCAAGATGGATCCAGGCTCGTTTTCTGGTTGAACTTAGACGGAGTTGCCGTATGTTGCGAGCGGGGCAGAAGGGTGTCCCTCTGCCCGGCTGTTGGCGGTCGTGTCGAGGAGGATCCTGAAGCTCAGCTCGGGCTCAGGGGGACAGAGCAATGGCTGCTCGGGGCAACAGAGGCATCCGTGGGGGCGGGGGGGTGCGTGCCCCCTGATATCCACCCACCTGCAGCAGCCGTTGGGGCCAATAGCAACCCCGGAGGTGGGCGACCCCGCTGCTGGGGGGCCTTTCCCCACACGGGCACGGCCAGGCCCTTGAGAGAGACCCAGGGCCTGGCGTTCGGCGGCGTGTCCCCGCCATCCGTCCACAACCAGGGTGCCCTGCCCGTGGCCCCAGCAGAAGGCCCAGAGGGAGGGGGCGGGAGGGAGGGCCTGGGAGCCGGGGACTGGGGTCGGGTCAGCGCCCCGCCCTCGGCGGCCCCGTGTCCCACGTGTGGGACCGGGGCTCCAGGCACAGGGGAGGCGCTTCGCAACCGCGCAGGAGCGAGAGGGGCTGCGTCAGGCCTGCAAGGGGCCGGGCGACCTCCCGAGGCTGGCGTGAGAGCCCCCACCCTCTGACCGCCGTACCCCGCCCCCCCGCCCCCCGGCTCCTGCGACTTCAGATCGTCCTTGCCTGTCACGGCCGCACCCAAGCACCCGCGGGGCCGCTAAGACTTTTACCTTTCGGCAGGTGTTTCTGCCCATGTCGGAGAACCTGCTTTTGCTTATTCGAGACGAAGTGGCACACTAGGGAGAAGGAGGGGTTTTCTAAGAGGAATAAATGGGTGTTTCCGTATGTGATGCCCGCAGTGAGCGTGTGGGCCTCTGTGTCGGACGCTACGGTCCCTCGGGGCCCCCACCACAGCCTGTTGGGGCCCAGTTTGCAGGCGAGGAGGCGGGCTGGGGGCTGCGCTGGCCTCACCCACCCTGCTCTGCCCGGGGGCTTCGGGCGCAGCGTCCTGCTGACGGGTGGGCAGAGCCGGCGCTCTGTCGGGCGCCCTGTGGTGGGCGTGCACCTGTCCTCACGTGCACCATCCTGTGTGGGAGGCGCAGGGAGGGGGAGGCAGGGGCCCATGCTGGTGGGTGGGGTCAGGGCGGACCTGCTGCCCTCCCGTGGCCCGAGGGGACCGGCGGAAGGTGGCCTGCCCCCTGCCTGGGGCTGCTCCCGGGAGCTCGGGCCAGGGCCTCCCTCAGGACAGCCCCCGCCACCCCGCGGAGGCCCAGCGGGTGCCTCTCCAGCTGCCCGACCCCAGGCAGGCTCCCTGGGCCTCTGCTTTCTCCTCCATAATGTGGGCAACACCGCCCCAGGGGTCACAGTGAGTCCTGACCAAGGCACCGACCAGATGGATGCCTGGTGCGCCACTGCCCCGTGGCCGCTGTGGCGCGGGGACAGTCGGGTGTGGGGCACCAAGCTTCCCAGGGGTCACAGGACAGGCCCGCAGCCCACAGCGGGCGGAGGCTCATGGCTGGAGAGAGCGGGAGGCCGTGGGCGAAAGGCCCGCCCGGAGCGCACAGCGGGCGGAAGGCACTGACACTGCAGCCGACTGGGGAGGGCGACCGAGCTCGGAGGGGCCGGCCCAGCCTCGAAAGCCCCGGCTTGGTCGCAGGAGGGGGACAGCGAGCCACAGGCCCCTGGAGGCCAGCCGGCCGGGCGGGGGCAGGGCTGGCGCCAGGGCCTTTCCACGCCAACAGCCTCACCTGCAGACGCTGCGGTGCAGCCGGAGTCCTCCCCGCCCCGCCCCGCCCCGCGGGCTCGGAGGCTGCGGGCTTACACTGCCTCTGCTGCTTTAAATGCTCCTCTTAAAAAGTTGTGCTTGAGCCCCGGCTGGTGTGGCTCAGAGGACGGAGCGCCGGCCTGCGAACCAGCGGGTCTCCAGTTCAATCCCCACCCAGGGCACACGCCCAGGTTGCAGGCCAGGCCCCCAGTAGGGGGCGTGCGAGCGGCAACGGCACAGGGATGTTTCTCTCCCTCTTTCTCCCTTCCCCTCTCTCTAAAAACAAGTAAATAAAATCTTCTATTACAAAATTGTACTTGACGTTATACCATTCGAGTCTTCCGGCATCACCAGAACGGCCCCAGAGCACGATTTCGTTGGCGGCCAAGCCAGGACGGGCCCTGGGTCTCCCGCCTGCCCGGGTCCCGCGACACCCGGAAGCGGGCGTCTCTGCCCTGGAACCCCGGGGAGAAGGGCGACGCTGCCTGCGGAAGGCGGGGCGGGGGGCCCTACCCGCGCTCGACTGGAACCCCCCGCGGCCCCTCCCTGCAGAACCTCCAGCTCAACGCGTGCGCGTGCGCAGTCCGCGCTGTTTTCTTGAGCTGAAGCAGCAGTGAACATCCCAGCAGCGAACACGGACCGACATTTGGATCGTTTCCCTGAGATCATGAGCAGAAGCCCCTGCAAGGGTGTCCAGGTGTATGCGGGAGTGCGGGGTGGGGGGCGGGGGGGAGGACTCCACGGAGACCCTGTTGCTCCCCGAACACAGGGAGGAGCCCAGCGAGCGAGCCGGTCGGAGGGCCCCGCACACCGGCTGCGCGGGGTGCTGGGCACGCGCCGGGCCCCGCCGCCGCTGCCTGGTGCCCCAGCGGCACCGCCCAGCCTCCGTGTAGGGGCAGGGCAGACCCACCTGCCCCTCTGGGCCCTGGCACCTCCCAGCCTCATTCCCAGAGCAGGTGGGGGGAACCTGGAGCAGAGGCTCTGGTTTCTCCTACGTGGAAGGACCAGCCACTCTGGGAAGAGCCATGTCCCTCAGCGGCCATTGGAGGGAAGGAGAGAAAGTTGGGGGGAGGGGGTGCAGCCAGGCAGCGAGGCCTGCCACTAGCAGCACCACTCAGAACCCCCCGCCCAGCCTTGCGGGGCGCAGCCTGCGGGCCAGGTGAGGACGCTCACGCCTTCCCCCGCGTGGAGCCCTGAGTCCCGGGGCGTCCGGAGGTCGGCCGCGGGCTCCCCACCTAAGCGGCACACACACTCAGGCGCTAAATTAAAATGTCACAGGCCTGGGGGAGGCTCGGGTTTCCTGCCGCAGAGCGCGAGCCTGCTTGATAGACCAGCTTGGTTTTGATAAACGTGGACTTTCTACAGCAGAGACAAAGGCGCCCTTGAGTGCAGAGCAGAACCTAAACCGGCACATCGCTGAAAACTATTTCCTGATAATATTTTTAGCACCTGAAAAAAAAAGTTTTTTTCTCTCTTTTTTTTTTTTGGCCTGTGGCGTTGTGTGTGTGTGTGTGTGTGGTTTTTTCTGAAATGCAGCACCCAGGGTGGGAGGCCTCATGGCCGGGCCGGGCTCCGATCTGGGCTCCAGGGCAGCAGCGTCCCCTGTGGGGACCCAGGGGCGGGCCTTTCCCAGGGTCCCCTGAAGCGTGTGCTCAGCAGACGGTCAGCAACGCCCAGGAGGATGGGGAGCGGGGCTGGGCAGGAGGTGGGCAGGTCTAGCAGGGGTCGGAGGTCAGGCCCTGATGCCCCTGCCCTGCTTGGTGCTCTGTGTGTGTGGTGCATGTGCCGGAGAGTTGTGAGCCTGTGAGAGAATGTGTGTGCGTGTGCGGTCTCCTGGTGTGAGGACGTGCGTGGCAATACACATGTGTAACAGAGCATAGTGTGTCTGCATGCGAGGTGCACGTGTGAAGTGGGCATGGGTGTGAGAGGGTGTGGCGAGTGGGGATGGGCCTTCCCTTCCCAGTCGCCCTGGGAGCCGCGTGGACTCGAGTACTGTCCCTGCAGAGCCCTGAGGTCAGCTGCCACCTCTGACCTTTGCCCTCTGCCGATGGGGGCCTTCACTGCTCTCGCCCTTCCTTTCCTGTGGCCGCACTGCCCTGTGGTCCTGGGTGTTGGGCCGCCCGCCGTCGCGCTGCATGGGGCCAGGGCTGCGCCTACGGGCACCTTGCTCTCCGGGAGCAGCCCGTGCGGTGCCGGCCTCCGGAGGTTCCCGCCCAGCCCCGGCAGCAGCCCGTTCGGCAGAGTCACGGCGGTGCTCCTAGCTCTGGCTGTAAACCAAGTCGGGCCCGTGGAAGACGTTTTGGAAAATACGGAAAAACATGAGGACAGACGTGAGCCCAGCCCCGGGGCTGCTGGGCCTGCGCTGCTCCTCCTGCTCATCTGGGGGGGGGGGGGGGGGGGGGGCGTGCACCGGCCTTCAGGGGCCGGGGGCTGGGCTTGCAGTCCCCAGGGTTCTGGGAACAGAGCGGGCCGGAGGGACTGAGGCCACCGGCGTCGGGTCCTGCGGTGCGTCCGAGGAGGGACAGACGTTCCAAGGCGTCCGAGGCCGGCGGTCCCAGGTGCAGGAGAAGGGCTGGGATGGCCACAGGCCGCGGGCGGGAATCCGAACTGTGGGCTCTCGAGGTCCTGCTCCCACCCTGGGGCCCAACGGCTTCAGGCCCTGTGCCCCAGACCCCGACCAACCAGCCTGGCTCCAGCGACGGGCGAATGGGCAGACGCTTTACAGCGGAGCCTGTCAAGATGCCTCTGCTGGGAGGCTCCCCTAGGCCCACAACCCCCCAGGAGGCCCCTAGGGCTGGAACACTCCGTTTAATGCCCTGAGGGCCCCAGGCCAGGGGTCCTTCCCACATTCAGCCAGATGGAAGCCTCGTCCCTGCACAGGAGTCCAGGGTCCCCAGGGTCCCCAGGCCCCGGGCTGGGGGTGGAGGCAGCATGCAGCTGGCTTCAGGCCGCTTCCAGGCTTAGCCGGGGTGGCACCCACTGATGACACTCTGCAGCGGGGTGACCAGGCCCCCTGGCTGGGCAGCAGCCTAAGAGGGCACCTGGGGAAGCCTGCCCGCCAGGCCCAGCATCTCAGGCTGGCTTTTCTGTCCCCAAACTGCTCAGTGAGCAGGCCTGCGGGCTCACGGAGGAGAAGGATGACCCCTGTCCGGGGCGTGCGCCCCCGAAGCCCTCACGTCGCCAGCGTCCCGGCCCTGGGAGCGCCGCGAGCGCCTGGTCAGGCTGCGCGCGCCCCCGCGCCCCCGCGGGCCTGGCGCTTTAAGAGCCTCCTATTTGCATGGCCCCGCCCCGGGCCGGTGGCCACCCCGCTGGATATTTAAATCGCGGCCCCGGGGCGGGGCCGGCTCCGAACGCGGTCCCGCCCGGCGCCTTCCTCCGCGGAGCGACCCCCGGAGCGCGGCCGGGCTGAGCTTGCGGACGCAGGGCGCGGGGCTACCGACGGCGCGGCCGCGCTGCCTGCAGCCCGCTCGGCCCTGCCAACCGCGGCCTCCCCCCAGCCCGCGGGGACCTCGAGGCCCCTCTCTGTCCCGCTCTGTCCCGGTCCTGTCCTCGCTGCGTCCCCGCTGTGTTCCCCTCTGTCGCGCTCGGTCCCCGCCGCCGACCCCTGGCGATGCCGCGCGGTGCCGCCTGGGCGCTGCTCTTGGCGGCGGCCCTGGGGCTCGGAGCGCGCGGAGTGCGCGGCGCGGTGGCGCTGACCGACTTCTACCCGTTCGGAGCGGAGCACGGCGACGCTGTCACCCCCAAGCAGGACGACGGCGGGTCGGGGCTGCGGCCGCTCTCCGTGCCCTTCCCGTTCTTCGGCGCCGAGCACTCCGGCCTTTATGTGAGTACCCGAGCCCGCGGGCGCCAGGGAGGGCGCCGCGCCCCGCCGCTGCCCGCGCCCGCCGCCCGGACTCCCGCCGCCGCCGCCAGCAACTTGGCACCACGGCGGCCAGGGGTGGAATGAGGACAGCGCTTCCTCCCTCGGCGGCCAAGGCCGGACAGCGGCCGCGGGAGAGGCGCGCCGGGCGGGGGTGCGAGCGGCTGCCCCGCCACCTTGGCGACGGCAGCGCGGCGCGCCCTGTCCCGGCCCCGGCCCCGGCGCGACCGGCCCGGAGCCTGGGCAGCGCGCACGAAGCGGTTGTGCGGTGCCTGGTCCCCAGCGCGGCGGGGAGTCCGGGCCCGTCCTGGCTCTTTCGCAGGCAGCGGGCAGGGGCCAGTTCTGCCTGCCCCGCGCGCGGGGCGGCCGCTGGGCCACGGGCACTCACTGTGGGTGGCCTCGCGCTCGGCACCCCGCCGTCCGGGGACACCCTGACTCCAGGCTGGAGAGGGGCTGGCAGCCAGAGTCCTGGCACCTCCATCACCGGGGCCCTGAACACAGCCGGCCACTCCCCCCACCACCAGCGCCCGCCTTCGTCCCCCCACCGCCAGCGCTGTCACCTGCTCCGACTTCCCCACCCGCGCCACCGTCCCCGTCTTGGGCACTGCTGTCACCTTTCCCCGCCACTGCTCATGGGGCCTCTGCCCGCCCCTCGCCACCCAGGTCCGCGGCGTCTTTGGCTCCCCCGCCGCGTGGCCGCCCCCGCGGGAGCTGCCCTCCCCGCGCCTGTGCGGAGAGGCCTCCTCACTGGGCGGCGCCTTTGCTGGTGGACGGTGGTGGGAGGGGCAGCCGTTCCCTCTGTAGATGCCACCGCCAAAGGCCCTCGGGGCCAGGGCCCGGCCAGCAGGGCGGGGCTGACCTCGGACGGTGGGGGGAGGGGCAGAGCTGTGCTGGGGTCTGCCGGGCCGGGCCGGGAGGCCCACGCGTCTCTGAAGCGGGGAGGCTCGTGCGCCACCACAGTAACACGACGCTGCATCGGAACGTCCCTTAGGGACTGGGCCAGGCTCAGCTTTCCCGCTCCCAGTCACAGGTGAAAATGCGATGAGGCCATCGACCCCCTAACGCCCTCCCTGAAAACCCCGACCGCTGCCTAAACACCGGGCCGGGGCACCGACGCAGGCAGAGCCGCTAGCAAAACAAACGGTTCCGTCGGAAACGAACATTCTGCCTGCAAACAAAACGCGGATCTCGAGAGGGCCTTTCCCTGGATCGGGGCTGCTGCTTGGAAACTCTCGCCCCGGTGGACACAGGGGCCTGTCGCCTCCCTGCTGCGCAGTGGGAACCACCGCGGAGCTGTCGCGGGAGCCGTGCTCGCGGGGCACCGGCCTGGAGCGCCTCCTGGGCCCTGGGCTGGGCGGCGCAGGCAGGTGGGGAGGGCGGCCTTGCAGCCACAGCTGCAGGAGAGAAGGGAAGGCATTCATTCTGAAGAGAGTGGGTCCAGCCCGGTGACCCCACCCCCCTCAGGCGAGGGGACACCCCCGTGTGCCCCTGACTGTGACCCCTGCCCAGCAGGTCCCCTGTGGCCAGCCCTGAGCCCGGGCACTTGTGTCCAGCCGAGCGGGACCCCTCTCTGAGTCAGTCCTGCCCTACTGGCCTCTGTCCCCTCCGTCCCCAGCCCAGGGCTTGGCAAAGAGCAGGCTTGGTGGGCGGGTGGGTGCCCCGCCATCTGACGGGGCCCACTTGTCACACAGCCTGAGTGAGGAGGGGCTCCGCTTGGAGACAGTGCCTTCTGAGTCTGTGTCGAAACAGCACGCCGGTCACAGCCCCAGCGAGGGCCGGTGCTCTGGCGTGTGGGGCCCCGTTCCAGGAGGCTCCAGCACCGCGCCTCTTCCCACTCACAGCAGCTGCGAGGCTCTGAAACCTGCGGAGCGAGCGCCGGTCTGCTGCTCAGGCCCCGCGCCAGCCAGGCCCCTGCTGTCCGGGGCGGGGGTGGGGGAGGCGCAGAGGGGGCCGCCGCTGCGGCCACCCTGCCACCACCGTGAGGTTTCCCTGCAGGTGCTGACACAGCTCGGGGGCCCAGGTGGCGGCCGAGCCCTGGCCGCCGGGGCCGACTGAGGTGGAGCGTCCACGCAGGGCAGCAGGGTTCCGAGGAGCAGCGATTCTGCAGGCGGCTCGGGTGCGGCCCCTGCCCAGGGTGGGGTCGTGGAGGTGCGAGGGAAGACCCTGGTCTATGTTTGTCACCACGCTGGGCAGCACACCACCCCTCGGCCTCTGTCCCTTCATTGGGGAAGGGGATGCCAGGCGGGTGACATCGGGAAGGTGCCGTGCACCCTCTGAGGGGCCCCCGCGCTGCGCGGGGGGTGCAGGGTCTGCTGGTCATGCCGCCAAGCCTGAGCTGTTGTGGGGTGGACATCGTGCGCCTCGGGGTCCCCTCCCCCGCCGCCCCAGGCCTCCTCCTGCCCCTGCTGGCCCCTCACCTGCGCGGCTCTGACCCCCTGACCCTCCTTGTCTCTTGGAAGACGTGGGGCCAGGCCCAGGACGCAGGGCTGTGAATGGGAGCCGGGTGGGCCATGCGCCTGTGGGGCCAGAGGGAAGCGTCGACGGTGGCTTTGATGAGGGGGGGGCGCCTGCCCGCTCCCGCCGAGCGCACGGTCCCCACCCCGCCTCCCCCAGATCAGCGCAGCCGTGGCTGGTCATCTCCTCCGCAAGCCTCAGTTTCCCCTCTGTGCGGCAGAGTGCCTCCATCTGAGCATGCCCGGGACACACGTCCAACCTCGGGTAAACCCACCCCGAGCCACAGGGACCTGCCGGCAGCCACGCTTTCCTTCCGTGGCTGTAAGTTCCTCCGAGGACGCGGCCTGGGTCAGAGGGACTGCGCGTCTCACGGCGTCGCCCTGCTGTCCCGTCCCCCGGCGGCCGTCCCCGTCGGCACCCCTCTCTCCCGGGCGAAGGCACCACCTCGCCAGGCCCAGGTCGGGCTGGAAGTGGCCCCCCCACCCCGCTGCGGCGTGGCCCAGATCGGCGCTCGCGGCCGGAGCAGGCCCTGGCGTGGGGGCCCTGCGGGGCCGCCTGGTGCGTGACAGAAGTGCCCCCGCGTGTGCGGGCCCAGGGCCAGCCTTTCACCTGGACGGGCCGGTGCCTGTCCAGGGCCCCAGCCCAGAGGCGGCGCTGCTGCTCCTCCCGAGGCGCCCGCCGGCCTGGTGGCCCTCGACACGCCTGACCCTGCAGGACCGGCCAGGGCAAGTCGCCCCCAAGGGCCTGGCCATGGGTGCTCCTGTGCCCCCGGCTGCCCTGGGCATCCTTGTGGTCAGACTGATGACCAGGGCGGGGACAGTGGACCCAGGACAGAGGCAGCTGCCGAGCCTGGGCCCGGGGACTCCCCTGCCGTGGGTCTGTGCGCAGGCGGCTGGGTGGGCCCCCGGCGGTCTCAGCCCCCGCCCCCTCCGTGTGGCCCGGCCTCAGTACCTCAGCCTCCACCTCCCGGCTCTTCGCCAGGCGGGGCAGCCGCCCGTTAACCCTGCGGGGACCCCACGCCCCTCATGCAGCAGGCAGCCAGGGCCCCTATGTCCTCCCGGCTGGGCCAGGTGCTTGCCCAGTGCCAGGCGCCTGGCACAGCCCCGGGTCCTTGAACCTTCTGCCGCCTGCTCGGGTCCCGGGGCGTCGGGCGCAGGCCACCGTGGGGGCTTGCGGGGGGCGGGCCTGGGAGGGGCCGGCCCCAGGAGTGGGGGCTGTGGGAGCGGTGGGCTGGCCCGGGCGTGGGCGGGGCGTGGGGCGCATCGGGTCCCCAGTGGGAGTGTGTGCTGGGCTCTGCTGCTGGGGGGGGGGGGCACGGGGCTGCTGCCCCCGGCGGACATGGCCAGGGCCTCTGTGGAGCCGGGCTCTGGCCCTAGAGGGGCACCTGCCGAGGGGTCCCAGAGGTGAGGCAAAGAGCTGGCTTTGCCGGGGCGGGGGAGGCAGGAGCAGCGTCTACACAAGGCAGGGGATGGGCCCGCGGAGGGGGGGACCGGACCTGGGAGGGACAGGTGCTTGGACGCCCCGAAAGGCAGCCCCGGTTGGAGGAGCTCAGAGGCACTGGTGGGGCGGGGCAGGGGTGGGGCGCAGTGGCCACGGGGGGGGGGGGGGGCCGGCGCGCAGAGAGCGGAAGCGCAGCCCAGGCCCCACAGCCCAGCAGGGCTCGAACCGGGAGGGAAGGGAGGGCTGTTTGCCCAACACCAGCTTCTCTGTCTCCCCCAGCCCCGGAATTCCTCCTTCACCCCCACCCGCGCACCCACCGGGCGCCGGCCCCTCTCAGAGGCCCCTCCCCCAGGAAGCTGGCCCTGGCCTCCCAACCCTCCTGTGGCCCTGAGCACGGTTCCCCGAGGACCCCTGGATGGTGCCCAGCCAAGGCAGCCTCCCCGCCCCGGGCTGGGTGTGCGCGGGCTCGGGCCTCGGACCGGCCCTGCCTGGGGGCCCCGGGGGCCCTGCCCACTCGCTGCCCTGTGAGCAGGGCTCCAGCCCCGGCTGTGCTTGTGGGAGGGGCCTTGATTACCCAGAGAGCTGCCAGGAAATAAAAGACGTGCCTACATTTCTCAAAACAAGCTTATAAAAGGCCTCAGGGGCTTGATTGTTGTGTTTTTGGCAGAGAAGTCAAAGCAGGAACCAAGGCCCGCCCTTTCTCGGCTCCGATGTTTGCAGAGCTGGGGTGCCGTGGCCGCACACACGGGGTCCCTGGCTCCCCTCCAGGCCGCCCGCTCGGCACGGCCCCTTCGCCCAGGGTGGTGGCACCAATAGGCTGCGCCCTGGAGCTCTGTCACTTGGGAGCAGCCAGTCACGAGCCCGCGCTTGGGCTGGAGGTCACCTCCAAGAGACTCTCGGGACACTGCCGCTCTTTCCCGCTCTTCCCCAAGTCGGAACTGCCCCCAGTGCAGCCGCTGCGCCTTCCCCCACGCTGCCTGCGGGGCAGGCCGGGGCCCCCCCGCCGGCCCCCTCCGGGCCACACAGCCCAGCTCAAGGATGGGCCTCCCTCACGCCCCGGGGCCACCTGCAGTTCACGGGGTCATGGCAGGGCCTCTCCCAGCTGACCAGCCGCTCCCCTCCCCAGGTTCTCTTCCTGCTCAGAGGCAATGGGACCCCCTCCCAGGCCTGGGCGAGGAAGGCGCACCTTCCCCCACCCACCCCGCACGCAGCTCCGTCCACCGCAGGCGGCCGGTGTGCAGTCCCACCCGGGGCTGGGACACCCCGTGGCACCTTGCTTTTCTCTGCAGCAGGTGCTTGGACACAGAGAGGTGGCCCTGCTGGAGGCACAGCGGTGCCTGGGCTGGGGACCCCTGGGAAGCAGGGGCAGAGGCCCTCGCGCGCCAGCACTGCCCGCCCCACCCCACCCCCGCTCCCAGGTCCCCCTGTGTCCCCGTGCGCGTCCGCCGGGCGTCCCTGGGCGGGGCTGGGCTGGGCTCAGGCGCGCACGGCCCCTGGCGTGGGGGTGCTGGCGGCCCCGGCGGTGCAGCAGGGCCACCGGCCTGTGCCCAGGGCGCCCTTTCTCCTGTTTCATGCCTGTCGCGTGCTTTCCTCAGTAGGAAAACCGTGATGATGAAACGGGTACTCGGAGGGAAGCGGCCCTTGCTGGGCCCGTGCAGCCTGCTTCCCCGCTCTGCCGCCCCGGGCCTCCGGTCGGCCCTGCCGGCTCCCCGCCCCCGCCGGGCACGCGGAGCTCTCTGCCGGCTCGAGGGCGTCCAAGGCAGCTCCTGCCCAGGTGACGCCTGCCAGCGGCCCGCTCGCCCAGCGCCCGGCCCCGCCGCCTCCTCTGCTGTGGCCCTGGCCCGGCCCTGCCCTGCTCTGGCAGGGGAACAGGGCCGGCTTGTTCTGCCTCCTTCCTGGACCCCCGGGCTCTGGGCCCACAGCCCCGGGGGGAGGCACGCAGGAGGGAGGGAGAGGCCAAGTGCTGGTGGGCAGGCTGCACACACCACACACACCTGAGAGTTGGACTCGCACTTCAAAGGCAGGAAGGAAACCCGGTCCGTCTGCAGGAGCCACAGCAGGGGACGAGGGCGGGGGGCAGGGGGGGCAGCCGTGGGGGAGGGGGCTGTGGATGCAGGAGGGGCTGCTGGTAGGTCCCGCCCCAGCAGGTGGCCCACGGCGCCTGCAGCGGAAGCCCAGTCCCAGGGCCACCCCCGCCCTCCCCCAGGAAACCAGTCCAGCCTCAGCGGGGCCAAGGCCGCTGCGGCAGCGGCTTCCCCTCAGCAGCACAGAGCCCTTCTCTCGCCGGGCCCACGGGTGGTCTGAGGAGGGGCCCGGAGGTGGGGGACCCAGAGGTCCCTCTGGCAGCGGCCCGCCCCAGTCAGTCCCGTCAGAGGGAGTGCCGACGAGAGAGCTGGGCTGTTTCATCGGTGGCTCAGTCTGTCCCCACAGCAGCCGCCCCAAAGTGGGGGTCCCTGGTGGGCCCGGCTGTGCCCGTCCCAGCGGCAGACCCTGCAGCAGCCGGGGCCGCGGACGGGGCTGGTCCGCTGTTTTGTGGCGGGCCAGGAGTGGCCCTAAGAGCTCTGACGGCCGGGCATCCGGGCCGCCCGGGCGGCGTGTGAGCGAGTGGGCGTGGCCGTGCCGCCAGCCCGGATCCACAGGCCCAGGGGCCGCCCCGGTCGGCCACAGTCGGCCGTGCATTCGGAATGCTGTTTATATTTTTAAAGGGCTGTAAAAACGAAAACAAAAAGAACAGGGAGGAATGTGCAGCAGAGACCACATGGGGCCCGCAGGCCAAGTGTCACCGTCTGGCCCTCAGCCTACCGCCCGGACTAGGCCAATCGCGACAACCTGCGGTCTGCAAAGACCTGCCGCCTCTGGTCCCAGAGAGCCGTCCCTCCCCGACCCCGCCGGGCGCAGCTTCCACTTCCGCCCAAAGCGCGACAGGCCTCTCTGAACGCTTCTCGAGCTGGGGCCACAGCGGGGTGGCTGCCACCACCCAGGGGACCCTCAGGACCTGAGGGCCCACGAACCCAGCGGCTCCCCCGGCGCTGGGAGAAGAAGCTCCCCGGGGTGGCTCCCTGTGTCACTGACACCAAGGTGGCTCTTGCCACAGGAAACACTCTCCCTGGCCTCCCATGCTACAGGGCTCTTCCCTGGTTGGTGGTCAGGTTCACGTCGACTCACCCCAAATGGGGGCTTCGGGCCATGAGCCACAAGCCCCCGTGGCTCACACGCAACTTTGGGGGCCTCGTCAGAGGTCCCAGCAGCACCCAGTGCAGAACGGGCTGCGGCCCGGACAGGCTCCGCTCCGGCTGGGGCCACGCCCGCCCTCCGGAATCCGCGGCGTTTCTGCGGCCGGGCCTGGCGGGGGCTCTGCGGCGCCCTCTCACCTGTGAACCCGCAGCGCCGACTGCTTCCCAGCGCGGCGCCGAGCTCTGCTCCGGCCCCACCTGCACGGCGTGCACCCCGGCTTCTGCGCGCCCCCTCACACTTGGCAACGCCGGTGTCTTCGAATGCAGCCACTCCCGTGGCGGAGCGGTGGCATCGCATGGTGGCTTTGATGTGTGTTTCCCCAGGAGTCAGGGCTTACTGGCCACTCAGGTGTCGTCTGCGGTGAAATGTCTGTTCCAGGTCCTTCGCCCGTTTTTAAATCAGGTTGTTTGGGCTTCCCTGTTGTGTTGCAGGAGTGTCCCGTGTGCCCTGGATGTTAATCCCATATCAGGTGCGACTTGCAAGGGTTTTCTCCCATCCGGGATTCGCTGCAATTTCTTTGGATGCACAAAACGCTTTTAGCGTCGTCGATGAAGTGCAAAGTGGTGTGTTCTTCTGTTCCTGTGCCCCTGCTGTCACGTGGGATCACTGCCGAGGCCGGCGCTGCGAGGCGTTTGTCCCTGCTGCCCTGCGGGTTTTCAATGTCGAGCTCGGGCTCGGAGCTGTTGGGCCGGCCGAGTCCCCCCTGCACGTGGCGTCAGGGGCGGGCGCCCGCTCACTGTTGTGCGCACGCAGCCCCGTTTTCCCAGCCCCGCGGCTGGCGGCCGTGTCCCCCGCATGCGGGGGTTGCTCCCAGATCTCTGCTCCCGTCCGCAGTCTCTGCTGTGCGGTGCCGCGCTGTTGGGGTCCTGCCGCTAAGTTCTGAAATCGGGCGTGTGAGCGCCCCAACTTGGTTCTTTCTCAAGGCTCTTGCAGCTGTTCTCAGGCGTTTTAAAGCTCGCGTGTTCTTCCTGTGGACACAGTAAACGCATGCTTTGCGGGTAGCGCCAGCATCTGGTGTTTCTCTCACGCCTGCTCGCCGCCGTGGGTGGTTTCCTGCTCCCTGCATGCCAATCGCCTTTGGCCGTGTGCTGGGGTTTGCACTCAAAGCCTCGGTCACGGGAGTAGCTCCCGGCCTGAGATGCCGCCATCTGCCTCTAGAGTGCGCTCTCTCCGCCTCTGCTGGGCTCCGAGAGGGGCGGCCAGGCGGGACCCGCCTTGGCCCGCGGCCTGGGCCTGCGGAGAGGGAGTCCGAGGGAGCTGCGTGGGGCAGCCCCGGGGGCCCTGGCTGTGTGTGGGCCCTGGGCTCCCCACCTCAAGCCAGCTCCGAGCCGTGACGTTCGTCTCTCTCCAGCCATGAGGCTGCTCAAGTGGCAGGTCTGCTCAGCAGCTGTGGCTTCTAAGTCTGGGGATGCAGTCGCTTGGGGGAAGAGCTCTGAGGGCCAGGGCCCCTCCGGTCCCCTGTCCTCCGCATGGACCGAGACGCTGCCCTCGCTCCTCTGCTCTTTGGCACCTTTAGAGGAGAGGTGTGTTTATCGGCCTTGTTTGCTGGTCCGGGGGACAGCCCACCCTCGCCTGAGGCGAAGCCCTAAAGGTCTCTTACGCAAGCACAGCTCTGACCCCAAGCTCCCCAAAGAGACTCCGGTCGGCCTAGGGCCGGCTCTGTGATCGCTGACTCAGTCCACCTGCCCGGCACCCGCGAGGCCGGCGCCCGTGCTGGCCCGTCTCAGAGGCGAAAACCCGGAGCACAGCGAGCCGGGCTGCCCCTCGTGGCTGCACAGCCGGTGGGCGCGGGGTTGGGGCGGACCCCGCCGTGTCCAGCTGCGGAGCCGCTGCTCCTCCCCCTCCGCTCAGAAGCCTCTGGGGCTCCCACTGCCCACGTGCTGAGGACAAACGCCCAGCTGGCCCTCGAGGCCCCTGCAGGCTCCCCGGGAGAGGCTGGCTCTCTGCAGCCCTGCCCCGGCTCCGTGGGCGCTCCCCCCTCACCCCACCCTCCAGACCCGAGGCCGGGACCCCGTCCTTCCCCGCTGAGGCCCCCGGCTGGAGTGGGGCTGCTGAGCAGGCCTGAGCGCCTCACCTGCTCAAGACCAGGGCCCACACTGGGGCTCCCTGACCTCAGAGCAGCATCCGGGGCCGGGGACACGGCCTGTCTAGGAGGGGGCGGAGCAGGCTGAGGGGTCCTGTGTCCTGGACCAACTCTCAGGCCATCCCGGGGTGCCCTGGCCAAGGCCGGCGCACCTGCAGGTGCCGGGTGGGGGAGGGGCGCCGGCCGCCTGCCTGCCCACGGCCCATCGCTGCCTCTCCGGCTTTCCCCATCGGCAGGTGAACAACAACGGCGTCATCTCCTTCCTGAAAGAGGTCTCGCAGTTCACCCCGGTGGCCTTCCCCATCGCCAAGGACCGCTGCGTGGTGGCCGCCTTCTGGGCAGACGTGGACAACCGGCGTGCAGGGGATGTGTACTACCGGGAAGCCACCGACCCGGCCATGCTGCGCAGAGCCACGGAGGATGTCAGACGATACTTCCCTGAGCTGCCAGACTTCTCCGCCACCTGGGTTTTCATCGCCACCTGGTACCGCGTGACCTTCTTTGGAGGCAGCTCTTCCTCCCCCGTGAGTTTCTGTCCTGGGGAGGGAAGAGGTGCCGCTGGGCCCCAGTCTCCCTCCAGGACCCCCGACGTGCTGAAGGGGGCGGCGTGGTTGCTGGCCCACGTCCAAGGGGAAAAGCGGGGTTCAGGCACTGGAGTCCCTCATCAAGGTCCTGGAGCCCCGCTGGGGAAGGACAAGGCCCCCACCCTCCCGGCGCCCCAGGAAAACCCTGCCGCTCGGGGAGAAGAGGGGACATGTTGGCCGATGCCTGCTGGGCACGCTCCAGTCCTCAGGGATCAGGCAGGGAGGGACCACGTCCTCCATTTCAGTCCTTGACTGTGCCAAACAGAACAAAACGTCGGCTCAGGAGTACCCGAGCGCTTTCCGCGGCGCGGTGGGGTGCCCGGGGCGGGCGACCCCAACAAGCACAGCTCTGTCCTACGGCTGACCGGCCGTCCCGGCGAGGACGATGACCGCGTGTGCAGGAACAGTGGGTGGGGCAGGGCCTGGGAGTGGGGCCGGGGGCAGGACCCTGTTCAGGCCCCTTCTTGGCAGGTCAACACGTTCCAGACGGTGCTCATCACGGACGGCAAGTTCTCGTTCACCATCTTCAACTATGAGTCGATCACCTGGACCACGGGCACACATGCGAGCAGCGGGGGTGACACCGCTGGCCTGGGGGGCATCGCGGCCCAGGTAGGGGCCCCGCTCCCGCCTCCAGCTCTGCCCCGAGCGATGAGACAGGCAGCCCCCCGCCCCGCGGCCCACTCTGTGCACAGCCCAGAACCACGAGCACCTCCCCAGGCCGAAGTCCCCTGCGTCCTGAGCTCACTGCCTGGCCCCGCAGGGCCAGCGGCCGCAGGGACAGAGGGTCTCGGGATCTCTGTGTGCTGACTGTCCCGGGGTCCCACGGGGCTGTGGGGCCAGCAGGAAACCCCCAGGGGCTGAGGGTGGCAGGGTCAAGTGTCAGGGCCCAGGGCGGGCCAGTCCTCCGTGTGGCCACGCGCCCTCACCTACTTCCCCTGAGGCTGCTCTTGCCCCTGGCCCGAGGGGAGGCCCAGAGCCCCGGCCGTGAGCAAGGCTTGGGGTGCGCGGTCCAACTGTGCCCTTGACTGCGGCAGCTGCCGGTTGTCAGGGCCTGGCTGGGGGGCTGCTGAGCCTTGCAGGGACATTGTGGGGGTGGGGGAGGACGCCCCTAACCCTTAGAGCTCTCCGGCTTCCAAGGTTGCCTGCCACATGGGCTCTCGGACCTTGCGCACCCAGAGGAGGTGGGTGTCAGGAACCGTCCGGGGACCTGCGGACCCCGCCCGCACCTGCCCCCTCCTCTCTCCCCGCCCCAGGCCGGCTTCAACGCGGGAGATGGGCGGCGCTACTTCAGCATCCCCGGCTCGCGCACGGCGGACATGGCAGAGGTGGAGACCAGCACCAACGTGGGCGTGCCCGGGCGCTGGGCGTTCAGAATCGATGATGCCCAGGTGCGCGTGGGGGGCTGCGCCCATGCAAGTAAGAGCTCCGAGCGCGCGGCTCAGGCGCCGCGGGCGTGGCCTCGGGGCGGGGGTGGGGCGAGAGGGAGCGGGGAGGGGACTGGCGCCGGCCCCGCCCCAGGCCCCGCCCCCCGCGATGGCAGTCCCGCCCGCTGGCCCCTGAACCTCAGTCTCCTCCGGGGCCGGGTTGGGTGGGGGGTGGCCCCCTGGAGCCCACGGTTTGCTATGCAGAGGGGAAGAAACCCAGCCTCCCTCCGGGGCTCGGCCGGGCGCCCCCGGGGTCTCCTGAGTCCCCTGGACACCCGGGGAGGCAAGCGTTCCGTTCACCCCTTTTCACCTTTTCCGCTGGGAGGTGCAGCTTGTTTGACAACCCGGCCATCCATCTGCCCGACAGGAGAGAGACACCAGGGGCCCCGGACACCCAGGGGCTTTCTGGCCCAGAACACACAGCGGAGGGGGGAGGGTCCACCCCAGGGCAAGCGCATGACAGGTGGGGACAGTCCGACTGGCCTCAGAAGGGTGTGTGGCCCTGGGCGAGTCATGACTCTCCTGGGACTTTACTACTTACAAATAGAGGGAGGGGGGGTCAAGCGGTTGGCTCAGCCACGCCGCCTGGGGTGGGGGTGAGGGGGCTGCTCACAGGCCCCACCAAGCCTGGTGAGGCCGGTGCCGGCATCGGCCCCACGGACCCCCCTCCACCCCTGTGGGGACCCGGGCCTTGGGGAAGGGTTGCGCCCCCAAACGCGAAGTGCTCGGGAGACCCACGGGGTCAGGGCCAGGGAAGGTGTGCGTGCTCGAGGGACAGACATGGCGCGCGCGACACTTGGGGCAGGGGGCTCACAGAGGACGGGGGTGGCGCCCCCTGGGAGAGACCTAGGATCCCGAGCCCGCCCGCTCACTGTGGCGCCTGGGAGACCCCAGTCCAGAGTCTGAGCTTAGCGGGGCGAGGGCGCCGGGCAGCGGTGGTTCAGGGCGTGGGATACCGTTCAGTTGGGGGCTTCTTTGGGGGGACCACAGAGAGCTCTGGCTGTTTGTCCCCTGCCAGTGGCCAGGGGCTTGAGGGGTAAGGCATGGGTGCAGGTGGGGACCCTGCGCCCGTACGAGGGGTGTCAGTGCAGGTCGGGAAAGGTGGGTGAGCAGGTGTGGCAGGTCCACGCTCACCTGCAGGGGGTGCAGGCTGCGACCCTGAGGGGTGGGGTCCTCAGAAGAGGGGCCGCAGTTCTTTGGGGACCCCGTTTCCATGTGGAGGTGCCTCCCCCACTCTCCCAGGCCCCTGGGGGGAGCAGATGGAGCAGGCAGGCTGGGCCCCACCAACCAGCTGCAGAGAAGCCGCGGGAGCTCAGTGTTTGGGGAGGCGGCCTCCTTGCGTCCCCCACCCCACTGCAAGCCCAGGAGATGGAGCCGGGGAGGTGCCGTCCTGGGGCTACACCATCGCGGGGAGGGAGGGTCGCTCCTTCACACCTGAGAGGCAGGGCGTCCGCACCCGGAACTCGCTCTGAGCAAAGCTGTCCAGAGACAGCCGCCGCCCACTGCTGTGTAGCCAGACCATGGGGGCTGAGAGGCAACGTGGCTCAGTGACAGAAAGGTCCGGTCCCACAGCCTCGATGGCGTTCTGGGCCCCAGGGTCCTTCCTGGAGTGCCCCCCTCAATGCCACGCCAGTGCTCCCTGGGGCCTCACAGAACTGACCCGCGACACTGCCCAGAGCCTGCCCCTCCGTGCTGTCACCGCAGACTTCAGCAGCCTTGCTCTCCAGGGCGCTCTGCGGGCTGCATGTCCTAGAGGGCCAGGAGTGGGGTCCGGTGGCCCTGAGGGACCCTGGGAGCTCCCGGCCACCCCCGGCCGGAGCACACCACCCTCCACGGCTCCGAGCACAGGCCTTGTCTCACACACAGGGAAGGAGAGCGCAGGGCTGTCCGATTTCCGTAACTGTGAGGCAATGCTGGGACCGGGCTGCAGCCCCCAAAGGGCTTCCAGGCTCCCCCCACCATCTCTGGGTTCCACACAGGGACCCCCTTGTCCACGAGGAGCACTCACGTCTGCCCGTGTTGCTGGGAGCCCCTCCAACGTGTTGAGAGGCTGACAGGTTAACGGGATAAGAAGCTTCACGGTGTAAGGGGTCCTAGGGAAGGCTGCCTTCCACGGGCAGCTGCGGTCCCAGCTCCGGAACAGTCACACGTCCGTGGGAAACAGGCGGGGGTGGGGGCGGCTACCAGCGAGCGCCCCTGCGCCGTCCTGGGACGCGTGGCTGCCGCCGGGGGACACAACCATTCCTTGAGATGGGACTTTGGGGTCAGGGCGGGCAGGGGAGGTGACAGCTCCGCTCCTCCTGTGTCCGCAGCCTCCGTGTGCCTGGCCCTGCGCCCGTGCCTCAACGGCGGCAAGTGCATTGACGACTGCGTCACCGGCAACCCCTCCTACACCTGCTCCTGCCTCGCAGGCTTCACGGGGAGGAGGTGCCAGCTGGGTGAGGAGGCCTGGGCTCTGAGGCAGCCCTGGAAGTGCGGCCATTGGCCCAAGAGCCCAGGGTCAAGGCTCTGTCCCTTTGTGGTGGGGGGAGTGACTGCCAGGGGCACCAAACCTGGAGGGTTCCTGAGGGAGAGCTCGTGGGGTGGGTGCTATAGCGGCCCCCTGAGCCACTGCCCCGGGGACCAGGCAGATCCTCCGGACCTCCTTCCTCCGCTGAGGCCCCAGCGCCCACTTTTCAGATGTGAACGAGTGTGCTTCCCACCCGTGTCAGAATGGCGGCACCTGCACACATGGCGTTAACAGCTTCAGCTGCCAGTGTCCGGCTGGTTTCGGGGGACCCACCTGTGAGACAGGTGAGAGGAAACCTCCTGCGCCCCAAGTGCTACCGGCTGCAGGATCGCCAGGTAGTCCTGCCTGGCCAGAGGGCGGTGGGCAGAGTGGGGGCGGCAAGCCGCAGAGGGCTTGGCACCGCACGCGGGCCACCCAGAGCAGCTGAGGGCTGCGGCAGGAAACGGACCTCAGTGCCCTGGCACTCAGAGCAGGGAGCAGGCCCGGGAACAGGCCCGCGCCGGGTCCCGGACCGGGCCCAGGTCAGCGCTAGGCAGGCCGCAGGGCCTGGGTGCCGAAGGAGCCATCGCTCCCTCTCGCCCCAGGACCAGCTTGGAGGGGGCACGGGGGCTTCCAAGGTGCGACAGGCAGCTGGGGGTGGGCAGCACCAACTGCCCCCGCTGTCTACCTGCCTGTGCCCCGGAGCCCTGAACATCGGCTGCTCTGGAAGGAAGGGGGGCTGTTTCTCTCCAGGCTGGGGGCTCTCACAACCAAGGCATGGGTTGGGGTCCTTCTTCCTCTTCTTCTTCTTCTTTTTTTTTTTTTTTAAAGATTTTATTTTTACTTTATTTTTAGAGCAGGGAAGGGAGGGAGAGAGAGAAACATCCATGTGTGGCTGCCTCTCGTGCACCCCCTGCTGGGGACCTGGCCTGCAACCCAGGCCTGTGCTCTGACTGGGAATCGAACCAGCGACCCTCTGGTTCGCAGGCTGGTGCTCAATCCACTGAGCTGCACCAGCCAGGGCTTGGGGTTCCTCTTGAGATGCCCCTTATCTTGGGTGGTCCAAGGCTCCTCTGCTGCCCACAGACCGCAGCCACTGAAGCACCTCCACACCTGGGGGTCGAGCCTCCCCTCCGTGCTCCCCCTCTACCCCCACAACTCCAGGGAGGGCCGCACGTCGTTCACTGGGGATCCATTCTGTCGCTGTGTTGTGTTGTTTGGGGGACGAGCTGACAGCGGGACAGCAGAGGTGTCCCCACTCTCTGGCGCTCTCCAGGGAGCCAGGGAGCCTGCATTCCCGAGGGGCGGGTGGTCAGAGGCACGCTGCACCCCTCACTCCCACTCTGACTGGGGGCCGGTGCCTTCGCTCGCAGTCTCCGCAGCAACGTACCCCCACATCCGCTCCCCAGGACCATTCGGGCCCCTCCTGCACCCCTGGGCACTGCTCCCCGTCGAGGCTCGGTCACAGGCTGAGTCCCCACCAGCTGGGAAGGCTCTCAGCCAGGGCCCCAGAGCCCCGCTCTGACACAGCTCTTGTTGCAGTCAGCGTAGCAATCGACCCCGTCGCTGAAAAGGAACCAGGTTCAGATGAGCTTTCAGCGGCCGTGGGTCGGGACTACCCTGGGCAGCGTCGCCAGCACCTGGCGGGGCCCAGGGGCCACAGCAGCCAGGACACCAACAGCTTTCCTCCCTCTGCCCTTGTAGCACAGTCTCCGTGCGACGCCAAAGCATGTGCGAACGGCGGCCAGTGCCAGGTGGTCGGGGGCTCCGCGGTTTGCACGTGCCCGGCCGGCTACACCGGCGACGACTGCGAGGCAGGTGAGCTGCTGGCGCCCGGAGAGGTGGGGAGGGGCGGGGCCTGCGGGGCGTGGCGTGGGAGGGAGGGGCGTGGAGAGGCAGGGTGGGGAGAGGGCGAGGATGTGGCTTGTGGGGCCTAGAGTGGAGGGGTGGGCCGACGGGGCGGGGCGGGGAGGGGACAGAGCGTGGGCGTGGCTTGTGGGGCGTGGAGGGGAGGGGAGGGGAGGGGAGGGAAGGGGCCGGCGGGGTGGGAGAGGAGCGGGCGGGGCGGGGCTTGCGCGGCCTGGAGAGGAGAGGAGGGGAGGCGAGGGGAGGCGAGGGCAGCAGCTCCTCCCCGCCGGATGCGGAGCCGGTAGCTGGCGCCCAGCTCCCGCCTCCGCGCCCGCAGACGTGGACGAGTGCGCCTCTGGCCCGTGCCTGAACGGAGGCTCGTGTGTCGACCTCGTGGGGAACTTCACCTGCCTGTGCGCAGAGCCCTTCGAGGGACCGCGCTGCGAGACAGGTAATGGCCTCGGGCCGCCCACGGGAGACGGCGCTTTCGGGTCGCCGCCCTGTCCCACACTGTCCGGCTCAGCCCCGGGCGGTGCCCCGAGTCGCAGACGGCCACCCCGGGCTGCGTGAGGCCGAGCACGGGCCTCCCCGTCCCGGGCGGTCTCCCTATCGGAGTAGGCACGCGGGGGCGGTGGCCACTCCGCGGGCCCTGCCACCGCCTCGCGGGAGAGAGCTGACCTTCGCGTCCTTCCTCCGGAGCCCAGACGTCTCCGTCGCGGGAGACCGTTAGTGCGTGCGACGAGCGACATCTGCTAGTTGTCGCCCTGCCTCACGCTGCTTTAAATGCTGGTGAGGACTCAGGTCGATTAAAAGACCCGCTCGGTGCCGGGCCCACGGGATAGATCCGGGGCTTCGGCGCGAGGCGCGGCTGGCCTCGCCCAGGGAGGCGCTCGCGACGCGCCGGCAGGTTTGCTGCGCGTCTCAGCCCCTGAGGGGGGCATTCGTTTACCCGCCAGTAGGACGCGGCTGGACGGGCGCCGGGCCCCGGGGCCGCTGCGTCCTCAGGAGCGGGCAAGGCCGGGGCGCCGGGCACGAGGTGTCACTCTTTCCTGCTTGGTTGCTGCAATCAAGGGATATGTCACAGGTCTCCTTGCCTGGATTTTTTTTTTTTTTTTATGATTTTGTTTATTTTTCAGAGACAGGGGAAGGGAGGGAGACAGATAGGTGTGCGAGAGAATCGTGGATCAGTCGCCTCTCGTGTGCCCCCTACTGGGGACCTGGCCCACAGCTCAAGCATATGCCCTGGCTGGGAATCGAACCGGCGACGTCGCGCAGATTTTTATCTAAATGTCAGTGTGTTTAACTAAACTCTAGTCAGAAAACAGTCGAGTGATTTCAAACGAATGTGCAAGGAAACCACATTTTGTTCAGAAGAATAAAGCAAATGAAGGCAAACAAAAAGAAACAACAGAATTGACATTCTACTCCTGGTATCATCTCAGTAGCCACATTACAGGATACAAACCTTGACATTCTTATCAGATCCAATAAGAAGCTGGCCAAAATTTGGAGATTATGAGAGAGAATATCTAGCCTCCTGCTCCTGCCAAGAAGGATTAGCTGTGCTGAGGATTTCCCTCTCACTGCCAAGATCTAGAAAATCAGACAAAATATGTGAAAGAACAGCTCTCAGGCACTGGCCAACAGACTGCACAGGACTGTCGCCGCCGGGAAGAGGGGATGAGATGAGTGGGCCCCGCAGTTGCCTAATTCTGACTGGAGGTGAATCCTGGCCCTCTGGACTCTGAAGGGTCCGAACTCCAGCAACCCTGGGGCTCCAAGTCAGGAGACAAACTCGAGTTTGTTGGCTGGAATTTGTGGGCAGAAAATCAGCGGGGACAGAGCTGCTGAGAGCGGGGGCAAGAAAGCTCTAAAGCTCTGCAGACAGACCCCTTGAGCCTTTGCTCAGTGCAGTCCAGGTGGGTGAAGTCCTCACAGTTGGGAGCTGAGCGTCGAGCAATCTCTGGCTCTTGGCAGCCCAAGCAGAAGGAGCTCCTCGTACCCAGGGCCAGTGCTGTGTGGCATTCTCGATGCAGCTTCATCACCTATGATGAATTGTTCCATGTACCCAAAAGTGCTGCAGGAGGAGGACACAGGAGAACTAGAAGGTAAAAGGGAAACTTCTAGAGCTGAAAAATGTAATATCTGAATTTTAAAACCACACTGAACTGTGTTAACAGCAGACTAGACTCTGCAAAAGGAGACATCAGTGAACTTGAAGGCAGAAGTGGAAACAATTCAACGTGCAGCACAGAGTGGGACTGAGAGCCGGCTGTTCCTGGATGTGGGGTGTGCATGGGGACCCAGGTGAAGGCAAGTGCTCAGTGTCCAGCAAGTACACGAGGAAGCATTTGCTACCCTTGATGAAAACTAAAACATATCCAAGAAAAGCGTGAAGGAAACCACATGAAGCCACATCACAGTGAGCTTGCTGAAAATCTTAAAAGCAGCCAGAGGAAAAAGACAGAATCCACACAGAGAAAAGGGGCGACAGCAGCCAACCTATCCGAGGCCAAAAGCGGTGGGGCAGCGTCTCTAACATATGGAGAGGAAAACACTGCCAACCTCCTTTCAAAAATGAAGGTGAAATAAAGACTTTTAGACAGAAGAAAACTGAGCGAATTCATCACCAGCATATCCACAATACAAGAGATGCTAAAGGAAACTGTTGAAACAGAAGGAAATAGTACCAGATGAAAGTCTGGATCCACACCAAGAAATAAAGAGCTCCTGGAATGACTTTTCTTATTATCTTTTAATTTCTTTTAAGGTAATTTTAAAACAAAATAATAACAATAAACTTCAGGCTGTATAATACATACAGAAATAAAATATATGACACCAATAGCTTGAAGCAGAGTGCCAGCTTTTTCTGCAAAGGGCGGGGTGTTCATATTTTCGGCTTTCCAGCCGTGCGGTCACAGCCGCTCAGCGCTGCCAGCGCGCCGCCCAGCCGCCGGCCGCACACAGTGTGTAAGCAAACGGGCATAGCAGAGCCCAGAGAAACTTTATGGTCAAAGTCGGCGGCGGGCAAGATTCGGCCTGTGGTCCGCCGTTCATCAGCCGCTGGGTAAAGGCAGCGTAATGCTGTCAAGCCCTCCATTATGTGTGAAGCGGACAGGGAGGCACGTGTGACCTGGAAGAGAGGAAACAGGGACGTCTCGGGGGCGACGGAACGTGCTGAGCCTGACTGTGGCAGGGGTCACATGAATCTACGCGTGAGTTAAAATTCTTGGAAGTGTACTGCGAACAAAAGTCAATTTTACTATGTATTAATTTAACAGATAAATTCTGAAACATGAAGAAACTGAATGTGGAAGAGATGAAGAGGGAAGCTGGCTTGGCTTCCCTGTGGAATGAGGAAAACTGCTGGGGACGAAGAGAGGCCCTTCCTAATAACAAAGGGAGAAATTCACCACGAGGCTGCAACAACCCTAAATGCACTACCGACACGGATCGGGACACACAGAGCCGAAGCTCACAGAGAGACAGGAGAGACAGATGACTGGCGGCGGAGAGTTCACGGTGGGGACACGTGAACAGCAGTGCGCAGGGACAGGCCCGCCCGGCACTGTTGGCCAGTCTGGTCGGCGCGTGTGCACACACGTTCTCTTCAAGGGCTCAGGGAGCTCTCGCCGTGACGGGCCATCCTGCTGCCATGAAATAAGACTCAGTAAATTGAAAAAGACTGTGTTCTCTGACCACAGTGAAATTAAACTAGAAATCAACGACCGAAAGGTATCTGGAAAATCCCAATATTTTACTAACAGACGTGCTTGACCAGAAGCGTCTGGAGGCCTCCGGCCTTGCTGGGCCCTTTGGCAGCCACCAAAGGCCCTTCTGACCCTTGCCTTTCTCATTCTGCCTCCCAGAGGGGCTCGTGCAGGAGGGGCAGCTGGAAGGCAGCTTCCAGGAAACAGGCCTCAGGCCCGAACTCCACTTGGCACTGAGAACAGAGGCTAAACCCCCGGTGTGTGCTGGTGCTTAGGTGACCACTGTCTTTCTTACAGGAAGCCCCCCAGTGCCCGACACCTGCCTCTCAGCCCCTTGCCAGAACGGGGGCACCTGTGTGGACGCAGACCAAGGCCACGTGTGCGAGTGCCCTGGAGGCTTCATGGGCCCCGACTGCAGGGACAGTGCGTGTGGCCAGGCTGCAGGGCTGTGGTCGGGCTGGGGCCTCCCAGGGCGCGCATGCAAACATCACAGCAGGGGGCGTGCACAGCGGGTCTCACGGGAAGGTCGCCAGGAGTGGGCGGGGCAGGGGCGGGGGCAGGGGCGGGCAGGGGCGCGCCCACCCTCCAGCGCACCCACATGGGAGCCTCCTCCCGCTCTCCGTGGCAGGAACCCCGGACGACTGTGAGTGCCGCAATGGCGGCAGATGCCTGGGGGCCAACACCACCTTCTGCCAGTGCCCCCCGGGCTTCTTTGGGCTCCTCTGCGAATTTGGTAGGTGCCCAGAACTGGGCCGGGAGACACCTCACCTGTCCCTGGCTGCCCTCCAAACCCTGGCGTGGGGCTGGACCAGGACCCACAGGTGCAAACCCTTGACCAGCGGTTCTGTGACCCCGCCCCCACCCGGGAGGGGGTTGGCAACAAAAGGGCCTCAGCCCGGTCGCCCAGGTGGGGTCACTGGGTCTTGCACAGCCCCGCCCTTGTCAGGAACACAAAGTCCCAGGAAGACCTGAGACAGGGCTTCCTCCTTCCCCTGCAGAAGTCACAGCCACGCCCTGCAACATGAACACCCAGTGCCCTGACGGCGGCTACTGCATGGAATACGGCGGGAGCTACCTGTGCGTCTGCCACACCGACCACAACATCAGCCACTGTGAGAGGCGTGGGGGTGGGGACGGACCCGCGGTCTGGGAAGCCACCCAGAAACCTGGGGGGTGGTGCTGGGAAGAAAGTGGTGGGTTCCCCGCTGGGCACCGGGGCACCTGCTGTGGGTGTCCCCTCCCCGCCCTCTGTTACATGGGCCGGGTCTCCGCCCGTGGTCCCTGCAGCAGGCTGGCAGTGGGAAGGGCACCTGGCCGCCCACAGGTGCCGCACAGCGTCCTCCCAAGCCCCTAGCTTAGCTGCTAACATGGGTAACGCAGTGTGTGGCTAACGCTCCTGACCGCCGGGGACGTGCCAGCGTACAGATACCCGCACAGGGTGCGATCGTGTGTGATGAGGGTGCCAGTGAGCCACAGCTCCACCCCCGCTCCCAGAAGAGGGGCTGAATTCTGGGATAATTAGGAATAAAGAAATTCTGGGGAGGGGCCCCAGAGCCCGGCGTGAGGAACCAAGACCCAGCAGAGCGTATTTTAAGTGGCCAAGGTTCCAGGCAGAGTGACAGGGTGGCCTTCCCCATCGACATGGGCTGCAAAGCTGCCCTCTGACCCCACAGCACTGCCGTCGCCGTGCGACTCGGACCCGTGCTTCAACGGAGGCTCCTGCGAGGCCCACGAGGACTCCTACACGTGCGAGTGCCCGCGCGGGTTCCACGGCAGGCACTGCGAGAAAGGTGGGGCGTCAGCACCGCGGACAGCGCCGGGCGCCAGTGGGCCTGCGCGTCCCCTCCTCAGTGCGCTCGCGTGATGCTCTCCTCAGAATATGCCTCTTTTCCTGCTCAGCGTTTTTCCAAATAGATTTTAGAATCATTGATTTGAAAAAAATTCCTTAGGGCTTTGTTAAATCCAATTCAAGTTGGAGAACATCAACAGCATTTAGCCACTTGAGAATGTAACTACTCTTCCCCAAGTGTCTCTCAGGCATCCCTGTCCTCGCCAGCGCCCCCAGAATGTCCTCTCCTGGCACCCCTTGTTCAGAGCCCAGAGGGCCATCCTCCTGGGGCACAGCACATGTGCCACCGGCGTCCCCTGGAGTGCTCCCACTCCCTCGCTTTTGGAGACCCAACCCGAGACCTCGCTGGATTTACCTGGAAGTCTCTCCTGTTCTCATAATGGCCCGGGTCCCTGATACTCCGGCCCATGGAACCCCCAGGCCCTCCCTGCAGCAGGCAGAGACCCCACCGCTCGGTCCTTTACCCTGACAAAGGCATCCCGCGGGGGCACAGGCGCTGCTCTCGGGATGGGGCGCCTGCAATGTGGACATGCAGCCTGTGAAGCACCTTGGGGTAGGGGGACAGAAGGGCCGAGTACAGCGGGTGGAGCCTCTCCTGCTGCACAGCGCCCCCAGGGACGCCAAGGAGGCCAAGGGACTACCCCTGCGCATGACCCCTCCAGGCGGGAGATAGACGCGCCCCTGGATTCGCACCTTTAAGTTGGTAGACACTCACACAGAGGCCGTGGTGCGTGAGCCCCCAGAGCCAGGGACACACAGGGCAGGAGGCCACCACGGGCCGCGATGTCCTGTGGGAAGGACGGTGCTGCATGTGCTGCGCTGTGGGCTGGCTCTCCACCAGAAGGGCAGTGGTCCCATGGCCTGGGGCAGAGGAGGGAGGTTGGGTGGGCGGAGGACCCCAGGTGGAGTGAGGGTCTTCAGATGGGCTTGACTCCTGCTGCTGCTGGGCCTGCAGGGCCCGCGGTGCCCGGGGGGCTGAGAAGACATGATGGGGCGCCGTGGGCCCTCGGTCACCCACCTCCAAGTCTCTCTCTATCCCTCCGCAGCCCGCCCGCGCCTGTGCAGCTCAGGGCCCTGCCGGAACGGGGGCACGTGCAAGGAGGCAGGCGGCGCATACCAGTGCAGCTGCCCGTACCGCTTCACCGGGAGGCACTGCGAGATCGGTGCGGCCCCGGGCCAGGAACGGTGGGGCGGACTGGGACCCTGGCCTGCCGCCATGCTTGCGCGCCAGGAGGATGCCTGTGAAGGCCCCCAGCTCCGGGATGTCTGGGACCAGGGCAGGGGCGGTGGCAGTGGGCACATGACACCCGACCCCAACGGCGCCTTCTGCTCCCAGGGAAGCCAGATTCGTGTGCCTCAGGCCCCTGTCACAATGGCGGCACCTGCTTCCACTACATTGGCAAGTACAAGTGCGACTGTCCCCCAGGCTTCTCCGGGCGGCACTGTGAGATAGGTAAGGCAGGCTCAGCCCGACGGGAGACCGGAAACGGGCGCCGGCACCGTTGGTCCAGGCAGGGGGCGGGGGCACCCCTGGGCGGCCCCGAGGCCCGTGGGTGAGACAGTGAGGGGTTGTAGCGACCCTGTGCCCTTGCAGCCCCCTCGCCCTGCTTCCGGAGCCCCTGTGCCAATGGGGGCACCTGCGAGGACCTGGGCACGGACTTCTTCTGCCACTGCCAAGCAGGGTACACCGGACGCCGGTGCCAGGCGGGTGAGAGGGCGGGGGGATGGGGGGCACAAGAGTTCTTCCTAATCCTGGGAGGGCAGCAGACAGTGGGAAGGGGGTGCAGGGGCAGAGGGGGAAGGAAAGGAAAGCTCTGGGCAGCCCGTCCTGGAGGGCAAGGCCCCTTCACTGTAGGACGGGCTGCGCAGGGAGCGGGGGTCCCGGGCCCTGCGGCCTGGCGGGCAGAGGGCAGAGTTGCGGGGCTGGCAGCGCCCTGCGGTGCAGACGGGCGGCTGTGTCCTTGCAGAGGTGGACTGCGGCCCCCCTGAGGAGGTGAAGCATGCCACGCTGCGCTTCAATGGCACCCGGCTGGGCTCCGTGGCGCTGTACTCATGTGACCAAGGCTACAGCCTGAGCTCCCCCAGCCCCGCCCGGGTCTGCCAGCTGCAGGGCGTCTGGAGCGAGCCTCCCCAGTGCCACGGTGATCTGTGGGCCCTCTTGGGCGGGCGGGCGGGTGGGTGGGCTCAGCGGTGAGGCCCGCACCCCAGATGGAAGAGCCCAGGGGTGCAGTTCTGACCCTGGCCCTGCCCCTCTTCCCTTTGTTCTCCTCCTGGGGAAGTGAAGCCAAAACCCGTGCTGAGAGCGGGGACGGCCCGCGCCAGCTCCGCTCTGGACCATTCACTGAGGGCTCCCCTCCTCAGAGCAGCAGCCGAGGCAGCCGAGGCCAGGAGGGAGGGGCCCGAGGTCAGGGTTCAGGCCACGCCTCCTGCTCCGGACCCCTCCATGAGGCACCCGTAAAGCATGAGGACGCAGAAAGACAGAGTATGGGGGGATCAGGTGAATGCAAATCCAAGTGTAGCAGGTGTGGCTACAGTGCCCTTAGAGCAAGGAGGCTGTAGACAGGAAGCATCGACGCGGATGGGGAGGGTCTCTCTCCATGACCACCGTTCCAGTCCCCCAAGAAGATAGAACCATGGTAAACATTGAGACGTGAAATACAACAGTGTCAACATGCACAAAGAAAAAGTGAACAGGCTGTAGGAAGAAACTGACAGACTCACCATAATACCGGGAAAGTTTGAACTTCCTCTCAGTTCAGGTTGAGGAGCGAAAAAAAAAAAAGAAAAACTCAAAAGAAGATTTGAACAATATAATTAACAATTTGAACTAATTCATTCTCTGAGTACACAAAAAAGTTAAGAACAAGAAGATAAACGTTTAAATCTCTCTGTTTAGATATTTTTAAAGATACTGAAATAGCTCAAAAATCGAAGAAGAAATCACATGGCCCATGAAGGCATTGTATAAATGAGTAATAATCACTTTCTATGTTGAAACTTATGATGCAGCAAAAGCCATGCTTCGTGGGAAATGTATAGCCTTAAACACACACATTAGAAAAGTTCACAATGAAGAGAACTCACTGTCTGACACCAGAAGTTAAGAAAACAACAGTTGAGACTAAGGAAGGGGGAGGGACGAGGCGTCCGGAGCCAGAGCCGTGATTAGTGAGAGCCGCGGCGGACCGGATAAACGGCACCAGCCTTAGTTCTTTGACAAGCTTACTAACGGGGACAAATCTCTGCCAAGACTGATCGGAAAAATCAAAGAGCACTCATTTAAATCTTTATAAATGAACCAGGTGACAACTGTAGACACAGCAGAGATTAAAAAGATAAAGGAATACTATCGACTAGTATATACAAATAAGTTTGTAGCCTAAGAAGAAATGGACATTATATACATTGAAAAGTATAACTTACCAAAAACGACTCAAGGAAATAGAGAAAATCTATGTAATTCTATAACTAAAGAAATTGAAGCTTTTTCCCACAGAGAAACATCAGGCCCGTACAATGAAACAGGAAAATGCTACCATACAGCCAAGAACAGACTGTTGTAGCAATGACAGTCTCTTCCAGGGAGTGGGATGTAAAGAACATGCACCAGCCTATTCTAGGAGACCAGCATAATCTTGAACCAATGCCAGATACAGACAGTTGGAGGGAGTAAAATTACGGGTCCGTAAAACATACAAACAGAAATGCAGAAGTTCAGCAGCCTACCAAAACTAAATATACCGCTATCAAGTGGGGTTGCTGAAAGAATAGTTTGATACTAGACAAAGCTGTTACGTTAACCAATTGAAAAAGAAAAATCGTAAGAATCTCAACAAATACATAATAAGCATTTGACAAAATTTATACATTCATGGAATAAAGCCTTATCAAACAAGGAATAAAAATGTGCTTGCTACCCTAGAGAGAAGTGCACTGAGCCAGGCAGAGCTAGACTGGCCACACCCTGTGAGCAGGACGATGACACTCGCGGGCTTACACAGGGAGGGGTGCAGGCTGCGCGGAGAGAGCTGTGGGGCAAGCGGGTCCTGATCCTTGTTATACAGCAAGTTAATCTGGAATTCAAAAGCAGTTCTGTGCGACTGACTCAGGCATGCTGAGCTACCAACAGGGGAAGGAAATTAGCATCTGAAGTAATTTACTTACGCCTCTTCTCAAACCTGGAATAAACATGAACCTAAATAGAAAATATACCCCTTAAAATGGGAGTCTATTATCACTAGGTCTAGTCAGTATTATGTTGGAATCACTAGCCAATGCAGTAAAGTAAGAAAAGGATATTAATGCCTTAAAATGCTAAAGGAAGAAGTAAAAATGTCAGTATTTGTAGCTGATGTGGTTATCTTTAATCTACAGGCAAGCTACTGAAAATGATAGGAAATGTAACATGTTTAGTGGATACAGGTTGTTATAACAAAATTAATCGCATTTTTATATAGCGACAACATTTAGAGGATTTAATGATAAAAAATACATATACAGAGAAGAATCAATGAAACCAAAATCTGCTTCCTTGAAAAAGTCAATGAAACAGAGAAACCTCTAGTAAGACCAATCAATAAAAAAAGAAAAACTGGAAATATCAGAATGACAGAAGAGACACCACTAAAGATCCTACCAGTGTTTAAACGGCAACGGGGTTTTGTGACTTTAGGCCAAGATAGCTGACAACCTAGAGGAAATTGATGAATACCTTGAAAGATAAATGGCCAAAACTGGCAGAAGAAGAAATAGAAAGTATGAATACCCCTATATCTATTAAATTTAATATGTAATAAAAACCTTCCTGCACAGAAAATCGTGGGACCAGATTCTCAGAACACCGGTAGGTTTCATCAAGCATTTACGAGAGAGGTAAAGCCCTGTACGAGCTCCTCTAGAAAACACAGGAGGAAGGAGCATTTCTCTGCCTTCTCTTATGAGACCAAACCAGACAGAGACATTACAAAAAGTGAAATTACAGAACAGAAAACATTCCTCATGGCACAGGCACAAAATTCCTAACAAGATATTACTAAACGAAATCCGGTAGTATGTAAAAAAGATAATACATCAGGACAAAGTGTAGTTTATCTCAAGAGCACAGGCTGGTTTGACATTTGAAAATCACTGTAATTCACCATATTAGGAGAGAGAAGAGAAAACCATACAATCATCTCAATAGATGCAGGAAATCATTTGGCAAAATTTAACCATTATTAAAAACTCTTAATAAACTACGAGTAGAAGAGAATTTCTTCAACCTGATAAAGGGCACCCATGAAAAACCAACAGCTGACAAAATGCTTAACAGTGAAAGGCTTCCTGCCATCATTGGTAGTGAGGCAAGGGGGTCCACCTCACCAGTTGCTCCCAACGTGTTCCTGTATCCCAGACGGGCCACAGACAAGAGGAAATAAAAGGCTTATCTACTAAAAGGGAAGGAGTAATGATGACACAATCATGAATGTAGAAAATCCTAAGGAGATCCTACAAAAGAAGCCATAGAACTAATAAGTGAGTTTGACGACAACACAGGATACAGTTAGCACACAGAGCCGATTATACTTTCAGATCCTAGCAGTGGGCACTTAGGAAAGGATACGAAACAGTTATGTGCAATAGTATCAAACACATGAAAAATGTCTATGTGTGAAATTCATTATGAACATAAACATAAATGCCAAAACTATAAACTTTTTTAAAAAGCTTGAGAAATCCTTCACGACATCTGGAATAAAATGGTCATGCACTCGGGAAGACATTATGTTGGTTTCCCACTTTTCACCATATACAACAATTAATTCCGGCTGAATTAAGGATTTAAATGCTTTTTTAACTATATATTTTTGTGTGGAGAATATAAATAAGTATTTTTTTGGCCTTGGGGTAAGGAAAGATTCATTAAGCAAGAAAAAAAAAACAGTGACTATAAGAGAAAAAAAATGGACAATTTACTGTGTAAAAATGAGGAACTTCAATTGATCAGCCTTAAAGAAGAAGGTGAAGTATAAGCTACAAAGTGCTTTCAAGAATATATGGAGAACACTGTGAGTCAATGAGAAACAATCAGCCTAACAGGAAATTTTGCAAAACACATGAACAGACATTTCAGGGAAGAGAGGTGCATAAAGCCCCAAACGTAGAGAACGCGGCAACCCCCCAAATGCAAATCAAAAGCGCACCAATGTGTGTGCAGTTGGCCAAATTCCCAGGTCAAAGAGGCCCATGTGTTGGTGAGGGTGTGGATCCACAGGATCTATGAGGAAGTATGAGCTGTTTAAGCACCTTGAAAACCCTTTGGTAATTTGCCCATTAAGCTGACCATTCATACACACGGTGCCCCAGCGACCCCACTTCTCGGTACTCATCTAAGAAAAGCATGCAGTTCCACGCCAGGAGACGGGAAAGAAGACACACAGAAACGCTTTTTATATTTTTTGCAATAACAAAAACTCTAGAACCAACCCGAGTATACATCAAACAAGGATTGATAAAGTATGGTATAATCACACTGTGGAATATTATACAGGAGTGAAAAGGAGACCCCAGAGACTCACAGCAACAGGGAGATGTCTTGTTCACATAGTGTGGACAGAGGAGAGAATGTACACCATGATATCCAATCGATAAAGTTCATAAATAGCAAAAGCAAAGCCATATACAGTATTGTTTAGGCGATTCATAAAATTTAAATTTAAAGAGGCACAGAGATGAGAGCCACAGAAACTCACATCACACAAGGTGGGGAAATACACGTGACCTCACGAGCCCATCAGCATTGTAGCACCCAGGTCAGGTGCGGGCTCCAGGTGTCATTATGTCTTTAGCGTTTATTTACTTAGATGTTAAACATTCAAATTAAACTTTCCTAAATTGAACATTTTGAATTCAGGAGCACAACTCCAAGTTTCGGAAAAACCCTAGATGGATACTTTAAAACAGAGGACTCAACCCCGCTGCATTGGTTTTGTCCACGATTGTTACTGAATTGGCAAGATTGGGCCCGTCCACCTAGAGCTGTGGGATTGAGTCCCCTCAAGGCCGTTACCCAGGGACACTGCCCAGCACCAAGTCCCTGGACTGCTATGTGCACGCCCCTCCCACCAAGGGTGCCCTCCCTGGAGTCTGCCGTCTCCAAGCGCCACGGGGACATCACAGAGCCCACCCAGCTCCTGGGAACAAACTCACTTATGTCCATCCTAGCTTGGCTTCAAGGCACCGACTTGAATAATGACAACATTGCTTTATTCTCGGGTCTGTCCTGGCGCCTGCGACCTGGGCTCACCTCTCTCCCAGAAATTGACGAGTGCCGATCCCAGCCGTGCCTGCATGGGGGCTCCTGCCAGGACCGAGTTGCCGGGTACCTGTGCATCTGCAGCCCGGGGCGTGAAGGAGCCCGCTGCGAGTTGGGTAAGACGGCCTGGCCCTCACCACGGGGCAGCAGCTCCAGGATCCTGGCCATGGAGTGAGGCACAGGGGCCCCCCCGACAGTGGTCGCCTACCCCAGCCGCTCCTCGCCCTGACTGGGCCCTGTCCGCACACGCAGGCCCCTGCCAGCACTCTCCACCTACCCGGGGAGATTAGGAGCTCCACGGACAAATGCTGACTGACCTCTTCTGCTCCTGCATCTCTGGCCCAGGGCAGACGGGATGGGGCTTGGCGAGGGCAGGCCCCGGTCCCGACGGCTGGCCGCTGCCCCGCGCTGGTGGAGGGAGTGGGGAGCGCCAGGCGCGCTGCCCCGCCGCTTGTGCGGGGCTCCGAGCCCCAGGGAGGCCCAGGCCCAGGATGTCCAGTCCAGGCCCTTGCAGAGCCTGGGCGGGGAAGGACAGGAGCAGCTTGGGGTGGGACTGTGTGGGGCTGGCGGTGGAGCTCGTAGGCGCGAGGCAGAGGCCTCAGGCAGCACGCTGAGGCCTGGCGGCCGTGTAAGCCTGCGGAGGGCCCTGCAGGCCCGTGTCCTGCCTCGGGGGAGACGGACCAGTGCCAGGCACAGCCCTGCAGAAACGGAGGTTCCTGCAGGGTCCTCCCAGGGGTCTACGGGTGCCAGAGCCCTGCAGGCTTCACGGGAGTCCACGCGGGACAGGTGGGGGCGGTGCATGGGCGGGCCCCAAGCACCCAGGCCCTCACCCACACTTGTGACACCTCAGATACTCCAGGAAAACCTGTCCCCTACAAGCACAGACCTGGGTGTTCAGCGAGCACAGGGGAGAGGCAGCCCCTGTGGCCCTGCTGGGCGGTCCCCGGGGGGCCGACCCCGGGGGTGAGGAGCGGGGGCCGGGGGGCGAGTGCCGCCAAGGGGGAGGGAGACTTCCGCCCCAGGGCCCACGCCCCGCCTGCCCGGCCGCCCTCCTCGCCGCCCCTTCCCTTCTTCCCGCTGTCCTCTCCTCCCTCCCCCAGACACCCCCTTGCCGCTCGGGCCCACTCTCTGGGTGTTCTCCAGAGGTGGACGCCTGTGACTCCAGCCCCTGCCAGCACGGAGGCCGGTGCGAGAACGGCGGCGGGGCCTACCTGTGCGTCTGCCCGGAGGGCTTCTTCGGCTACCACTGCGAGACAGGTGGGGGCCGGGCCGGCGCTCCTCCCCCGCCACCCCCCCCCCAGCCCAGCTCGCTGCCCCCGGGTCCGGGCGCCCGCCATTCCTGGCCCCTGGAACAGAGTCCCCATGGCCGCCCTGGCCGCCCTGGCCGCCGATAGGCGTGCCGTGCCCCCCGCGCTCCCTGCCCTTGGGATTGTCACTTCTAAACTTCCCCGACCTGTGGTCATGCCGCCCTCCTAGAACAGGCGTGTCCTTGGGGGCAGGCATGTCCCCAGCCCTGCTGGGCCTGGCTGGCGGCGCTCAGCTGTGCTGGGTGGGTGGGGCTCCTAAGGACGAGGCCCGGGACCTGCACACAGGAGCCGGCCTGGGGACACGCGGGGTGGGGGGGGCGCGGCAAGGGGGTGCTGTCTGCGGTCAGGCCTGTGGCGGGTGGGGCCCTAGAGGACAGGGTGGTGGCTCTGGCAGTGGTGGGCGACTTGCTGCGTGTTTACATGCGTTTCTTGGGGCTGTGCCGGGAACCTGAGGCCTTGCCTGACCCGGGATCTGGGGTCCACAGGGGCGCCCACAGCCGAGTGCAGGGGGAAGCCGTGGAGGGGCCAGCACTGTGTCCCCCCCACCCCAGTCCACTGCCTGCTAGGGCTCCTTGGCTTGGGGGTGTGGCGGGGTGGCCGGGCTCAGAGTCCGGAGGCCACACCTGCCTGGCCTCTCGTGGGCCTGCCCCCCGTCCTGGCGTGTTCCCTCTCCCACCCCCGCCCCCTAAAATCTGTCTGATAGCACCACCCACGTCTACGCACACGCTCACCTGCACAGGAACGGCCCAGTCCCCCAGGAGCAAGGCCAGCCCACGGGGGCTGGGAGGCCTGGCAACACCCCAGAGCCCACTGCTTTCCCCATCCCCAGTGAGCGACCCCTGCTTCTTCAGCCCCTGCGGGGGCCGCGGCTACTGCCTGGCCAGCAACGGGTCCCACAGTTGTACCTGCAAAGTGGGCTACACGGGCAAGGACTGCGCCAAAGGTGAGGCACAAGGGCACCAACAGGGGTGCGGGGGCTCCCCTTCCCCTCAGGGGGTGGGGACACACCAGGGGGCAGGCCCGGGGTCCAAGGACCCCCCCAAAAGGGCGGAGAGTCTAAGGAGTTGCTAATCCCGGCCTGGCCCGGAAGCGCGGAGGGACACATGTGCCCCCGGAGGCGCAGGCATGGCCACATGTGTGCCCGAGCCCCCCGGCCCGGGCGATGGCCAGAGGCCAAATGAAGGCGTCCCCTGCAGTGTCAGGAGCGGCCTTCCCGCCCGCAGGGCCCATGTCTGCCCCAGGGTACCAGGCCCCAGAGCCACCGGGCTGGGCACCAGCTTGGGGACCGGGGCACCCACGGATGAGAGCTGACCGCCCCCCTCCCTTGTTCTTGACCGAAACCCTGAAGAGCTCTTCCCACCAACGGCCCTCAAGGTGGACCGAGTGGAGGAGAGCGGGGTCTCCATCTCCTGGCGCCCGCCCGAGGGCCAGGCCGCCAGGCAGCTGCTGGACGGCTACGCAGTCACCTACGCCTCCTCTGACGGCTCCTTCCGCCGCACCGACTTTGTGGACCAGAGCCGCTCCTCCCACCAGCTCCGGGCCCTGGCGGCGGGCAGGGCCTACAACATCTCCATCTTCTCGGTCAAGCGCAACGCCAACAACAGGAACGACATCAGCAGGCCCGTGGCGCTGCTCGCCCACACGCGTGAGTTCGCCCAGGCGCTGTCTGCCCCAGGTGCAGGCCAGGCACGGAGGCGCGGGCCAGGCTGGGGAGGGGGCGGGGGCTCCCTGAGGAGGCCCCCGGCGGCGAGCTAGCCCGCGGGTGGGGGCCGGGGGGCAGGCCAGGTGCCCGGAGGCCACCCTGACGCTGCTGCTGCTGCTGCTGCCGCTGCGGAGGGGGTAGCGGCGGAGGGGTGGTGAGCCGCATGGACGGCAGGGAGGGCCGTCGTGGGGGGACAGTGGTGGGATGTGGTGGGGCCCTCAGGACGGGGCGAGCGCTGGGCACGCAGCCGGGGCGGGGAAGGGGTGCTGGGGGCTCGAAGGAGGAGAGGGCTCGTCCGGAGCTTGGCGTTAGGAAGAAGTGCTTTGGGGGCTGGTAGGTAAGGGGTCCGCCCAGAAAAGGCGTCTGGGAGGAGGAGACCCCCTTCCCCGGGCCTCCACCAGGACACGGGGGCTGGGACGGGCCGCTGCCTACCGGGCTGGGGCGCTGCGCACCCCGCTGGCTCCCCCAGGCTGAGCCCACACCCAGCCCCTCCCCTGGGTGGCAGAGCACGGCCCTGGCTTCAGGCGACAGGTCCAGCGCCCCGGACGGTCACAGCACCATCGAGTGACCGAGACAGTCGGCCAGGGAAAGGCGAGGGGAAGCCGGCCTCAGCAGGCGGCGGGAGGGGCCTCTGGTGGAGCTGGCTGGCCTGAGCAGCCCCGCCGGCAGGGGCCTGGGACGTGTCCACCTGACCAAGTCCCCGCTGTGGCTGAAGGACCCATGCAGAAGGGCCCGGCTGGCCGCTGCCTCGCTCGGCACCTCTCTGACCCCCAGTACCTCCCTGAGCCCCCCAGGAGTGAGGAGGTGCTGGCGAGGCTGAGCAACCCTCTGCCCCCCAGGACCCCGCCCCGTCGAGGGCCTTGAGGTCGCCAACGTGACGGCCAGCGCCATCTCCGTGCGGTGGGCTCTGCACAGGACCCGCCACGCCACCGTCAGCGGTGTCCGCGTGTCCATCCGCCACCCCGAGGCCCCAGAGGACCAGTCCACCGATGTGGACAGGAGTGTGGACACGTTCACATTTGGGTGAGGGGCTGGCCAGTCTCCCTCTCTCCCTCCCGGCCCTCCCGTCCACCCGGCACCTGGCCGTCCACACTGGGGATGGCCTCCCTCAGTCCCAGGCTCGCTCTGCCTCCTCACGGAGCTGCTAGACGAGGGTTTAAAGGTCCCAAAAGAGCAGGGACGCCCTGAAACCTGGGGGCGGTGTCTTCCCACACAGAGTGAGGCAGACTGGCCACCTAGAGGCCAGCACAGTCGCACGGGCACATGGTGCGTTCAGACCTTCACTTAAGCACGTAAACTTCTTGTGACAAGTTAACGACAAGAACAATGAAAACTCAAATGAACTGCCATTGAAACAGCCCCTTTATCGACCCACACGGGGTCTCAGGTGCAAGGTCCTCGGGGTCAGGTGCGCGACGGAGCCTGGGGTGGTTCCGACCCTGCATGGATGGGCGGTGCTGGGCCAGGAGAGAGCTAGGGAGGGGGACCGGCTGGCAGTGTCCCAGGCTGGGATGGCTCGGCCACACAGCGCCCTGGGTTCAGGGGCCTGCAGAGCAAACACAGCTGCAGCAGCGGAAGCTCCCATCCAGCGACTGTGCCTCTGGCGATGGACGCCCAGGCGGCTTGGCGGGGCCGGCGCAGCAGCGTGCAGCCTGAGCCGGCGGGGCCGAGCTCACAGGAGGGGCGCGGGGCATGTGGGTGCTGCGCATGCGTGGGATGCTGTCCCCGTGCATCCTGTGACCTGCACGCGCGTTTGCGCGTCTCCAGTCTGCAGGTTTATCCGGGCCGGTTTTCCCAGCCATGTCTGTCGTCTCCAACCAGATGGTCATCTGTGCTGGAGATGAGATTCTGGTTTTCTTAAATGTTGCTGTGACTTTTTTGATTCGCGTCCTGACCACATCCAAAGGACGACATGACTATGTCGGGGTCCCCAAGACCACGCCTGGCTCACTGGGAGGTCTCCCAGGACCCGGCCAAGGCCACACGCCCAGCTGACCCACGGCAGGAAAACGCCAACACACACGGGAGGGAAGAGGTGCAGGGGGAGAAGCCAGGGCCCAGTGTGAGCTTCCAGAGCCTCCTCGCCCCCCGTGGAGCCAGCAGCTACGACGACACGTGTGAGGAAGGGACCCATGGGAGACACAGACCCCGGGTTGTGGGGCTGGTCCCGAGTGCCCCCAGTCTGGGGAGGCTCCAGGCTCCCGCGAGGAGGCGTGAACCCCCCTTCGCAGAAATGCTGGGGCAGCGAGGCCTCCTGGGAATCCCAGCCACAGGCTCCTCTGCTGAGGGAACGCCAGCCTCCAACCACGCTGGGCGCCCCGAGCAGGCCTGCGCGCCTCAGCCTCTCGCTGCACCAGACCGACAGCAGCTGCCCGCAGAGGAGCACCCAGGGCCCAGGTCACAAAACCACCCTCACAGAGGCCACCGGGGCCACGAGCAGCGGGGCCACCACCGCCCCCGCCCTCCCCTGCTCCAGAGGAGCCGCAGTCTGGAGCAGAGCCGGACACAAAGCCCAAGACCGTCCTGTCCTCTCTCGCTGCAGGGCTCTGCTGCCAGGAAGGAGGTACACCGTCCGGGTGACCGCCCTCAGTGGGCTCGGGGGACAGGAGCGCCCCGCCGAGAGCCTGGCCTCAGCCCCACTGCACGTGTGGACCCGTAAGTACAGTGCGGCCTCTCACGCGGGCGGGGCCTTCTGGAGGCTCTCAGCTCCCTCCAGCGCCCCACCCCCTGCCCCAACGTCTTCCCCAAAGAGGCAGTGGCACCAGAACCGCAGCCCTGGGCTGCGTGTACCCCACATGGCACCGTGCCCAGCGCTCTCGTCCCCTCTTCACACCCCACGGCTCCTGAACTTCTTCCAAATGGGGTCCGTGAGCAAAGGCCCAGGGAGGCCTTGGCGAGGGCGCCGCGCTGTCCCCTCTGTGGAGCTCAGTGTGTCTCATGGGGAGCAGACTGGCCCTCCCTGCCCTCCCTCCCCAGGCCGTGGGCAGGGCAGGCACCATGCCATCGCTGGTGAACGTGTAAGCAAGGCGGGGGGCAGGGACAGGTGTCTGGGCGACAGGGAGGTGCGAGCAGGGCCTGGGCCAGGCGTCCGCACAGGCCGGGGTCCTCTCTCGGACCCTGTGCGGCGGGACTCCCCCCGTAGCTGCGTCCCGGGGAAGGGGTGGCCAGGCTCAAGGGCGTCAGAAGCGCCACACGGGGGAGACGCAGACGGTGAGCGGGCCAGGGCCCTGCTGGGGGCCGGGGGGAGGCACTGTGGGGCGGCTCCTGGGGCAGGAGGAGGGGCTGCAGGCCCACAGCGACGTCTGCAGTCACTGACCCTGGCTTCGAATGAGGCTTCGGCGACCCCTTTCACCGCCCTCCCCTGCTCTGCGTCCTCCAGGGCCTCTGCCGCCGGCAAACCTGACCGCCGCCCGAGTCACGGCCACCTCTGCCCACGTGGTCTGGGATGCCCCCACTCCAGGCACCTCCCTGGAGGCCTATGTCATCAATGTGACCACCAGCCAGAGCACCAAGAGCCGCTACGTCCCCAATGGGAGGCTGGTGTCCTACACGGTGCGGGACCTGCTGCCCGGGCGGCGGCACCAGCTCTCGGTGACGGCCGTGCAGGGCACTGAGGGCGGCCAGCTGCACAGCGAGCCTGCGCACCTTCACATCGTCACCTGTGAGTGCAGGGCCGTGGGCACGGGTGGTCGTGTGGGCCACCTGTACCCCAGGACCCTCGCCCGGCACAACCACACGGCCCAGGGTCGTCACACAGGCAGCCTAGAGCAGGGCCGTGTCCACGGGGGAGCGTTCGTGCGCGAAAGGCGGGGGGTTCATGCAGTGGGTGCTGGCTCAGCACAATACGACTCGAAAAGGGAGCATTTTGCTCCCTACCTTGTGCCGTCTCCTCCATGGACCCCAGGGGGGCGGAGCAATGACCACAGCACATCATCCGGAAACAGGAGCCGAGAGCGGGCAGCGTGGGGGGACTGGGAAGCAGCCTTGCCACCAGGCCGACCCCCAGGAGTCGCTGGACAGCAGCGGGGGAGAGGCCAGGGCGGGCACAAGAGGGGGTGACGCTCGGGAGTGGGGAGGCTCCGAAGGGCCACATGAAGGGTGCGGGCCCCCCTACAAGTGCATGGAGGCCCCTCGGGTCCCACCGGGGCCCTGCATGGCCCTGCTCGGCCCTGCTCATGCTTCAAAGTCTCCGCGAGGCGCTGTGGAAGGCGGTGCGTCTGAGCAGGCAGCCTGCCTGGGGGCAGGCCCGGCTCTGCTCCAGGTGCGCCTGCTGGGGCAGCAGGGCAGGCTGGCCTTCTACGAGCCGGCCCGTGGCGGGGGGGGGGCGGGGACGGAAGCACGTAGTTAGGGGACAGAGGTAAGTGACAAGGACCCACAGAGAAGCCACGCCGTCACTCGGGGCAAGCGGGGGGTGGGGGCCTCAGCCTAGGGAGTCCAGGGCCGAGTCCTCCCCCGCCCCACAGTGGAGAGCCTGGGCCCGGGGCGGGGGCCGGGACCACCAGCCCCTCAACAGCGCCTGGCAGCGGTTGCTCTCCGCAGGGACGCCGTGGCTCCTCCTTGGGGATTGGGGGCCATCAGGGCTTCTCAGACACAAAGCTGCCATCCAGGCCCAGGGACACTCAGGTCCCCAGTTCTCCTTGAGCAGGGGGCAGTGGGGCAGGGTGAGGTGAAGGGGAGCCCCAGACCTGCCCTACGTGGCCAACATTCCCCGCATCCCCCGCCACCGCCCGCAGCCCCGAGGGACGGCGCCGACAGACGCTGGCACCGGGAGGGACTGCAGCCGCGGGTGCTCAGAAACAGACCAGCCCCCGGGCGCCTGCCGGAGCTTCGCCTGCTCAGTGACCGCGGGGCCCCCACGATGCCAACCCAGGCCCCCAGGTAGACGCCCCTGCTGCCAGCCCCTGGGGCCTCCTGGTGCAGCCCAGGCACAGAGCTCCGCGCGGTGACCCTGGCGACTTTCCCAGCAGGTTCTCGGAGCTCGTGGACGGCAGAGGACGAGCGAGTGCCCAGCTCAGCGGCTCCCCAGGCCAGTCGGTCCCCGCGAGATCACGTGAGTACCTCGGCCAACCCTAGTGGCCGCACTGCCACCCACCCCGCCCAGCGCAGGTCGGCATCAGAGGCCCCGGGCCCTGGGGCCAGCGCTCACTGTCCACGCCCTGGGGTCACGGGGGCCTTCCCAAGGCAGCCAGGCGGGTGAGGGTGCGGGCTGCTGGCCAAACACGTGAGAGGACCGCAGTGGACGGGGTAGAAGCCTCTCTGGCCGAGCCAGGACCTGAGCATTGCCAGTGAGCGTAGACAGGAGGGCGTGGCTTGGTCTGAGGTGCCGCTGCTCAGAGGGGTCTGGGACTGGCAGCGCCAGCCTGCGCAGCAGGACTCTGTCTGCCGACAAGGAGCAGCTGACAGGCACGTCCGTCCTGATCTCAGAAGCTCACGGCCCATCACGTTGAGGTCACGACCCAGGTTAGGAGCAGAGCCTTTGGGTTTAGCGCCTGCCCGGCCCAGAGGCACAGGGCATGGATGACAGGTCCACACGCCCTGGCCCTTCCCACCTAATGAAGCAGGCATCCCCCCAAAATCCAGACAGGGAGGCCCGCAGGCTCCCCAGGCCTCACCCTGAGCGCGAAGCCGGTCTCACCCTCAGAGGGTTCTCGGGCAGGCAGCCTACTCACCGCCCCCTGAGGAGTCTCCACCCACGCCAGCGTTCCCAGGTTGGGGCGGAGGGGGCAGGGGGCGCAGGCAGGGCCCCGCAGAGAGGCCGACCTGCAGTAAGGGGTGGCCAAGTGCACAGACGCGAGGGGAGGAGGTGTCGTCGCCCCCCGAGAGGCCGAGGGTGGCGGGAGAGAGTGGAGTTGGAAGGCTTCTTGGAAGGCTGAGGCCGGCAGGGCAGGCAGGAGATCGGGCCCTGCCTCGGGCCACTGCCGCCTTCCCCGAGAAGCTTCGGCTGGGGCGGCAGGGGAAGCCGGGCCCCTGCGGAGGGTGGGCAGGCAGTGAGGGCCGGGCCTGGGGAAAAGTGGGTCCTTTGGGAGACAGTGCCGCCCCGGGTTCTGTGCCCAAGTTGGGGAGCCAGCAGGTAAGCGAGCGTCCTGTTCCCACCACACAGGGCCCCCACCAGGGACAGCCTCGCCCCTCCCCCTCCCTGCCACCGCGGGAGAGAGACGGCTCAGGAGGGCGGCCCAGGGCAGCGCTGGGTGCAAGGCAGCCAGCCGCATGGTCAGCGGTGGGCCTGGTCTCTGGTCTCTCCTAGAGCCCACAGCGCCGGCGCAGCTCGAGGACGCCCCTGAGCAGGCCAGCCTAGCCCCCCAGCTCCCTGAGCGCGGTGGCGACAAGGACGCGGGAAGTAAGTTAACAGGAACGGACTCCGGGGCTGAGTGCCTGGAGTGGACGTGGGGGGCACAGAGCCTGGACGGGGGCAGCAGAGGAGGCAGGGGCACCGTGCCCCATTGCAGACTAATTGCCCGGGCCTGCCCGCTCCCTCTCCCGCTGCCCCCACGCGGACCACCCCCGGAGGAGCGTGCTGAGCCGCAGGGCAGGAGTAGGCAGGGAGGGAGCGCCGGGCAGGGCCAGCAAGGCCCTGCTGGCAGCGGGTCTCGAGGGCCCCAGCATGTCCCCGTCCCGCGTTGGGAGAGGCCCACCCAGCGCAGCCCTGCAGGGTGTCGCCACGGGCAGGTCTCCTTGGACAGCGACAGCCCAGGCACTGCTCCGCCTCTGCTCTAACCCTCAGGCCTGTGTCCCCCTGGGGACAGTCCTTCCAGGGCCCAGGGCCTTCTCCTGGGGTAGCCACAGGCTGAGACAGGGCTCACCCACCCACTGGACCCCGAAAAAGGCAGGGCCGTCAGGAACGGGCAGCCAGCCACCCAGGACGTGCCCTCTGAGGGTGCAAGTCATGGCAGGCCAGCCGCCAGCCCCCAGACACTGCACTCACGGCGCCTGCGCCACAAGGCGCACCTGCCACCGATGATGCCACCGTGGGGGCGAGGCCGGGGCAGCCGAGCCCGTCGGTCACGGAGCCGTGAGGGGGCTGCCGCTGGCATTCCCACCAAAGGGCAGCAGCTGGTTGCGTCACATCAGCTGCTCCGTAAAACTCAGGGACTCCAGGGAGAGGAACCGCCTTCCTGGGTCCCAGGCACCACTGCCACTGGTGGTGCTGGCCGACGTGAGGCATGGGTGCTCTGGGGCACCTGGGAGTGGGGGTTGACTTTAGGTGGTAACAGGAAAACACGCCTACGGCCCGCAGGTGCACACGGTCAGTCCTGGCCTTGGGCCCCCGTCAGTCTGGGTGTGGCCAGGCCACCCCTCCATTTAGTTGTTTAGTCAGGTGGTGATGCAGAGACAGCAGTCTGTAGACCTGGAACCTGCCCCGCAAGTGAGACACGGCCAGCACCCAGTGTCCATTCCCCGTGGGCCAGGCTGCGCCAGAGGCCGAGGCAGGGGGTGGCGTCTGGCTGGGTGCGACCTCAGAGGCACGTCCGGCCCAGAATCCTGTGGTGGGCTGACACTGCTGGGTGCGGCTGCAGCTCCTCACCGTTGCCGCAGGGCGTTTCCGACAGAGCCGCCCCGAGGCTTGGACGTCCTCTGCCTGGAGGGCACGCAGGCAGTCGGGGCCATGGCCGGGCTGCCCCGACGCCCGAGCGCGCACCCTCTGGCCCGGGGGCAGGAGCAAAGGGCTGGGACTTGAGAAAGCCGCAGCCTTGGGGGTGGCTCCGCTGGTGTCTGCGAGGGAGCTCTCTGCTTGCAGCCCTTCCGGTGGGGATCAGGGTGACTGACCCGCAGCCTCGCCAGAGCCTGGTGGCGCCAGGCTCGCGGACCATGCCGGCGGAGCGGGCGCGAGCACGCCTGCTGGGACTGATTCACCCTAACAGGCCGAGTAGCTTGAGTGTGGCTCCGCTGGCCCCAACCAAAGGTTCTGGACGCAACCCGCTTTTCAGGGCTTCGCTGTCCTCGTGCCCACGCCAGCAGCTTCGCGACGGTATCCTTGGTGAGGCGCGCTGTCCCATGGGGCCCGTCCTCTCACTGGGACCTTTGGCGTCTTGGCTGTGCCCGGCCCTTTGCAAAAGGGTTCGATCAGCTCATCAGGCTCGTGAAACACTGGCTGGGGCTTGACTTGGCCAAACGCCAAGTCCCTGTGCACCCGAAAACACTCTCACTGGCTCTCATACTTGGAGGAATTTGGGTATAAAACTCAGGTTTCAAAGCTCCCCTCCTCTCCAGTGCTTCACACACTAGTCCACGGTCACCTTCGGACTATGTGGCTGTCACTGGCCTCAGTCTTGTTCTTGTGTCCTTGTAGGATAAGCTTCTCCTCTGTAGAAGCTGCTAGACTTTTCTTTCTCAAGCAAAGGAGGATCCCAGAGAGCCCTGGGCACCCTGAGAGCACAGTCAATGCTTTCCTGAGGAGAAAAGAAGGGTTCCCAAGCCTGTCACCTGCCAGCAGGGGTTTGGAGGGAGCACTGAGGCTCCTCAGATTCTCCTGAGCAGGGCTTCTGGGTGGCCCTGGTCTCATCCCCCGACACCAGCACAAGTGGTCTGGGTAGCAGCCGCCCAGAAAGAGGCAGTTGCCCCAGCAACGGCAGGCAAGCTCTGTAATGTATGCTCACACCCTCATGCCGACTGGCCTTCTCCCCAGCTGTATTTATTTCAAGGCGTGAGGGTCACCATCAGGTCAGGATTGAGGGGAGGCCACCGTGCAGGACGAGGCCGCAGTGATGGTGCTCTGGTAAAGCCCATGCCGCGTGGACAGCAGGCTTAGGGCTCCTGTCCACGGACAGCAGGACATCAGTCATGCCTCGGTGGCCTTGTGCCCCAAGTGTGGAGAGTAAAGATGGCTGGCAGGGCTCACAAGGCCTCTTCATGTACGGACACCATGAAATGTCTCTGGGCAATTGTCATGTATCGTGTCTAAGTCCACATGGAATTGGAAGGGGTCTGGGAGAGCAGAAACAATCTTATAGAGGCGGGGAGCTTCTACACCGCATTTCCAAACTCACTATGAAGCAATGGTCACCAGGCCAGCGAGTGCCTGGCGCAAGGAAGAGTTTGCAGTCAGTCAGCGGAACAGACATGCCGTCAGCGGCCACCTGATTTCAGCCAGGGCGCCGAGGCCTCTCAGCAGGGAGAGCGGAGCCCTCCAAGCGAGCGGGGCCGGGACTGCCAGGCGCCCCGGGCCACATCACACAGAAAGGTAGCTCCGAATGGACAAAGACCTAAATGTATGAGCTGACCCTAGAAACTCTTAGAAGAAAACTCAGGGGTAAGCCTTCATGCCCTTGGATTTGGCAAGGGACTTTTAGCTATGGCACCAAAAGTGTGAGCAACAGAATTAAAGGGCAAATGGGGCTTCGTCGCAATTCAAAGGTGCGTGTCAAAGGAGGTGGAAAGACAACCCGGGGAATGGGGGTCAGTATCTGCAAGTCGCATCTGAAAAAGCGACTTATCTGCAGTACAGAAAGAGCCCTTACAACTCACAGTAAGAAGACAAGTAACTCAAGAAATGAGCAAAGACTCTGAATAGACACTTCTCCCATGAAGATACACCAAGGCCAATAAGCCCAGGAGAAGACGCTGGTGCCCTATGTCACGGGAACTGCCCCTCAGAGCCACAGGAGGTGCCCCCCGCACCCGCCAGGATGGCCGCAGCGAACAGCGAGCACTGGCGAGGATGCGGGGGGCCTGGGGCCCTCGCTCACAGCTGGCGGGAGCATCAGTGGCGCAGCCACTTCCGGAAGAAAGTCTGGTCGTTCCTCAAAGAATTAAATGTAAAGCCACCATGTGACCCAGCGGTTCCACTCCTGCAGGGGTGTGTGTCCAGGAGAAACGAACACACATGTCCACGCGAGGATTTACACACAAATGTTCCCAGCACAATTCAGTCACCAGAAGGCAGAGACCACCTGACGTCTGCCAGCTGATGGGCGATGAGCAGAACGTGGCCTGTCCACACCACGGAACGTTACTGGCCAAAAAAGAGTAAGAGGCTGATGCGCAACATGGGGAGCTTGAGAACATCAACCTAAGTGAAAGCAGCAGGTGATGAAAGACCACCTGCGGTAGGGCTCCTTCCGGTCCAAGTCCAGGACGGGCGGCGTCAGACAGAAGGCAGATCGGTGGCGGCTCAGGGCGGGGGCGGGGGCGGGGTGGCAGCTAACGGGCGTGGGATTCCTATGGAGGTGGTTGGAAACGTTCTGAGGCGGACTGTTGTGACGGGTGCACACGCCTGTGCCACGCTAAAACCAGTGACCTGCACACTTTAACGGGCGCGTTGTATAGGATGTAAATTATATCTCAATGAAGCTGTTTTAAAAACGTCATGTGAAGAACAGCATTTTGGGTATCTCTTCATTGTAGGAAAGTGGGAAAGGGAAATATATTGACCTATTTTCTTATATTTAAAAATAAATAAAACTAATAAAAAGTGGGAACTACATGAGGAAAGAATGAGAAGAAGGAAGTAAAGGGCCCATGGACGGGTGTGGACGTCTCTTAAGGCCCCTTTCCATGGTGGAAAGCAGGAAGGCGCTGTGAACGGCGCCCGAGAGAAAGCCCTGCCCAACAGTGACAGCAGATGGGAACTTCCTTCTCATGTTGTTGGCGTAACCACAGGGGAAAAAGTGTCATTTTAGGTAACTTTAAAACAGAGTCCTGACTATTCACTCCTAGTGGGACAGCTCCAAAGGACGAGAAGAATTGCCAGGAAATTTTAAGCTGTACTCAGTGATCTCAGCGTTTGCAGTATTACTGCTTATTTTACAGTGTTTTAAACTACTATGTAAGCTACTACATGTACATTGTGGAATAAAGAGTAATAATCGTGTCAATACCACCAAAATTTCAATCATAAAGACACCAGCAGAGGCGAAAGCCCTGTATTTTTACTTTTATTTTACTCTGTTCCTTTGAACTGGAACTATGGTGTAAACTCATCATTTGTTTACTTTTCTCTTTAAAACTAACTTCCCAGTTCTGTGCACTGCACAGACCCGACGCCCCAGGAGCAGCGAGCCCTGCATTTGCCCACACTGGGCTCTTGGGGCCATTCTGCATGGAAAGGAACCGGGGGTCTTGGGAGACGTGGCTGATGCCAAGCCTGAGGCAGAACATGGACCGAGCGAGCCCCGGACACACTGGTCTGAAGGGCGCGGCCGCCGAGCAGAAAGGGGTCCCGCTGACCCAAGACCAGGAAACTCGACAGCAGCAGATGGAACCACCAAACACATAAGGCTCCGTGGGCCGAGAGCGCTGGTCAGCCTCCAAGCTCATGCTGCAGGGCACACGGCAAAGAAAGAACGTGCGTGGGTCAGGTCTGGCCTGGCCTGCGGCGGGGAGGCCGTTTCCAGTGACCACGGGGAGGGTCAGGAGAAGCAGGAGCTTGCAGGAGACTTTCGGCCGCCGGGAGCAGAGGGCGACACAGGCCGAGCTAGGTGCACCCGTCATAAGGTGACGGATCTGGGCCCGAAGCAGGGATCTCCATTCCACACTGACAAGGCCGCCGACGCTGAACCAGGGACTGACACGTGCGCCTCCTGATGTGCAGCGGGTGCACGGCCTGCGCCGGGGAGCAAGCCTGCGAGAGGACACGGCACAGGACCCTGGGAAGCCCCCCCGCCCCGCTAACGAGCTTACAGGAACCATGGAATCAGGACGAAGAATGCCTGAGAGAGCAGTACGGCAGGTCCAGAGGAGGGAGTTCCACAGGTCCAGCGACCTGGTTTCTTCGATACTTCCAACAGGAAGACGAAAGAGACAGGTGAAACGAGACGTGAGACACAGCGCCGAGGCGGTGCTCGGAGGGCGAGGCCAACTGGAAACGACGTTTTTCGCACCATCGGGGGTCTGCACGTGGGGCTGCGATTTCTTCAGATGTTAAGGAACCGCTGCTAATTTCGGATCACAGTGATGCACGTCTAGAACCGTGAGTGCCTGTGCGCAGCAGACACCGCCAACGTGGGCAGGAGAAACGGCCTCTGTGAGCCGCTCTGACGTGGGAGATGGAGGCCCACCTAGACCGAGTGAGACCGCAGAGCGCTGGGGATCGCTGAAGCTGGTGCCGGTGCCGGGGGCTCCTCAGACTCGAATTCTGTGCTTTTGACATTTTTTAAGGTTCTTAAAAAGGTTTTTAAAAAGCCCACAACTCACCACCAGCACTTCAGGAAAGAAGAAAGGACAAGGACAGCCAGAGGGGAGTGAGGGGACAGAAGTGAAGTAGATAGAGTTCAGCAGACCCCGAGGGCCAGCAGGGGAGACGGGGAGATGAGGAGATGGGGAGACAGGGCCCGCGTCTCGCATGAGGAGGTTGGGGGTGCGTCGGCTGGATGACAGAGGAAAGACCAGCCTTCTGGCGTTGGAAGTGGTGGGGTGTGCACAGTCCTTACTGACCAGGGGTGCCTCACTTTTTGGCGTCCCTGGGCCACACTGGAAGAAGAATTGTCTCGGGCCACACATTAAGTAACTGCAGCATGTAATCACAGAAAAATCTCATAATGTTTTAAGTGAATTTACGATTTTGTGTTGGGCCGCGTTCATAGCCATCCTGGGCCACATGTGGCCAATGGCTGCATGTTGGAGACCCCTGCCTTACTCTTTTATTTTTTAATTTTGTTTTTTTATATATTTTCCTGATTATGCTATTACAGTTGTCCCATTTTTTTGTCCCCTTTATTCCCCTCTACCCTGCACCGCCCCTCCCCCCAGCATCCCCCCGCCCCTTAGTTCATGTCCGTGGGTCGTATATATGAGTTCTTTGGCTTCTCCATTTCCTCTACTATTCTTAACCTCCCCCTGCCTATTTTGTACCTACTATTTTTGTTGCTTATTCCTTGTACCTTTTCTCCCATTCTTCCCCCTCCCTCTCCCCCTCTGATCTCCATTTCTATGATTCTGTTCCTGTTCTAGTTATTTGCTTAGTTTGTTTTTGTTTTGTTATCAACAGTTGTTGATAGCTGTGAGTTTGTTGTCATTTTCCTCTTCCTAGTTTTGGTCTTTTCCTTAGATAAGTCCCTTTAACGTTTCATAGAATAAGGGCCTGGTGGGGATGAACTCCTTTAGCTTTCCCTTGTCTGGGAAGCACTTCGTCTGCCCTTCCATTCATTCTAAGTGACAGCTCTGCTGGACAGAGTGATCCTGGATGGAGGTCCTGGCCTTTCATGACTTTGAATACTTCTCGCCAGCCCCTTCCTGCCTGCGAGGTTTCTTTTGAGAAATCAGCTGATAGTCTTATGGGAACTCCTTTGTAGGTAACTGTCTCCTTTTCTCTTGGGGCTTTAAAGATTCTCTCCTTATCTTTAATCCTGGGTAATGTAATTATGATGTGCCTTGGTGTGTGCTTCCTTGGGTCCAACTTCTTTTGGACTCTCTAAGCTTCCTGGATCTCCTGGAAGTCTATTTCCTTCACCAGTTGCGGAAGTTCTCCTTCATTACTTTTTCAAATAAGTTTTCAATTTCTTGCTCTTCCTCTTTTCCTTCTGGCACCCCTATGATTCGGATGTTGGAAGGTTTAAAGTTGCCTCGGAGGTTCCTAAGCCTCTCCTCAGTTTTTTGAATTCTTGTTTCTTCATTCTGTTCTGGTTGAATGTTTCTCTCTTCCTTCTGCTCCCAGTTGTTGATTTGAGTCTTGGTTTCCTTCTTTTTACTGTTGGTTCCCTGCATATTTTTCTTTATTTCACTTTGCTTAGCCTTCAGTTTTTCCTCCATTTTGCAACCATACTCAGCCAATTCTGTGAGCATCCTGATTGCCAGTGTTTTATCTGTGCATCTGATAGATTGGCTATCTGTTCATTGTTTAGTTCTATTTTTGGAGCTTTGATCTGTTTTTTCATCTGGGCCATATTTCTTTGTCTCAGCGCGCCTGTTATGTTGGGAGGGGCGGAGCCTTAAGTATTCGCCAGAGCGGGGCAACTCAGGTCGCTGCGTTATGACGCTGTCGTTGGGGAGGGGTCCGAGAGGGAACAAGGCTGCTTGCTCGGCTCTCAGGCGGCTTTCAGTCACTTCCCCCACTTCCCACAAGCAAATTGGGCCCTTCTAGTGCTGACTCCCGGGTGGGTGGGTTTGTGGACATTCTACGTCCCTGTGGGTCTCTCCAGTGGACTCTCCTGTGAGGCTGGGAGTTTCTCCTGCCACCACAGCCCCCACCGGTTTTGACCTCCAGAGGTTCTGAGGCTTTCGGTTCCCGCACTGGGACCCTGGACGGCTCCGTCTGTCTGGCTCCCCAGCTGTCCTCCGGTTTATCCGCATGCAAACATGGGACCGCCTGGTCCTCCAGCCGCCGCCTTGCCACGTGCCTCTCCACCCCGGCTGCCCGTCTCCACGTCTCCTGCTGGTCTGGATGAATGTCTCTTCTTTAACTCCTTGGTTGTCAGACTTCCATACAGTTCATTTTTCTGTCAGTTCTGGTTATTTTTGTTTTTAAATTTGTTGTCCTTCTGTTGGTTGTGTGAGGAGGCAGAGTGTATCTACCTACACCTCCTTCTTGGCCGGGTCTTTTTTAAGTTGTCTTTTTTTTTTTTTAAGATTTTATATATTTTGTTAGAAGAGAAGGGAGGGAGAAAAAGGGAGAAAAAGATCAATGTGTGACAGAAACATTGATCGGTTGCCTCTTGCATACCTCCAAGTGGGGATCTAGCCCGCAATCCACCCATGTGCCCTGACTGGGAATCGACCTGGTGACATTTTGGTTCGTAGTCGGCTGCTCAACCCACTGAGCCACACCAGCCAGGGCCAAGTTTTTAAGTTAAAAATCAAAACAATATATGTCTTGACAAAGCTTACCAAAGAAAGCCCTAGTGGGCCCTCAGAGGGAAAGCCAGGCCCGTCCCTCCCAGGCAGCCCCGAGGGCCCTGCTTCTCCCAGCAGCAGCCCGGTGAGGGTGCCGCGGGGTGGGGGTGGGGCTGGGAGGGAGACGGGCGGACAGCGGCCCGCAGCGCACCGACGCCCGCGTGCAGTCCTGCACCTTTGCAGGGGCTTCCTGGACTCTGTGTGGGAGGCTGCCTGGGGCTGGGGACTTGGGGAGACACAGGCGGCGCGGGGATGGGCACTGGAGGACACGTGGGCGGTCGAGGGGAGGCACTGGCATCCACGTGTCAGGAACTGCGCAGGACCACATCGTCAGAAGGGAAGGGGGTGGGGCACAGGCCAGGGCTGAGCCGGGAGCCTCTGCTGAGGCCACCGGCACCGACCACAGTCTAAGCAGCGACATGAGGCTCCGCGCCACAGAGGGCTCGGCACTGAGGCTCCCAGCAGAGGTGTGGCTCGGGCTCTGGTCCTCCAGGTAGTGGGGTGGGAGCCGGGCATCACTCTGGTGAGCGTTGGGGACAGCGGCAGGCAGCAATGTGGCAGGGCCGGCAGGCCTTCCTGAGGGGCCCTGGGGACTGACCGCTTGCGGCCTGTTTGCAGATACCCCCGGGAACTGCACAGAAAACCCCTGTCAGAACGGCGGCACCTGTGTGCCGGGCACGGACGCCCACAGCTGTGACTGCAGCCCAGGGTTCAAAGGCAGACGCTGCGAGCTCGGTAAGTGAGGGGCCACCCAGCTCTGTTGCCGTTGGGGCGAGCCCGCTAGGCCCAGGGTGGGGCCCAAGTGCCCGGGCAGGGAGGCGGGGGCTGCCCCCAAATGCAAGGGTCAGCGGCGCTGCCTGGATAAGAGGGGCCTGAGGACAGTCAGGAACAAGGGGCACAGTGACCGCCACCCTGAAGTGGGAGGTCGGGGAAGGAGCTGGTTTGGGCTCGGGGGCCACGACCTGGTGATGGAGGGAAAGGGCCTCAGGCCTCCTTGGGAGGCTTCTGGGCGGGGCCGACGGTGGATGGACAGCAAACCCTGGGGGGCCAGCTGCAGGGGCTCCCACGGGCGCGGGCAGCGGGCAGCCAGGCCCGAGCTCCCTGTGAGCCGCGGCCTCTCCTTTGCTCTGCAGCCTGCAAGAAGCTGCCCCAGCCCTGCACGCGGCTGTTCTCGGAGACCAAGTCCCTGCCAGTCTGGGAAGGAGGCATCTGTCACCATGTGTGAGTCCCTCCTCCGCCCTCCCCACGCTGGGCGAGCCCTCGACCCCGCGACATGCCTGCACTGCACAGGGTCCGGCTCCCCCCACCCTCTCAAACCCCTGAGGAGGACTAGTTGGTCACAGATGGGTCTGGCTTTGACCTCCCCTTCCTGCCAGGCGACAAGCTAGTAGACTGAGGCGGACGCCAGACAACTTGTCTGCGTTGGTGCAGCTGCGGGCAGAAGCCCAGGGGGCTGGGACTGCGGCCCCTGGCTCCCGACTGCTCTGGCGGCGTCAGCCCCTTCCCTGGGTGGCAGGGACCCGCTCCTCCCAGGAAAGACCTGCCGCACAGGGGGCCTGGAGGTGGTTCCACCGTGCGGTGATGACACGGCCATGGGCAAAGCTCTTGTGCCTCCACTTCCCCATCTGTGAACTGGGCTCGCCCTGCAGGATCTTCCTTGCTGACACCCTGTGACCCTGTGGGTCCCACTCACGGTCTTTTTAGGCAGCAGACACGCCTGAGCCCTCTGTGTGCCGGCACACGCCAGTGGCCCGAGCGGCCCGGCCCTGCCCTCGGGTACGTCCAGGCGGGAGGAGGGAGACAGCCGCGCGGAGAGCGCAGGCGTGTTGGGAGGCGGCCAGCGTGAGGGGCCAGGAGAGCCCGGGCCGGGGGCAGGCAGGGCCGCTGCGGCGTTGCCCGTGTCCGGGTGAGCCTCGCGGGGAAAGTCCCGCGGCTCTGGCGAGGGCCGAGGGGTCTCAGGGAAGGACCGCGAGCCCGGCCGTCAGTTGCCCAGGCCCTGAGTCGGGAGCATCCCTGTGAGAGGCCTCTGGCATTTGTTCTGTGTGACATGGGAGCAGAGCGACACGTTCGGTTGCATGTTGTCAGGTCCCGCTGGGTGGGGTGTGGGGGGGCAGGGGCAGGCTTGCTGAGCGCGTGACCGTGAAGCCAGGGGTCGCGCCTGGCAGGAGGCACGGGAGGTCCCGAGCGGCACTGGGACTTGGGACTCTGCAGCGAACCCTCTGACTTCGGGTTCTGGGGAAGGACTGTCCAAAGCCACAGCAGCCGCCAGCTCAGGCTGTGCAGCGGGCCCAGCCCGTGGCGACCCGCAGGGGCCCGAGTGGGAGCCCCTCGCTGTGCTGTGACCCCAACGACTCTCCTGTCAGCACAGGGTCGGGTCTCCTTCCCACCTGGCCGCTCATCCTCCCGTTTTCATTGTGGGGATCAGAACCACACTTTAAAGGAACGATTTACGTGATCAGCTTAAACCTGCCACACAGCTATGGTTTCCTGTCGGTCCCACCTGGCCTTTGTTACGTTTTTCTCTTTTCCTACTTCTGGATTATTCCATAGTATTCTGTTTTACCTCTCTGGTGGGCCCACTGGTTTCACTTCGGTTGATTTTAGTGCCTCTCGGGGTCGACAGCACGGGCATCCCTGTACCGAAGGGGAGGCACCTGTGCATCGGCCTTTTCCGCACGTGCTGCGAACGACGCGTTGTTTTTCCTCCCAGTGACATCTTCGAAAATGTTGAGAGTGCAGTCTGCTGTGTTGCCCGCACGCCCCCGCCATGCGCCGCTTTCCTTCCTCTAAGGCATGCGCTGCGACGGCCCTGCCATGCATGTTGTTTGTGCGCCTTCCGCCGGGGGAGGCCCTCCCACGCCCTCGGTTTAGAGGGTGTGGCGGCTGGCGCCGGGCTCTCTGGTTTCCCCTCAGCACTCGAGAGGGGCCGCCCCGTGACTCCTGGCTGGCCTGGCCTCACACGAGACGACTGTATGCAGTGTGTCCCCAAACCCGGGGGCTGTCTGGTTTCCTGTTGCTACTGGTTCCGGGAAACCGGTCTCTGATTGGCTTTCGCACGCGCGCGCCTGTGTGTGTGTTTACTCTCTGGAGTTTATTAAGCTTCTTGTATCTCTGGGTTTTTAGCTTTCATCAAATTTGGGAAGTTTTGGCCATTATTTCTTTGAAGTATTTTTTCCGTCCCTCCACTTCCCCCTCTCCTTCTGGGATTCCAATGACGCACGTGTGCAACAGAGGCTGGCCCGCGGTCACTGAGCCTCCCTCCGTCGTCTTCAGTCTCTTCCTCCCCTTCGCTGCGGACGGGCCCTGCTGCCAGGCCTTCGGGGCCCCCGGCCTCTCCCCCCACAGTATCTGACCCGCCGTCGGTTGGTCGGCATAACGTCCATCTCCGGTGCTGCTTTACCACCTCTAGGAGCTCCTTCCTAGGTCCTTTCTTAGATCCTCCGCTTCTCTCATTATGTTTATGTTTTCCTTCACCTCACTGAACATGTGGAACAGATTTCTGATAGATATTTTAAGGTCTTGAAGGCAGCCCCCTGTTCCACGCTGCCACTACCGCTCATCTCCGAGGTCTCCACTCCTCGGCGGACGCCTGCGGACAGGATGTGGGGCCGCAGCCTCTCAGGGCCCTGGGGCCAGGCAGCCTGCCTCGGGCGAGGCGTCCGAAATGTCGCACTTCTATCAGATGACTTTATGGACACTCCTCAAAATGGACACTCCAAATGGGTGCATCTTAGTTCATGTAAATTAGGCCTTGGAAAAGGTAATTTTAAACGTTACGTGACTGTGATGTGGAACGTTTCGATACGCCGCTATGAGGTGAAGTTTTACTCAGAAAACACTAGCCGCCTATCGGGGCTGCCTGGGCCCCCGCGCCGGCCTCACGGAGCTTTCCCGCGGCAGGTATAAGCGAGTGTACAAGGTGCACCAGGACGTCTGCTTCAGAGAGAGCTGCGAAAGCACAAGCGTCAAGAAAAACCCAAACAGGTGCTGCCGCGGGCGAGGGGGGCCCCGGGGTGGCGTGCTGCGGGAGGCCGCAGGCCTGGGGCGGGCCTGGCTGTCTGCCCGGGTGGGCCACGTTCCACGGCCCGGCCCGCCAAGGGACCGCGAGTGCACGTGTGCCTGTGAGCGTGCACGGACGGGAGGAGCTGGGCGTGGTGGGTGCTGCGGGAGGGTCAGAGGGCGGGCGCGGGGGCGACTCTGGTCATGCGTGCACACTCAGCACCCGGTGACAGGGTGACAGGCCGGCCTGAGCACACACCCTCAAGCGCAGCAAGTCCTGATCGCTTTTGATCCTCTCGCCCCGCGTCCTTCCCCCAGAGGGCCCGAGGCAGTCGTCACAAGCTCTGTTCTGGAACGAACCGGGTCATCACACGCTTCCGCGAGAGCCGAGTCGGGCCCCCAGGCCCAGTCCTCCCAGACCCTCGGCCGCCCCGGTGGACAGGGTCTGAGGCACTCGGTGTCCAGGAAGAGCGGCGCCCTCGGCGCGTCTCCCTGCCTCCCCCTTGGTAGCTCGGGCCCCCGTCTCACTGCGCGACTCACCCAGCGCGCGGCTCCCCGTCCGGCGAGGGGACAGGCAGACCAGAGGGCCGCCCCCCTCAGGGCACCGGTGCCGCCCCCACACCGGACGTGAGAGCAGGCGGCCGGGCCGAGGGAGCCCCAAGGCGACTGGCCCAGGGTTTCTGTTCGCAAACCACCCCCCTCTCTTTTTCAGGAAGCAAAGCAACAGCCCAGCACTGAAGGCAGCATAAGGTGCGTCCTGGCGGCCGGCAGGGCTGGGGATGGCGGGCACCCCCTCCCTCCCTTCTCGGAAGCCCAGGGGGTCACTTTGTGAGGAAGCCCAGGCCAGGCTCCAGAATGCCCCGAGGGGCCTCCCAGAAGACCACCTGTGGCAGGCACACCTCCGGGGGGACAGGGGGCTCTGTCGCCAGGACCCCCAGAAACCCTTTCCGTCAGCAGCACTTGGCGGTGGGGCCCACCTGACACCTGGCAGGAGGCGGGACTGACCGGTGGGGGCCCGGGGACGTTAGGGGCTGGGAGTCCCAGGACTGCGTCCCAGACCCTGGGAACGGCCGTCTGCTGAAAGGAAGAGTGGGCTGTAGGGCCTCTGTCACCTAACTTCTGGACGGTCCTAAAGACCGTCCCTGGCAGGTCCCTGAGATACGCGGGGACCCTGAGAGGCCATAAACTTTCCAACTGTCTCACCCAGCAGTTCCCAGACCCTTCTGGAAACCCAAGCCCACCTGACCCCACCTCCGCACACGTGAACGGCCCGAGTCTCCACAGTCACCTGCAAGACAGAGACCCCAAGGCCCCTCCACAGCCTGTACCCAGCTTCCCGCGGACCGAGAGCTCCTGTCAACGCGATGCCACTGGGCGGCCGGACAGCCCACTGCTCGCGCTCCCCCAGCGGCCCCGCGGCCCCGCACGGCAGGAGGGAGGTGCCCCGGCAGCACGGCTTCACACGCAGGCCACGGCCACGACACGGCCGAGGAGCCTTATTCAGGGGCCTTCCCAACACCCGGAAGTAGAAGAGCCTTGCAGCTTGGGCTCACACACCCACACCGGCGAGCCTGCAGGCAGGGAGTCCCGGGGGCCGTGGCCTCGGGCAGCCTCTGTCACACGCAAAGTCCCTTGGAGGCATCACCCTGCTTCACGCTCCAAAGACACGTGCCTGCCAAGCATGCACCCCAAGGCCTGCAAGCAATTTGGCACTGGGATTAAGAACCCACAAGTGTGACTTGGGTTTGAAATATTTATATTACAGTGTCACCTGCAAGAATAATATATTAAAGAAGTTGCTTGGCAAACCCACTTGTATAAAGACAAACCAGAAACCCTCCACCAATGATCAAACACTGGCCTTTGGAATACGAATTCCTGACACAGTAGAGGAAACAGCAACAGGCAGGACACAGAAAGACACACAGACGCACACCCAAGGCCACCACGTAAGAACTCGCTGCAGCACAGTGACGGGCAGCCCGCGCGCCCGCATGGGGAAGGTCAAGGGTGTCGCCACCCAGAGGTGCCCCCACTGAGGACGCAGTCGGTCCTCGACCCGTCTGCCTCATGCCACGCCTGCCACAGCCAGGCAGCAACCCGGCCACAGAGCAACAAGAAGCCGCCCTCTCCAAGGGGAAGGACCTCCCTCCTCGCGCCCCATTTTCTCTCCCACGGATTCTGGGTGTTCTTGCTACACTCCATCAGGCTCAAGAGTTTCTAAGGTCCAGGAAGACGAGGCCTAAAATCAGGTGACAAGGACACCTGAGCAGCAGGGTCCTGGCTAGAGTCGGTCCCCTCTGGGGCCCCTCCCCTCCGGCTGCTCTAGAAGACAGGCGGCCAGGCCGGCCCGGCCCGGTAGGTCCCCTGCTGCCCACAGCAGCCGATCTGGAGCCCTGGCCACATTTTCCCCAGCGTCGTCTGCGCCGGGAGCGAGCAGCCACCGTGGTGGCAGGAGCCCTGGACGAGCAAGGCCATAAGCGGGAGCCTCAGCATCATCCAGAAACCAGCTCCAGCTTCCAAACCACAGACAGGACCCACCTCTGAGACCCACCAGCCAAGCCGAGTCCCAAAGCAGCAGGGCGGGCCGAGAGCGGGCCGCCTCCCCTGGGGCCACTCACTGGGGAAGTGGGGGCTCGTGACCCACCACCAACCAGCAGGTTTGGCGAGAAAACGTGTTAGTGCTCAGATGGCGTCAGACGCTCCACCTGCCACTTCTGCCGTGACAGGCTGGGCAGTGGGTGTTTCCGGCTTCACAGGCCCGGCGGCCCCTGTGCCGCCTCAGCCCCGCGCGCGAGCGCAAGCACAGCCAGAAACGCGTGCCGGCTGGACCAGTAAGGCCGTGCTCCCCTCACCCTTGATTCACAACACCGGGTCCACATCTCCGGGGCCATGCTTGGCTAACCCCACTCAGGCTGCGGCCTCATGCAGAGAAAGCTGCCCAGGTGACAGGTCACCCGGAGTGTTGTGGGAGCATGACCCACACCCACTGGCACCCGCCCGGCGGCAGCCAGGGCCCCCCACAGGCCTGACTCACGGAGACAGACAACGGGGGCGGGCGAGGCCCGAGGTGGGCTGGGGATCCTCTCAGCCCCGACTCAGGACACCAGGCAGCCCTTGCCCTCCCCCACCCCGCAGCTCGCCCACAGGCCGACGTGTGCCGTCGCCACGCCCGCAGTCCAGCTCTGGACCCCCGAACCGCTCTCCCAGCCCCTCTCAGCGAGCAAGGTCACGGCCAGGGCCAGCCCCACCTCCGCCTCCGGGCGCTGTGACAGACGACCCCACTGGAACTGGAGCCCCGTGCGCTGTCTCCAACGCTGCCCGAGTCAGCCTTACAGGCACCAGAAAGGCTCTTTCTTCTCATCTTTATAAAAACATTTTTTAAAGAATTAAGAGTATATTTTAGACTATTTTTATTAAAATTGCGTGTGCCTATGTCTGTGTATTATACAATCTGTCATTTTCAGAAAGGAGGATCAGTCATTTCAAGAAGTCTCTACTGTGCTCCAGAATGTCCCCAATCTCAGGGCCACCTGAAGGGGACGGCTGAACCCCGTCAGGAGGCTCCAACCCATGACCATGCGCACGGGCTGCTCTCCCTATGCGTCCTGTAAGCCGCAGCATCACTAGCAGATGGCAAGACCAAGCGACGTCACTGGGAAAGTGGGTGAGACTTCCTGTGACACGCGGATGGCCCATGCCCTCAGCCACGGGCAGACGCCGACGCGCCCCTGTGCTGGGCGTAGAGGCGTTTGTCTTCACAAGGAACAGCGGGCTGGACCCTGAGCTTGGTGCTGCGTGGTCTCACGATTCGCCCGCTTTGATGTTGTACCAATTAAATATCTAGTAAAAAAGACTGAAGGAAATTACAAATCATTCTGGAAACATTCCAAGTGAGCTTTCATAAGTCTCCTTCATAAAGCTTCCTTGAAAATACTCCATCCACCAAAGGAAATTAGTAACAATGGGTCAGAAAACTATCAGGGGCATAAATGTTTATTTGTGCCGAAACGACAGGGAGCAACTGTGACCTTCAGAGTCAGCCACCTGCTGCCCAGGCTGGTGACCTGGCCATCCAGTCAGGCGTAGATTTAGGGTCCCACTCTGTCCTGTGCTGGTCACATGGACACCACAAAATGGACAGTAAGTGAAAACACTGGCACATGGAGAAACATCTTCCTTTTCAATACTTTTTGTCTGTGGCCAAGACAGTGTCTCTTCTCCCCACGGTGCATGGTGGTCACAGCGGAAATGGAGCTGCTCTGCCACCTGGAGCCCAGTGGGAAGGGCCATGCTGTGCCACCGACCTCTAGCACCTTCCCTTGGCTGGACTGCCTCCTGCCAGCCAACCAGGGCTCACAGGGGCAGAGGCTCCCTGGGCTGGTTGTTTTGCAAACAACACCTTTCTCTTTGCAGTCAAACAGGGAACAATAGGCGGCGAAAGCAAAAGCGCAAGCCCCGATTCCACGGAGAACAGAGCGCAGACCGGTCAACTGCCCTCCAGGGCGCGGGGAAGGGAGCGCTCTGCAGTTGGCCCATGGCAGGCGCCCAGGGCATCCTAGGACACACCGACCCTCCCCCGCCACAGAGCTCACGCCATCAGGGCTGGGGCCCTTGACCCCAAGGCTTCAAATTGCCACTCAGACACTCGGGGTTCCTGAGGAGACCTTCTCCGCCTTGGTGTTGTGGAGAGCTCCCCAGAATGCACCCCGACCAGACCCTTGGCCCTGGCCCCACCTGGCCCAGCCATGTTCAGGTGCTCTGCTCCTCAGGCTTCAGAAGCACCCCCACAAGAGGAGGGGCTGCCTGGCTGGGTCGGCTCCATGGCCCCTTCGGTTCTTGCAAGCCCCAGGCCAACACTCCCAGCTGCCGGAGACGTCAGGCCCCCCCATGTGACCCACTGGCTGTGAGCGGCACAAAAGCCAAGTTCCTGGGTCAGAGGCGGGCGTGCCTCACACGGGTGCCCAGAGCTGTGCTGGCAGGAAGCAGCCGCGCCACACGCAGCTGAGGATCACTGGCCCACGCTCCCTGCTCTGCTGCACACTGAATGCCATTAAGAAGCGGCACTTCTGGATTAAATACATGAGTCTTTGTGGAAAGCCTGCTACTTGTTTTCATAAAATAAAGTGCTGTGATGTACTAAAACCCCGCTGCCGTCTCTTAATTGTACCTTTAACACTAAAAGAACAAAGATGACCGCAGAACCACACACTGTTCTGGAATGATTCCCTACAGCTACAACAGAGAAAATAAAACCAAATTTTAATGCACTGAGTTCCCAATTTTAACAGGTGGGAGCCAGACTTTTATTCACAATGGAGCAGGGCCCTCTGACCTACTTCTCAGGTGATCTGCAGTAATTTTTCATCAAAAGAGCAGTTTTGGAATGAAAAATGGCCTGAGGAGATCCAAGGGAAGCTCCCAAGGGCTTTGAGAGAATCAGAATGTCCTCCGACGTCCCTGGGCCTCAGTCACAGCTCCTCCTCCTCCCAGGCCTCGTCCCCTTCACTGGGGCTTTCATCACCAGCCACAGCCCTCTCAGACTCCGCCTCCTGCTCTCGAGCCAGGAGCTTCTTAAAAACTTCAAACTCCTCTGCAGAAGAACAGGCCGTCCTGGCCAGAAACTCGGCTTCGGACACTCTGAGAATGTCCTTGAGCAAAGGGTTGGGGACCTGCGTCTGCCCCTTCTTGTCCGGGGTCTGGTACCGTCCCAGGCGCTCTAGGAACGTGTGCCTCTCCCGGGTCTTGGAGATGGGGTACTGCAGGAAGCCGGTCCTCACCACGTCCGCGTGCTTCACCCCCATCCGGAAGTAGGCGTACTGCGGACACGGGCCGGTCAGGGTCTGGGCCCGGGCCCTCAGACCCACCCCTCCAGTCACGCAAACTTACCTGCGAACAGCATTCCAGGGGAGGCCTAACCAGCAGCGCGGGGTCCCCTTGGACCCCACGTCTGCATGAGAGTTGACAATTTTCACAGTGTTCAAAATTCATATTGAGGAAAACGCAGCAGTAAACAAAGGGCAGGAGGAAGAGATTACGTTCTCTTTTCCTTCGGATGGAAAGCATAGGCCAGAACTTCAGAAAACATCTAGGGGTTTGACCTGGTCGTCGTCATTGTTACCAAAAAGTTAGGACAGCTGTCACAACCACATTTCTGAACTCAACATGCAAAAGAGGCTCCAAAGCTAGGAGCGGTGTAGTTATTTTTACATTATCTATTTCAAACAGAGGCCTCACCTGGACTCGGAGAGCCGGGCAAGGCCATTGGACATTAATGGCAGAAAAGTTGCAGAATCGGTGCCCCTGGGTTGTTACCCACAGAGCTGACCCTGCTACGTCCCAGAGCTCACTGCCCCGCCCCCAAGTAGTGGCTGCCGGTCTCACCTGGAACTTGTACTCCAGCTCCCCGGGGTCCGCCCGGAGAACATGGGGGCATCTGTACAAAATCTCCGTCACCTGCTGCGCCGTGAACAGGCACTTCTCCCTGAGAACTCGGATGATGCTTTCAACGTCCCGGTGATGCATGCTGAAAACTTCGGGGCAGCAGTGAAGCACCCTTTTTAGTTTCCCTGCAGGACACAGAAAGGGCAAGTACATCATTTCAGGATATTCCAAGAACCTAAGGGGCCAGCCGCACCCACCTCAGGCCAGCACTTCCAAATGGAACAAGGACGCCCCTCCCGCCCTGGGTGCCAGCCCCCGATGCATTCCCAGCAGCACAGCGGAAGCGGGACCAGAACAGCCCGCCACCCACTGCCACCCTCACTCCTCAGACCTGCCACAGCCACCTGGTGTTCCTGCCTCCTCCGGCCTCCCCGCTGAAAGGCACCTGCTCTGTGTTCTAGGGTTCCTCCTCCCACCCTCCTCACCAAGGAGGGAATTTCCCAGGGGTTTACTAGAAAAGCCAGACAGTAAAAGCCAGACAGTAGCATCCCCCACACTGAGGCTTTGGGCTGAGGTTTCCTTCCACTGATAAAAGTCACAGATCCCCAAACCCAGGAAAAGGGGTTCCAGGACAACAATTCACAGAATAACAACAACAGTGCACAACCACAAATGCCAATGTGCTGGTCAACAGGAAGACCGTCTGTTTTACCCAAACTGGGGCAGTCCGGTGACAGAGGCCCTGTTAGGTGCGTTAGAACTGACCGCGTAAACCACGACGGCCTGGAGGGAGGGGGCCCAGAGGCTCCCACGGCCTGCCGAGGGAAGCGATGCCCAGACACTGGAGATCATTTACTCGGTTCAAATCTGCCTGACAGCTGAGCTAGTCGCTGTCTTGCCGAAACATGTCAGGTATGAACTTCGGAAGTTTGGACTTCATCTTTGCAGCTCAAGGCCGTGCTGAGCTTGCTAATCTGTAATCATCAGCCTACCCCGCAGCAGGCGTGTGTTAAGGGAAACGCGCAGGGCTGGCGCCCACTCCTCTCCTGGCAGTGGCGGCCTCCTGACATCCTCTGAAGCAGTGGATCCACACACCTCTTCTCCCCCAACGATGTCTTACCAGGAAGAGTTAAGATTGAGAAAGTAGAACAGTGCAGCTCCTGCGGTCAAAGTGGAGACCCTCCTGGGCTCCCAGCCCCCTTCTCTGGAGGCCCGTGGAGAAGCCCAGTGACCTTCTAGGTCCTTGCAGGCGTGAATCTGGCAGGGGTGGGCGGTGTCTGGGGGCAACAGCCACTGCACCTGCATCCCAGGCTGGAAGTGCCTTGACGAGGGGCTCTGGCTGCCCCCCATGCAGACACAGCACGGAGACCCGTCGGGTCACTTCCCACCACAGGCCACACTTACACACGTGTAGTGGCATCACAGACCAAGGTCCACCTGCAGAGTGCACAGCTCGCACTCGCCGCTGCCCCAGATGCTCAGCGCCTGCAGCGAGCAGCCCAGGCAGGAGTCCCTGTCTGTGCCGCGATGCCCCTCCCTCCTGCAGTGCCTGCCTCAGAGGTCACGCCACCGCCTCAGCCCGAACCCACCCGCGCTCCTTGCCGGGACTGCTCCCCAGACCAGCCCCTCACCGAGGCCGTCGCCCCCCAGCTCCGGCCTGGCTCTCCCCGCGCCGGCCATGCCATGTACCTTCCTCGAGCCCCAGCTTCCGCAGGTAACTGGAACGCTTCCTCACATGCATCACAGGCAGCGTCAGCAACTGAGGACTCTTCTTTAAGGCCACGTACACGGGTTCGGGATTCACGCCCAAGAGTATTAATTCAGAAACAATGTCCAGCAAGTGTCGAGGGCGGGTCCCTGGCTGTATGCTGAGCAGTTCGTGAGCATGGACATCACTGAAACCCATGTCCAGCAGGGAGCTGATGACCGCCTCTCGCTCCGAGGTCGCCCCGTCCACGGGGGCCCTCTGCTCCTCCAGGGGGCTCCACATGAGGCTCCTGCCGCACTCTGGCTCCTGCACGGGCTTTCTGGGTCCTGCAGGGGACAACCCCCCAGGGCCGCCTCCGCTGGAGGCTGTGGTCAGTGTACGGCACAAGGGGGCCCTTGCCCTTTTCTGTTCTCCAAAACGGGGAGCCTGCCAAGCGAGGTGGGCCCAGGTGAGGGGCAGCAGGCGGTGCCAATCCAAGACCTGTGGGACACAGCACGAAAGGGCGTCACCCCCTCAGCACCCCACTAGCGGGCACCGCAGGACTCGTGGGTGCGGTCCCGCAGAAACATGAGGGTCTTTATAAAACACCCGCAGGGCCAGATCTGAACCTACAAAGCCTGGGGAGAGAGGATCACGCACGGAGAACACCGCGTTGCGGGAGCACAGAGGCCAGAGTGAAGCAAGCGCCCGTTAGCTGTCGCAGCGGCGACTGACAGGAGGGACCCCACGGGGGCGGGGAGAACGATTTCAAGGCCACCTGGTCAAGCTCTGCGTGTGCGCGGCGGGGGTGGGGTGGGGTGGGGGTGCGGCGGTGCCGTCCCTCCACCTGCTGATACCCAGCGCCCGGCGCCCGCAAGCCCGACGCGGGCGGGCAAACCAGCAGGAGGACAGGAACCTCCGGCGGAGGCGTAGGGGGGCGGGGGACAGGCTGCCGCGGGGGCACCAGCGGGTCCCCGGGGAACGAAGGGCGTGGGCGCGTCCGCCACAGCGTTCACTCTACACAGACGCGAGAGCCTTCCTCTCCTTCGGGGCGCAGGCTCCCCGGGAGGCAGGACCCGCGGCAGCCTCGCCCCGAGGGGTCCCGCCGTTAGTGGTGACAAAAGCTCCGACCAAGAAACGCCTCGACTTTCATGCCACCTGTGGGCCGAGCTGGCACCCACTCGTGAAACCGGGGCCTCGCGCCGGTCCCCGGGCGCCCGCGTCCACGACCGTCCCGCCGAGCAGCCTGCTGCGCAGCAGGCGCCTGTCAGAACCTGCGCGCAGGTTCCCCGTTGGCTTCGAGAAGCCTCAGCGGCCGCCGCCGCGCTCACCGCTGCCCTTCCCGCCGGGGCCCCGCGGCGCTCCAGCAGCGAGACGCCCCGGCCTGTGGGGAAACGGCCAGCGGCTGCTCGACGCCCGGCAATGAGCCGCGCCCTCGCGGCCTCACGCCCCCTCACCTGCCGGCAGAGCGCCGCCATGGCGCGAAGGCGGTGCCGCGACTCGGGCGCCGGAAACAGAACCCTTCGGTCCGACACTTCCGCCTTCCCCCGGCGCGCGCGAGGCGCGGAAAGCGCGGTCCGCCGCGGCGCTGGCCGCGCTCTGTGTCCCCCGCGGCTCCGAGGGCGCGGGCCTCCGAGCGCGCCTGCGCCGGGCGCTCGCTCTCGCCGCAGACCCGGCCTCCCAGCCCCCAGGAATCCCTCCGGGGGGCCCGACGGGCCACGGGCTGCGACGCAGACGCCTCCCGCGGAAGAGCCTCCCGAGGCGTCCCACGCGGCGGGATGAGGGGGCCCGCGCGAGCGTGGAGCCCTCGTGAAGAGCCGTTGGGCTTCCGCTGCCAAGCCCGGCGCGCAGCCTGGAGGCCGACGCTGCGCGCGCTGAGGAGGCGCGTCCCGCGCGGTCGCGTCGCCCAGGGAGGTGGTTTTCCAACCACCGTGGCCGTTTCCCTCCAGAAACACGGTCCTCGCTGCCGGGTCTGGCTTCCTCTGGGGATGGAAGCCAGTGATGTTTCAGCCGAAATGTCGTTAAACAAAACCCGGGCACGGCCGAAGGACAGGCCCGGCGCTGCAGCCTGAAACCCCGCGGCGGGGCGGCGGCGGCACCGCGTCGGGGAAGAAAGACGCGGGTGGTTTGGGAGGACCGACGACCCCACAGAGAAAGGGGCGGAAGGAGGCAGACAGGCGCCTCGGTCAGAGGAAGGGGGTTTGCCCCCGCGGCGGCGGCGCACCCCGGCCGTTCCCCCGGTAACCGTAGGAGCAGGCACCCCGCGGGGAGTTAACTCCCGGTTCCGACACCCACCGGGGAGCGTGCCGGCTCTCGCTGGTTTTGCCCTGCTGTCAACCGACGAAGCTCCTCTTCCTGCGACCCCCCGGCCGCTGTCATGCCCTCAGGACGCCTCCGAATGTCCTTGGCACCGTGTTCGTCCCAGACTTCATGCGCAGGCCGTGGTAGTTCGGGTGTAGGGCCCACTCATCTCTCCAAAGCGGGTCGATGTGGAAAAACGAAACGGCTGGTCTCAGGCGCCTCAATCCCCCCGCCCATGAGACCCAAACCTGCACCTGCGGGCCTTTCTCCTTGTTTTATCTGCTTGTTGTCTGACCGAGAAAAGGGGCTCGGTTCGCGCACAGATACGACTCCCCGAGTTCCTGCTCGGTGCCAGCCCTGGGCTGGGTGCTCAGCCCCGGTCCTTTCTGGACAAGGACTTGATCAAAGAAAAGGAAGGGTATAATCTGTGTGGAACCAAAATATTAGTTGCTTTTAATCTTTCTTCTTAAAACACTCACCCATCAGCACCTCAAAATAAATTGCTGATGCTTTTTTTTTTACCCCAAATCTGAGAAAATCCAGTGTGCCACCCCCACGCCCCGGAAGAATCGAGGAACAGGAGCAATTCTCCAGCTCCCGAAATAAACGGGCAGCTGGGGCGCCGCCCCTGCCCTGAAAGCCGACGGCCCCTGTGTGTGTCCGGAAACCTGGGCCCTCGGGCCTCCCCGGGACGAGCACAGGGGAGCGTGTCAGCCTCAGGCCCTGCACTTTCCGGCCAGGGTTCTGGGTGCGAGTAAGTCTCAAAGCAGCGGACAGCCTGCTGCCACCGAGTCCAATGAGCTGTCATTATGTTTTCTTGTGAGAAGGAAGCGCGTCGGAGAGCGAGGGCCTTGCACTATGAGCCCATCGCACACCTGACCGGAAGCAACATTCTGGAGCTTCTTTTATGTAATAAACATCATAAACACTACATGGATGAACGTTTGGGGTTCTTTCCGCTTTTGAAAACAGTTCTTAGAACACAAACTCATTTAAATTCTCAAGAGTAAACATCACTTTTTCACACAGGCTTTAAACAACACTTCCCAAAGCCTGCCTTCCCTGCCCCGTGGGGGAGGGGACCCGGCCAGTGTCTTGTGACGGCGGCAGCACTTTCTAAAGGGGAGGCGACGGCGAAGCCCATACCCTAGCGGTTGAAAGTGAAGTTAACGGTTTCCCGAGAGCCCTAAAGTGCGAATCGGGTCGGGCGCCCCCTGAATGAGCCCCGGAGGCCGAGCCCAGGACGCCCTGCAGGCAGCCTGGCCCTGCGTCCTCCCGAGGCTCTGGGCTCTGGGCAGAGCTGCCCTGGACCCGCGGGAAGTGAGGGCTGTGGGGAAGGGGTGGGGTCTCAGTTTCTGGTTTTTTCCTTCCATCTCAGAGTGGGGGGAATGAAGGGTTTTCCTCTCACCCCCTAACCACACCCCCCCCACACACAGGTACGAAACGGAGGCTGGATTCCAGGTGCTGGAACTGGCCAATTGGCGCAGAGGGGCCCTGGGGCCTGAGAGGCGCGGGGCAGCGGCACTCGGGTCTTGACACCCCCACGTCGCCAAACAGAGTGGACCTGCTGGGGGCGCCATGGGTGGACAGAGGGTGGGCCACCCCAAGAGGCTGCGCGTGGTCAGAAGGGAGGAGCCCAAGAAGACACGCTCCAGCCTTCTCAGACTGCGGGCTCTGGGGCTGCCCACGCGGGAGGGGCCCCCAGGCCGCCTGAGGCCAAGGCCCACCCCAGGGCTGCCCGCACCGGCATCGTCAAGAGTTCATCCTGTCCAGGGCGGGGTAATTGCTCACTAACAAAAGTGCTTTAATTTGGAAAATGTTCAAGGAAATAAATTAATGAAATACCCTGGTTAGTTCCACAAATTTTACCTATCAGATGAACATACATCAGAGAAAATAAAACATATGCATATACACAGAAGAGAGAAAGAATTTAAAAATGCTTCTAAGCCTCTCAGAAGTTCAGATTCGAAATTCGATTGAACACAACAATGTTTTTTTAAGGTCATAAAAAAATGAACTCCGTATCTGTTTTTTATAAACCTAAAAGAGCATAACATCACTGCTTTTTGTTCTAGCATTTATCAAACTCACATGAGTTTTAGATGAACTGGGCCCAACCTTGAGAACCACTGGCCCTGAGTGGACGCTGTTAGGAGGGGGCGCCCCTGGGCCCCGAGGCCGCGCGCTCCGGGGGGCTCCTGCTCTCCACCTCCAGACTCAGGGCGGACAGAGCTCCGCTCTCTGGAGAAAGAAGGAGACGCTGTGTCACACGCTAACAGCACAGAAGAGCTCCTGGGAGAGGAGGCATCAGAGGGCCCTTCAGACCCAGCTGGCCGCTCGCCAGGGTGCCTGTGCTGCTGCTGGGCCCTGCGGGGCCGCGGCGCCCGACACTTGGCTGCGCAGCCAGCACCCCCTGAAGAGCCGGGCCCCTGAGCACTGAGCTCGCACTTCGGCCTCACCTGCTCCTCAGCCCCCACGGACGGTCGCCAGCTGCACCTCTCAGAGCCCCCGGCCCCTCCGTAGGGGCCACCTCACCACAGGCTCCCATGGGCCCTCACCCCCGCAGGCCCACAGCCTGGTGCCCGCAGGGGCCTCTGACGCAGAATCCAGCCCCACTTGCCTCACAGCTGTGAGCGGTGGGCCCTGGGAGGCCACCCTCCCCCGCGAACTGGAAGGCAGCCCGGGGAGCCTGCCCGCCCCCGGAGTACAGCCCACGCCTCTCACCTGGCTGGGGGATCCCACACACCTCCTCCCAGGTGTAGTCAGCAAGGTTCACGGGCTGCGTCACCCAGGGGTCGGTCACCAGCTTCTCCAAGGTGACACGCTTCTCAGGGATGGGCTGAAGCAGCCCAGTGATGAGCTTCATGAGATCTGGGGACATAAAACCCACCTAAGCCATGGGGTTGGGGGGCCACTTGCGGTCTGGGCTGGGGTCCAGGGCAGGGCGTCGCAAAGCCATCGGCCCTGCCTGCCCCCGCGAGCACCTGATTGGGCAGCGGTAGCCCTGGAAGCCCCAGTTTAACCAGCCCCCCAGTGCAGCACAGGGCCGCCAGCTGCATTTTGAGAAAGGCCACGGGAGCCGCCTGTTGCCTCTGAGACAAGAGTGGGCATTTGAGGCCCTGCCTCCCCAACCGTGCAGTATGCGGAGGTCCCAACCGGGGCCTGTTCTTGGGGGCTCTGGCTGTGCAGAGCCAAGAATGACAGGGTCTCTGCGACAGAGCGGGGGAGGCAGCCCACTGGGGCCAAGAATCCAGGAGCCAGCTGAGCGCCGCAGTCCGCCCGGGCACTCAGAGGCGTGTACTGCGGCGCTGATGCTGTGCCGTTAGGAGGGGTCTCGGGGAGGGGACCAGGGCGGTCAGATGAGGCTGCAAGGTAGGGGCCCTGGGGATGGCACTCGGACCCCTGGAAGATGAGAGGCCAGAGAGCTCACTCCAACCCCGTCTCCGCCACGAGGACACACAGGACGGGCCGCCGGCTGCGAGGCAGGCAGAGGTTCTGACCAGGCGCTGACCCCACGGCGCCGAGACCTCGGACGACCAGTCTCAGACCGAGAAACAAACATCTGTGGTTCGAGTCCCTCATCTGTGGTGCCCTGAGCCGACTGAGACACAAGCTCATGACCCAAGCAAAGGACCAAGACACAGCCCTCGTGCATGGACACCCATCCCCTTGGCACTGGAAACAGTAACTGACCGCTGCAGAGCCCCAGAACGCCAAGATCGGGGGGCCTGAGAGCCCTGTGGGCGGCTGCAGGCGTGGGGAGCCCTTCCGGGCCGGCAAGGCCACACCCGCCTCCTGCACTGGCCGCCTGCACTGGCAGAGACCGCGGGAGGCGGGAGGCGGGTGGCGGCTGGGAACTGCCGGCCCTCTCACCTTCAGACACCAGGTGCGGGGGGCTGAGCGCAGCCTCCACGGTCTCCTCCAGCTCACAGAAGGGGTTCTCCTCAAAGATGAGCGTGTACAGCGTGACTCCCAGGGACCACATCTCCAGCTCCGGCCCCTCGTAGCTGCGGCAGAAGGAGACTCAGCTGAGGCGCATGAGCCTGAGTCCCATCACCTGAGGCGGTGCCCGGTGGCGCCGCACGCCCGCCCCGGCCAGGCTCCACCGCGCGCTGGGGAGCGAGGGGACGCCAGGCCGCCGCGCTCGGGCCCCTGGGAGGCCGACTCGGGAGTCGGAACAGCCACCGCGTGGACGGGACGAGGCACAGGGCACGAGGGGGCAGGGACGGCGTCGCCCGGGGTGTGGGGGCTTCCTGGACGGGGCGGCCACGCGGAGCCACCGGCGGCTCCGCGACAGGGCGGTGGGCCCATCAGGGGCGTGGGAGCTGCGGGAGCCACAGGAGTGTCAGATTCGACAGTTTTTGCTTTTGCGTCATTTTGGTTTTGGAGAAAGAGATGTCAGGATTTTTGGAGGCTAAAGAGAAAAACCCAACAGAGTAGAACAGGGGTCAGCAAATGCTCTAAGGGCCCAAGAGTCAGTGTTTGGGCTGCGGGCCACGCGGCCTCTGGCGCCGCCCCTGTTCTCTGCCGCGGCGGCAGCCCCACGCGAGGAGGCCGGTGCGCGCGGCCGTGTGCCGGCAACGCGTGCTCCCCAGGGTGGCAGGCGGTGTGGCCCAGGGCGGCCGCATGTACACGACGAGTGGGGACCTAGAACTTGCTTTCGGGAGCCGTTCAGCCCATGAGACGGGAGAGCACGCAGGACGGAGGGCGCAGCGCAGGGGGCGCCGGGCGGGCAGGGCCCTGAGCGGCACCGAGGCACGGGCTGGGGAGGCAGGCGAGCCAGCAGCACGTGTCACGGTCCCGGACATGCAGCCTCTCCAGCACCAAGGCTGTGACGGCCCTCGAGGCCAGTGGCCACGGGCGCGCTGAGGCCAGGGCAACCAGTCTGTCCCACGAGGAACCGCAGCCCTGGCCGGCGGCTCAGGTGGTGGGAGCGTTGTCCCGTCCACCAAAACGGTTGCAGGTTTGATCCCCGCTCAGGGTGCGTATGGGAGGCAACCAATTGATGCTTCTCACAGGGCTACTTCTCTCCTCCTCTCTCTCAAAGCAACGAGCCTTCCCTCAGGTGAGGATAAAAATAATTTCTTTTTTAGTTTAAAAAAAAGAGACTCGAGGGCCCTGCGTAGACCATCACTGTCTACGTCACTGTCTCTGGCTCTGGCTGTGCAGAGGTGACGGGTGCCCTGCCGCCATCCCAACCCCCTCACTGGGGACGGAAGGTCCAGTCGATTGGCCCCCAGGCTGGCCTGCGGGGCCGGAGGGCAGCGGACTGGATGCGGACAGCCTGCGGCCCGCACTGCCTGACTCTGAAATGCAACGTGACCTGAGCAGCATTCGGGGTCCTGCACTCTCCTGCCCCGTGCCCTGCAGCTCCCGGGCTCCCTGCGCAGGCGCCCCCGGGCCTGCTCCCCAGCAGATGCGGCCGCCGCCCTGCCTCCCACATGAGCGGCTCAGGGCCTCCCCGGGTGAGAGCCGCCTGGTGTTTTACTATTGCTCTTGCCGTCAACATGAGCTCGGCTAACAAGCTTTGCTTGTTGGGAAAGTCCCGTCTCTTGGGGTCCTTTACCTCTTTCTTAACATTTAGTTGATAAAACTGCAAACGCAAACAAAAGCTGAGAAAAACCACGCAGGGAAAGAGCACTGTGCCCCCCCCAACCCCCGGCCCCGCTCCCACGCCCGCCTGCCCATCACACGCCGCCCTCTGCCCCCGGCGCCCGGGTCCCACAGGGGCGCAGACCAGGACCCTCTCCCTGCCCAAAGCTCGCGCTACGTACGGGTTCCCCATGAGAACTTCGGGCGCGCAGTACTCGATCGTCCCGCAGAAGGTGTAGAACAGTCTGCCCCTTTCCAGGTAGGCAGCGGAGCCGAAGTCTATGAGCTTGACGGTGAAGTCCTCGGCGATGACGACGTTCTCGTCCTTGATGTCGCGGTGCAGGATGCTCTCCGAGCGCAGGTACCCCACCGCCGCCACCAGCTGGAACAAGGAGGCCACGGGGCTTTTTACAAAACAGCTCAAGAACACCGTGCATTCACCATAAGGACTGACAAGCAATGACAAGCGAAAAAGGAAGAGCAACAACAAAGGAGAAAGCCGTTCTCTAACTTGTAACGGAACAGCGACAGGGAAGACGGCCGGGTGCCGCATCACACGGAGGAGCTGGCAGCGTGAGCCTGTGACTCTGAAAACGGGGTCACCGTCGTTGCCTGAGATGAGGATGCAGCAACGGACCCACCCCTCCCCACACCCCTCGCTGCCCAAGAGGGCGCCACCGCCTGGGCCACCGGGCGGCGCAGCAGAGCAGGGCTCCGCCTGCCCCCAAGACTCGGCACCTCCGCTGCCCAGCGTCTCCTCCCACACACACGTGTGGTCTCACATCCTCCCTGCCCCTGTGCTGCTGACAGGAACCTCCCGGTGGCATGTGCCCAGGCCACGGCTGTCTGGGAGCAGGACAGACCACAAGCAGAGGCCACGGGCGAGCGCGGCGGCACCTGAGTGAGGGGTGGGCGCTAGCGGGCAGGGCCGCAGGGAAAGCCGGAGTCGGCCCTGGGTGCAGCGGCGCCCGGGGGCGCCGTCCCCAGCCCCCACCCCCGGAGCTCCCCCAGCTCCTCCCAGAGCAGCCACGGCCCGCTTGCTGCCCCACTGTGTGCGGGGCTCTCAGCCATGCGGACACAGAGCACCTCCGTCGGAGCAGCTCCATTTCTAGAAGCCCGGGGCCTGAGCCTCCGCTCGGCAAGGGTGAGGCTGCCACAGCGCACCGCTGACCGCCTGGACCTGCCATGGCCCATGCCCCTCTGGGGACAGCAGCAGCGAAGGCCGCCACCCGGGAGGCTGCAGCAGAGCGGGGCTCAGGCTGCACTGGTAAGTCGGACGCCGGCTGGCCCTCAGCACAGCGACCTCATGGATGTGGTCAGTCACTGAGCCTCAGACTGGGAATATCTTTGCACCAGGAGCCGTAGATAAAAGCAGGCTAACTAAGCCCAACTAATTAACTTACACTAATAAGTGTGTGTTTATACACACTTGTACGCAAATGTGCATGCTTGCGTGTTCACACAGGGGCACGTTTCTGTACTGCATGCACGTGCCCACGCATGTGTGCATGCATACACATGTGTACACATGGGCCCATGCACACACGCGTGTACAAGCACGTGTGCCCATGCACACAGAGCGGGGCCCAGTCGAGGAACAGGCCGCATCTCACCTGAGCACAGAGAGTCCCATCAGGTTTGTGGGCGACAAAGGGCACGGGAACCTGCGCCTGGACCAGGAGCGGCCCTGGGCCCGGGCCAGAGGTCGGCCGCAGGCCTCGCCCCACCCCGCCCCGCCCCGGCCCAAGTGCATGCTGCGCTGCGTGTGGCGACAGTTCTGCGACGTTGGGGAACCTTCACTGTGACGTTGGGGAACCTTCACTGTGACACTCGTTGTATGTGTGGATTCACAAACGGCTACAGATGCTTCTTACAAAAATTGCAGGGTGTCAAATACTGTTCATCACCTATATCAGTGGCCCCAGAACCACCAGTTAGCGGCAGCTTGGCAACTCCTAACAAGCGGCTCCTACGGTCACATAGGACGCTTTTCCACGGCAGTTTCATAATCAAGTCTCTGCCGCGGATGAGGAGAGGAGAGGAGAGGACAGGAGAAGGGGAGGCGGCGGTCTCGTCACAGAACACGATGCCCGACACTTGCGGGCAGGGGCCTCAGACCCTGGACTTCAGGACCTGCTGGGAGGGGCAGCGCTGAGGAGCAAACACCAGCCCAGGGAAGCTGAGCCGCGTCGCCCCCGGGAAACGGGCAAGGAGCCAACCTGGGCCGTGTTCACATCCCGCCTTCCAGCACCATCTGCACGCGCAAGCCTTAGGGGGAGGTGCCCCGGATCCGACCGATCGGCCGCCCGGCGTCGGCCCCAGCTGCCCAGTCCGGCGGTGGGTTCCAGGCGGCAGGCGGGCCCGGGGCAACCGCGCCGGTCGCACAGCCCGGGCTGGCGCCCTGCTGGCTCCTTCTCAAGGCGGACGTGGATATCCCACGTCTCAGAACCCCTGCGCCTAGTCCCCCGCTGCACCGTTCCAGGGCGGTGGCCTCGACCTCCTTCCCACCCTCCTCTCTTGACTTCAGCCACAGACTTCCCTGCTCAGAGACCGAAGGCCGACACAGCGGCCTAGAGAACCACGCGTGAGCCCTGATTTCCAAAGCCTGACGGACCCGCCGCCCGGCCCGCACCCCTCACGGCTTGGCCCGCATCACCTGCCGGAAGATATAACTGGCCAGCGGCTCGTCGAGGCCAGGGTGGCGGTCGATGAATGCGAAGAGGTCGAGGCCGGAGCCGTGCTTCTCCATCACCAGCTGGAAGAAGCCCTGGTTCTCAAACACGTCCAAGACCTGGGACGGGACAGAGCGGGGTTCGGCCCGGCCGAGGCACCTTCCAGTGGCACGCGCAAGACGCCCCCGGGGCCCCGCCGGGGCAGGAGGACCCGCGCCCCACCTTGATGATGTTGGGGTGCTCCACCCTGGACAGGATCGCGATCTCTAGCGTCACCATCCCAAGCATGGGGTCCTGGACCCAGCAGTCCTCCAGGACCTTCTCCTTCTTAATGAACTTCACCACCACCTGCGGGGAAAGCGGTGGGGGGTGGTGAGCAGCCGCCCGGGCACCCCGCCAGTGCCCGCGGCACCCATCCCTGGTTCCTCACCCGAGGACCAGATGTCCTGGCCAAGAAAACAGAACTAGAGGCCTGAGAGCTAGAAAACAATAAAAACGGTCATCCACGTCGATCAAGACTAGTCAGAGCTGAGAGAGGCTGATGAACACAAGATCAATGTAAGGAAAGAGGTGCGAGTGCAGTGACAGTAAAAAGCGGGACAGAAAAAAGTCACCGTTCGCAAAGGGGACAGACCTACATGTCGCTCAACAGTAACAGCAGTGAGCGCCCGGCACTCACTGAAGGGGCCACGGGGCGAGTGGGACCACAGGCCAGGCCTGGCCACACTCGGCAGGAGGCTGGACAAGGGACAGAAACCAGGCCTCGCGCTGTGCCTGCCCTGCGGGGCGGACAGGCAGGCTCTGGGTGGGAGCGGGCGGCAGCACCACGCCAGGGCAGGGGAAGGAGCTCAGCAAGGGCCTCCCGCGAGCCCAGTCCCCTGTCACCGCGATCGCGAGGAAGGGGCCGCGGCTGCGAGCCAGCGTGAGTGGTGGCAGCGGACGCAGGCTGAAGGTCCGCACCGGACCACGCAGGCCTGCAGACGCGCGGGAGGAGGCAAGCCGATGCGGTGGCCGCTGTCCGGGACGGGGGACTGAGGGCGGGGAGCCACCAATGGCAGGCGCTCGAGTGCAGAGGTCGGAGGAGAGAGGCCTGCTGCCGGGCCCAGGCTCCCCACGAGCTGCAGCGGCGGATGAGCTGGGGGCGGGGACAGAGCGTGAGAAAGAAGGGGACGAGTTCACCAAGCAGACAGCTGAGTCCTCCTGCGATGAGTGAGGACGGCTTTAAAGACACAGAGTCTTTCCAAGTCTCAAGCAAGAACAGAGAACACACGGAGAAGTACATCCTGGTAAAACTACTTAAGTCCAAACAGAAAACAGAAAGGAAATTTTAAAAAAATCAAGTTGCTAGAAGCAAAATTCACCTAAAAATAATGCTAGATGACAACAGACATGGGGCCTAAGAAGTTCTGGGAGGGAAGGGACATCAGCCTCCACCCTTCCTGGAAAAGCTAACGGCAGATACATTTCAGTAGGGAAATTAAACACAGGAGAGGAGCAGGAACTGCGCCTGGAAATAATGGAGATTTAACAAAAGGACAAGACAGGAATGACAACGTGGGTGAAAGAAATGAAGTAGCCAAATAACCGGAAAGACGCCGCGTCCCTGGGCGGCCGGAGCCAGCTCCGTGAAGCTGGTAGGACTCCCCGAATGGACCCACAGCCTGGCACACGCGAACCGCCCTCTCTCCTGTGAGCTGCAGCCTCACCCTTAGAAGTGTGTCTTCCAATTGGCTGCTTCGCTTACTCATTTGTTGGCGGAATAATATATAAATTGACATCTCATTTCTGAAAGGCAAAAATACTCATGCGTCTCTTTTTACCCTAAGAGAGAACTTTGGGGCCTCTCCCTCCTCTTTTAGGAACAAAGGCCTAATGAACCCCCAGAGCCTGTCCGCTTCCTGATCCAAACCGAGGGTGGGGGGCCCTGACCCCAGGGAATCGGAGGTGACAGCGGAACCCTAAGAACGAGGCGCCGGGGGAGAGTGACAGCAGGCGAGAGCGGCCAGCATGCGCCCAGGGGGCGTGGCCTGGGTGCTGCCCTCACGAGGCGCCGCTGACAAGTCCACGCAACCCAACGAGCCACAAGCCGAGCAACAGTGAGTCATAAGAAGTGAAAAGAAACACACACACTCGTTCTTAAAAAAAATTCAGTGCGCTGAAAATAGGACGAAATCTCCTCAAACAAAAGGTTTCCTCAGGGAACAGAAAGGATGTCTGGGGCCGGCAGGCGGCCTGCGCACACCTGGGCCTGCCCGGCGACGGGAGGGGAAGGAAGGAGGCGTCAGGAGACACGCGCAGAAGCGGCGCGAGGGCGGCTGTGCCGGAGGGGAGCTCTGGCCCATCAGAAAGCCACGGGGCCCCTGACGGGGTGCGGGCGCAGGCGTCCGCCCGCTGCCAGCCCAGGCGCGTGGCTCCGGCCTGCGCCAGCCGGCGTGGCCCCCCGGGGACCCAGGCAGCGCCTGCAGGGACCGGCAGCACTGCCGCCACGTCACAAACACACGGGCAACGACCAGTCACCTCCCAACACGTCCGGGCCGGGGACGTCCAGTGGCGGTCACAGAGACGGCCTGGAGCGCGGCCGGGGGGAGGCCCCTCCCGGCGCCAGGCCCAGCAGAGCCGACCGCCTGCCGTGCAGCCCGCCCTCCCGGGGGCCTGCGTACCTCCTTGTTCTGCTCCCTGTCCAGCGCAGTCCACACGAAGCCGAAGGCCCCGCTGCCCAGCGGGCTCAGCGTGCTGTACTTCTGGGAGTACGCGCCCTCGCAGGCCGCCAGCCCCTCCAGCTCCCCGGCTTTTGGCGGCTCCTCAAACCACGGCCTGCTTCTGAGCGCCTGTGTGTGCAAAGGGGGGTCTGAAGGGTCACATGCGACCAGCGGAGGGGGGTGGCAGCAGGCAGGCGCGTCGCCCAGGCAGCCCCCACAGCCGAGGGAACCAGCATCAAGCCCCGTGCGGCCAGCCCCTGTGTCCTAGGACCCGGCCAGAGGGCCAGACCGGCACGTGTGTTGAAGCGCGCTCACGCCCCACCTGCATGTTTACAGTCCTACACGTGGATTAATACACAGGACATTAGAACACAGTTGGAGCCACAGACAGACCTCCCTCCCCCTCCAGAGGACACGGAGAGAGCGATGCTGACGGGAAAAGTGACCGCCGGGCGGGCCGCAGACACCCACCTCCCCCAGGCCGGGCCTGGGGTGCTCCCACGTGGAGTGCGTGGCGCCGGGCGGACTGGCCAACAGCAGGTGGGTCTGCGTGGCCGAGGCCTGGTGGCCGTGCCGAAGGTCCTTCACCAGCCAGCAGCAGAACAGGGGCGCCGGACCTTGGAGCTCCACCCGCTTCACCTCGAACTGCACACCTAAGGAGAGGCAAGGACGCACAGCACTACGCTGGCTGCACCGCGCCAGCGTCGTGACGGAGCAGGCTCGCGCCCTGGGCAGCGCGGAGCTGTGCAGGGAGCCCGGGCCCGAGGCCACCAGGGAGAGGCCGAGCACAGGGCAGCGTCACCCCCTCTGGCATGGGGCCAGCAGCTCGGCACAGCCACTGAGGCCACGGGAAGCACTTCGAGGACACCTGCGGCCGCTGCCACCCTGGAAGGTGGGGACGTGGCCTCACCCTACCGCCCCGGCTCTGCCTCTGGTGGAAGAATGTCAACGACCCAGCAGAACACACGTGTGCTGGCGGTGGGCCCCGGAGTGACACGGAACGGCACGCACTCTCACGGGCTCCGGGCTCTGGGCGTGCGCCCAACCAGTGGTTTTCAGTGAGGGGGAGGGTTGACAGGGAATTTTACTCTCCCTTTGTTTATATTTTCAAATATTTTAAAATATAACATGTATCACTTAACTTTTTTAAGCTTAGGAAAAAAGCCTTAGGAATCAACAATACAAAACCAGCAATAAATGACTGGCTAAAGTAATGTGACCTGTTAAGTAGTTAGGAAAATTTTTTTAAAATAAGTGAAAGTAAAAGAGCCCTGGCTGGTGCAGCTCAGTGGACTGAGCGCAGCCTGCGAACCAAAGGGCCGCCGGTTCGATTCCCGGTCAGGGCTCAGGTCTGGGCTGCGAGCCGGGCCCCCAGCAGGGGGTGCGCAAGAGACAGCCGCACACGGGTGTTTCCTTCTCTCTCTCCTTCCATTACCCTCTCTCTAAAAATAAATCAGAAAAGGAAAGTAAACCAATACACCTCAAAGTGGCACCAGAAGGGGCTGGATCACAGCGCCCCCAAGCGCAGACGGACAGGACTTCGCCTCATCCCCTCCAGCCGCGGTGGGACCCAGGCTCCCTGCTCCCAGGCTCCCCGCTCCCGGGCTCACACACGGCAAGCCTGGTGCTCAGTCTAAGTGGTAACTTCAGGCTCTTCAAGCCACCACTCTGGCCCCTGGGCCGGGCATGAGGAGACTCCCGCCCAGGACATACTCAGCAGCGAGCCGTCCCGGTGGCAGCAGCTCCCTACGTAGGTGCCCTCCTGGATCTCACACTGCAGGCCGGCGTTCCCGGGCGACCCCAGGCTGTTCTCTCTCACGGGCGTGGATGTGACCTGGATGCGCGGCGTGGGCCCCTCCAACGGGCACGTGTCCGCAGGGACAGCTTCCGGCCTGGGACCGGGGCTCTCCCTGCCACTCACGTCGCTACGCTCCAAGGTGTCCGATGGTTCTGTCCGATCGAGACTCAGATGGGTCTCGCAGAACCGCCGGCCTGGGCCGCCGCCGAAATAGGTGCCAGTCAGCAGTGACAGCTCCCGGTCGTCCAGCACCTCGGCCCCCTGCCCGGGCCCAGCGCCCGCGCCCACCCCGGACGAGGAGCTGGAACAGGCTGAAGAAGTCCGGTCTGTCCATTTGCTGAAAAACGGTTCCTTGCGGTTCCAGGGAAACGCATTCCCTTCAGCCTCTGCTGAGTCCAGGGCGCCGGGGAGGTCGGTGGCGAGGGCGTAGCAGGCCGAGGAGCTGCCCGAGCGGCCCCCGAGGTCACAGAGGTCTCTGCCTCCCAGGTCACACAGTGACACAGGGCTGGGGCGAGGGGCGTGCTCAGCCAGGACCAGCTCCTCGGAGGAGACACCCTGAGGTCCCGCAAAGCTCGACTTGGACAGCTGCTCCTTGAGCAAGCAAGTCTGCAGCTCCTCCCTGTCCTCCTGCGTTCCCGGCCACGGCTCCTCCGGGGCAGGCAGCCTCGCAGGCAAGGGCCGCGCTGTCCCTGAGGTGCTCCCCTGGGGCACGCCCTGCTCGGCCCAGTGCCCAGGGCGCGGCGCCCAGAGGCTCACCCCTGCCGGCAGCCCCACAGCGTCCGCCTGAGGGCCTGGGCAGCTGGCAGCGCTCAAACCCCCGCTCTCCAGCGGTGCTTCTGGGGAAGGGCCACGCCCTTCAACCCGGCCCCTGACTTCGGCGGCGGTCAGAGCGCCCGCGTCTTCACGGGGAGCAGATGGTCTGGTGTCCGCGGAGCCGGCCCCGCCTCCCCCCAAAAGCTCCTGCCTGCGCCTCCCCGTTGCCGCCGGCTCCTGCTCCTCCAGCACAGGGCTCCGCCGGCCCTCAGGCGATGGCAGCTGGCCACGGGCTGGTGGGCGTGCTTCTGGGATGCCATCCACGCTGGGGAACACAACGCAGATCGCAAGGTTACTCAGGAGCCACAGAGTCAAAAACACAGATCACATGAACTTCCCTTCTATTAGAGACGAGTGCAAAGCATCTGACAACATAAATGTATGACAGGAAAAAAAGGCAAACTGTGTAACCAAGTTAAAAAATGAAGCACCAACTCCCATGCTGCCCAGCTGAGCGCACGTTCAGCAGTGATCGGTCAGAGCGCCAGAGCGCAGGCCGGGCGCCGAAGGCCGAGCCGCCCGGCGAGCAGAGCCCCACAGAGGGCCGAGCCGGGCGGGGGCTGTTCCGTGCCCTGTGTGATGTTAGATGGTGACTGGCTACAAACACCATCTGGCCCCACAGCCGGCGGGGAGGACCAGGGAGGCTGGTGAGAGGCAGCGGGCGGGGGGCGAGCCGGCTCCTCAGAGCTGGAAGGTAGGCACGACCACACTCAGCGTGGGGCGCCCGCTGGGGAAGCGGCTACCACCCCTGTACCGACGGGGCCATCGTGGGGAGGCCGGGGTGAAGGCTCCCCTCTGGGTGGCCTGGCCGCTGCGGCACCCACACGACAGGCCCGCGTGGCCCCAGGCGCACGCTGGCACCAGGACCGACGGGGGTGGCTGCGCCCAGCCTCGCCGGGCAGACAGAACGGCCCTGTGGTGGTCAATGCACCAGCCAGCAGCTCACAGGGAGGCAGGGGAGACAAAGGACCCTGCTCACGGGCGGCTCCACGCAGGAGGGGACGGCGAGCGGAGTTTGGGGGACAGCAGGGGTTTGTGGGGGGCCCTGAGGCTGGGGCGAGGACTGGCAGAGGCCAGGCAGCAGGGACCGGTGCCTCCCGCCAGCAAGGCCAGGACGCCAGCCGCCCGCCCGTCTCAGAGCCACAGGCCCCTGTGGGGGGGCCACAGAGGCAGGAGGGCCCAGCTCCCCTCGCCGAGCCGGGCGGGCAGCCCTCGCATGGGTCCCAGGTCAGGGCCCGGGCAGCTCTGCACTGCCCCTCCCCAGCAACCAGCGCCGCCTTGTCATCGAATTCTGGCCCCGGGGAGGGAGGGAGAACAGGGGGCACTCTCTCCCCATCCCGCCCTCCTCCTCCTCCACTGCCAACCTGTGAGGAGCATGGGGACATGGGGCCCCAGCTTCTGGTGCCCCCCAGGGCCTCAGCCCCAGGCCTGCAGACTAAGGGCCCACTGGGCTCCCCACCAGCCGGGGCGTGGGCTGGGCTCGTCGGCCGGGCACCCTCACTGCGTGACCACCTCCCAGGGAACCCGCTGTCCGGGCGCGGGGCAGCTTAGGGCAGAGTGCGGCCTGCCCCGACTGGGACCCCCTCCAGGCGCCCACAGAGCCTCCCCTTGTTGCGGGTGGGCAGAGAGCGAGCGGTTACCGCCAGCGGGGGCTCCGCGGTGAAGCAGGGAGAAGCCCGGACCCGCAGGAAGAGGGCAGATCGTGTGACGGTAAAAATGGAGCCTGTGCCGCATCAGCCCCCTGGAAGCGCCCTGACCACTTCCCTCCCGGTAGACGGGGGGGCTGTTGGGGACCACACCAGGAAGCCTGCGGCCCCGGGCACTTACCCTGGAGGGGGTGGGGGTGCGAGGGCAGAAGGGAGCCAGCGCCCGGTGTCCGCTGGGGCTGGGGCCCCCGTGACGGCATCCTGGCTTCCCTCTGGTTCTGGGGTCCCGTCTGGTGGCAGCATGCAGTCACCCGTGAGCATGACACTAACCCCTGGACCCAGCAACAACAGCAGAGAAGAGTGTCTTCCGATTGCGGGGCCGGGGGGCGGGTAAACGCCACCCACCTCGCATCTGCAGCCTGTCCGGGACCCGGCCCCCGCGGGACACCGCACGGGCGCCCAGCCTCGGCCAGCACCCTCTGCCCACCCTGCCGCAGGTCCCGGGCCCTGTACGTGGCCGCCACGATCCCGTAAACACCGGAGTGGGAGCCGGTCCCTCAGCAGCCCACCGCCCTCCAAGGGCTCTGCTCTGACTTGGTGTGAAAGCCACCATTCGCAAGACGGCCCCCAAGGCCCTGCGACCAGACTCCAGAGACCCCCCCCCTCCGAATGGCACCCAGCCCACCACGTGCGCAGGGCAGCAAGGAGCAGCGGGGAGACGGCAGAGCCCAGCGCCCCCTCCCCCGGCGCCCTGTCGGGGAAGGTGAGCCCCAGGGGGCGGCGGGGCCCCCCACCCCAGGGCAGGGCCCTTCCGGCGGAGCCGGGAGCCCTCAGGCCCCACGGGCCCAGAAGGGGCAGGTCGGGCAGCAGGGGCCCGGGCAGGTGTGGGAACGAATGGCAGGTGAACGTGGTGAGGACTCCCCACTGTGGCCCCTTCCCTCTGGGTCAACCTGCACGCTGCTGCGGCCGCCTCCGCGCCTCCTCCCGCGACAGAGAGGCCGCAGGGAGCCGCGGGGTCCTAGGCCCTGGGGCGCCCGAGTCTTCCTCCCCCTGCTGACACGCTAGCAAGATGCAGGCATGTCCCAGCCCAGGACACACTGAGGGCCCAGCAGAGACGGAGGACACCGGCCCCCGCTCGGTCCCGCTCTCTCCCCATGCACCGCCCGGGCCCCAGCTCCCTCCTGCCCCCATGGAGGCGCCTGCAGACTCCCTCACCCTCGGCGGTGGTCCGGCCCTGCAGGGGGTCCCCGGGTGTCTCCCCAGGCCCCCGCAGGCTGCCCACGTCCAGGCGGCTGACCAGGTCTGGCAGGGGTGACAAGCTGTCGTACGCGAGGCCCATGTAGTGGTAGAAACCTGGGATCAGGAAGGTGATGTTCTGGAAAACAAGCAGCGGCACTCAGACCCACCAGCATCCCAACCCGCTGCCTGGCCCACCGTCCCTCTGGGGGGCAGTGAAAACACGGGGCCCGGGCTCTGGGGCGCCTTCCCCTGGGTGAGGGGGGCCGGGTCCGACTCCTCTCAACAGCTTGAGGGTCCTGGCCCTCGACATGGAGTTTGTGGCTTCTCCCCTTTCTCCCGTAAGAAAGATAAAGTTAGCTCGCTCCGAGCCTCCGTGGCCCGCCCGTCCCTGGGCAGACACCTGGCCTTCCCCGAGTTCTCCCCAGGCCTGGGGCCCAGGCAGGCGAGAGCCCTGCTCCCCGTGTCCTGCCACTGAGGGACCCAAGGGCCTGGGCAGCAGGAAGCGGCCCCTGGGCTTACCAGGGGCCTGTGCCGCACAGCGTGGCCTCGGTGCCTGGGGTCGGGCCCGGGGTGCAGGGGCAGACGCTGCCTCTGAACTGGACTGTGGCCCCAACCCCTAGGTGGCCTTTGGCCATGGGAATCCAAAATGCGCACTAACCCACACTCACTCCCTGAAGGGACATGCAGCTCTCGGTGTTCCTGCTGGAATCCCCTGTCCAAAACTCATGCCAACTGAGTCTCCATGAACTACAACTGAGCTATGAGCCTGGGGAAGGCGCCGCCCCCAGCCAGCACCCCGTGTAACAGAACGGGCTGTCACAGCTAAAACCCAGCTCCGAGGGCCAACGTCTAACCCCAGCACATGACCGCCATGTGGGCACCCCAACTGTCTGCAGAGATGGACGCAGCACCGCTCTGCAGCCTCGGACAAGAGAAAACGGGCAGTCGCCACCCTGGCGAGCGGGGACATCTGCCTTCTGTGTTCCAGGAGCTGAGAGAAAGCTCCACCCAGAAAGGCGGCCGAGACACCTTCCTCCAAGCCTGGCCCAACGGCAGGCTCCCCCAGCAGCCCTCAGGTCAGGGGACGTGCAGACCCACCCCCTCCTGGGGGTGCCTGGCCAGTGCCCACAGCCTGGACACACGCCCTCGCTGGGGACATGGCTTTGCGGCCAGGCCCCACCCCTCCTGGAGGTGGCGCAGGGCCCCCCGCCCCCCCGCGCCCAGTGGGGGGGTCCAGAAAGGTGAGCAGGGAGCCCGTCCCGGCCACATGGCCGCTGGGAAACGGAAGCACAGGCATGGGGCCCACGCACGCCCTGGCAGTGGGCACAGGCCAGCCCCCCTGCCCCACGCCCGGGGACGCGGCCGGCCACCCAGGGGCCCACCTTGCCCAGCAGCTCAGTCCGCCCGTAACCGAACAGCATCAGCGCGAAGCTGTGGTTGATGCCGTGGATGGTCCCGTCCGGCAGGAGCGTGATGAGGCCACTGATGGTGAAAAACACCCAGACGGAGGCCGAGTAGCCGGGCGTGGCTCCCGCCACCGCAGCACCGGGGCCGGCCTTCAGCTTCAGGCTCAGGGGGAACGCGGTGCCGTCCCTGGCTCTCCCGACAGACCTCTGGATCTTCAGGTCCTGAAAGAAGGACGCGCCGCAGGCGGCCGAGCTCCGGCTCTGCTGCTCCAGCCCACCCCTCGCGTCCCTGCGGGGGCGCCCGAGCAGTCAGCCCCCCACTGCCTTCCCCTCCCCGTGCCCCCAGGAAAGGCGGCGCAGGCTCCGGGCCCACCTGTGGGAGGTGCTGCCCGGGCCCCGGGAGCTGCAGGGAGGGGATCAGGTCCGCGATGCGCTGCCCGGCCACCATGTCCTCACTCTCGTAGCCGTGCAGGTGGGCGAAGACGCTGTCGCAGGACGTGACAGTGCCCTGGGGGGAGGCAGCTTCTTGCACTTGAGCCTCAAATGTCACTGAGCTCAGTGATACCTTCCAGCTGCGCCTACTGCCAGAGGCGCACGCAGGCATCTAGCGCCCGCCTCAGCTGGCTCCGCCTGCCGCATGGACCCAAACTGCTCGCGGGGGCGCCTGCAGATGCCGGCACCCCGACGCTCCACCCGTGCGCCGCCCGGCACGGCCGCCCCCGAAGCCCTGGGCATGCCCTTTCCTCGCCCTGTGCCTGGTTGCGATGGCGTCCTGACTTCACAGGGGTAGAGCGGGAGCTCGAGGAGCTGGGTCCCTGCCCAAGGGCCCGAGTGCTAAGGGGCTCCGCAGATCGGGGCTGACCCCCCAGGGCTCCCATGGGTCATTTCTGCCCAGACGGACAACGGGGAGCAAAGCCTGGGACACACTGTGGGGGAGACACAGAGTCCAGCTCGTGCAGCTGAGAAACTCGGCCACTCACGTCGCTCTGGAAGGAGACCCAGGCCGAGACCCGCTCCACGGGCTCCAGCACGACCACGCAGCACAGACGGGGCTCCTGCCGCACCCTCTTCATCCACACGGACACCGGGACCCGCTCCCCGCTGCGGCTCGCCACGTCCACCTGCGCAGGCACAGGCTGTACCGGCTGCGCCCCGTGCCGGGCTCTCCCGGCCCCGGCACGTCCAGGCTCAGCGCAGCTGCTGGCGTTGCAGAAAGGAACCCACGTGCAGGCCCGGTTTCTGACTCCAGACCCTACGGCCTCCGAGGGGCTCCTACCGGAGGAGCGGGTTGGGTTTCATCGTCAGCAGCGTCTGCAGTTTCTTAAAGAAACAGGCGCCGTCCGTGCCGACTGCCTTCGTCTTCCTCCTCTCGGCACTCAGTCCCGGGGAAGGGCCATTTCTCGGGTGTGGTGGGGCCTGTCTGCCTTCTCCCAGAGCCCGAGGCTCAGGCCTCAGCATCTAACGTGCAGCTCGGCCTGCCCAAGTCCGGCTGGACCCGGCACACGGGCCAGAGGAGCGAAGGCCCAGGAGGCCTTTCCATCCCACCCACCCCCGCACCCCACGCAGCAAACGCATGTCTCTCTTCGGGGCATCCGTCGGATGTGGTGCCTGCCAGGCCAGCGGCGGCACCCTCAGTTCCGGCCCCCGCCACGCCCCCACCGCCCACTCTGCTGGCAGCCGGTCCCAGGCCACACTCACCACTGTGCCGAACACCACGGCGGCGCGGCCGTCGGCCTCCACGTGCTCCTCACTGAGCGCTCCCACCACATCGCGGTCCGGCTTCAAGAAGAACTGCGTGAGCTTCTGGCCGATCAGGTCGTGGCTGCTGTACCCCAGGAGGCGGCAAGCGTTGTCGTTGGCAACCAGGATCTGAGCGCGGCAGGGAGAGGACACCGGCATCAGCGGCTGCATCTCTGACCCCCAGGCACCTGCCGGGGGTCCCCGCCCAAGCGCCTGCTGTGGGCGGCTCACACAGCGACGCCCTCGGGACCACGTCTCCAGTGGGCGGAAACGAGCACGCCCTGCGGTCAGCGCCGGGGCCCAGGCCACATGCCGTCCCCCGTAAGACAGGCACGTCCTCAAGCCCACGAGGCAGCGACGGGACACACCAGCCCCCAGCAGCCTAGCTCGCCGTGCGTGAGTGCACACTCACACCAGCTCGTTCCGCTCAACACCAGACACTGTTCTCAGCTCCGTCTGGCCAGCACCGCAGCAACATGAGTAACCAGCAGTGCCCCGCGCCCCCCCGCCCGCCCCCCGCCCCCCCGAGCCTCTGTCCTGACGACAGGATTCGGTGAGTCTGGCGGTCACATCTAGGTCTCCAAATTTATATCTTTTGTTACGACACAAGTAAAACCAAACGTTTTCCTAATTGTGCTTAAAACACACGAACACCTCAGAGTGAAGTTGCGGTCCGAAGGCACAGCCCCCAAGCCCACGGCCGCGTCGCCTGGCATGGCAGATACCTCCGAGGTCTTGGGGTCCACTGTGAAGACAGCCTTGTTGGGGTTGCCGGCAGGGGCCGGGAGCAGGGGCGTGGAGCACCCCGAGGACAAGCCGCGCAGCAGCGAGCAGCAGGACGCGCTGCCCGCGCGCGCAGCCGGGCCAGCCTGCTCGGCCAGGGTGGGGCACGGCGCTTTGCCTGTGCAGATGTTCTGGGCAGCCAGGGACGAGAGACAGTAGGAGCTCCATCTGTCTCCTGGAAAGACAAGGCAAGGCAGCTTGAGAGCCGAGGCTGCCAGGAGCCTGCTCCTGAAACACAAAGCCCCCGTCCTCGCCCCAAACCCGCGGGGGACCAAGTCAACCTGCAGGGCGGACGCATGCACGCGCGGCACCTGGCCCCCGAGTCCAGCCCAGCCCCCCGGGGCCCCCCTCAGCAGGGCTTTGCCCCTGGGAGCCCAGTCCTTCTGTGCAGACAGAAGGCCCCCGCTGCCGACCCAGCAGGGGCGGGCGCTCTCCTGTGTCCCCCGTTCCGGGACCCTCAGCCCAGCTACTGCCCAGCCACTCGCTCCCAGACAGCCCCAGACCCCAGCACCGCCTGCCGCCCTCACGGGCACGTGAGGCGCCCTCCGTTCTGCGGCACCGTCCCCCCTCACCTCCGAAAGTCTGCTCGCCGCCGCCTCCCACCACGCCCACCCCACCTCCCTCCGCCGCGAGGCTCAGCCACCGAGCCTCTGCTCCCCTCGCAGCGGCCACGCTGCCCCCATCTCAGTAACGTCAGCCCCTCCCTGCAGCAGCTCAAAACCCAAACCAGAGTCAGCCCCGTCCCCCCCGGGCACTCCACCTTCTCAATTCGGGGCCTCATGGGGCCGGAGACCCCGTGGCTGCCCAGGCCCCCTCTGGTGGCAGCCGGTCCCGAGGTCGGCCCCACCACCTCTTGCCTGTGGTGCCAGCTTCGCCTCTGCTGCCCGGTGACCTGGCAGCGCGCCAGGCCGAGGGGGCGCTCCCTGGGACCCCCCTCCCAGAGGACAAGCTCCCTGAAGGCCAAGCAACGCTGTCCTCGCCGCTGCGTCGGGCCCAGGGCGTCTGGGCTCTGGCCAACCCGGAGAAGCGAGCGAAGGGTGGGCAGCGGGCCCAGCCCCCGGGCTTCCCCAGTTGGGACGGCTGCTGTCCCCGCCTGCCTGCTGCCCCCTCCCAGGTCCGAGGGGCCTGAGTCTCCGTGCAGGCGGGGGCCACTGGCCGAGCTGCACCGGCAGCCCCACGTCTCGACGGCAAGGCAGGCCCGCCCGGGCCCTCTGGCTCTAGTCTGACCCCGACACATGGGAGAGTATTCCAACTGCTGCCTGAAGAGGAGCATTTTCTGCCCAAGAATCTCACAGAGCAGAGGCCGCAGGGAGGGCCTGCGGTGCCGTGGGCCAGGGCGCACGGAGCACCGAAGCCCAGGCCTTTCTCGGCACGGACAGGCCCCGACCCCGACCCCGCCACGGCCACACGCAGGACGTCACCGGAGAGCGCCACCCTGCTCTGGCAGAGCTTCGAGAGCCCATTCCTCCTGCTCGGGTGTCTGTGGGCCGAGGTCGCAGACTTGCTGGACTGGGGGGTGCTCTGCGCAGCGGGGCCCTCGGTGGGCGCCGGCGAGGGTGGGCCCCCGCACAGGCACGTCCGATCCTCTCCCGAGGCTGGCGAGCCTCTGTCCTCCATCGGGAGACTCCGGGCCGTGGAACAACCGCCACCTACAAAACGAGGGACCCTGCTCAGCATCTGCGATGCGAGAATGTAGAGACAGGCTGACCAACCAGTTCCTCCCAAGGCTGCGTAAAGGCCGCTCCCAGAAGACTCGCCCACCCACCCGGGCTCCGGGTCGGGACCCATGACGTGAGGGGGTCAAACCAAAGCCCCGGGAGAAGGTGCTCCTCTGAGGCCTGCGCAGGGAGAGGCGGGAGAAGGGGCGAGAGAGGGAGCCGGAGGGAGGGCCGTGGGGAAGGCCAGGCTGCCGGTCACACGGACCGAAACGCTCGCAGGTCCAGAGCGAGGCCACTGAGGCCACCAGGCAGGCGGGTCCGGCCACGGAGCCCCCACAGCAAAGCGCCACGTGGCCAAGGCTGAGGCCTGGCGAGAGGCCCGCGCCACGGGTTTATGCTTTTGACTTTGTATTTTTAGGCACTTGTAGATTTTCATGCAGATATAAGGAAAAATACAGAACAGCCCCACACGCCTTCCCCTGGGGTCCCTGGACGTGACACCATCCCCAGTGACAGACAGCCCTGCCGCCTGGGGGCCTGGCCGGGGCCTGATGGAGCGAGGAGCCCGGGGCCAGAGCGAGGCTCCCCCTTCGAGGCCGCCCCCTGGGGCTGCCCAGGACCCCACCCCTGCTGGTCCTCCCACCTCGGCACACACAGACCAGGGGCGGGCTGAGGCGTGGCCCCCGCAGGGAGGCAAGGTGCCAGTGGGCAGGTGCCCCTCCGCAGCGCATGAGGTGCCTTCCACGCAGGACAGACCTGGGCTGTGGGAAGGGGAGGGGCCGGCCAGCTGGGGGCCCGGTGTGTGATTTTTCACCCAGCAACAAGAAGACTGGGTCACCTCAGAACCAGATCTCACCAAGAACATTGTCTTGGCAACAGCTCTGCCTGTCTGGCAGGAGGAGGGGCCCCAAGAGGCACGAACAGCTCACACGCGCTGAAACGGGGCCTGCGAGAACGCGTCATCCCAAAGAGCCCAGGGAGCACCCGGGGCCCCCAAAGGAGCCCGCGGCCCTTCGCGAGGGCCAGGGAGGCCCCCCAGACCCTGGCAGAAGCCGCCCTCCCCGAAGCAGAGTGCCCCACGCACAGGCCTGCAGTTTGCAAAGCCCAGGAGCGGCCAGACATGCCCCTTGTCGTTGAACAGACAGGAACACAAGCTGCCGCCATGACGGCGCACGAACCAGACAATGAGCCCAGACACACAGCGCTCGACAGTAGAAATGCCTGCGTAGGTTCACAGACATGAAATATGAAGTCGCAAAGGAGAGCAGGAGAGAGTTTCTCAAGTGGCTACCTAGATTTTGAAAGATATAAGCTTTTTAGAAATGAAATTTTCAAAATTTTAGTATTAAAAAAAGCATTTGTTATTAACACTTTCCCATGAAGAACTCTAGGACCAACCAGATGGCTTCACTGGGTAATTCTACCCAACACTCAAGGAGGAAATAATGTCAACATTACACAAACTCTTCCAGGAATTCAAGTAGGAGGGAACACGTCCAATCCAGTTTTCAAGGCCACGTCATTACCCTGACACCAAAACCAGACGAGGACACGGCCAGAAGAGGAACCTGCGGACCAATGACTCTCAGGAGCACGGATTCGAGAACCCTCAGCGGGACACTGGCAAGTCCGTCACAGGACGTGTGCAGAGGGGAACACACGACGGGAGCGAAAGGTTCGATGCTTGGAACCCAGTTCAAGGTCGACCACACGAACAGCCTGACGAAGAAACTCACATTATCACGTCGACTGATGCGGAGAAAACAAGCAATAAAACCCCGCGCCCTTCATGAGAAAACACACTCCACAGCTAGGAAAGGAGGAAGAGCTCCTCCACCTGCGCGAGGGGCTCGTGGGACACCCCGTGCCAGCGGCGCCCAACTGTGAGAGGCGGCGCGCGTCCCCCAAGTCCGACACGGGGAGGGGAGGCCCCTCAAGCTTCTCCTTCTCACACCCCCCTGGGGGTCCAAGCTGGCGTACAAAGGCAAGAAAAGGAAATAAAGGGAACACACTGGGAAGGGGGGCGCAGCGCGGTCTCAGCGCACAGGAGGCCCGGAGGGCACAGCAGACTGACACAGCGACCTCTGTACGCGGGCGCGGAAGGGAGAGGCGGCGGGCGGACCGTCCCGGAAGGAGGCGGGCGAACCACACAGCAGCCTGTGAGGGAGCGTCCACCCTCCCCAGGCATCAGGGAAATGCACGTAGGCCCCGGAGGAGCTATCGCTGCCCAGCCCCTGGGGCGGCTGAAACGAGAAAGAAGGAGAACACAAGGCGCCGGTGAGGGCGCGGGGCGGGCGGGCACTCCCGGACCACAGGCCGGCGGGCACGCGGGCACAGGCGCCCTCGCCGGGCGGCCACGGGCAGGTGCCCAGGGCCACGGTGCCCGCACGCACACGCACGCACGCCTCTACACGGACGTGCACGGCCCCAAACTGGGCACGCTCCGCGGCCGTGCTCCGAAGGCCAGGTGAGCACGCTGAGTGCCCCCGCACGCAGGGGCGTGGCCAGCAGTGAACGAGCGGGTGGCCCGGGCGGCGGCCGCGCCGGACCGGGGCGCCGACACCGCAGCCAGGCAGACCCGTGTCCTGCAGGCTCCGCTGACGCCAAACACCGGAAAGGGCGGCCCTTGCTCCCAGGGGCAGGACGCCGTGCAGCGCTCGTCCAGGGCAGCGGGGGCAGCTGAGAAACAGCGGAGGGAGTTCTCAGGGTGACGGCAGCGCCCCCGACACGACTGTGGTGACGGCCGCGGGGCGCGTCTCCGAGCTCACGGAGCCGCCCGGGCGCGACGCACTGTCCGCAGACCGCACCCCAACAAGGTGAACCTTCGATGTCCATGGGTGGTAAAGCAGGCACGTAGTTAAGAGTTGAAAAGAAAGTTCGTGACTTGGAAGATATATTTGAATAAAGAGCCCAGAATGCAACACAGAAACAAGAACAGAAAAATACGAGAGAAAAGTTAAGAGACACAACTGAGTGACTCTAACGTCGACTGGAGAGAGTGGAGAGGAAGAAATGTCTGAAGAGACGAGAGGAAACATCCTCAATCACAGAGAAACACACCCCCAGACCCAGGCGCCCCAGGTGTGAGCGCAAAACACAAAACCACAGGCGCCGCGGCGCCGCGTTGCTGTGACTGCAGGAATTACTGCACAGGTCAAAGGGACGGCCCGGGCCGACCACAGGCCGTGCAGGGACGAACACGGGGCACGGGGCTGGGGGGCTGCTCGTTACCCTGGGACAACCAGGACCTCACCTCCGTGGGAAGGCGCTAGGACACTCGCCGTCCAGGCGGGGAGCAACGGCACGGCTATCGACCCAGCATATAAAAAACCAACACCCAGGGCCAAAGACTTAATTTGTGAAAATCAAAACACTAAATTTTAGAAGAAAATTAGACAGACTTCCTAGAAGTCTTTGGATTGAGAAAGTTTTCTTAAACAAGACACAAAAAGCTCTAGCTAAGATTGATTAATATTAAAGTTGAGAATGTCTTTTTGCAAAAAACATCATAAAGAAAACAAAATAAGCCAGAGAAGATATTTGTGGCATATAGAACCAACAGAGGATTAATATCCAGGACACTCTAAAAGGTCAGTAATTTAACATTTAAAAGACACAGATCTCGACAAGAAAATGAACGAGGCAGGAACGAGAATTTCACGGAAGAGGAGCCCCTTGTGGCCAATAAGCCTACAACAAGGAGCTTAACTTTGCCTCAAAACCATGGCGACTTTACACCTACTAGGTCAGCAAAAATTAAACATTCTGGTAACGCCAAATGTTGAAAAAGATGCGGCTCCATGTGAACAACGTAAGCCAAATACCTGCCGACTCTGAGCGTTTATTCCACATGCAGATTTACATGCTATAGAAATTCTTACACATGGGTGGCGAGTCACACACCAAAATGCTCATGACAGCAGGGTAGACAGTGGCACAACAAAACCCACAAACCACACCCAAACACCTACCCGCCGGAAAACAGATTTAAAATCTTGGTCTATTCATGTTATAAACTAGAGTGGAACAGGTGTTACCTATACAACAAGGATAACTCTTAGCCATATAACAAGTGGGGGGGGAAATCCAGTTAAAAAGACTATCAACAGGAGGACTCCCCCAAATCTAAATGCACCATTTAGGGGTCTCATGCATGTGACAAACCCAAACGTGGGGCAGAGGTCTCCTCTGTGGGGCCAGCAGCGAGGTGCCATGGGTGAGGGCGCCGGGGCTCGGGCCCCGGCCCTGAGTTTGGGTGGCGCGTTTAAGTGGTTCACTTCACCGTGGTGATCCACACCTCCTACGGCATCGATCCTTTCGTATGAATCAGCTAGTATATACGGAAAATTCAGAGATGTTTTATACACACACAAATCGACCCAGCATGGGATCCTGAAGAGCAACAGCTGAATGTGCAGGAAGCTGCAAAGAAACGATGAACCATCCGAATGCGCGGCTTCCCTTCCAGGAGCAACGTTTTCCCGTCACAGGTTTGCATTTCTTTCTCTGAGCACCTGTGTGTTTCTACTTCTACCACCACCCTACAGACAAAAGCACAGAAAACGTGCCTACAACTTGACTGCATTGAAGATGTTAGAAAAACTTATTTTGTAAAAAAAAAAAAAAAAGTATTAAACTCTCCAGAATGCATTGTAATTGTCACAACACTTGGCTTGTAAAAGTAACAAGAACCAGGAGAGGAGAAAGAACACCTGAAGGGAAAATAAGGGCAAGAAATTCCCTCTTCAGTGAAAAGAAGTAAATAGCCCTACATCGATAAACAAAGAGGCGGGTGCCGGAGAGGCAAACCCCGCGCCCCGTGTGCTGCCTGCACTGCCCGTGGCCCCGGGGGCCGCCCGCACTGCCTGTCCATCCGAACCGCAGGGGCCACAGCGAGCCCCGCAGGGCCTCCGGCCTCGGAGCACCAGCCTGACCCCGCACCGCCTTCGATTACTTCCTTGTGTCAGGGTTAATTGTGAGTCAAGCAGCAGCCAGAAATGTGGGCAAGTCCAGGCTTTTAAAAAAATTTTTTTTAAGTGATGCCAGTCTGAGGTTCGAGGAGGGCTATGGGGGGCAGAGTGAAGGGGTGTTATCGTGGAACGCTGAACCCAGAGGGGCCCCTTGGTGCCTCGGAGCACCCCTGCGCCCACTGCTGGTTTTGAAACCGAAAATGTGGTGCCACGCGAGGGGCCCTGCTCAGCCAGAACAAAGAGGGGCAAGGGGAGGCCTCCGGGCAGCTTCGGGGATGGCACTCCTTCCTCTGGTGGGCAACCTTCTGGAAGCCACCGTCTTCCTGCCACCAGAACACAAGCGGGGTCGCAAGTAGCTCCAGCTGCCCCGCCACTGCCACCAAGAGCACAGCCGGCCTCGGGCCGAAGGCAACAACCTGCGGACAGCAGAGGGCAAAACGGGAAGTAATGTCACCTGGAGCCACCAGCGAACAAACCCTGAAGACGACCTTCCTCTGGACTTCGGGTTTGGGGTCAATGACATTATCGCCGCCAGAGCCCTGCTGAGGCTGTGTCTCTGTTTCTTGCGCAGAGGCCTCCTGAACAAGCCCCAGGTAATGGCTGTTGGCACAGCCCAGACTTCCCCAGGGGGCGCCGCGCGGAAGACGCCTTCCGGGCAGCACCGCCGGGCGCAGATGCCCCCTGCCCCTGGGAGGAGCGGCGGGCAGAGCTCCCAGGGCGCCTAGGCCTGCCGAGCAGCCTCGGCTTTATCCCTAAGACTGGCTTTAACGAGCTCCCTGCTGGGGAGCAAGACCAGGTGCACATTTTGTGAGGATCACTCCAGGGCCGGCGGGGGGTGGGGGGTGGGGGGTGGGGAGTGGCGGGGCGCGGCGCGCGGAGCGGAAGGTTGCAGTAAGCCGAGCCAGAAGTTACGAGGTCCTGCAGCAAAGCAATGGCAGACAGGTGGCTGGGGAACCCGTAGAGAACTGCCCCCGGTTCCACGCGGCGATGAGGTGAGAGGATGCAAGGCATCGGGACCACATCCCCCGTTTCCGCTCCGGCCGCTGACATTCTCTGGGAAAGAAAACCGGTGAAGACAAAACGCAGGAGCAAGCAGGGTCTGCAGGGGTCAGCCCCGCGAGGCGCCGGCTCGCCGTGGGCTGCACCCACGGCTCGTGCATGCGTTCACCCGCAAACGTTCACTGAAAGCTCCCAGTGCCGGCCCCGTCCGCAGCGGAGCAAGACGCGGTCTCCGTTCCGGAGCTCAGCTTCCCGGAGGACAGGCGACAACAACGGGTAAAGCGCACACGGTTAGCTCCATAGGAGCACTGGCGCCCAGCGGGCCGGGCCGAGGAGCCCAGAGGACCAGGGAGACCGGGCCCCGAGGCGCGGCGCGGAAAAAACGGCCGATGGGCGGCGGACCGCCTCCAGGCGGGAGCCGTACGGAGGGGAGCCAGCAGCATCGAGGACACGGCGTTCGGGTTGGGTCGTCCGAGGGCCGCGCCGGGCCGGGAGGCGGGGCCCCGCCGAGCCCCGGCCGCCTCTCCCGAGCGTAGGTAGCTCACCTGGGGCTGACGACGGATTCCCTGCCAAGCTGACTTCACCTAGCCGCGCCGAAACCGATCTTCGTCTTCAGCCCTCCCGGCCAATCGCAGAGCCGCTCATGGTGATTGACAGCCTCCCATGGCCAACCACTGGAGCCTGTGGGCGGGACTCGGCCAGTTTGAGTGGCAAAGCCCGCGCTGACGGTTGCTAAGGACGCACGGGACTCCTACGGCGCCTCCGAGGGGCCAAAAGAGATGGAGCCTCCGTCCGCACGGTCCAGCAGACGCCGGTTCCTCCGGTCTCGAGATCGAGAAGGGGGAGCAGCGCAGAGTTCGCCCCTCGGCGGCCTCGCCGTGGAGGTGGGGGCTGCGGGGCCGACTCCCTCACGGGCCCAGCGCTCCCGCGGGGCCTAGGACCGACGAAGGCTGCTGCGCCCGCGGTGGGCTGGGTCGGTATCCGGAGTCCCGGGCGACTCTCCCGGTACCTGCAGCGGAGCCGGCTCCCGGCCCCGGCACGAGCGCAGGCGCCCACGCTGAGCTCGCCCTGCGCTGAGCGTTAACTGGAGACGGCCCCTTCACACGGACTAAGTCTGCGCGGCGAAACTGGGACAAAGTCAGGTCATTGTGCACACGCGGCCGGTAAGGCCCGAAGGACCGCACTTTGCAGCCTCCCGCAGAGGCCCGCTACGAGCGAGCGCATCTCCCAGATTGTTCTCTCCACGGCTGCGGGCGTGCACCCGGCCACTCCCTGCCTCCTTCCCGGCTCCTCGCCTCCCGACGCCTCCAGACGTTCTTAAATTACCTGTCCGGGGGAGGTGAGGCGGGAGGCCTCGGCGGAGGACTACAACTCCCATGCGGCGCCGGGCCTGCGCAGGCGCGCCGAGGCTCGGCCCCCCCCTGCCCTGGGATCCCATTGGCTGGGCGAGCCCTAGGTGCGGAGTCCGGATTGGCTGAGGGGCCTGAGGCGACAGATTCCGGAAAGGGGAAAAAGCAGCGGACATGGCGGAGCGCGGCGCGGGCCAGCAACTGTCGCAGGAGATGATGGAGGGTGAGCAGCCCCGCGGGGCGGCGGCCCAGGGGCCCGGCGGGCGGGGGGCGGGGGGCAGCGGCCCGCACCGGCCCCTCCCCAGAGAAACGGGGCGTCCCGCCTCCGGTCGCGGCCCGGGCCCCGCCGCGCGGCCCCTGACAGCTGCCGGCCGGCTGGGAGGGGCGGGGGCGGCCCGGAGGGCGCGGCGGCCCCGGGGGCGCCGGCCGCGGGGAGTGGGCGGCCCGCGGCTGGGGCTGGCGGCGCGGCGGTCGCGCGGCCCGGGCGTCCGCCGGCCGCTTGGAGCCGCGCCTCGAGCCTGCGGCCGGACCCGCGGGTCGGCCCCCGTGCGCCTGGCCGGCGCAGCCCGTGAGGGAGCGCGGCCGCCGCGGAGAAGGGTCCTCTCGAAAGCGAACGGCCCGTGGGGAGGGGTGACAGGCCGCCGCGGGCTTGGTGTGGGCCCCCCGGGCCAGGTCGCGAAGTTCTCACAGTTCTGCAGAGACCGGACTCGGCTCCTGCACTTTGTCGGGGGGGTTGGGGCACATCTCTGCGTGGGGCTGAGTGCGCACGTGCGCGCACGCCGCCGCCCGCGGGAGAGGCAGCCCTGCCCGCGCCCTGCGGAGCTGGGTCCCTGGAGAGGGCGGCGCTCGCCCGCCGGCGCCGGGCGCAGGGGGCGGGGGCGGCGGCGGGGAGGAGGGGCCGCAGGCCTGGGAGGGACGGTCCCACCCTCAAGGTTCGCCCACGTGGGAGACGGAGTGTGGGGGAAACAAAGGTCGTGGTGGCAAAGGAAGCCACCGAGCCAAAGGCCAGGAGTGTGAGCGTGGCCTGTTTGGGGGAGAGTCTGACCAAGGCTGACAGCGCTGGGGTTGAGGGCAGCCGGCCGGAGAGGAGGCGGCGGCGGAGGGGCGGCCCTCTGGGGCTTCGAGGCCCTCCGGTCTTTTTAAGCGAGGAAGTGCCTCGTCCCCCACCCACCCCCAACCTTTAGCCCGGCCACGTCCATGTCTGGGCAAAGGGCGAGTGCAAAACCCAGGCATTTTTCTCTCGTCCGTTCCCACCTCTCCAATTCATTAACGAGCTCTGACGCTCCTGCTTCCTTAAAATCTCAAACCTCTTCCATTCCCGCTGCCAATACCTTGAGCCAGTCCATTGTCCCCAGGGCCCCCAAACCACCTTACTTGCTGGTCCTCTGTCCCATGCCCCAGACCCTCTGCAGTCCTCCTGCCCAGGGCCGGGCCTCGCCGGCCGGCGCCCAGGGAAACTCGCTCGCCCCTGGCCTCGACGGCCCAGCGCCGGTTTGCGCGCTCTCAGAAAGCCGAGCAACCCTAAGAAACCTTTCCAAGCCAAAGTGGCGGACAGCGAAGAAGCGGTTACCTTAGGGCACGGCTCACTAATGGACGCACAAAATCAGGACGAAGCGCAGCCGCTCCCGACGCAGCTCGCCCTTTGGCAGCCTGAGGCAGAGATGCGGGCGGTCCCCCGGGAAGGCGCGCGGGGACACCGCGCCGGCTGGGCCGAGGCTGCCTCTCTGAAGGCTCGCCTCACCACAGAGTGACGCTGTCTTTGCTTTTCACATTTTTTTGTGAAAGAGAAAACGCTCTTTGGAGTTTTTTCATTAGTGTAAACGGGTACTAATGTAGTTCTTTCTTAAAAGTTATGTGGCATAAAGTGAACTTTTGAGAAGCAGGAGACTCCTGTAATTAATTTATTATGTGTCTACTGCTTTTATGTACTGCAAGCTAACTGCTTTTGTGATTTTTCGGACTTAACTCTGGCAACTCTGAGACACAGCGACCATCTTAGGTCCTTTCTGCAGATCTGGAGGCTGAGGCTGGGAGAAGGAAGTCGCTTGCCAGGCTGGGCCTCTAGAAGCAGGATGCAGACTCGGGAAGAGCCGCTGGCCTCCCAGAAGTTTGGGATCAAAGACGAGACTTGGGTTTTAGAACCAGACCCGATTCTCTGGCCGTGACACATAGGCAGGGTCAGCACGAGCCACCGAGAGGCTGGTCGGGGCCTGGCTGGAGGCCCGGCCTTGGGGGACGGTCAGTCGGCCAAGCCGAGGCAGTTGCTGGGGGCAGGCAGGGGACCCACCTGGAGGCTGGAGGTGGCTTCCATTAGGGCCTGTGTTGCCCAGCGTCCTTTCCTGGACGCTTCCCTCCTCAGCCCAGCAGGAGACACAAGGAGGACGCTGCCCTGCCTTCCCCTCTGTAGCTAAGCGGCCTTCGGGGACGAGAAGCCGAACGTTCAGCGGGGCCGGTGGCGGGGCCGGCTGTCAGCGCGGAGCATCCAGGCAGCTCCCAAAGGAGTTTGTGAAAGAGAGCGGGAGAGAGAAACACGATCTGACAGTGTTGCCAGGGAGTTTTTACCAGTCTTTCGTGTTTCATCATTGTCTCATTTATTAATTCAAAAACTACCTCTTCACCAACCCTGCAGAGCTTTGCGCAGGCTGGCGTCGCTGGTGCTGAGGGTTCACATCCACGGCCTTCGCGTGGGGCGTGAGCGCTGCCGGCTGTTTTCTCCTATTTCATTAGTGCTCCCGCCCACAGTCTGATTTGAGTTAGTCTTGATTTCTTTCAGAGCGTGGGCCTGTGAACCAGGCTGGTTTTCTTGGCCACACGGATAGTGGAGCATGGATGAAGGTATGTGGCGGAAGGGTCACAGTGGTCCCCTCGATCCGGCTCTCCAGGCTTCGCTCCACGTCAGCCATAGTGCGTGTAACACAACCCCCCAGGGCTTGCAGAGCACCTGGCGCCCCTTCCTGAGCTCCTGGAGGGCAGGAGCCGTGTGACACTCACCTTCATGCCCGTGTGGTCCCCTTGCCCCTCCCGACCCGAGTCCCCATTCTCCTGCCACTGGACAGATGGCGCCTGGGACACGGAGGATACTCAAATGGTCGTTGAACCAGATTCGACAGATGTTTTGAACGAGGACTTGTTGACTTACCGCCGGGTGCCAGTCTGTCCTGTGTTACGGATGGGAATTCTCATCAATCTGTGTGGGTTCAGTTGACAGGCGGGTCGAGTCCGAAGAATCTGGTGACGAGGAAGGGAAGAGGCAGAGCGGCGGACTGGTGGCGGAGCTCAGCGAGCACAGCCTGAAGGATGGACAGGAGCGGGGGGAAGAGGACCCAGAAGGTACCAGCCCCGGTTACGAACCGCGCCCACGAACGGGGTGGGAGCCGTCAGGGTTGCACGCGCTCTGTGCCCCCTCCCCAAGGCGCTGCCGTGTGCCGTCCCAGGGGGGCCACGGTGCTGGGCGCGGGTCTGCTGGCGCAGCCACAGAGGCCCTCGGGGCTGCTGGCCGCGTCCTGTCTGCTGCCCCCCCGCTGAGTCATAGAGGGTGCCGGCCAGCGGGCGCAGGGCTTGTGGCTCCGCTGGAGGCAGATGCAGGTACTGGTCTCGTGCTAGTGTGTCATCTGGGATGGAACCAGGAAACCATTTTATCAACCACGTGGTCAGAAAGCGAGATTCGCGGTGACCAGTGCGGCCGACGGCTGCGCTTCAGGGTCCCGCCGTATGACACCGGCTGCCCTCTGGGCAGCGCATCTCGTATCCTGGAGGACTCGTTTCTGAGTTCCTCGTCACTGTTTTCGTAGGCCTGGGGTGGACGTCTTCATCGCCTGGGTGTTAGGAAAATCATTTTATGTGGAAAATGTCCCGGGGCCTCCTGTTCTTTCAGTGGATGAAAGGACAGCAGACTGAGTTGGAGACGCGAGAAAGCGGCCCTCAGCCTGTGATGGTCGCCTTTGGCCGGCAGTCTCGGCCCGTTTGTTTGTTGCTTAGCGAGTCAGTGCACTCCAGGGAGAGTGAGAGTGGGAACCTCTCAAGAGGCAGGCGCATGTCCAAGATACATCAAGTAAGAAAAGCAAATTTCCAAGGAGCGTGCGTATTCAGATCCTGCTTTTGCTTAGAGAATATCAGTGACGTGCAGTGTTGCCTGCGTGAGAGGGGAGGTGCATCTGACTGCTGTGGGCGGTGTCTCTGGATTGCACGCTGCTGAGGGCCTGGCACCGCCTGCTGTTCCAGGTTATAACGCAGGGGGGGTTGAGGTGGTCATCGGTCATTTCCCTTTTAATGATAAAAACCAAAACAAATTTTTTTAATAAGTGTTCTTTTTTTAAAAAAGGTTTTTTTAATTTATTTTTAAAGAAAGGGAGGAAGAAAGAAAAAGGGAGAGAGAAACATTAATAGGCGGTTGCCTCTCGTGCTCCCCCTACTGGGGACCTGGCCCACAACCCAGGTCTGTGCCCTGATTGGGAATCGAACCAGCGACCCTCTGGTTCACAGGCCGGCACTCAATCCACTGAGCCACACCACCCAGGGCCCAAAACAACTTTTTAAAACAACACTGCTCTCTGTTCCAGTGAAGGTGACTGGTAACTATGGCAACCTAACTTTAGGGCGGAGGAGAGCACCACAAAAGCACCAGCTGCCTTCGGAACTGCAGACCTGGTGTCTCCGCAGAGGCGTGGGCGGGATACGTGCAGGGGTGATGGGCGGAGCTCTCAGTGCCACCAGACGGGGCCGACGCTTGAGCAGGTGGGAGCGCCCCTGTCCTCACACAGGGACCCTGCTGCTTGCGTGGGGCTGGACGGTTGGCAGAGCCCCGTCCTGGCCTCCTCTCCCTGCTGCGGGAAGCGGCTCGCTCCGACTCGCCCCAGGGCACACGGCTCCGAAGGGGCAGCTGCCCGGGAACCGGTCGTCCGAACCGGCAGGCCCCCTCCAGCACAGTAGCTGAGCAGAAGTTCCCGGGGGATGTCGGAGGCCTTGGAGGGACCCGGACTCGCACCCGCCTGTATTTAAATCTTGAGTTCAAATAAAGTGATTCAAACGTGCCAACTGTTCCCTTTTATTTATTTTCCCTGAGATATCAAAAAGTACGATCAGTGCATAATACATCGTAAAAATGTTCTAGGCTGGTCACTTTGTTCCAAAGGTTAGGTTGACCTTTGGGGGGCCTGTCCTGTGCTGGGTGGATCGCAGACAGAACCCCGTTAGGCCGCAGGCCCACAGCCCCGAGGAGCTGGGGACAGCCCCGCTCCCCCCGCTGGCCGGCCTGGTGGTCAGCGACGCCCCTTTGCTAAAGTGCCCTGGTTTGGACACTGAGCGGCTGGGTGCCCCGCTTTTGTTGCTGCAGCCTCCTGGGCCCTGATGCTGAACTTGGGCTGTCTTGGAGGAGGGGCAGGTAACTTGGGTATGTCTCTTGGTTTCACTCAGCTTCTTCTACCTAATTCTTAGGTGGGTGATATCCCATAAAGTTACGGATAAACTGTAAGTGACACTTTAAAAAATCCAGCTGCTCCTGAGCGATTGGAAAAGGCGCAGTGAAAAGATTAGGCAGTGACGTCGGCGAGAGCGGGGCCAGCATGTCCTGACCGAGCAGGTCCTGTGCCAGGGGTGCCCCCGTCCCCCGAGGCCTCCCGTCCAGGGCCCACAGGCCGCCGGTCCTCAGCGGGCGGGGGGCTGCAGCCGGAGCAGACACTGTCTTGTTGCCGGGAGGGGCGGCAACGGGAGCCAGGCACGACGGCCACAGCTGAGTCCCAGGACGTGGAAGGGTGGCTGCGCCCCGCCCCCACCCGGAGCAGTGCCCCGAGACAGGCAGCCAGGCGTCTGCCACCAAAACGGGCAGGGACCGCGGGGTTCTGTAGAGAAACGCCTCCCGCCCCCAATTCAAGCAGAGGTCACTCAGTGGGAGAAGAAATCATAAGACAGTTGGCAACATCAAGGAATTGCTCTTTTTACGAGCTTAACAAACCCTTTGAACATAAATGCTTCAATAGGTTCCGATGGGATGAAGGGGGTGCTGCTGACTCGGGGCGTCAGCTCCGCAGCGAAGGCGGCTCCTACAGCCTCCTCCGGGCGGTCCCAGGGGTGAGGCCCGGCCTGGACGGAGGTCCCTGGCCGGAGTCGGCTTCCTGACTCCCAGGCAAGAAGCGCCTCTACATCACTGACAGGGCCGCGCCCGTCCCCCGCCTGCTCGCAGAGCTCTGCTCCGTTCGGTTTTGCACTTTGCAGACAGTTGTTTGTAGATGCCGGGCCACTTTCAAAACAGTAAAAGGCACACCCTGCAACATCTGACGTGCCCACCGTGGTCCACAGTCACACGGTCTGATTTGTCGCCACAGGCTGGGGTGGGGGTGGGTCGGCTGCTGCCAGTTGCGCAGTTCTGGGCGTCTGGGTTGGGCGGCGGCCTCCGCGCTCCTCTCTGCCAGCGTGTCCTCTCTCGGGACGCCCAGCGGTGCAGACAGAGGTTTGGGGACCTTTGCTGGTGGCTGAACTCGGGGAAACTCATTGCTGGGAAGCTCACCCTGGGGGAGCAGGGCGTCAGTTAGCCCTCCGCGGCGTCTTGGCCTCCAGATGCTGCCGGTCGGCGGGGCCCAGGCTCCAAGCCAGGCGGCCTGCATGCTGGCGCGTCGCGCCCCGGCCGGGCTGCTGCCGCTGCAGCGGGGGCTCGGGGAGGGCCCTCTCCTCCCCTCTCTCTCACTTTTTCAGGACAAGAGCTGCCTGTGGACATGGAAACGGTTCACCTGGACAGAGACGCCGAGGTAACGCCGCCCCCTCGGCCCGCCGCGGGGTGCGGTGACGGGCTGCGTCGCACCAGGGTGGCTTGCACGCGGTGCCGGTCAGCCAGGGCCTCCCGAGGAGAGGCCGTCCGCCCTGCCCTGGGCTGCGTCCTCGGGCCCCTTGTGTCTGTGGTGACAGCAATCAGAGCCCCACGCGTGTCCGCCCGCTGTGGCGACACGAAGGTGGGGTCCTGGCGTCCCCACCCGAGCAGCCGTCCCCCTGCAGGCCGCGCAGAGCGCAGGCTGCGGCTCGCTGGGCCCCGCCGGGGCCGTGGTCGGCGCGGCCTGGCGCTGGGGGAGCTGGGATGAGAGGGAGAGGCTCCCGCCAGTTTTGCATAAAACAATGAATCACAGCTGAACGCGGGAGCCTCCCGGGGCTCCCCGCGCCCCTGTCACCTGTCTGCTGCAGGCCCCACGCGGCCCGGGCTCTCCGGCCCCCCGGCGCCCTCACCGCGCCCCCAGCAGGCTGCCTCCTTAGCTCCTGTCCCAGGAGGCGGGCCCCGGCGCGCCTGCAGCTACGCCCGACTCCCCTCTGTTCCAGGACGTCGACCTGAACCACTACCGCATCGGGAAGATCGAAGGGTTTGAGGTTCTGAGGAAAGTGAAGGTGAGAGGAGGCCTGTCGTCCCCTGCGGTGCCTGGCGGCCCCTGCCCCACCCCCCTCCCGCCCCCGCCGCAGGCCATCGATAATGCCTCACGGAGGACACTCTGGCAGAGTCGATTCCAGCCCCGCAGGAGGCACAGCCTCCACCGGAACTGCTGCTGGGCGTCCGTGGTTGGGACGCGCAGGCCTGCAGAGCAGTGCAGGCGGCTGGGGCTCAGCCCGCGTCTGGTCAGCGGCTCGGAACCGCTGCGACTCGCCAGGCCTTGGGTTAGGGCCCGCCAGACTGGGTAGTCCGGAGTCACCTGAGTTAAATTTGTTCTCAAAACCGAGGGCAGGGCTTCACTCTGCCAGGCAAGGGCACACGGCCCAAACTGACCCCGGCCTGCCCCCCGAGTGGGCCTGCTGGGTGGGAGCCTGCCCCAGCCTCCCTGTGGGGGCCCGCCAGCCCGCCCCGGCCCCTTTCTAGAGAACAACAGGGGAATGAAAACCTCGGCCCCTCGCCAAAGGCTTCCCGCACCCGTAACCCAACTGGCCTTCCCGCGAGCACCCCGCTCGTTGCCCACGTCAGGTGTCCTCTTCCACACCCCCAGACGCTCTGTCTCCGTCAGAACCTAATTAAGTGCATCGAGAACCTGGAGGACTTGCAGAGCCTCCGAGAGCTGGACCTTTATGACAACCAGATCAAGAAGATTGAGAATCTGGACACACTGGCAGAGCTGGAGTGAGTCCCAGGACCCGGGGCAACCGAGGACTGTCCGTGTCCCCAGGGCCGACCTGCGCCCTGGCTCGGGCCTGGCGAGGCCACCGCTGCCCTGGGTCCTGCCCTTCCGGCTCCGTAGGTGGCGGCAGCTTGCCCAGCTCCCGCCTGCGAGTGAACCTTGGGGCAGAGGCTGCTGGCTCGTCCGGTCGGGGCTGCCGTGGTGGTCCCGGGAGCCGGGTGGGGGCCCTGCGGCTGCTCCCGAGGGCGGGGGGCGGGGTTCCGCCCCTGAGACACCAAGACTGAGTTCTGTGTGGCCTGTGCTCACGCAAAAAAAATGCATGTTTTGCTCATTCCAGGATTCTAGATATTTCTTTTAATCTACTGAGAAACATTGAAGGGGTGGATAAGCTGACACAACTGAAGAAACTCTTCTTGGTCAACAACAAAATCAGTAAAATCGAGAACCTGAGCACCTTGCAACAGCTGCAGATGCTGGAACTGGGGTCCAACCGCATCCGGGTAGGCGCGGGGCGCTCATGCTCCAAGCGGCGCGGGTCTGTTTGCCCCTAGAAACAGGGAAGGTATTTTTCAGAGAACACGTGAACCGGGGTCCGTGTCAGCAGGAACGTTCACCCCTGCGGACGGCCTGGCCCTCCCGTGCGCTGGCCCCGCCGAGCCCGCCCCGGCCGGAGCTGAGCTCCCAGCAGCCCCTGCAGCCAGGCCCCTCCGAGGCGCGCAGCCTTCCACTGTGCGGGCGCAGGCGGTCCCGAGCAGGGAGGCCAACAGCCACCAGCCGTCCCCAGGGCCACGGGAAACCTCGTCAGCCCTAGACCCTGCCACCCCCCAGGGCTCGGGCAGTGGAGACGAGGTGGGAAGCTGAGGGAGCCCTGGCCCTGCAGACTCCCAGCCCCCAAACGGCGCGGGGAGGGGCCCTGGGCGGGGAGCGGGGTCACAGACAGACTGACATCAATCAGTTGAGGGGGGCGGCCCACCAAGAGGAGAGAGGCTCCGCAGGGCAGAGACAAGGCTGCCTGCCAGCCGGGAGGCCATCGTCTCCACAACTGGCTTCCATGTGGTTTCGGGAGTTCCTCAGGTGGCAGCCAGCCCGAGGCCCCTGAGCGCTGGGCGGCACCCAGAGCACAGCGCGGCACCCAGAGCACAGCAGGGCGGCTCTGTCTGGGGCCTCTGCGGCCACCGTTGCGGTGGTGCGGCCGCAGACAGCAGAGCGGTGCCTTGGAAGCTGTAGAGCGGCGAGAGGGCAGTGTCCCATGGAGTGTCTCCGTGGCACATCCTGGGAGACGGCGGCTCATCACAAGTGGCCACAGGCCGTGGCCGTGAAGGGGCCCCCATCCTGGACCCTCCACCGAGTCGTGCTGTGCCTGCGGGCGAGCCGCGCCTCCTGCTCCTCCCGGGGCCTGGCCCTGCCAGCTCGCGCCGCTCGGGCTGTATCGTGTCTGCCGAGAGGCTTGCAGTCAGCTTGTTGGGGGGGGGGGCGGGGGCGGGGGCGGGGGCGGTGTGCGCAGACACGGGAGGGAGGCCTAGGCAGCGCAGCTCTTGGAACTACCTGCTGTGCCCACACCCAGCAGAGCTCAGGGCCAAGCAGGGAGCGCACGAAAGGGCATGGGGTCCTGCGTGGGCGGCTCATTTTGGGGAGATGGAGGCTCTTGGGAACATGCTGTGACAAACCCCACAAGACCAGCAGGATGGTGCCGACTCAGAACTGGGAACTGGGGGGACTTGACAGACCTAGTCCCTGGGTTTTCAGACTGTCCTCTGAGCCCTGGAGGTTTGGGAGTGAGCCCAAGGGACAAGGACCCCCGCCTGTCCTCAGTTGTGTTCTGCACTTCCTGTAAGGTGTCACTGGGCAGCTTCCCGGGGGCAGCGCTAACTCGCCCGCCACCCCAAGGCCAAGTCCAGAGAGTGCTGCCCGCTCCCTGGACGAGCAGGGTGGCCGCACCTCGCCGACGGTTGCTCCGCCCTCCCCGCAGGCCATTGAAAACATCGACTCGTTGACCAGCCTGGAGAGCTTGTTCCTGGGGAAAAACAAGATCACTAAGATCCAGAACCTGGACGCACTCTCCAACCTGAGAGTCCTCAGCATGCAGGTGCCTCCGGCTGTGCGGCTGCCCCGCCCCCACCCCGCCCCATCTGTCCCCCGCTGGTCCCGAGGGCGGAGCAGGCCCAACATTAGCTTCCACACTGGCACACGTGGGGCACGCGTCTGTTGGAGGAACCTTCCAGCCTCCTCCTGATTAGAGTCCCAGCTGGGTTGCAGGCAAAGGCACATCCTTAGGAGAATGAGCTTGTTCCAAACGCTCCTAAAGTGTTTGGCTCAGTGGTGCACATGGTTCCTTCCACGTCTGCCTTTGTGCGGACTGCCAGCCCCGCGACTGGGGGCCCGGCCGCACCAGACTGTTCCTGGACTCCTGTGCCCCCTCTTGTCAGCAGCAGGGAGCGGGACCAGGCCCTGGGGGCAGGAGGTGGTGGGTGTTCTGGCGACGGTCCCACATGTGGCAGAGCCTTGTCCTTTGAGTCACAACATACCCTGAAAGAAATGAGCATTTAGTTTAGAATTTTCAGTGACTTTACTGCTTAATTACTCGGTGAGTTGAGGCAAACCCTCCCCGAACAAGTGAAACCAGCAGTCGTTTGCGTAGAAACCTTGGGCCTCGCCCAGGAGCTGTGGCCCAGGACGCAGACTGGAAGCGCGGCTTCCCTTCCCCGCAGAAGCCTGTCTCGCCTGCTGTGCGTAGCAGCGAGAGGGCCCTTCCCTGAAGCCCCTCGCACGCCCCTGCCCGGCTCTGACGGCTGGCGGCTCTCCCCACAGAGCAACCGGCTGACCAAGATCGAGGGCCTGCAGAGCCTGGTGAACCTGCGGGAGCTGTACCTCAGCCACAACGGCATCGAGGTCATCGAGGGCCTGGAGAACAACGTAAGAGGTGCCCTCGTCCATCCGGGCGGGCGGGCAGGCGGGCGTGGCCAAGGGCCCTCCCTCCAGGGCTGGTCTCCAGCAGGCGCCTCTGGGGCTTCCTCGGGGGCCTGCCCAGCCCAGCAGACAGAAAGGCCCTCCCCCCCACCCCCACCCGGGGCACGCGGGACAGCGCCCTGCAGGGGCTCCGAGCTGTCGCTGGGCCCACAGCTGGTGTCGCCTCCACGGAGGCACGGGACCCCGCCAGGGCGGCACTCCCTGCTCGGCACCCGCGGCCTCGCAGGTGTCCGCGGGGCTAGAAAACCCTCCTTGCGGGCGCACGCCCCGCACCCCGACACTGCAGAGGCCACGGGGACAGCGCACCTCACCAGCCAGGACGAATGGCCGGGCCAGTCCTGGGGCTCCCGCACCTTCCTCCCTCTTCCAGCGCCGCACCGCCCTGGGGCGACAGGCCTGTGCCGCTCCCCCGCCTCTGCCAGAGCTGCTCCTGCTCAGCCAGGGCGGCCTTGGGTGCGTGAGTGCGGGGCCGAGCCCCAGCCCGCACGGCCACCTGCAGGCTGACGGCTTTCCTCAGGGCGGCGTGCGCAGGCACAGTGCCCCCGCCCCGTGCTCCCTGGCCGCTCTCCGCCCTGTTCAGGGGCCGCGGCGGGGGCGGCGGCGGCGGCGCCTTGGTCAGGAGGGGCTGCTCTGGCCTTTGCCGCAGCCCCGGGGCCTTGTCGCTACAAGGGATGTCACAGGGAATCCCTGCTCTGCCTCTGACGTCACCAACGTCTACGTAAAGTTTTGGGAAAGTCACGATTTGCCAGCACGTTTAGTCACCCTCCTCTGTACCCGAGGCAGAACTCTGAGAGGGGTCTGTGGGCGGAAGCGGTGGGCCGGCTGCGCTCACAGGGCGCCCCGGCTGAGGAGCTGCGCCGGTGGGGAGCGGCAGGCCCTGCCGCCCGTCACGAGACCCCGTTACGAGACCCCAGGAGTGGGCGGGCCGGTTGGGCCCAGCGAGCAGCAGCGAGAGGCCAGGCGTCCGAAACAGAACGGAGCAGCCGCGACCCCAAGGGCAGCCGCGGGTCACACGTTTGTCCTGACCCAAGGGCTCTCCCCTGGGGGCCTGTCAACAGAAAGCCAGACACTCGCCTGCACTGGGTTGGGTCTCCTCACCTGCCTGGCTGTCATCGCTGTCGGGGGGAGTAAGGCAGTAAATGGGGCTTTTGCCCAAAGGGCGAGTCCCTGTCCCAACAGCAGAGACTCCCCTGCCCCCGCGCTTCGTGCCCACTCCCCACCCCCTGCCTCCCACCCCCACTCTGTGAGCCGCACCTTCCTTGGGGTCTCCCTGGGCCCTCGGCCCACGCTCCCCAGGCGGGAGTCGGAGCCTCTGGTGCCTGCTTTCCCCACTTCCCTTTCGATGGAACACAGGGAGGTTCTCACCCGCTGGCTTTCGAATGACCTTTCGAAACGTGCAGCTCCCCAGAACAGCCTGAGGTGTTGAGAACCCGACCCAGCTCCTGCGTGCAGAGCCCCGGGCGCCCGGCTGGGGGTCAGATCCGCCGGTCCCTGCCCCCCCAGTGCAGGCCACGGGCGGGAAAGCCCTGCCGCGGGGACGGCCCTGGCTGCCGCGGCCCTGCTCCCGCCGGGCACCGGGGGCTGCTCCCAGGCCCCGCTCAAGCCCCCTCGGCCCTGACGCCCTGAGCACTGCAGGCGCTCACCAGGCCAAGGCCACGGGTCAAGCCCACCGTGAGCGCCCAGCACCTGCAGACGCAGCCCTGCACCGTGCGGGGCCCAGAGAGGGCGTGGCCGGGGCGGAGCCGGCGGACGCGGAGCCGGGCAGTGGGGCCGCCCGTAAGGAGTCGGACACTAGGGCCGGAGCCCGTCTGAGCGGGTGGAGTTGCTGGCCACTTGTTAGGGGGAGGGGGGATTTTAACTGGGACATCTTCAGCTCTCCCTTAAACCCGGGGCGCAGTGCGGATGGGAGGAGGGGCCTGGTCCGAAAGGCAGAGGCCCAGGCGTGCGCACCGCAGGCCGTGGGCCCGCTCCTGAGTGGCTGCCGGGTGGGGGGGCCGTGCCGGTTGGTTGGGTCAGACTCCAGCAGGGTCGGCTCTCAAGCACTGCGGCGCTTCGTGGGCCGGGCAGTCAGCCTGCGCTGGGCGTGCGGATGGAGGCCAGGGCGCCGTCCGCCTGGGGCTGGGCTCCACGCCCCTCCCCGCCACCCCCTCCCCTGGCTCTCCATTCCAGGCCCAGCAGCCCTTCCTCCTGGCGGCCCCCCCAGGGTACGACAGCCTCCTGGGCCCAGCTGCCCCCCTCGTCTGCACGAGCTCCCACCCTGGGCCAGCCCAGGCGCCTCGCTCCTGAATGAAGAGAGACACGACTCAAGTCTTAGTGCCGTGCGCGCGGTTGAGGCAGTCACCGAGGGAGAGCCGCCGCCACACCCCGGGGCCCAGAGCTCCCTGCGCTTTTCGGCGGGGTCCCTGCCCTCCCCGGAGCCGCCGTCCCTGGGGCCTGGGGCCAGGCGTCCGGGGGCCCAGGGGTCGGGTCAGACAGACCAGTTTGAAACCCCACGATACTGGGGCAGGCGGTAGGGGCTGCCAGCCAGGGTCCCTGCCGCACACCCCCCTCCTGTGAGGACAGCGAGGGCGGTGGCCCCACAGCTCCCAGCCACGCACATGGCCACGCAGTCACCGTTGACCTGCGGTAACTCGGGGCAACTGTTGTTCCCTTGTTTTAGAATAAACTCACGATGTTGGACATTGCGTCAAACAGAATCAAAAAGATTGAGAATATCAGCCATCTAACAGAGCTGCAGGAATTCTGGGTAAGTGCAGCGCCCACTGGGGTGGGCAAGCGCAGCGGTCGGTGAGGCCGGGGCTCCGGCCCTGGCTGAGGTAGGCGAGGGGCAGGGCGGCCGTGGCGTCAGCACCACCAGGAACTTGTTAAAAATGCGCGTCTCCGGCCCCACCCCAGCCCGAAGGGACGTCCTGTGAGCCCCAGGGAGACACGGCACACGTGGCTGAGAGCCCAGGTGTGGGGCGGGGCGGCCGAGAGTGGCCACGCAGCCAGCGGGCCCGCGGCGCAGGGGATGGTGGGTGTCCTCGGTCGTCCAGTGGCTCCCAGCACGGCTTGGGGGTCAGCGGGAAGAGAGCAGACGTCTGGTCTGTGGGCTGCGAGGTAATGGCCGAGTCGGCCTCAGTGTCACGGTCCCTTGGGTGGGCGTTCCAGGCAGGCTCACCCATCTCCCCGAGCCCGTGTCCCGCCCAGCCGCTCAACGGGTGGCGCTGTCCTCGGTGCGGGATTCTAACCCGAGACGCGTGCTGAGTCTAAGGTGTGACTCCGCCTCCTCGTCGGGCTGGGCTGTGGGCCCTGCTGGCGTCCTGTCCAAGTGTCCTGAGAACACAGGTGGCCTGCAACGAAAGCGTCCCTTGACCCTTATCCATAGCACTGGTCCTTGGGTCGTGTCTGACGTGGCGCCAGAGCATGTCAGGGAGGCCAGAGCCTGACCGTGAGATGGCAAAGGTGGGCTGGGCTAGCGGGGACCGGTGTGAACCCCACGGCCCCAGGCAGCCGCCCTGCGGGCCGGCGCGGCTGCTGGGGGGCTGGGCAGGTTGCCCTGAAGGGATGTGGCCCTGGAGGGACCAGGGAACCGCACGGAGAAACCCACCAGTGGGGGCGGGGCCGGGGCTGGCACCGCAGCACGAGCAGGGGACACCGAGGGGGCGTTTCTGAGGTGGGGGCCCCCCTCCGTGCCCGGCCGAGGACACGGGCTGGCCGTGGGCGGCGCGCGCCCCTCCGGTGCAGCAGGCGTCCCTACAGCTAGAGAGGCCCCTGCCGAGCCGCCCGTGGACCATGAGGTCACGGAGGGTGGGTAGCGATGCCTGTGAACACCCAAAGTGTCTCCTGTCACTAACGCTGAAATGGGGAGACAGGCGTCGGGCTCCCAGGTCAGCCAAGACTTTGTGGGCGGCAGAGGCGGCTGGCCTGTGATGCAGGGGTGACACGGGGCTGCCCTGTGGTAAAGGAGGCCTTTCTAACGTGTGTGTGCATGTGTCTGTGTGTGCGCATGTCTGTGTGCCTGTGTCTGCGTGTGTGCCTGCACGTGTGTGTGTGCATGTGTGTGTGCGTGTGCGCATCTGCATGTCTGTGCTTGTCTGTGTGCATGTGCCCCCCCCCCAGATGAACGACAACCTCCTCGAGAGCTGGAGCGACCTGGACGAGCTGAAGGGAGCCAAGAGCCTGGAGACCGTGTACCTGGAGCGAAACCCGCTGCAGAAGGACCCGCAGTACCGGCGGAAGGTGATGCTGGCGCTGCCCAGCGTGCGGCAGATCGACGCCACCTTCGTGAGGTTCTGACTGTCCGCGCCCCCGCCCGCCCCCTCTCTCCAAGAGAACTGCCCGGCCACGGTTTTTAATCCGCCCGTTGCTCCTGACACCGCCACTGTATCAACGGTCACAACCCAACGGCAATAAAAAGGCGCTGAGTGATCCCTGCCGCGTGTGCCGCCGCTCGCCGCTGAGAGGCGTTGCCGTTGCCGGCACCACGTGGGGTCCCGTGCTCCGTGCTCCGTGCCCGCGGAGGGAGGTTGCCCGGGCCCCGTAGGCTGTGGGCGCCCGGTCGGGGGCCATCCCAGCAGCCTGGCCCGTCCGCTCAGAGCTTTCCAGTCTTTTGTACCAGTCGATGCCAGTATTTAAAAACTATACACGTTAGAGAGAAAACAGCGGGTGAGGGGGGCCCGGCCCTCAGGCTGTGACCCTCAGCTCGGCCCTTGCCAGCCAGCCGCCCTCAGGCAGGCCCTGCCCCCCGCAGCCGCGGCCCCCGAGGCCGCATCGCCCGACAGACGGCCGCCCCTCGGAGCCCCCGCAGAGCCGGCCCCGGGCCGCAGTGGCCCTGCCTCCCGCTCTGGCCCCGCCGTTGTGTTGGCTCCCGTTTCACACTGTTTGCCTCGGCGGCCCCTGGGGTCTGCATTCCGTCCACATGGACCCTGTCACCCTCTGTCGTCCTCGGGGGCCCCCCCCCAACTCCGGTGCTGCCCCGTCCAGCACAGGAGCCACGCGCTGCCCGCCGTGGCCGGTTCCATTCACATTTAATTTCGTGAAAATAAAGTGGAATTAAACATGCGGCTTCTCGGTTGCGCGCGGCACATCCCAAGTGCTCAGGAGCCACATCCCTCGAGGGCGCCCATGCGCAGCCACGGAACGCTGCCCCGGCCCCAGCCCCCGTGCGCACGCTGCTGCCGGGAGCGCTCGGGCGGCCGCCCTCGCCGGGTGGGGGCGGAGGCGTGGCTGCGGCTGCCTCTGTGGGAGGGCATGCCCGAGCCCTGACTTCGGTTGCTGCCAGAACAGACTGCGCGGCCTGACAGTGGGCGCCCCCTGAAAAGCAAATGCTGGGAGAGCGGAGGCGGGTGGGCAGGGCCTGGCCCCAGGCTGCCGCCCCGCACCCTGCCCTGGCCCGACGCCGTCCGTGTCTGTCTGGGGTCAAAACAGACAGTTTTAGGCTCAAGGATTTGAGTGCCTTTGCTGAAAAAATTACTCAGAGGAAGCTTCCACCCAGAAAAGAACCCATATGAACCTGAAAGGGTGAAACATCATGTAGAAGCAGCAGCGGGGAGCAGTTAAACCCGCAAATGTTGCCCCTGAAGAGCGTGCGGTGACAGGGCCCTTGTGACTGGCGGGACGGGGCACAGACACGCCGGGTGCAGAGCGAGGTCGCTGTGCACGGAACCTGGGGCGCCAGATGCGAAGGCTCCCTACGTTCACCCTGCTGGAGAGAAGGGGGCAGTAAAGTTTATGGGAAAACAGGCATTTCAAGTAACCACTAGTAGAACATTAATTAGTTAGGAAACACCTAGGAGAAACCAAAATCTTGCAGCGAAGGGAGGCACGGGCGCGGAGCGGGCAGCCGTCAGCCGGCACCCTCGTGGGGCCGGGGACCAGGGACCCTCGGAACGGGTCACGAAGGGAAATCCAGCGTCTGTGCTTTAACAGGCATTTAACAGTTACAGAAAAAGGGTGAGGGAAGGGGAACGTGCTAGGTCCAGCCAGTCCTAATCAAAGTTCCATCTGATTATTTGAGCAACTCATTAAACTTTATATGGAAAGTAAAAAGGTCCACGCTGAACCTGGAAACTTTGAAAAAGCTCAACCCGCTTTGAAAAAACGTCAGCAGAGGCTAGCGGCTGGGTTCGGACAGCTGCAGGCTCCGCCCGGAGGAGGCGGGGCCACGCTGGCCAAAGCCCTCGGTGGGGAAAGCAGGCTGGAGAGGCCGTGGGGAGGGGGCAGCCTGCCGTGAGCTCCGAGGGCAGAAGAGCTCCTCACGGCCCCGGAAGCGCAGGCATGGGACAAGGTTTGGATGGGTTTCTGACATAAAAAAGAAAATCCCGGTAGAAGGGAGAGCACCGTCGACAGGCCGCAGACAGCAGACAGGAGGTGCTGCCATGTTTTAAACCTGCACAGGCCCAATAGGAGGTGTGAAGAATTACCCCAAGTTGGAGAAAAGAAGACAGGAGTCTGAAGAGAGACAGGCCAGGGCAAGAGCAGGCCACGAGCCCCGGCCGGTGCGGCTCCGTGGGCCGGGCGCCCGCCTGTGACCCAGGGGTTGTAGGTTTGACTCCGGCCAGGGCGCCCGCCTGGACTGCGCGCCGGGTCCCTGGTGGGGGCATGTGGGAGAGGCCACTGTTGGTGGTTTGTCTCCCTTTCTCTCTCTCCCCTCACTGACCCTCTCTTTAAAATCAAAAAATGAAAAGATTTCTTTTTAAAAAATGTTGAAAGAAGAGCACTCCCCATGGTGCCTGCAGACGGGACGGGGTGGGCGTGGGGAGCAGCCCGAGCGCGGCCCCGGTGCCGGGCGGCCAGGACACCGTCCAGGAGGCTGGCTCTTGGAGCGGGGATGGCGGGAGGAAAGGAGCCGGCCGGGCGGCCCTGCTGGTGGCCCGCCCCTCCGGCCACGAGCAGGACAAGCGAAGGTGCTGGGGGAGCCGCCAGCGTGCCGCACGCCCTGACACCAGCGCAGGCAATACTGAAAGAAGCTAATTGAAGGGGAAAGGCAGGGGCGCCGCCCAGCTGGCAGTGACCCCACGGGGGCCGCTCGCCCCAGTAGTTTTGTTCAGACCAGCAACGGGCCTGCCCCAAGGAGTGAGGCCCGCTTGTCCCAGACCCGCCCTGCAGGGCTGCCCCTCCCCCACGGCGCCGCAGCCGGGGAGCTGGAGACAACGTGCTTGGCCGGTGAGGCCGCTTTCCTGAGGAGAAGGGCAGGGGCAGCGGCTTGGTGTCTTGAATGTGGACTTGATGGCTGGCCTGCCGCAACCATCTTGCAACCATGAGGCAAGGGCTCTGGCCCTGACTTCCTGGAGCCGCTGAACCCGCCCGGGGGGCCACCCCTTCCCACTTCCTGTGAGCTGAGGAAGGTCTTTTCGTTAAGCCACAGCTGTTGGAAGCTTTTTATTTGAACTTCCACCCAGTGTATGTCTGAATGTTACATAAATGGATATTAAAAATTTTGGTCAAATGAAGGTGATGTAGCAAATCCTGGGCATGGGCTCTTTCTAGTGCTTTGGACCCAGCAAGACACCTGTGCCAGGTGTCCCATAGCTTCCTTCCTTCCTTCTTTCTCTAAAACTGCAAAAGTAACACAACTTTTAAAAATTTCAAACCATAAAACACCGCAGAGTAAAAACAGAAAGGCGGGCCCAGGATGTGTCCTCGTCCCGGTGCCTCCAGGCACGTCCCCCCGGGTGCGGCGGCCTCCAGCCGGGCCGAGCCCCCTCCGACCCGTCCCCCCTCTGACCCGTCCCTGGGCCGGGCTCCTCCTCCATCCGCAAGGGCAGAGCTCGACCCCAACAGGCGCCTCGGGGCCGAGCCGCCACCGCTCTCAGGCCCAGGGTGTCCCGGCGGCTGCCGGGCTCTGCAGGGCGTGACGGGGAGCCTGGCCACAGTGGCTGACCCTCCATTCAAAGGCTCCCAGGAAGGGGCGCGGGGACTGCAGGGGAGGGAGGGACCAGGCACAGCCCCGGCCCGGACGGGGGTCTGATTCGGAGGTTTCACGGGGCAGAAGCGGCACAGGGCAGGGAGCCACGCGTGCCCAGGGGTCTGTGGGGGGGAGGGCTGGGACCCCCTCTCCCAGGTGGGCCCTGCACTGGTGGCTGTGCCTGAGGCCACGCCCAGGGCAAGGCAGGCCTTTCTCTGCCACCTGGGCCCCCTGTGGGCCCTGGGGGGCTCCCTAAGCAAACAGCGGGGAGTGCAGGCGCGGCATTTGCATGGCCCCATGGAAATGTGCAGCCTGTTTGCAGACTCTCGAGCACACGCCCTCCGCAAACAAAGGAAGATCCTGTTCTAGGCGCTGGGAGACCCGGCCTGCCCTACACCCCCCACCCTGAGCCCTGCACCTCTGCTGGGCGCGGTCCTGGCATGCGAGTGGCTCTCGCTGCCCGCGCAGGGCCTCCCGCCAGGCCAGCCCAGCCTCACCGCTCAGACCAGCCTTCCGAGGCCTCTTCAGGAAGCCACTGTGCCAGGTGGGGACCACTCCACATTGCCCAGGTACAGGGGCCAGGGGCAGAGGGGCTCCGGGGAGGCTGAGGAGCCACCCACCCCACCCAGGCCCAAGGGCGCTGGCGTCCGAGGCCTGGCCGGGTCTGCTCCAGGCCCCGGGGCGATGGGAAGGGCCGGTGCTGTGTGGCTTCGGGCAGGACACCCAACCCTAGGGGCTCAGCTCCCCGACCTGTCCAAGGAGCTCCCCACGGAGCCGGTCGCTCCTGGGTCTTACTCTCAGTTCCGTCCCTCTGAGCGGAGCACTGAGGGGGCCCCGCCCTGCCTGCTCCGGACGGCAGGACCACCCAGTCCCCCAGCCCTGTAGGGGACCCTGTCCTGAACCCCGGATCCAGGGCATCTGGGACCTGGCGGGGTCAGGAGGGTGGGGGCCATGTCACCTCTGTGGCCTCGGCTCATCGGGCCTGGACGAGCCGCATCCTGCCCCCTCCAGCCTCCGTGGCTCCTCCACCCGCACCCCCCCAGCCCCCTGGGGTGTCCTGGGGCTACCCTGGTTCTGCTGGGGCGACCACCAGCCCTGGCTCAAACCCAACCCCTCCCGGGTCACGGGGCCCCTCTGCCCCTGCCCTGCTCTGCCGACCCCTCTCTGGGGCCCTGGTGGCAGCTGTCCTCCCGACAGAGGGCCGTGGGGGCCGGGGGGACCCAGGTCGGCGTGGCCAGGCCAGCACCTCGGCCAAGACTGTGTCCCTCTGTTAAAGGGCGTCACGTGTCCCCGCGGGCAGTGGGGGGTGGGGGGACACCTGTGCTCCGAGCCCACGTGCAGGGCCGGGGAGCAGAGGGCACTCGTCCGACGGGCAGGCGGGCCGGCGGCTCCCTCGCCCACGTCTGGGGTCCACGCCTGAGCCCGGCTGGGCGGCTTGGCCTGCCTGACCCTGCCTGCGGCCCTGGGCCCCGGCCCCCCATCCGGTGGGTCTGCGGCCGTGCAGTGGGGGGCCAGGTCTCCTGCATCCCTTCTTTACCCCCGTGCCACCCTGTCCTGGGGCCCAGGAGCAGGATGCTGCGCACGCGGACCCCGGAGGACGACAGCACGGTCTTGATAGACATGGCCCGGGGGGCGGCGAAGCGGGGCTCTTACGGGAGCACAGCCGGCGCCTTGCAGGTAACTCTCCGCCGGCCCGAGGCCGCCCGGGCTCCCGGCCACGGTCCGGGGCCGGCACAGGAGGGTCTCTGAGCCCTCACCCTCGGGGCGGACCCGGGGACCCCGAGGCCATGGCCTGTGCTGGCTGCCAGCCTCTGGGCGGGTGCCCCCGGACCAGCCGTGTCCCCGAGCTGCCTGGTGGTCACGGTTAGGCCACTGCCTGCCTCCCTGGCCCAAGGAACATGCAGAAGCCCCGGGGTGCCTAGGCCAGGCCGGGAGGCGCGGCGGGCAGGGCCAGGCCCCACCAGCGTGGGGGGGAGGGGGATGCAGGGCTCCCACCCCTGGCCCTGGGGGGCCACAGCCGCCCTGAGCGAGGCTGTCAGCGGGGCTCGCAGTTCCGGGCGGGAGGCTGGTGTGAAGGGTCCTCCTGGGCGTTCCCTCCCCGGCACCCCCCAGCTGGCAGCCGACAGCCAGGCCCCTTCCTGCTGCCCCACAGCACAGCCTCCAGGGGACACAAGGCCTCCCTCACCCAGGGCAGGGTTCCGCCCTCGGGGCACCTGACCACCTCTGGCCCGTCCACACGGCCCCTTAGCCCAGCTCCCTTCTCGCCCCTGGAGGCTGGCGGGGGCGGGCACCCTGGCCGCTGGTGCCGGCAAACCTGACCCTTGCCTACAGCCCCGGCCAGCTGTTCAGCCGCAGGGGGCGGGGGCGGGGCGGGGGGAGCTGCCTCACCCCTGCACAGGCCTGCAAGGCTCCGCCCGCACCGCTCCGGGCAGCCAGGTGGTCCAGGGAAGGGTGAGGGCGCGTCCTCACGGTCAGGGGCTTCCCTTCCAGCCGGATGGAGACCAGGCGGCCGCCTGCAGTGGGGTGAGCCCTGCCAAGCCCCGGATCGGTGAGCCCCTCCCGGAAACTGCCAGCCGTGCCCGTGTTGGTCCTGGGGGTGGGGACGCGGATGGGGCACCCACAGGCAGCAGCAGGTGAACGGCAGGTCTGGGCCGCCGCCCTCTGCGACCAGGCCGCTCCCCGCCTCTCCCGGCACTGTCTCCTGAACCAGCTCTGGTCCCAGCTGCCGTGCTGGGAGGTGGGGTGAGGACCTCGGGGTGAGCAGAGCGCCGCCTGGGGACGCAGCAGGAAAGGGGGACCCTCCTGGGGCCGGAGCAGGCGAGGGCGCTGGAGGGCAGAGGGCGCCCCCCTCCGGCTCCGGAGGCAGCTCGGAGCACCTCGCAGTCTTCTCTCTCCTCCCTCGTAGAGCTCCTGCCTCCTCCTGTCCCCACCCCCGCTCCTGCCTGCCCCGGGCCACCGTCCTCTCCCAGGGACGGCACCCACCGGGGCCCTCAGGGCCCACCTACCCCGCCCTGCCCTCCACGCAGCCCCAGGAAGACCCTTGTGAGTAGCAGACCCCTCACCTCCCACCCGGTGGGGTGGACACTGTTGAAGCCACAACGGCGACCAAAACAGAAACTACCAAGTGCTGAGGAGGAGGCAGAGAACCGGGGACCCCCACGCACTGCCCGGGGGAGACCGTGGGGGGGTTCCTCCAAAAATCAAACGTAGAGTCGCCGGGTGACCAAGCACCCACACGTCTGGAGGCGCACCCCGAAGGGCCCGTGATGAGCGTGTGGGCTGCTTCCACCGGGGGCGCTGGTGTGGTAACACCCCCGCGAATGCCCACGGGCCCGGTGTTGCGTGGACGTAAGGGATCCTCTTTCCTGCGAGTGCAGTCGCCGGGTCGCACGGAGCTCAGAGTGTCCCGTTCTGAGGAACCGCCGAGCTGTCTCCCAGGGCGCGGGCCCACTTCGCCCGCGGCCCGCAGCGCCCGGGGCTGCGGCCCCTCCGCCGCCGCCGGCGCTCGTTGTCGCCTCGAGGGCGGCCCCCAGTGGGCGCCTGGTGGCGGTGCTCTGCGGTTGGATCTGCAACGTGCGAGTGACGGACGACTCGCGGCGTCTCCCCTCGGGCTCGCCGGCCCGTGTCACCCATCTCCTTTAGGGCAAAGTCTATTTAAACCGTTGCCGGTTTTAAAATCGGGCTGCCTTTTCATTAAGTCGTAAGGCTCTTCAGGTGTTCTGGACACCAGTCCCTCGTCAGGTACCTGATCGGCAGGTGTATCTTCCTTCCGCCCTGTGGGGTGGTCTCTCGCTTCCCTGACGGTGCCCTTGGACCCATATAGGTTTCTAATTTTGACAAAACCCAACTTAGCCGTAGTCCCTTTTATTGCTGTGCTCTTGGTGCCTTATCTAAGAAACGGGGCCCTGGAATTCACAACTGTGCTTTTTCCTGACAGCATTTTCATTTCAGTTCTTTTTCCCCCTCCAAGTAGGTCCACAGCTCTGAGTATGCAAAACACCGAGTTTGTTCTTGTATTATTTATTTATTAATTATTGTGTTGTCTTTTTCCATATGAACAACTGTAAACCTACTTTGAAACTTTTTATTTACTTATTTTTAGAGAGAGAGAAAGGGAGGGAGAAAGGGAGAGAAACATCCGTGTGCGGTCGCCTCTCGTGGGCCCCCTCCTGGGGGCCTGGCCCGCAGCCCAGGCCTCGGCCCCAGCTGGGAATCGAACCGGCGGCCCTTTGGTTCGCAGGCCGGTGCTCCATCCACTGAGCCCCACCTTCTCGTTCTAGTTCTTATTGTTGGTTCTGTGACCTTCAGCAAGTGAGCTCAGCCCCTCTTTGTGCCGACCCTTGCGGGCGGCGTGAGACAAGGCCCAAATCATGCTGTGCCTACGGCCGCCCACCTGTCCCCACACCGCTGGCTGAAGTCACTGCTTTGGTTTTTGTTTTCCGTTGAACTGTGTTGGCCCCTTTGTAAAAAGTGTGCCATAAATATATGGCTTTATTTTCAGAATCTCAAATATATTTTTTGATCTGTGTGTCTGTCCCTATGCAAGTACTGCACTGTCTTTATTTTACTACCTTTGCAGGGAGCCTTGAAATTAAAAAACGTGAACTGTACAACCCTGTTCTTCTTTTCCTACATTGTTCAATCTTCTGGAGCTCATGGGTTTCCATAGGAACCTCAAACTTGCCAATTTACGTGGAAAAGCAAAGCCAGCCGGGCGCCGCCGGGAGCGGCGCTGCACCAAGGCTTGGTCGTGGGGCGTTGAGTCCCCTCACGTGACGCTCACGTGCACAGGGCGTCTTTGCATTTATTTAACTCTTATTCAATTATTTCAACCACGTTTGGTAGTTTTCAATTCTTGCACATTGTTGGTTAAGTTTGTTCCTTTTTGGATGCTGTTGTGCGTAGCGTTATTTTTCTTCGTTCCATTTTTGGCTCGTTTGTTGCTAGTGTATGGAAATACAATTGATTGTTGTGTGTTGCTCTTGTATCTGGCAACCTTGCCGAACCTGTTATTAGTTCTGACAGTCTTTGTAGTGAATTCCTTTGGATTTTCCTTATACAAGATCATGTCCTCTGTAAATGGGTCACTTCACCTTGGCATTTAATTCTGTGTCTGTCCTTGGCAATGAGCCCACTCTTCTCGCTCACCGGTACTTCCTCCGAGAGTCTGGCCCCCCGTGTTCCCAGCAGAGCAGGACTGCGTCCCCCGCACTGTGATCGCTGGACAAGGCCTCCGTTCAGCCTCATCTCTGAAGCGCGTTTCCACGGAAGAGAATTTCAGGGTGCGGCATTCTCCCCAGCGCCTTAAAGGTGCTGCTGTTCTAGTGCCTTTCAGCTTCCGTGGCTTCATTGAGAAAGCAGGTGTCTATATTCTTGTTGTTCCCGGAAAAACAATGTGCTGGTTCTCCCCGTTATTCCGCGGTACAGCACAGCGCACCGGCCGTGCCTCCCTGGCTGCAGGTTCTTTATCGTCCTGCAGGAAACACTGAGATTTTGGATTCTTTAGGTGGATTTCTTTGATCAGATTTTAAAATTCTTCACCATTTTTCTTCAGAGAGTGCTTCTTTCCCGCTCTCTCCTTCTGGTTCGGGATGACAGTGTGTTGGGCCCTTTGACCACGACCCCACCCTCTGGTACAGAGAGCTCGGCCAGTTGTTCAAGCCCTTGGCTCCTACTTCCCACCAGGAGCCTGGCTGTCCTGGCTGGGATGCGGCAGCTCTGCCCCAGGCTGGCTCCCCGAGGTAGCCTGTCCCCCCTGCCTCTGTGCCTGTTGGTTCCCGGCAGACTTCGTCCTTGTTTGGGAGGAAGACCTGAGGCTGGATCAGCAGCAGGACAGCACCACCCGGGACAAGACCCGCACACACAGGGCCTGGCGGGAGACCTTCCTGGATAACCTTCGAGCAGCTGGGCTGCACGTGGACCAGGTACATGGGCTTCGTTGTGGGGAGGGCCCTGGGCCCGTGTCTACAAGGCCTGAGAGACCCGGAGTGGTGCTGGGTGCCCCTGCCCCAGGTGAAATAGCAACGCGTCGTACCAACTGAGCTCACTCACGGAAGCCAGAGCCCTTCCGATTCGCCCAGAAATTCAGCAGCATTTTCCCCGTTGTTCACCTTTCCCGCCTCCAACATCAGAGTTCCTGTCGAGGCATGACATTTGTCATTAGACCTCTTGTGTGCTTGTATGATTTAACACCCACACTCCCTTCCACGGGCACAATGTCAAATGGAATAGTTGGTCTCACTTCCACTGCAGGGAGCGTGAGAAGGCAGGAAGGAGCCGCGCGGTGCCTGCGGGTGGCGGGCGCGGGCGCGGGTGGGCAGCACATGGGGATCGGGCGCGGGGCTCCAGCTCCGCCTTGCCTGCCGCCGTCCAGGTCCCTGCACGGTCCGCCCTGCCTCCCGACCAGCTCCTCGGTCCCCAGGGACAGGCTCCGCCGCAGGCGCCTGGCCTCCTCCCAGCCCCCAAGTAATCAGCCCGTTACGTTAATCACATTCTTGGATTCCTTTCTCACTGGGGCACCAATTAATGGTGCAGCTTGGCTTCTTTTTGAACTTGGTAAGATGGAGTCGTGCTCTCTGTGACTCTCCCAGACGTCACACTTGTGAGACGTCCACGTCGCGGAGCAGCTGCTGCCGGGCCACTGTCTGCGCTTGGAGAGCCGCACTGTGTGACCCTGCCACTGTGTGCTTCTCTGCACGGACGTTTGCCTGCCCCCGGTTTGGGGATGGCACGAAAACTGGCGGCCGTAAATTCTCACCGGTGTACGTGTGTCCCGTGCCCGGGCGCAGGAACTTCTGAGGGCAGAGGTGCTGGCCTGCCCTGTGTGTGTGTGTGTGTGTGTGTGTGTGTGTGTGTGTGTCCCCGTGTGTGTGTGTGTCCGCCTGCTCCCCAGGCCGTGACCTGAGGTGCACCCCTGTCAGCTGCGGGCAACTTCTTGGCACCTGGTTGTGTTGCACCTGGCGGGAGGTGGCAGCTCGGTGAGGTTTTAATTTGCATTCTCTCTGATTCCTCAGTAGGCTGAGCAGTTTTGCATGTTTATGAGTCGTTCATATTTCCAACACGTGCATACTTCCCCATTTACTTGTATAACAAACGTATTCGCCCGGAGGTTTGTCAGGGCCCAGAAGCCCGTTCAGCATCTGAGAGCCGGAAACCGCGCTGCCGGCGGAGGGAAGCCGGGGGCGGGGCTGCTTGCGTCGGGGCTCTGGGCATGGGGGAGCCCTCGGCCGGGGCAGGTTTGCCGTCATGGGGGCGTGGCGGACGCCGCCCTGGCAGCCTGGGGCCCTCGCTACCGACGGACTGGCCTCAGATTGGGCGCAGGCTCCCCGAGCGCGGCTCTCAGAGGCTCAGCCACAGACGCAGCCTCAGGCCCGATCATGCATCCAGCAGGTTTAAAACCAAGCTGGGTGGCTGTTACCACGGCTACAGAAACACCTGCCTTTTCCTAAAAGTGTGAATGGACACGCACATGGCCACACAGCCCTGTGCACTCAAACGCACACTCACAGGTGTGCACACACATGCCCACACGTGTGCCCTCAGGCTCTCATGTCGCCCTGGTCCCGCAGCGCCACGTCCGCGGCGAGCGCAGCGCCGTGCACTACGTCCTCCTCAGCGCCCCCTGGCCTGTGCTCTGCTACTACGCCGAAGACCTGCGCCTGAGGCTGCCCCTGCAGGTACCGGGGCGCGTGGGGTACGGAGAGGCCTGGGGGCTCCCCTGCCCAGGGTGACTCGTGGCTGTGTCCCCCATGCCGGCTCCAGTGTCCAGTGCAGATGCCCTGGGCCTGCAGCTCCACACCCACCAGGCTGCCCCCGAGGGAGCGGGAGGGGCAGCCCCAGCCTGGGGGGCAAAGGGAGGGGGGCAGCAAGTGACCTCAGGATGCCATGCCTGGGGCTTCTCTGCCACCTACTCTGGCTCCCTTTGACCATGATGGCCTTTGGTGGACAAAGGAACATGTGCTACCGTCTGTCCCTCCCTGCCCTGCCGGCCTCTGGGCCTCAAGTGGACGAGCTGCCAGCCCTAGTGCCCAGGCCTGAGGCCGGAAGGGACTCCCCGGTCCCTGGCTGAGCCCTTCCCTGGGGCTCTGTTTGCAAACCCACGCCCCCCACCCAGTGCGTGGCATCCACCGCTCAGGGCCGACGGTCCCTTCCAGGAGTTGCCCAGCCAGGCCAGCAACTGGTCGGCCAACCTGCTGGAGTGGCTGGGTGTCCCCAACACCCTGCTGCAGGACGTGCCTGACGCGCCACCTGAGTATTACTCCTGCCAGTTCAAAGCGAGCAAGCTGTCCAGGTGAGGGTGGTGCCGGGGCTGGGGTCGGGCTGGCTCGACCCCGCGCTCCCCCAACCGTCTCCCTCCCGGAGCTTTCCAACGAGGGGCAGAGCGGCCCGCGGGCAGCTTCGGCCACATCGGCAGGACAGGCAGGCTGTGCTGCGGAGCGTGTGCTCCCCAGCCTCAGCGGCTGGGCCCACGGCCCATTCCCTGTGCAGCTCCGCGTCCAGGGCTTGGCCCAGTGTGTCACACAGATGCCCAGCACGCGGGGGGCGCCCTGTCCAGGCGCAGAGGCACCGGTGCGTGCGACCGGCAGGAAAGCCCCGCCACGGTCTTGCTGCCCACGCAGGGCGCACCCCCTGACCCTTGGCCCTGCTCACGGGGCTCCCCGAGATTCCGGCGTCCGAGGGAGGGCCGTCCGGCGGAGCCCCGTCCACACAGGCCTCCCCCCAGCACTGCCCGTGGGCGCCTGCGGTCCCGCGCTCAGCGCTCCTCGGCCCGCCTGCTGCTCCCGCACGTCCCGGCCCCCTGTCGGCCGCTCTCTGGGGGTGGGGGACGTCGATGACCACGTCCTGTGGCCGCCTGCCTCCAGAAAGCAAAGGGCAGAAAGGGGACTTGATTGTACCCCAGGGGAAAAGGGCCAGGGGCTGCTCCCCAGCGGGGCGGGCGCAGGGGCGGGGGGAGGCGGTCAGGGTGTGCGTGCCTGTCCCCGCCTCCTGGCTCTGCTGCACGGTCCACACGCCCGCAGGTTCCTCGGGAGCGACAACCAGGACACCTTCTTCACCTGCACCCAAAGGCACCAGATTGTGAGTGGGCCCCCCCCCGCCCCCATGCTCTGACCAGGCCTGAGGAGCCTGCCGGCCCCAGACCCCCAGCCCCAGGTCTGGGCACAGGAAAGCTCCCCTGTTGCTGGAGCGCCGAGGGCGGGCCGGGGGCCAGAGACGCGGGGGCTGCCACACCTCGCTGCACTCGGTCGGGGTCCTGCTCAGCGCCCCTGCGGGACCCGGCCCCTAGCGCCCGGAATGGATGTCCCGGGTACGGACTCGTGGGACAGCACAGCTGCTGGTCAACGAGAAAGGGAGCCAAGGGCCCGGGCATCGTCCCCGAGAAGGACGTTGTCCTGGAGCCGGGCCGCCCCAGGGCCCGTGACAGCTCGGGGCGAGGACAGGCCTGCCCGGGCCAGGCCCCCGCGGGCCACCCGCTGGAGGCGGACCCTGCCCGGAGCGGGGCCCAGAGCGCTGTGCAATGCCAGGGCCAGGGGTCAGACCCAGGCCCGACTCCAGCGCGCCCCTGGCCCGGCCAAGCGCTCGGGGTTGCGCTGTGAGGGTGGCCGTGGCGCCGCGGGGGTGCAGCGTGCGCGAGCCGGGCCAGGGGTGGCCGTGAGGAAGCACCCTCCTCCTCTGTCCCCGGAGGGCTGCGGGCGGCTGTTCCTGGGCTCAGCCCAGGGCGGGCAGGCCAGGGTGTCCCCGCCCTACCATCACGTGACAGGTGACCAGCGCCCGCCCCCTCCACCCCCAGCTGTTCGAGGTCCTGGCCAAGACCCCCTACGGCCACGAGAAGAGAGGCCTCTTTGGGATTGAACAGCTGCTGTCACAGGGGGTCTTCAGGGCAGCCTTTCCCCTGCACGAGGTGCGTCCCCGGGGCTGGCGGGCCCAGGCCGTGGGGTGAGTTCCCCCAGGAGAGGGTCCAGCCGTCCACCCTCACCAGGGGCTGTGGGGGCAGCTGCGGCCAGACAGGCAGGCTGCTGGGGGGCAGCACACACTCTCGGTGTGGCCAGGTGCTGTCCCCTGCCCCACCCCAGGCCCCGCCGCTCCGTTGTCTTCACGGGCAGCTTCCCTTTCTGGGAAGACAGTGGGGTCCCCCGTGCTCCCTGCAAAGCTGGGTAAACTGAGGCAGTGGAGGGGTGCTCACCGCCATCCTGAAAAGGTGCCCTCCGTGGGGTGTGGAGGCCGTTGACAGGCACGGCCGCTCACCAGGCCTCGGGGCTGCAGGACGGGCATCGCACCTGAGGCCGTGCAGGGCAATGGCTGCCCCGCCTCTGGCCAGGACCCGGGAGCACAGCCCGGCACGGCTGGCCTCGCTGGCTCAGCCGTCAGGGGGGCCGCACAGCACCAGGCTGCAGAAGCCCACCCAGACCCACCCTGGGCCGCCACCGCAGCCGCGGCTCCTGCCGGGGCCCCGGAGGCTGAGGCGCCCAGCTCAGATGTCCCCGCCCAGACAGGCCGTCCCAGACCCCTGGGTCCCGACGTTGCTTGGTCGCCCTCAAGCGGCCGCCCTGAGTCCTAGACGCTGGCACCTGGGGCCCCGCCCAGCTGCAGCCCTGCGCCTGGCCCCGCCCACCGGCTTCTCGTCCCCAGGGCCCCTATACATTGCCCCCAGAGGGCACGCAGACCCTCAACCAGCGGCAGATCCTGTTCTGGCACTGGGCCCGCTGGCGCACGTGGCACAAGTACCAGCCCCTGGACCACGTGCGCAGGTACTTCGGGGAGAAGGTGGCCCTCTACTTCGCCTGGCTCGGTGAGTCCTGCCCCGGGCCGGGCCCTGGCTTGGTCATCAGGCAACAGCCGGCCCCTCAGCCGCGCCTCCAGCGAGGAGCAGGCAGGGGGCTGGCCCCGAGGGCGGCCCCTCCCAGGCCGGCGCAGCCCCATCCGTAAGGCAGCTGAGCACCCAGCTCCGCTGGCCTCCTGACGTCCCGGGGAGAGACTGTGACCCCCTCCTGCAGGCCCACTCCCCACCTGCCTCCCACCCCCAAGTCCCTGGCCCACCAGACGCGGCCCTCGAGGCCCCGGACGGCGTGGCGGGGGCTGCAGGGGCCAGGACGACAGGGCTGCCAGGGGAGACCCCAAGGACTGTCCCCTCATGCCTGCCTCCCAGGCGGCCCAGCCCGCAGCGGGTCCCCAGGCCCATCCAGGTCGCTGACCGCTGACTCCTGGGGTCCCCCGCGGGGTCCCCTCTGCAGGGTTCTACACAGGCTGGCTCCTGCCCGCGGCCGTGGTGGGCGCCCTGGTGTTCCTGGTGGGCTGCTTCCTGGTGTCCTCGGACACACCCACGTAAGCACCCCCTCCCCTCGCCCCAGGCCTCACCCTGTGTCTCGAGGGCTGGGGGGGCCGCACGTGCCGAGCTGGGGCTGAAGGTGAGCCCTGAGTATGTCCCTGCCTTCAGGGATGCCCCAGAGGGCCCTGTGGACCTGCGGGGAGGATGGCAGGTACAGGGGTGCTCCCAAGACTGACAGACAGATGTGCCCCCACGCGGACACGGTTGGACATGCCTGGTCCCAGAGTGACGCGGGCGGACAGGCGCGCCCCCGGGCGGACGGTTGTGCTCTGGGCTAGTTTTACTGGCGCTCACCCTTCTTTCTTGCAATAGCGTAAACTTTTCTTACAATAAACACACGATGGGGCTTGAGTTTCACTTTATTACGGAGCTGAAATTTCAAAACATCATCTCAAACTTTATCACTGCACGTATTTAGAGCAACACTGGGCAGGCAAGGGCACGCGGGGCGGGGGGCCGGCGGGGGCGCCCCGCTCCAGCACCTCTTCTGCTCTGAAGGCAGGAGCTGTGCGGCAGCGCCGACGGCTTCGAGATGTGCCCGCTCTGCCCAGACTGCCCCTTCTGGCCGCTCTCCAGCGTGTGCCCCCTGGTCCAGGTAGGAGGCGGTGGGTGGGGGGCAGACGGCAGCTCCCGGGGTCTGCTGCCGCCCCATCCGGGACCGGGCTCCGTGGGGACGTCCCTGCCTGGAGCGGGGCTGTGACTGAGGCCCACCTCGGTGGACACGGGCCGTTAGTGTTGTAGCAGTTACTGTGTATCGCTAACAAGGTCAACTGGGAGACTCCCAAGGCAGACCCTGCCGGAAGCTCCTGGGAGTCCTTGGGCCTCGCAGGACCCCCCGCGGCCCAGCACCCGTGGCTGTCGGCTTTCCCACGGGGACAGCGACTCTGCCCGAGTCCCATACACACACACAGCCGGGGGCCCTGGGTGCAAAGTTGGGCACACAGACCAGACACCCCTTTGACACACTCCTGGGCACCCTTCTGAACCAGTTTCCTAGGGGGCTGCTCTAACAAGTCACAGCCGGGCGCTGGACACAGCAGAAACGACTGTCCCACAGCCCCAGAGGCCGGAACCCAGCACCCAGGGGTCGGCAGAGCAAGCTCCTCCTGGGGTCTGCCCCGTGCCTCACCCCTCCTCCTGGTGGCTGCATCCTCTCGATCTTTGCCTCTGTGTCCGCGTGGCCTTTCCCTCTGCACATCTGTCTGTCTCTTCTGCCACGGGACTCAGGGCCCCTGAGGCAGGTGCCCTCACATAGAAACCCACCTTAATTACACATGCAGTGGCCCTTATTCCAGAGAAGCTTACGTTCTGAGGTCCAGGTGGGTCGTAGCGATTCAATCCACTACGATCCACCTTGTGGCTCCCAAAACTTGACGTCCATCCCACGTGCAGAATACGTTCACCCCAACCCAGCACCTCCAACATTCCAAACACATCACAGCATTAGCTCTAAGCCCAAACAGCTCCACACTGACAGCTCAGGAAGCCCCGAAGGGTACCTGAATCCCCTAAGTCGTTGTGGGTGAGACAGGGGCGCGGCCGCGCTCGGGCGCAGTCGCGCTCGGGCGCAGCGAGTGTGGCCCTGCCCACCCGCCCGCAGGCCGGCCGGCTGTTCGACCACGGAGGCACGGTCTTCTTCAGCGTGTTCATGGCGCTGTGGGCCGTGCTGCTGCTGGAGTACTGGAAGCGGAAGGGCGCCACGCTGGCCTACCGCTGGGGCTGCTCTGACTACGAGGGCATCGAGGTGGGTCGGCCCCCAGCCCGCGGCCCCCGCCCGCGCGGCCCCCGCTGAGCCCCGGTTTCCCTCCAGGAGAGGCCGCGGCCCCAGTTTGCCGTCATGGCTCCCGCGACAGCCCTGAACCCCATCACGGGCGTGGAGGAGCCCTACTTCCCCAAGGGCAGCTACGTGCGCCGCGTGCTGGCCGGGTCCGTGCTGGTGCTGATGATGGTGAGCGGCCCCCCTCCACCGCGCCCTTTCCTCCTGAGCTGGGCAGGGTGGCGGCTGCGCCCCCTGCCCCTGGAACCCACAAGACCCCTGCTGTCCCAGGGAGGCCCCTGTGGGCCTGGGCTCCGGGGAGGGGCCAGGCCGCGGGGTGTGGACTGTAAGACACAGCCGTGCACGGGCTGGGGTTCCCCACAGATATGGGCCTGGGGTGCCCTCACGCATCGGGGCCCCCGGCATGCGGCTCCTGCAGCCCGAGGGGCTTCCTAGCGGGACCCTGCCTCCCCTTCCAAGATGCCAGGAATGCCCAGGGTTTGGCTGGAGGGAGGGCAGGGCAGGCGCTGGCTGGCTGGTTCTCAGCACTTGGGGCAAGAACGCCAGTGGCCCCGTGGGCACCCAGGTATTGTCCACCCTGTGATTCTAAGAGGCCTCCCACCCCACCCCCGCTTCCCCTCCTGGTGCCCCTACAACCCACCGGCAGAGGCACGGAGCACAGCCGGGTCTGCGGGCGGGACCGTGGCCTGCGGGCGCCGGGGCTCACGCAGGGGTCGCCGTAGGTGGCCGTGGTGGTTGTGTGCCTGGTGTCCCTCATCCTGTACCGCGCCGTCACAGCCATGCTGGTGTCCAAGGCGGACCACACCCTCCTGGCGGCCTGGGTGAGCCTCTGCCGCCGGCTGCTCCCGTCGGGCAGGGCAGCTCGGGACCACGCCCGGCGCCGGCTCTGACCGCCCTCTGTCCCAGGCGATGCGCATCGCCAGCTTCACAGGCTCCGTGGTGAACCTGGTGTTCATCCTCATCCTCTCCAAGGCCTATGTGTCCTTGGCCCACGTCCTGACAAGATGGGGTGAGTGGCCAAGGCCGGGCGCTGCCCCGGAACTGCCCCAGCCCCGCCGCCCGAGGCAGACCGACAGGGGCCTCGTGTCTGAGTCAGACACAGAGGGCGCATGGGCCCCGCCCCCCGGGGGGAGCCTGGTCCTGCACCAGAGCCCTCGCCGCCGAGCTCCCCGGCGTGGGGGGTGTCTCGGGCGACGGGGGACAGCTGCGGAGGAAGCGCCTCCTTTCCCTTCACCCACTCACCCTCCCCTGCTCCCCACCCCGCCTGCCTCACCCCCCCATTTCCCCAGGACAAACCTCAGTGACCCAACCCGCTCATCCCACAACCGCTCCCTCGGCCGCCCTGGTCTGGGAGCGTGGCCGAGAGCTCAGCGTCCACCGGGAGGGGGGCCTTCGGGTGGGTGGGTGTCCAGGGAGCCCCCGAGTATTTCTGCAACAGCAGGGCGTGTGGGCGCTGTTTCTGGCCTCGGGTGTCCCCTCCGACGTGCCCTTCCTCCGTCTCAGCCTCACCCCAGCCCCGGCTGCCCCCGAGCCCCGCCTCTTCGTTCTGGGATGCGGTTGGCCAGAGCCTGAGGCAGGCCGCGCGTGCCCCGTCCTGGATGGACCTCTGTGGGCCCAGGGCGACGCAGCCCTTCCTCCACCCGGGAGCGGGGGAGCTGGTCTCACAGCGCGGCCTGTCTGCACAGAGATGCACCGGACGCAGAGCAGGTTCGAGGACGCCTTCACCCTCAAGGTGTTTGTCTTCCAGTTCGTCAACTTCTACTCCTCGCCCATCTACATCGCCTTCTTCAAGGGCCGGTCAGTGCCCCCTGCACCCCCCGTGGGGCGCCGGGCACGTGCCCTCCAAGATGCACACAGAGGGCGGGGACGGTGGCCCAGGAGGCCTGCGGGTGGCGGCTGTCCTGGGCCGAGGCCCCGGGGCAGAGCCGGGGCCCGGGTCCCCCTCGGGGTTCCCGCAGGTCCGGTGTGGGCAGCAGGGAGGCATAGCGTGGGCAGGGAGCCAGGCAGCACCCCCTCATTCAAGGCTTTGGGACCTTCATTTCCTCTAGGTTTGTGGGGTACCCAGGCAGCTACCACACTTTGCTTGGGGTCCGCAACGAGGAGGTGAGTGTCCGTCAAAGCCTTAATTTGCAGGGGTTCCTGGGGCCTGCACCCCAGAGTCCTCGCTGTACTCTGGACCCCCACCCTGCACAGCGCCCACAAAACACAACCCGTGTCCTCACGACTGACACCGTTAGCCCCAGCCCTTGCTCAGAACTCTCCTGCAGACACCCAGGCTGACGAGGGTCACTGGGCGGGGCCCGCTGTGTCCCCGGCCCTGGCCCTGCCCCCACGCCGCAGGCCCACCGTGGGGAGCGGCTGGAGACCGCCCTGTGCACCTGGCTCCCCCTGGACGAGGGTGCAGGCTAGGGGGCCCGACTGGTCCGGGGGGCCTCTGGGTGGGGCCCCGGCAGCTCCTGCTGGGTGCCACTCCTGGGAGACCCTCTCCTCTCTGACCAGAGGCCCTGTCCTCCCCGCGGGCCTGGGTGACCGCCCTGCCCCCCCACGATGGCCTGGGAGGCGCCACCCCTGAGGAACTCCCTTTATTTTCACACGGCAGGAAGGGGTGCTTCAGGGACCGGGCAGTGGGACCCCAGCTCAGGGGCTGTCAGTCCTGAGGGAAAGCCCCCAACCCCTGGCTTAAGCAAAAAATGGGGTGCTGCTGCTCCTGCGCGGAGGCCAGTCCAGCGCTGCTGGTCTGGGGGGCTGGGTGCAGGGGTCCGAGCGAGGCTGACCTGCTCCTCGCGCCCCGGGGGGCCCGACGCCCCGACAGCACAGGCCGACGCCATCCCCTGGTACCCCGTGCGAGGTGTGCTGCCCCCGGAGCCCCCCTGAGAAGGCCCTGGGGCGCCTCCCCTCCGCTGCACCTGCTGTGGCTGCAGGGCGGGTCCTCCTGGAGCAACAGGCCAGCGTCAGCTCCCCGTGGGTCCCCAAAGGAACGCTGGGGCGCCACACAGTGGCGGCACTGTCCACCAGGTGGACCTTGGGAAATAGTCGGGGCTGAGGCGAGGTCTGGGGGCAGGTCTGTGCCGTCCGCAAGGCCCCCACAGCGTGTCTGATGAAGGGTGGGGCAAGGCCGGGGCCCTCTTCCAGGCCAAGGAGGCCCGGGCCCCAGGCCGCACCCGCGCTGACCGGGGCTGGCTCTGCAGTGTGCGGCCGGGGGCTGCCTCATCGAGCTGGCTCAGGAGCTCCTGGTCATCATGGTGGGCAAGCAAATCATCAACAACATGCAGGAGATTCTCATCCCGTGAGTCCCCTGCCCGCCCTGTGCCGATCCAGGGACCCGGAAACCCTGGGGCTCGAGTGTGTCTTGGGCAGCCCAGTCCCAGCCTCCTGGGCTGGACGGCCTCACTGCCAGGGGTGGGAGGGTCTGCCCAACCGTCCCCCCTGCCGTGGGCTCTGTCGGGGAGCAGGCCTGCTCCTCCCGCAGCCCGTGGCCGGGTGCCCGGCAGCACCCAGCCAAGGCAGCAGTGGGGGGGGTCTCCATCCAGGCAACTAGGCCCCTATCAGGCCAGAGCCCTTGCAGCGGCTCCTCGGGGCAGGGCCCCCCCTGGACAGCCTCCCACTGCCCCGCCCACCTGCTGCCCCTGAGGCTTGGAGACCCCTGGGCCCTGGGAGCTGTGGCCATGGGGCCCTGGACAACGCCCATCCCTCTTCGGGTGCAGCTGGTGCTGAGCAGCTGAGTTCAAGGAGACGGCGAGTCTGGGTGCTGCTGCTGCCTAGTGGGGGAGGGGCTGGATGAGTGATGGCAAAGCCACACACACACATACACGCCCCGACACACGACACTGCAACATGCACATGTGCCCCACATGTGACAAAATGTGCGTAACCCCGCACACAACAGTAACACACGATTCCCACATGGGACTGCAACAGACACACGTGCCTCGTAAATGACAAAGCAACACAGCACACACGCCCCTCATGGCTCCGCGACCGTCCCCATCTGCTCCCCTCCACGCTGGCATCGCTCTTGGTGCCTCCTTGCGTTTCCCAAACCTTCCCTGAGCGATGGTGACTGTCGGGGGTCAGGGGGGTGCTGCAGGGGAGCTGGGGGCAGGGCTGCCCCACCGCAGCGCCTGGCCCAGACCCGCCCCTGCCGCCCGCAAACTGCAGACCAGCCAGGGCGCAGGGTGAGGAGCCAGCGCCGCCCTCCCGGGTGCTTCCACCTCCAGGAAGCTGCAGGGCTGGTGGCAGCAGTTCCGGCTTCACTCCAAGAGGAGGAAGGCGGGGGCTGCGGGGGCTTTCGCGGCATCGGCCGCCAGCCGGCCGCCCTGGGAGGCGGACTACGAGCTCCTGCCCTACGAGGGCCTGTTCAACGAGTACCTCGAAATGGGTAGGTGCCCCGGTGGCCTCCAGCCTCAGAGCCCACTGTCTACCTCTCCCCTGAAACGTGGCGACGTGGGTGGGGACAGAGGGTCGCTGGGGGAGCCGGGCCTGCGCATGGTCTGGGCCGGACTTGTGGGGGTCACCGTGGGGAGCGCCCAAGAGGCTGGCTGGGTTCAGGGGCTGGGAAGAGGCCCTGGGGCAGTTCGGGGGGGCTCTCCTGGAGTGACCTTAAAGCCCCGACCCCGGAACGCATCTGTTAGAGCCCCCGTCAGTCGGGAGCTAGGAAAGAAGCGGGCTGCCCCGGAGGCCAGGCCCTCGGGGTGGGGACCACCGCCCCTCTGAGACAGGATGCACCAGGGAGGCGGAGGGCCTCAGGCGCCCCGGCCGCTGCGGGCCAGTCTGGGCGTTGTTCCAGAAACTTTCTCGACGCCCACACTCGTTGCTGGGCTCCCCCAGGCCCCGCCGGGGCAGCCCTGCACGGGGCTGTGGGAGGGCAGGCCCGTCCCCGACGCCGCTGTGGTCCCTGCAGCCCAGGGTCCGGCTCTGAGACCCCCCGCGCACTTGTCAGGGGAAGTGCTGCGCCTGAGCCACACACTTCACGCTGGGCTCCCCGGCAGCCACAGCAAAGGGGGCGGCAGGGGCGGCGCGGGTGCCTGGGTAACAGGAAGCTCAGAGGCCTTCCATCCATGGGAGTGGGGGGACCTTGTGTGCCCTGCGCCACCGCACAGCGGGCCGCAGGGCCCCAGGCTCCGCTTAGGAATCTCGCGGAGCGCCCAGGAGCCCCTCGGCCGGAGCCGCGCACAGCCGGGAGCTGCAGTCCGGGCCGTCCGGGGGCTGAGTCTGCGGGGCGAGCCAGCGCAGAAGCCGGCGTGGCCGGGAGGGGGCGGGTCCGACAGTGACGCCGTGCCCTCAGTGCTGCAGTTTGGCTTCGTCACCATCTTCGTGGCCGCCTGTCCGCTGGCGCCGCTCTTCGCGCTGCTCAACAACTGGGTGGAGATCCGCCTGGACGCGCGCAAGTTCGTGTGCGAGCGCCGGCGCCCGGTGGCCGAGCGCGCGCAGGACATCGGCATCTGGTTCCCGATCCTGGCGGGCATCACGCACCTGGCCGTCACCAGCAACGTGAGCGCCGGGGGCGTGGGGGGCGGGGGTCCCGCGGGGGCGGGGCTCCCGCTCACGCGGCCCCGCGCGCAGGCCCTGCTGCTGGCCTTCTCGTCCGACTTCCTGCCGCGCACCTACTACCGCTGGACCCGCGCCAGCGACCTGCGCGGCTTCGTCAACTTCACGCTGGCGCACGCCCCGCCCGCCTTCGCCGCGGCGCACAACCGCACGTGCAGGTGAGGCCGCCCGGGGCCGCGCGGGCCGCGCGGGGCTGAGGCCTGGCGGGGGCGGTGGCGCCCGTGGGCCCGTGGCCTGCGCTTCTGGCCTCGGACGGGCCACTGGCTGTGGGACTCGGGGACGCGGGGACAAGGGGGACAAGGGGAGAAGACCGGGGTGGGGGCTGGGATTACCCACCGTCCTCGTCTCCGGGGCGGGTCGAAGTTTTGAAAATCTGAGCGTACGGCCCGCCCAGTTGAAGACCATGGTGTCGGTCTCATTTTTCTAGTTCGTCTTCAGTCGACTTTGGTGATTTTTTTTTTTTTTTGACAGAAAACTCAGCTGAACTTTAAAACTTAATGACACAAATTATCCATAATATTCCTCACGATTTTCTCCGGCTCTGCTGTTTGTACTACGGCCGCACTTGCTTGCGGGATAAAGTTTGTGTCTTTACTTTTAAAAAATCAATCTTCCGGAGACGAACCCTTAACGCCTTCGTTTTCAGTCTTTCCTGGGTTAACAAACAAGTTCCTGTCTCTGCATTTTGTTTTTAAAAAGTGTTTTAGATTTTATTTATTTTTAGAGAGCGGGGAAGGGAGGGGCCGGAGAGGGAGAGAGACATCCACGTGTGTTGCCTCTCGCGCGCCCCCTGCCGGACCGGCGCGCAGCCCACGCACGTGCCCTGACCGGGAATCGAACCGGCGACCCTCTGGGTCGCAGGCCGGCGCTCAGTCCCCTGAGCCGCACCAGCCGGGTCGTCCAAGTAAATTCTGTCGGCTACTTAAAAACAAGAAAAAGAAAATCATTGATTCTGATTTAATTGCCCGGACGACAGAAAACCAGACAGTTGAGATGTAAATCACATTGTTGAGTCGTCTTCATGATCTGGTTGCAAAGGATTTTGCGTGTTTCAGGCAAACTTGAAGATACTTTTTTCATTGTCAATTCTGGAGCAAGGGTTAGTCTATAGACACTGTTAGGCCAGGATTCTTAATGTTCTTGTTCGGGTTTTCATGCCCCCCGCCCCGCCCCCGCTTTCTTTTTCAAAGCTTATTCGTTCTATCAGATTCTGACAGAGGTGAGTTAAAATCTTCCCAGAAATGTAAGAGGTTATTGGTTGTGTCAGGTGGTTCGGCCAGGTTTTGCTTTGTGTATTTTGTGGTTCTTAGTTGCATGTAATTTCACAGTTGGGATCGCTTTTCCGTGGATGCTTTCTCCACGTATTCTTTTCCCTTCTTACTGTCTTCTCCCAACTTCTGGCAGACGGGTGGGTGCTTCCTCTGTTCTTCCTCCTCGCACTGCCTTGGACTCATGCTCTGTTTTTGTTCTTCGGGGGGCCGCCCTGCCCGTTAGCACACAGCCGCAACGGCGCTTTCCTGACGGGCCGAAGGGGTTCGTTCTGACTCCTCTCCTTGTGCGTGACAGGGGCCTTCCGGGCTTTGCCCCACCTGCCGGGCACCCGTTGGCCTCTCTCGTTGTTCCAGACTTTCAACCTCACCTTTGAAAACACGGGAACAGTGTTAGTCATTTGTTAGTCACATCCATCTGGTGCATCAAGTGGCCACAGGAGCCCCTCACTCAGAGCGCGCCCGCTGAGTCCCGGGCGCCTCTGGCGGAAGTACATCCTTGAACAGCTTTTTCAGGAACGGCGTGTGGTTCGTGGACTCCTACGTACGTTGGTTTAAATGTCTTGAAGTGTCTCTTTGCCCTTCGAATAGCAAGTGTAAAGTGCCAGGTTAGGAGTTCTTTTCCCTCGGGCCTCCGGAAGTGTTCTGTGGTGACCTGGCTTTTCTCGTTGGACGCACACGTGCGTAGCATTTCAAACGCTTTTCTCATTTTCCTTGATTTGGGTCACCAACAGGTGTCAGTCATGACAGGTTTATGGCAAAGCTTCCCGTCGAGAAACGTCTCCATTTTATTCCTTGAACAGGAGCTGTCCCTTCTTCCTTCTTGTCCCCTGACCCCCGCTGTGTTGGAGGTTCTCTGTTCCCCCTCCCTGGCTCCTGGGCTCTCGTTGCCGCTTTCGAGCCCTCCCGGTGACCTCTTCGTCACCGGCGTGTTTCCCGGCTCCCTCCTCTGTCGCATCCAGTTCAGCCACTGACACGTCATCCCATTCATGGAGAAACTTTTTTCAATGATTATATTTTCAACTTTCAAGATTATCTTCTTTTTCCTACAAAGCTGGCCCCAATAATGCTTCCCGTGGAGTGCCATGTCCAGCAGTCTGAGGCAAAAGTACAGGACCTGTCACAGGGTCGGGAGGCGACCCCTCGGTCTGCCACCGCGATCAGAGCGGAGGGCGTAGTAAGGCCGGGCGCGCCGTCCGGGCTGGGCAGCAGCCCCTGCGCAGAGCGGGCTGCCCGGCGGGAGGAGGCGGGCGTCGCTGCAGGAGCCAGGCCCCACGGGACTGGCCCGTCGGGACGGTGTGCAGTCGTCACCGTGGGGCCCCCTTAGTCTGGCAGGGGAATGGGACGGCCCGGCCCACCCTCCTCGTTGGGGCCACAGCAGTGAAAGCTAAAGGTCCCTCTGCAGGCACCGTCGCGGGTAAGCCAGGCCCAGAATTACAGGATCCTGGACAGAGAAGGTGGAGAACCGAGAAGTCACCGGCCCGGCTCCCCGCCTGAGTCCCGCGCCTCCCGCAGGTATCAGGCGTTTCGGGAAGACGACGGGCAGCACTCCCGCACCCACTGGAACCTCCTGGCCCTCCGCCTGGCCTTCGTCATTGTGTTCGAGGTAGCCCCACGGTGCCCCTCCCCCTCCCTTCGCCGCCCCTGCCTCCCAGGGGCCTGGGGGGCCGGCACAGCCAAGGGAGCCGGGCCCTGGTGCGTGCCGCCCTTGCGTCGGTTGGCCCGCAGGCCTTGGCATCCTCACGGCTGTGCCTGGAAAAGGGCGTGAGTCCCTGCACGGCCCCCTCCTGGGCGGCGTGGACGTGGGGGGCCCCAGGCTGTGCCCCAGGGAAGCGCCCCGCGGCCCCGGAAGCGGGGAGTGGTCCCTGTGGCCAGCACCTGGGGGGCGGGCACCCCCTCCGGGGCCCGCGAAGGCCACCCTGGGTGCCTGCTTTGCTCACGGAGGGCTGCCCACGCCCACCGCCGGCCCATCCCCGCTCCCCAGCACGTGGTGTTCGCCATCGGCCGGTTCCTCGACCTCCTGGTGCCCGACATCCCCGCGTCCGTGGAGGTCAAGGTGAAGCGGGAGTACTACTTGGCCAAGCAGGCGCTGGCCGAGAACGAGGTGAGCCCGGCCCGCCCCCCCACCCCCCCCGCCGCTGCCCTGGTGCCTCACCCGCCCTCCAGCGCCGCGGTGTGGGGGCCCCAGCTGGGAGTCTGCTGCGGCTCAGGCCCAGGCGCAGTCAGTCTAACTGCACTCCCTTTGGGCACCCTTCTTGGATACAGGTTCTCTTTGGGACCAATAGAGCGAAGGACAGCCAGTGCCCAGCCTCACAGGAGGGCCCGGGCCCCCAGCCTACATGGCCAGAAGCCAGCCGGGCCTCGCCGGTCCCTTCCCTCTGAGGTTGCCAGGGTCGTGTTGGCGGCTGAGGGGCCTGGAGCCAGACCCACTTGGGAGGCCTGAGCCCTCAGCACGCCTCCTGCCACTCCTTGCGGCCCAGGTCCCCTGCCCTGGGCTCCTGGTCTGTCCTTCCTTTCTGGAATCTGCGCTCTCCTCCCCTCCCAGCCACCATCAGCAGCCTCTGAGCTTCCCTCTCCTCTCTTCCTGCCGGTCCGGCCCGGAAGGAAGGGGTGCGGCCTGGGCGGGAACCACAGCGCTCAGGCTGGGGGGGTTCTGGAGGAGACCTTCATTTCCTCGCCAGGGAAGCCTGCGGGTTTTCGGTGTGTTTACACACAACCGCCTCCAAAGTCGGGGAGCAGCAGAGTATGCAGTCGGACCTCGTCCACCCGACGCTGCCCCGGCCGTGTGCTCCCTGCGGGGCGTGCGGGTTCCTCTGCGCACACCGGCCTCTGCGTCACAGGTCGCTTGGGAACACAGCTCAGGCAACGCTGCACACACCGGCCTCCCGGGCGCTCCAGGTCCCACAGCCCGGCTCCCTCCCAGAGGCCCCACCGGCTGCCTTCCTGTCCGCCCGCCCCGTCCTGGAAACCCACTGCTCTGGCCTGGGGCCCCGGCGCTAACCCCTCCCAGGACTTGCTTCAAGCTGGTGATTTTGTTGCTGCTGTCATTCAAACTTTGCAAATTTAAAGTAAATTTATTGAAACATTAAAAAAATGCTCGAGATATACCGTAGCCTTTCATGAAACGAACACACCATTGTAGTCAGCTTGTCAACAAGACACAGCTGACAGGTGGGCCCAGGGCTGGGCCGGGCCGGCCCCTCCCTGTATCACCCCTCCCACCTGGAGAAGCCCCACCTTGGCCTCTAGCACCCACCCCAGGGTCCGATCAGAAGCTTTGGAAGGGCTGCTCCAGGCGCGCCCCCCCCACCCCCCCGCCGTGATGGGGATGGTTCCTTCGCTGAGGCCCCCACCTGTCCGCAGCCCAGCACCTGCCCGGGGCCTGGGCCAGTCCTGGGGACGCGGTGGTTTGCGGACGGAGACCACTCGGGAAAACGGAGGGCACTACTACCCAGCAGGCGAGGCCTGGTCCGGAGCCCAGGGACAGGCAGCACCCAGCGCGAGCTGAGAACCCCGTGCCAGCTGCGGGGACCACAGTGATACGTCTGCATGTCTGTGGCCCGCTGAGCGTGCGCCGTGGACCCCTGGGCCATGGGGCTGAGCACGCGCAGACAGGATGCAATGACCGAGCACACGGTGTCTGGTTTTGGGTTTTATTTTAGAATTTATAAAACTCCAGTGTCATCCATAGTCATGAGCCTTTACACACGTTTGCATATAATCTCCAGATTCCAAAGTTAAGGCCAAGGGATGGGTCGTAATTGAGGACACATGATATGGAGGACAGTCACCAGGAGGAAACGGACCCTCACGCCCCACCCCTGCCCAGGGCTCCCGCAGCAGCACCGGGGCGGCAGGAGCCCTGGGCAGTCGCCTCATGAGCTCGACTGACAGCCACACAGCCAGACCCCGCACAGTGCAGGAGGGGCACCTACATTTAGCACTAAGTGCAGATGTGCAAACACCTGTAGTGAGACTCAAAAGCCCACCTTTGGGGGAGGGGGTTGGATGCCTTAGAAACAGGGAGGTTTGGGCAGACATCTGAGAGCGAGGGCAGGCAGCCCATGGGCCGACAGGAAAGGCTCCCGAACTCGTGCAGATGGCAGGGAACCCAGGGACCCGGGACGTGGGGACGGTCCTGCAGAAGGCGAGACACGCCTTCCCTTCCCTCTGACTCTCAGCCGACTCCACCTCGTGTGGGGCCACCCAGCCCATTTAGCTGAAGCGAATGCTCATTCCTGCAAACGGGCACGTTTAAGGCGGCTCAAGCTACGGGAACTCGCAAAGGCAACTGGCATCAGACTTGGTCCGGCAGTTCTGGTCTATCCAGCAACTCCAGTCTAAGGGCTCCCAAGCTGAGTAAGAACTGAGCAGAAAATGTGGAGATGACGGGTGGTCAGAGCAGCCCTGGGCGGCTCCTCCAGGAGCCCCGGTCCCCGGACGGACAACTCAAGGGGGCACAAGCAGGGAGAGGAGACCCGACAGCCCCGGAGCCAAGGGCCAGCTGTGGTCCCCACACAGCACCGCCTGGGCCCCTTCCTCTCCAGAGCAGGTCTTCGCCAAGCTGGCTGGGGCGGGACACCTGCCTGGCCCGAGATGACCCACCACACGCCTGAAAGCAGGCTCCCCGAGCAGGTCCTCCAGGCCAGGCCGAGTGGCAGCCCCTCCCTGCCCCAGCAGCCGGCTCCGCACGCAGCACCCCAGGCAGCAGAGCCCCGCCTGTAGGGGTGCGCGTACCCCCTTGCCTGGGACCGGCCCACAGCGGGGACAGCCACAGCGGACCCACGCCGGGGGCGGCCCTGCTCTCCGCAGGAGATCGCTGCCCCCGGCTCTGAGGTAGAAAGGGGGAGGCTGAACTCCGCATCCGTCGGGGGAGGGGCGGGAAGCAGGAGGTGTCCGCCTCTCCTCTGTGGGCCAGGCCCCCAATCCCTCGTCCCTGTGTTTCTCAACTCACACCAGACCAGGGGCAGACGTGCAGCCTTGCCGGCAGGCCTTGCTGGCTCCCCAGTGCCTGTGGTGCAGGACAGGAGGGGACCCTGGTGCCCGGGCCCCTCGGGGCCCGGTGCCCCCCGTGTACCCTGGGCCTCCGCCCACCCTGCGGACGGGGCTGAACAGGCCGTGGCAGCGGGAAGGCGGCAACTGCAGTCGACAGAGGCTGGACGGCAGGCGGGGTGGGGGGGTAGGGGAGGCAGGCAGCTGGGAAAGGACGAGGGCAAACGTTTGGCTTTTCTAAAGTTAAGGAATTTATTTCCTGAGGTCACGACACAGGAAGTGGGCGCGGCCCCAGCTGTGCAGCACTCCGCGGGCCGGGGCCTTGCTGACATGCCGGTGAGACGTCCAACTGCCTCTGTTAGTGTCTGAACCACGGAGAGCCGGCCCGCAGCTGGCGGCGTCGGGCAGATCCTGAGCGCGCACCGGGCCTGGCCAGGCCTGGGGACCGGCAGCACACAGTGCCGGGCGCCCAGCTTCCCTGCGGGACCTCGGGGAGGGGGAGCGTCAACAATTTACGGAGGGTCCAGCTGCTGGATCAGATCGAAACAAACCGCTGTGTGGTGGCGTTCGGGTCAGCAGGCTGGAGAGGTTTCCACTTCCTCATCATTATCGTTTGGGGCCCCAAGGGAGGGTCTTGGGGGCCACCTGAGCCCCGAAGCTGGGGAATTCCTCCGAGCTGCTCATATCCGGAGCCTGTGGGGACGGAGAGAGCACAGCCTCACTAGGTGAGCCATCGCCAGGCGGCTCCGACGCAGTTCCACCCTCAGGCCTGGCCCCGCGAGGGGCCCCGGAGGTGGGTGCCACCTGACCTTCTCGCTGCTGTTGGTGGTCCAGGGCGCGTCCCGCACCACAAAGCCCTTGGATGGCGCCTTGGACTCCTCGTGGGCCGGGGGCTTCATGTACACCTGCAGCACCTCGCTGTCCACCACGTCAGCCAGCTGTGGGCACGGGAGCGGGGAGGTGCGGGTCACCCAGTGGCGCCAGGGCACCCGCCCCTGGCCGGCATCTGAGAACCCCAGCACAGGACCCCCCGGGGCCCCAGGACTCACGTATTCCTCCTCCAGGTTCAGGATGTGGTCGATGGCCTCCTCCACGTTCTCCGGGAGCCCCGTCACAGTAACGCAGTTGGGGTCCGGGGCCCCGCTCTGCGGGAAGCGAATGTCCACCTGGAAGGAGCGCGCGCAGTGGCTGAGGCGGCCGAGCACAGCCGTTTCCAGGGCTTCCCACGCGGGGCTGATGGGAACGCAAGCTCCTGGTTCCACGGGGCCCCGTCACCGCAGTGGGCACTGTGGGAGCACTGGGCACCGGGGAGGTCTGCCCTGCCCGCAGCCTCGGCAGGAAGGCTGAGGCCCAGGTCCCGGGGCCCCTCTGCCTGCGGGCAGCGCACCTGTCTCCCCCACAGCGCTTCCGGGACCAACACCCGCATCTCACGCCGGGGCTGGGGACGCACCTTGAACTCGTCCATGATTTTGCGAATGGCTTTGCCGCGGGCACCAATGATGCGGGCGTGGACGCGGTGGTCTAGCGGGACGTCCTCAGAAACCATCTGTTCGAGCTCGCCCACGATTTTCAGTATGGCGTCCCGGGCGGCCTCGGTGTTCTTCTCGTACCCTGTGATGGTGATCTGGTCCTGCGGCTGAGAGAGCGCCCGTCAGGAGAGGGCGCCCAGACCCGGACTAGGAGGGCGCGCAAGGGCTTGGGAGTGTTGGCAGGACCGAGGGAGGGGGACCGCACACAGCCCGAGGGGACGCACCGATCCACTCAGGGGAGGAAGAAGGTGGAAAGACAGCAGGTGAACCAGATCCCTCCCAAACCTCACCCAAGAGACAGTGACCCCCAGGAAGAGAGAGAGCACCTGCCTAAAGGACGACGCAAGGGCCCCGGCAGGTGCAGGGTCCCTGGGGCCCTCATCTGTGGGGCCCTCTACGGAGACGGACCAGCCTGGAAGGGTGCTAGAGCGCGTGGCCGGCAATGCACGCCTGCAGTGCCCCGCCCAGGGCCGCCCTCCTACCACGCACATACAAGCGAGGGCACCGAGTTGGTAAAGAGTGAGCGAACGGATGGTTCAAAGCACAGAGAGAAAACTGGAAAACAAATAGTAACCTCAACCCCCATCCTGAGGGACGGGAGATACTGCAAGCGCGCACACACACGAGGAACAGAACACAGCGTGAAAGGCACGGAAGAAGAAACACCTGGAAGAGCAAGAGAAGCCCCAGGAGTCCAGGCGACGTGGACGCAGGGCAGGGGGTGGGGAGCCCTGCCCAGTGGCACCCGGAGGCCTCCACCAGCTGCTGAGGCAGCGCCAAGCACAGAACACAACTGGCAAACAGAGATTGTTCCCACAGGAAACGCTGTGCACAGAGACGTGGCTGCCTGACCCTACTCGGTTTATGGGACGGTAACAGTCCAAACACGAAATGGTGACGCAAAAACGCAGTAATCGTATCGGAAGTAAAGGGCAGTGAAGGCGAGAGGCTGGAGAGATCTCAGTGCTTAAGATCAAAGTAATTAAAGATCAAGTCAAAAATGAGAAAATGAACAGCAGTACGAACACAGCCCTTAGACACAGGAGAGCAGGCCTCTGTCCCAGGCCGCCCTGGGGCAGGCCCAGGGTGGGAGCCGAGGGGGCTGCGGGCAGCGCCTGCAGGCCTGCCTCACTCTCTGAACGAGGACCCTGGAGGCGAAGGCTGGGACAGACACAGGCCGGAGGCCCGCAGCGACCCCCGGACGTGGGCTGGAAAGGCACGGCGGGGCCCGTCGGCACAGGACTGCTGGAGTTTGCTGGCCGGAAGGTTCCAGGCCACCATTTCTGGGTGCCCTGCCACGTGGCAAAGAGCACAGGAGACCCGGGCAAAGACGGGGCTCCCACTCCACGCGAGGCCCGCAGAGCGGGCGCACCGCCCCCCTGCCCCAGGCTGAGCCACAGGGAGAGGCGGCAAGGGTGCGGCTGGGCGGGCGGGGCCTGGAGGGACCACATGCTGTGCAGGTGGAGGGCTTCCTGCAGGGCTTCCTCGGTGCAGACAGCCACGGGAGGACCCTCCCCCGGGGAGCCACAGCGATGCAGCCGTCGCAGGGAAGCCTCATCCAGCTGGCACACGCCGAGACGGGGCCCAAACGTGAGCCAAACTCCATCCTCAGAGATTTTCCGCTCGAGACCCTGCTCTCTCACTGCCCAGCCAGGCACCCCCTGCCTGCCTGGCCCCTGTGCCCAGCCGAGGACACAGGCCACTGGGAGGCCAACCGCCCTCAATGGGTTCCAACATGGTGTCCGACCTGAGCGTCTGTCTTACCTGGTTCCCATCATCTTTGTCAGGAAACTGGATGTTCACGTCGTGCTCCAAGCGGATTTGTGTGATCACTGCCCCCTTCCTCCCGATGATTTTGGGATGGTATTTGGGGTCGACAGTCACACTCAGCTTAAAGCTCCGGAGAGCCTGCCAATGACACACGGGGGAAGGATGAGGCAAAGGGCGGGGCCTGGAGCCCTGCGCTACCCTGCACGTGCCCTCACTCTGCCCCGAAGCTGGAGGGGGCCCGCCATTCCCACAGCAACGCCAGCGGGCTGCGGCTTCTCCGTGCGCCTCGGTGCTGCGTCCCACCGCCAGCCAGTGGCGAGGGCCAGAGGCCTTCGCCCCACACAGCCAGGGCCGTGGTTCCCTCAGCAAAGGACCTGAACAGACGGCAACAAGTGGGGCCATAGGCCCCTAACTTGTGGAAAAGTAGGGGCATTAAAAAGGCCAAAAGGAAGAGAGAATCGAAGTGCTAAGGGACACAGCCTCAGATGTGTGGGGCCAGAGACCTGGTCTGAGGACGGACCCCCAAAATCAGGGCCTCGGCAGAGACAACGGCCGCCGCAACCCTACGGGACGTCTGAGCCCAGTCGTGCCGCCCTCAGGAAGAGCCCGTGTGCCACACAGCCCGCAACCCCGCTCCCAGGGCCCAGGCCCCACCCGCCACGCGCTCCCCCTTGTGGTCCCCAGAGGCCGGCTCCCTAACAGGCGGATGGGCGGTTGTTCCCACGCAACGGCAGGGACACTGCGGAGCGGGGGAGCCCCGGGACCCAGAGCAGCCCACCCGGGGCCCAGGGTCTCTCTGGGCAGCAGCTCCTTGGCCCCCGGGCCCTGCCGCACCTCCAGGTCCACGTGGGGACTCTGCTAGCAGACGCGGACGCGAGCTGTGGCCGTCTCACGGGAGTGGACGGCCGCGCTCCAGCACCGCGCCGCCGCCTGCCTCCAGCCTCATAGGCTCCCTGTCCCAGGGCGACCAGGGCCGCAGGAGCCCCGGGCGAGGCTCGTGCCACAGGGCTGAGGACCGCAGCCGGGGAGGAAGTGCCCGTGCCCCGGCCCGACCCGGCGCTCACCCGGTCCTCCTGCTCTGCCCGCAGCTCCCGCACGCGCTCCAAGAGCCCGGCCTTGGCCCGGTCCAGATTGGCAGCGAGGCCTGTGATGGCGATGATGTCAGACTGCAGCTCCGGTGCGGGGACGTGGATGTTCACCTGGGGAGACGGGAGCAGACTGGGTGGACGTGGGGCCCCCGGGACAGGAACGCGTCTGTCTGCTCCCGCCGACGGCAAGCCTGGGGGTCGTGGTCTGCCTGCCCGTCACACGTGCCAGGGACAAGCCCGCAGGCTGGGGAGGAGGAGGGCAGGCGGCGTAGCGCTCGATGGCAAAGAGCAGGGGAAGGGCACCTTCTGCGGGGGAGCGACAGCCCCGGGGACAGCCGGCCCCTCATCCGGGCTCCAGGGGCACCGCTCACCTCGAATTCGTCCATCATCTTGCGGATCCCGCTGCCCTTCTGCCCAATGATGTAGCGGTGAAGGTCAAAGGGCACCCCCACTTCAACAGTGACAGGAACCAGCGCCTGCGGGGGGAGGACCGGTGTCAGGCCCGAGAGCCGTGAGCAGAGTGACCCCGTGGGCTCGGCGCAGGGCTTCGCGGGGAGAGCTCCAGGGCACACCCGGGACCCGCCCCGCTGTCCACCTGCACTGAGACGGCCACCGCGAACCCGAGAAGACACAGCAAAAGGACACGGGGTCCGGCGCTGGGGTTGGTGCTGGCAGAGCATCCGCCAGACCCCGGCCCCGAGCCTCCGCTCTTGCCAGCAGGAGGCCCCTTGTCAAAGGAAAGCAAACCCAGCAGAAACGGACCTTGAGACCCGGCTCAGACCGAGGCCGCCCCGCCAGCCTCCCTCAGGCCAGGAGCGGACTGCGGCCCCAGCCCTGCGGATCGTGGGGGCGCGCCCGGGACCACCCCCGCTCCCGGCTGCCTCCACAGCACCGGTCCCCGGATGTGGGAGGGCTGCTTCCCGCCTGACTCTGCCCAGCGCAGGGGCGACTCCGCACACTGCACGCCCCGCTCCGAGGTGGTGCCGGAGAGGGTGCCCTGCAGAAACGGCTCGTCCTCAAGCCCGACAGTCGGAACACCTTCCTTTAACAGGGGGACACTGAGACCCACTGCTGCGCTCCCCACGGCCTCGCCTGCAGGCCCAAGGCGGGCCCCTCCGCCCAGGAACAGGGGGATGGGGGCACCGCACCCACCTCGAGGGCTTCCTTGGCAGCCTCACACTTCTCCTTGCGGCCAGAGATGGTGATGATGTCACACCGCCTGGGGGAGCCCGGGTCGGCCTCTCTCCCCTCCCCAGCGTCCTCACCGTTCTCCTGGACAGCTGGTGAGGAGAGGGCCGGGTCACACAGGCCTCAGCGGCACAGCCTTACCTGCGAGGTGCGGGAGCCGGTGGCAGGAGGAACGTCTGAGAGGGGAGGATGATGCCCCCACAGCCCCGGGGCTGGTGCCGGGAGGGAGCAGCGGGGAGGGGCTCGAGAGAGATGGAGGGACCAGCTGAGGCTGCTCCAGCTGCTTCTGCCAGGAAGAAGGCGCCTGGGAAATGGGCCTGAGCCAGGACGTGGAAGCGGTGGCGGTGGCGGTGGCGGGGGCGCCCGTGGGACCCTCTGGGCACTCCCCACACCCCCACACAACACCCCGGTGCAGGACCGAGCCTGGAGGCCCTACGACACTGGGAAAAAGCGAGCGGGCAGGGCCACCCGGAGCTTTGCGCTCCCGCCTCCACAACGGGGACGTCCAAAGGCCGACCACGGACCCGCAGCTGCACCACACAGGCCGGGCTCCGGGTCTGCACACATGCGCCAGGGCCAGCGCAACTGACAGGCGCGCTTCCTCACTCCCGGGAAACAGCCACCAGGGAGATAGGGCAGGCATGAAAGCCACACTCCACTGGCTCAGGGAGCAGCAGGGCACGTGTGTGCACACATGTGTGTGTGAAGGGGAGGGGGGGGAGGGTGAGGAAGACGGGGAGGTGGGGAGAGCGAGTGCCCAGGATCTATCTTTATTCTGCTTGTGCAGCTTTTCCTTAACTATGAAATTACATCAAAATTAAGAAATACTCAAGTGTGAAACATAAATATGACATGGTACGGTCTAACTAGTCTTCTACCCAAAATGACCTGTAGTCCGAGAAAAGCAGGCACCCCGAGGCCACGGCGAGCCCACGGAGGCCAGCGCACACGAACCAGTCCCCACGCGCCCGGCAGGCCCACGAGGCCCGGTCCACGCAGGCGCGCCCTCTGGGACAGCGCAAGGAGCTCACAGGACTCACGAAGCCAGGTCTGCGGCAGAGGCCGGTTCCACTCAGGGGCCACCTCCCCACCCCAGCCTGCCCCTGGGGACATCAGGCAGAACCAGGTGGCAGCCGTTCCAGAAGGACAGCCGGTGCCCAGTGGCATCCTCGGTGGGCCAGGGGCTGTGCCCCCTTCTGCAGCTGCCAGCCCCACGAGGAGGCCGGGAAGGGGGTGGGGGCTGGGCTGGGTGGACCCGTGAGGGCCAGGGGACCTGACACGCTCAGCCTGCACGTGGGGCTGCGGGGCACTCCCCTCGGGCCTTGCTGCTGGCTGCAGGCCCCTAGCGAACCCGAGGGGCACCTCGTTGCCCTGCCGCAGCCTGGGAGCTCTGGAAGCCCCCGGGACGCTGATGGTGTCCAGGACCCGGCAAGACAGCTTCGCAGGGACACGTGACAGCCACCGGCCCTTGCCTCTCTGCTGCCTCCCACCCAGCACAGAGCTCCCTACCTGGAGACCAGGGACGTACCTGGGCTCTCCTCTCGGTCTGGGAATTTAATCTGGACGTTATAGTCCCGGGTGATCTGCTGGATTCTGGAACCCTTGGGGCCCATGACGGAGCGGTGGAACTTCTGGGGTATGGCACACTCTATGGTCACCTGGGCTTCCTGGGGGGACAAAAGAAGGAACAAACTAAGGGAAGGATTAAGCGCTCCTGGTTGATTTGCGTCCATACCGCCGTCCTCTGCAGCTGCGCCCACGCGCATAGACACCACCCTCCCCAAGGTGAACTCAGGACTCACCTGCCGATCGGGTCAAGGGGGGAGGGGTGTGAGCAGGGCCGCAGGGGCCTTTCTGTAACATGTCACCAAAGTCTAAGGAGGCCTCGACACCTCAACTGTACCAGACTCTGCTCCGCCGCGGGCTCCCACCCAGCGTCCAAGTGCAGGGACGTCCCGTCTCTCTACACCCAAGGAGCCCCCACCTCCTGCACGCAGGGGCACGTTAGTCCCAGACTGGGGACCTGCGGCTGCCGTGGCTGGGACTGCATACCTAGGGCCACAGCACGGGAGCGCCAGGAGCCAGGAGGGCCAGTCTTCCCAGGATGGCTGGCACACCCGGCCGCGCCCGCGCCGCCTCCACGGGCTAGCCTGCGCCGCCCCCCTTTTCTTCCCTCTGGAGCAGAGGAGGGGAAGCGCCTGGCTCCTTGCACACATGGCACTTTCATACAACTGAAAGCTGAGCCGCCTCTCAAGGGCAGCACTCACCCACGGCAGGAGGGGCCGGCAGGGATGGAGACCGCAGGGCCTGCAGCCTTCCGGCCGTGTTGCCACAGAGGCCTGGCTGGCCCGCAGGGCATGTGGGGCAGCCCCACCCCCAACGCAGAGTGGCTGCCATGCCAAAGACCCCACGGAGCCCCGGGTGCCCACCAGATCCTCGATGATCTCCTGGATGCGCTGCTTGGCCGCCTCCACGCACTCCTTGGCACCCTTGAGGGTGACTCTGTCGCTCTGTGTGCCGGACCGCGGGAAGCTGACCATCACCCCGCCGTACTCCTCGGCGATCTCCCGCAGGACCTGCCCTCTCCGGATAACGAAATGGCGGTGGTGCTTGGGGTCCACCAGCATGCACTCTTCCACCACGTTGTCCTGCAGCGTGGAGACGGGGTGAGGAGAGTCAGGGGCCGACAGCCACGCTCTGCCCCCGCTGCCCGGGTGGCTCCCAAGGGCCGGCCGTACCAGGTTCTGGATCAGGGCCTCCAGCTCCTTCTGGGCCTCCCTGACGGCGTCCTCCTTTCCGATGATGGTGATCAGGTCCTGGTCCTTGTCCTCTGCGGTCGGGAATATGATGCGGGCGCCGGTGGTGTCACGCACCCTGCGGATCTTGCCGCCCCCTTTGCCGATGAGGAACTTGTGATACTCCGGCTTGGCACGGATGTCCACGGTGAAGCTCTTGGTTTGCTGCGGAACCACCCCGCCCATGTCGGCCTGATGCCACCTGCCCGGCCCCCAGAGCAGGTGAACAAGAGGCCCAAGGGGACAGGAGGGTGGGCTGGAGCCTGCCACGCTGTGCCAACACCCCGGTGGGGCTGATCAGGTCACCCCCACACAAACACACGGCCACCCGGACCGGCCACCCTTGGACTTCCCTCGGCTGCCGGAGGAGATGCCAAGGTGGGCAGAGAGCACAGACCCAGAGCCCCAGGCCCCCCACCTACCAGCTGTGAGCAAACCGCTGCCTGGGGGCACGGGGTGCAGGGGGCACCCACGAGCACAGCAGCTCACCCCTCCCACACAGGCAAGCGCTCCCTTGTCCCGGCCTCCCTCTCCTGGGCTCCGGGTGAGCCCACACACAGCCAGCAACGCCCCAGCCAGGAGCTCAGAGACCTTCACCAACCAGGCCCTCGTCTGACACCAAGAACCGGGGCCCAGGAAGGGCCCGGCCGTGGGGACCTCGCTGTGAACAGCCGCCCATCTGGCGGGGCCGCTGGAGGGACCCGCTCCTGTGGACGGGCTCAGGCCCCTGGGCAGGAAGCGGCGGCGCGCGGGAGAGGAGCGCAGGCCTGCTGGGCGTGCAGCCACACCCCCGGACACGCCACCTGCCCAGCGCCGACTCCGTGGACACCAGGGATGCCGCTGCTCGCCAGGCAGACCCTCGCCCACGGCAGCACCAGGAAGCTGACGGGCTGGGCGAGCCCATTCAGTGAACACGTCAAACCCGGGCCCACCCCAAAAGCTCAAGGTATGTGAAGCGGTTAAGAAAAAATCAACCTCACACACAGCACGTGACACGCGGTCGTGCCCATGGGAGTGGAAGACGCGCCGACAAAGTCCAGCACCTGCCCCCAGTGAAAACTCCGAGCCCACGCGGCCTGGGAGGGACACCTTCGCCCCGACAGGGCCCCGCTCTCCGCCCTGCCCCTCCGCGCCCAGGAGGCCCCTGCAGCTCAGCAAGACGAGGTGCTCGGGCACACAGGTCGGAAAGGAAGGAACACACTCTCCCCTCACAGGCAGCATTTTACACACAGCGCGCCAGCATCCAGGGAGGGATGAGTCAGTGATCTTCAGACCAGACACAGAAAACAAGGCCAAGAAACTGAAATCACACACATGCCTGCCCACTGCTCCATGGAACTCAAAGGAGCCACGTATGACAGTGACAAAACAAGGGAGATCTAAACCGAACACCACAGACGCACGGCGCAGCGCGGAAACCTGCAGAACCCAGGGAAGGCCCAGGCCTGCAGCGGGAGAAGCCCCGGCGGTGCAGCTCCGTGGCTCAAAGCCGGTGGCGAACCGGAAGGCCCCTGGTTCAGTTTCCTGGGTTGAGGGCCAGGCCCCCCACAGGGGGCGTGCGAGAGGCAGCAGATCCATGCACATGGTGCTTCTCTCCCTTCTTTGCCCTCTCTCTAAAAATAAATAAAACCTTAAAAAAACGGAAGAGACAGACTGGAAGAGCCGAACTGCTGGGGTGTCAGGTCTCCCTAGCCTGAGCTCTCGCTCTGACAGAGTCCCCATTGAAACCCGAGCGGGACTCTCCCCAGCAGCTAACAGGCGCAGGGTCTGGGGCAGCCGAGCGATCGCCTGACAAAGACCCAGGCGGCAGGGGGCACGGGTGTCCCGTGAGCTCCGCCGCTCCCGCCGTGTGGGGCAGACGGACAGGCAGGCAGGTTCTGACGGAAAGCAAAGGTGATGCCACAAGGAGCCCGGCGTCGGGCGGGGGGGTGTTGCGGCGGCCAAGCGCTTTCCTGAGACAGCAGCCGCACAACCGCTGCGTCTGTCGAGAGCACCTGAGGGAGACCGGCCTTCCCGGCAGAGGAACCGCACTTCTCACAGACCTCCCGCTTGGCGGACGCGGGCGTCTGACTTGGATAGGCCCGTCCGCGACGGCCACGTCAGAGAGCCGGGAAGGCACGCGACATGCGCCGACCTGCCACAGGCAACGGGCTTTTGGAGTTTCCACGCAGAAGAGAGGGCGTCCCAGCAGGCGGCAGGCCGGGACCCCTCAGGGGATGGGGACACTCACCTTCTCCTCCGCCAGGTGCAGGAGCTGCCTCTTGGCCTTCTCCACATCCGAGGAAGGGCCCCTGATGACAACGGTGTCGCTCCCCGAGCCCTCCACGGGGAAGTGGATGTGGACCCCGCCGCACTCCTCCATGATGGAGCGGATCAGGCGGCCCTTGGTGCCGATGAGGGAGTTGTGCAGCTTGGCGGGGATGGAGACCTCCACCTCGGCTATGTTGGCCTGCAATCACAGGGCACGAGGGAGCTGGGTTTTGTGTGGCAAGAAGGGCAGGCGTGAGCGTTAAGTCACGGTGGGTGTGGCTGTGTGTGCACATGCGTGTGGCCCGCGTGGTGCAGAAGGGAAGCCACGCTGTCAGACCTCGAACCACGCTGCTCCCTCAAGCCCTCTGGGTGCGTGCGGTGGAGACGAGGGCCAGAGGGCTGCGATCAGCCCTCCCTGTGAAAGCCCTGAGGGCCGGGCCTCGCCTCCAGTTGCAAGGAGAGGCCGGACCGCGCTTTCCCGTGGAGCAGCGGTGTGGAGGCCCCGCAGGCCGGCGCAGGCGAGGGCAGCCCCTGCCCAGGCACTGGAGCTGGCGGGTCAGCGCCATGGAGAGAACTCGGACAGAGCTGCTTCCACGACGACACACGGGGAGGCTGCCTGGGCTGGGGGAAGGGCCAGCGGCTGAGCTGGAGGGCCCGGGACCGCAGCCCCGGCAGATCCACGCCCAGGGCCACCGTGCAGGGCTCCGAAGGGCCTCATCTCAAACAGGGCCGCCGGGGCCTGGACAAGCACAGCCGCAACCCCGCCTCGCAAGTCCAAGAAGGAGCGCGCCGTGTCAAAGTAACTTAATGAAGCACAAAGATATTTACAAGGACACAAGAATAACCAGGATCCACCAAAACAGACTTCATAATGTCTGCATTAATAAGAAAAATACTGGATATGCAAAGAAACGGGCAAAAACAACCCACAACGAAGATAAAACAAAAAAAAAACCACCCAGGAATGACCCAGAGGGTAGAGACAGGCCAAGGACACGAACGCTTTTTCACTATACAGCACTTGATCAGGCAGCCAAAGGGAAAGACTGAACGTGTCAGGAACAAAACCAAACATTCACATTGAACTTCCACAGGCGAGATTAGTATCTGAAACGAAAAATACACTAAATGGGGTCACAGACAGATTAGACATTGCAGAATATTAACAAATTGGAAGTAAGTCATGGAGAAAAAGCACCACCTCTCCTCCCCGCCCAAGCAAACAGCATCAGCGAGTGGCAGGATGATGTCACGCTAACCCTAGCGTCCTCGGAAGGGAGGACCGAAGAAACTATTAGGAAGCAATGACCCAAAGTTTTCCAAATTTGATGACAACTCCAAACCCAAATATCTAAGAAGTTCAATGAACTCCAAGCAAAGAAACAAGAAAAAAACAACAAAGCTGGTGATAAAGGGAAAAAAAGGCTAGAGGCAGGATGAGTTCATGCAGCCAAACAGGGCCAAGGGTACCACTGGCTGTCTCATCACCAACGTGTGTGAGGTGACAGGGAAGCAAAATCTCATGGGAGGAACCAGCAACCGGGGTGTGAGGCCACAGAACGTGCTCATGCCACCTGGAGCGCAGAACAGAGCGCCCGCCTGGCATTCCCTGAGAAATTGGGAGCCCCCTTCCTACAAGCTCTGCCTTCCCCCACGGCGCAGAAGCAGCGAACCGGCAGGCGGCCCGCTCCCCGGCCCTCGGACACGCACCTGGGAAGAGGCGCAGCAGCGGCTCGGGCAGCAGGAAGGCAGCCAGGCGGGGGGAACGGAGCGTGGAGAGCATGTTTGGGTGGGTAAACGTACAGGGATTTTCTCTCATTACTTAAACCTCCTTAAGAAATCATTGACTATTTGAACAGAACGGCTAAGAAAGCGCGGTGGGACCGGCAGCACGGGGAAGGGGAGACACGGTGCAGCGCACAGGGCGGGCCGCGGGTGGAGGCGCACCAAACCCCGAGGCCACCACAGAGGCGCGCCCACACGCGTCTCCCGAGCCAGACAGGGCACCAGAAGGAACTGAAGACACCGGCAGCGGAAGAGAAGGCGGCAAAAGAGAACAGAGTAGATGGGACAAAAGCCCGGCCCCACAGGGCAACCGCACGCAGGTGCCAGGGCCGGGTGGAGGGGCCGGGCGCCGTGACTGATTTACAGGACAGCTTCTGTCTGGGAAGAGGAAAAGGCTCTTGCGGTGGATGGTGTTGACGTGAGTGTACACAATGCCGCTGAACTGTCCACTGAAAGACGGTCAAGTGGACCATCGTTACGACCTCACACAAACGATCCCTGTGCCTCCCTATCCCCGACCGCTAAGGGGGGTGAGCGTGTCCTTGGGTGAGGGCTGTTTGTTTGTTTTTACACCAAAGAGTAGATCCTAAGAATTCTCACAAGGAAAAAAAAAAGCAGAGATTATGACACTGAATAGAAAAGCAAGCTGCCTATAAGAAAGCCACTTTAATATAAAAGATTTCAGAGCAAAGACTATTACCAGGAGTAATAAGGAGATCGTCTTATGTGGGTGCAAGTTACATATTAAGAACAAGAGAGATGACGTTATAAACAGTAACAAGATAATGTTGGGCTGTTATGAAAAGTTTTATGCCCATAAATTCAAAAACTTAGATAAAATATTGTAGAAACCCCTTGAGACAACACAAAAACTACAAAGCTCACACAAAAAGGCACATACTCTATCCACACAATGAAATATTACCCTGCAATAAAAATAAAGAAAAAAGCCAGACAACCAAGCTCAGAGACACAGAAAACAGAGCTGTTGCTGGCAGAGGTGGGGGCGGGGTGCAAAACGGGAAAAGGGGGTCAGGCGGTGCAAACTGCCAGTTACAGAGTCAGTTCGGGGACGCCGCCCAAGCACGGCAGCTACACCTACGGACACCGTGCTGCTTATCCGAGCGCGGCTGAGAGCGCGCGTTCTCCTCACAGGAAAAACACTCTGTAACCGTGTGCTGACGGCTGGTAAGGGACTCCTTGTTCCCCAGTGTATCTGGTGCTCCACGTGCATTACATCTCAATGAAAACACGGAGCACTGAAACACCAGAGGAGGTGGATGCCTCGCAGAGCGACCGCGCAGAGTGAAGGCAGCCGGGCCCCAGGGGAGACCCGACGCTCCTCGCGGACAGCCCCCAAGGTCCAGGCTCATCGGCTGCAGCAGAGCAGGCGGCTGGGCAGGACAGAGGGGAGGTGACGGGGACGGCGGTGTTGCAGGGGCTCGGGGCCGCTGCCGGGGGACGGAGGGGTTCGCTGTCCTGACCGCGGAGGTCCGTGCATGGGCACACACATACGCCCCACACCCCCAGCTGCCTACTTCAAATGTGTGCAGTTCCTACATGCTTGTTTTCCAAAAATTGAAGGAAAAAAAAAAACCCACCGCAACACCTTCAGAACATGAAGATTTCCGAGCGCGTGATTTGCTACCACCACTCAGGACCCCCACAGGCACCACCAGGGCCCCGGCCGCCGGCCCGCACGCAAGCCCAGGCCAGAGCCCCTCCGCAGCTGGCCAGCCCCCCATTACCAGGTCTTTCTGGATGGACAGGATGCGGCTCCGGGCAGCCTCGCAGTTGGCCCTCTTGCCTGTGATGACGATGGTCTCTGAGTTGCTATTTTCTGCTGGAAGGTCAATCTTGGTGTTGCTCTCTTCACGAATCTGTAAGGAGAGGCGGTGTGAGAGGAGACTACCACTGAGAAGCTGGGGATCCCCGGGCCAGGAAGCAAGGCTCCTCTTGTGAATCTAAAGCCAGCGTGGCACAGGGCTATGGGGGGCAGGACAGAAAGCGCCACGATCAGGGGGGCAAGCTGGTTGGTCACCTTTTTAATGTTGGCGCCTCCTTTCCCAATGATATTCTTGTGGAACTGCTTGAAGATCGGAACAGAGATTGAATAGCTATTTTCCACCTAAAAACAAGAGAGATGGCTGGGTTAGCTGCCAAACTAGACAGCGCCAGGGGCGGCGCACAGACTGCTCCGGAGCAGACTTCGCCTGGCTTCTCTCTCCTGTCTGACCTCCAGGAGCCTGTCACCAGGATGGGTGAGCTGCCTGTTACCAACCAGCGCCCCTGGCCCCCCACAGCTGACAGAGCGAAGCGCCCTCTCGTGAGAATTGGCGGCCGCAGACCCTGCCACCTGTCGGAAGTGTGCTCCATGGGCGGAAGCCCCGAGCCTGGCCCGGCGCCCGTGTCAGTGTACCCAGGGCAAGAGCAGCTGGGGGCGGACAGGCCGGGGCTCCAGGCTGAGCAGCGGGCTCAGTGCACACAGACCTGGCTGCTCGCGGGGACCCCCAGCCCTTCCCCTAGGAGGGTACAAGGCACGTGCGAGCTGGCCAGTGACTGGGGAGCGCGCGGGGCCCCCTGCTGCCTCCCCATCACGTGCCCTCTCCCATCCCCAGTCTGAGGGAAGAACAGTCCATGCACAACGCTGCTCGTCCAAGCCTCTCTCCTCACCGGCTGGTTCCATTTCCAGGTGTCTCAAGACCCCGAAGGAAACAAAGCCACCTGGCATGGGACACAGAGTTCTCCTCTCTTTAACTCCATGGACACTCAGGTTGTAACGATTTCCACTAGTTCAAACATCAGATACCGGGAGGTGGCATCCCAACTGTGTCCCAAATCCCGGAGACGGCACACCCGCCCAGCACCCTGGTGTGCTCCCCGGAGCAGGGGTCCTGATGCACACACCCCCCCCCCACGGCTCTGCCACATGACACAGGATGGGGAGAGTCCCCTACCAAATCTGCCACCATCTTCTGCATGTATTTTGTGCACTTTTCCACCTCGTTCTTGGGGCCTCTGAGTTGGACAATGTCGCTTTTTTGTGCTGGGTCTGGGAAGTTGATGATAACCTAAGATGAATCACCGGGAGATCAAGCTGTTACTGGTGAGAATTCTAAAATGCTGCCTCTTCCCCAGCGCCCACCAGGCCACTCGGGGGGGGTTAGGGAGAGGAGGCTGCCGGGAGACTGTACCTCTGGGAACTTGTCACGAATCTCACGGATCCGTTCGCCCTTCTGCCCGATGATCGTGCGATGGAATTTCTGCTCGATGATGAGATCCTTGGTGCGCTCGTTTTCCTGAGCGTACAGTTGCAGGGAACGAAGTTATTTATCGCAAGCGAGGTGAGCAGCCCCTCCAGGCAGGAGGCCCCTGGAGGCCCAGGCCTCGCTGACCAGCAGGCGGCACCCCCCTGAGCAAGGTGCTGCGGAGGCCGGAGTGCAGGCCCCATAACCACGAGGGCGGCTGCAGCGGCCGCCCTCGCCCGAGCGGCTCCCTTGGCGCCTGTGCCCCACCAGGAGCCAGGACCCGAGGGAGGCCTGGCGCTCCGCACAGCGGGGAGCGGCCCCCCGCACCACAAGGCAGCTCGCAGCACTGCCCCGCGTGCCTCACTAAGAAAGAGCGCTGACCGCGGGGCGCTGGCCCTGCGTGGCCCTCGGCCTCTTCCAGAGGGCTGGCCAAAGCGCCCGCAGGTGTGCCCGGGGCGGGGCCGCCCACCCACCGCCCGAACAGGTTGAAGAACTCGGGAGGTTCTGGAGCCGGCTGGCGTCAAGCCGACAGAGAAACGGGGTTCAGCAACCCAGTGACAGGATGCTCCCGAGAAAGGGACCCTGGGCTACAGGATGAGAGCTGGCGGACGAAGGGGAGAACCCAGGACGCCCCAGGCTTAGCCCTGGGGCGCACGAGCCCTGCCCCAAAGCTGGCCCCCGCCTGGGGCCCTGGCGTGGGCCCTGTGTGAGATGTGACTGAGCACTGCCGGGGTGGGGGCAGGGGCGGGTGGCCGCTGACCCTGGGGCTGGCTCCTGCCCTGACGAGGGGACGTCCTACCCGGCTTTGGCTTTCCTGACCGTCCGCACACGCTCCTGCTAAGCTCTGAGCCCTCAGGCTGTGCTGGACTCATTTGGATTCAGAAGCCCCAGGTGAGCCCCAGGCAGCCCGGTTGAGACGCGCTGCTGGAGGGTTCTCTGCACTGGCCTCTGGCGTGTGCGGCAGCAGGCCCCGGGCAGCGCCACCCTTTCGTCTGGACGCAGGGAACGAGGCTCACCACGCCCCCTCCCACTTGCAGGTAACCGCATCCCAGGGACTCTCCACCTGAGACACGCGCACGTCACCGGGCGCCTCTAGGAATCCAGGAGAGCCCCCCACGGCGGCGGCCCAGGGCTCACCATGCGGGAGGCGAGCTCCAGCAGCTCCCGCTTGGCCTGCTGCACGCCCTGCGGGTCGCCCTCGATGCGGATCAGGCTGCTCTTCTCGCTGTCGGGGGGGATGCGCACAGACACCTTGTACTGGTCTTTGATTCTGTTGACTTAGGGACACAAAAGGAGATGTGTTGGACTCAGACTCTATTACCGGCCGCGGATGGCTGAGCTAAAGCCCCAAAGAACCAAGCCAGCTACCCCACAAGGACGAGCAGGGCCCCCAGAGCGAGGCTGCCCATCCTCCAGCACGAGCCGGGCGCCGTCTCTGTGGCGCCAGCCACGCACAGAGCATTGCTCGAGAGCCTGGCGTGGCCGCAGCCGGGGCTGCAGGGCCGGGACCTTGGCGGGCCAGCAATCTGCCTGGGGCTTCAGACTACGGCTTCCTTTCGTCCAACGTGTTTTTGTTATAATACTGGTAAGTAGGCAAAAAATGGATTCTCAGTAGGGCCACTGCCTGCGCGGAGCGTGCACGACTGTCCACACCCCAAGGACGTGCCCCGGACGGGAGGCTGTGTCACACTGTCCCTGTGTCTGTCGAGGTGGGAGGCCCTGCGAGGGAAGGGAGCCCTGTCCCGGGTGGGGGTGGGCGGGTCCCGCCTCACGCCCGGGGCTGCTGGGACAGGGCGCAGCCCCACCATGGCCCTGAACTGGAAAGAGTGGGTAAAAAGAAAATGACCTTATTTTCAACGTTAAGGGTTAGGTGTTTTAGTTTTTCATTTGGAAGTTTGGTGATGTTTTTGTTACCAAAAATACGCTGTAGGACCTAACTCTGGTTCAAGCCGTTAGCCTCTGGTAAAACCGGCTTCATGTATTTTGTTGCGCATAATGTTACAGTTTCTGAGAACCTATGGCTGGTGGTGAGGTCCCACTGCATTTAAAAGATCTCACGTATTTCTAATGTGGAGACAAGTTTGGGATCCATAAATCACAACAATTTCATTCTTAAAATGCATACACACATACATGCATACATACACACATACATACCTACATACATACATACCTACATACATACAATCAGAAGCCCCTCTAACTGAAGGCCACCCCACCGACGGCCGCAGGACCCCCGGAGGCCATGCAGCTGCCCGGGGCTCCGTCACCAGCTCGGACGCAGACCAGGGTTTCGCTGTCTTTGCAGAAGAGCGGGAGTCGGAAAACCCTCCTCCGGCACCTTCTCTGAACAGGACACAGCGCCCACACCCTGGAGAAGCCTCATCGCCAGAGACAGGGCAGCAGGCGGCCCCTGTGCAGTGAGGGCGGCCACAGCGGGCTCCCAGCGGGACGCCAGGCGGACGAGTCCTCTCAACACCCATGGCCGCACAGGGCCAACGCCGCGGGGCACATGCGCAGAGGCTCGTCCCTGCTTGGGGGTATGGGGGGGTCCTTGGAGACTGGGGAACCCAGGACCCCGGTGTGTATAATGGCCCCCAAAGGTGAGACAGCATCGTTTCTGGATCCGGTGAGTACTGTGATGTGCACAACTGTGCGGTTAAACTGAGCAAGGAAGCGGGTTTCAAAACACCCTCGCATTCCCACCGAGCTCACCTCGCGCTTCGCTGATGCCGTCTCACCCTGTGCTACCTACCTGGCACAGGGAAAGCCAAGACTGAACCTGGGGTCACGTATTACTGTTTGCCCAACAGACTCCCTTCCTGCGTTGTGGGCCTTGGCATGAATCTAGTCAGGTTCAAGGGTCAGGGGTGAGGATCCAGCAGCTCTGGCTGAGACGTGGCAGACAACATCCTTGGGGCTGCCTTCACCACGGCCCTCGTGGGCGATGCAGGGCATGGACCCGCTTGATCGCATTTGCCTCTAGGCCAAATGCCTGGGCACAGACAGCCGGGCAAACAGCGGGTGGCTTCTCGCCCAGCCCACCCCCACGCCGGCCGCCTCACTCACTGTTGGCCCCACTCTTCCCGATGAGGTGTCGGTGGAACTTGTGGTCGATGCTGATCTCCACGTAGTCCATGCGGTGAATCTGTGGGGGCACAAAGTGCGGCCGCAAGGAGTGAGGCCGGGCAGCCAGGACCACAGGCCGGATCAGCAGCTGCTGCCCTTGCTGGCCGCTCGGCCACCAGGACGGCTGCAAGCTCGGCCCTCCGGCCCCTTCAAAGGCCCCTCCTCACAGCAAGGTCTCGCCCCGTGCCTTCCAGGGCTCTGGCCGGCTTACGGCGGTCTCGGCCCTCTATAACCTTGTGCGTCACGCTGCACACGAGGGCGCCTTACCAAGTCCTTCACCATGGCCTCGATCTGCTCCTGGGCCATGTTCACGTCCTCTGTGGGGCCCTCCAGGGTGATCTTGTCCTCGCCCTCTGTGAATTCGATGTGAACCTGCCACAACAGAGCAAGGGACCATGGGGACGGACACAGTGGCCTCTGAGACCCCGCAGGCTTTCCCAGGGCAGCGGCTGAGCCCAGCTCTTCCCATGAGTGCACAGCCATGCCACGGGAAGCTGCGGGGTGGGCCTGAGGGCAGCGCTGTGACTGTGGTCTTAAGTGTCGGGGTCTAATCATCGTTCCTTCACCAGCAACAGCAATCGCGAAGTCTTTCACACCGTGCCTGCCACCGAGACTGCCGCCTGACAGCAGACAGCGCCTTCTCCCGGCTGGCCGCGCGCAGAACGCAACAGCTAACAGGGACAGACTGTAACCCAGGTACAGCTGCCCGGCGGCGGTCCCCGACAAGGCCACTGTACCTGTTTATAACATACCAGCTAAGGAGGTGACTTCGTGGGAGACTGGCCCTGGGAAGTCAGCACGTTGCTGCGAACAGGCCTTTGATCTTAAAAGCAATATGGCTACAGAATAAACGGAAACGGAGCCCAGGCAGGACAGGAATACAATGCAACGTGTGTTCCCTGGCATTTTCTACCCTGTTCACAGTCCCGGGGAACTACTGTCTCTTCTGGGAAACTGAGAAGACCTCCAGGACAAACTCTGTGCCTCAGAACTTACAGACATGACTATTAGGGGTTGTGAGGCCCTAACTAAATGAGGTATTTCTCGAGATAGTCATCTAACCTCCTAACACATTCTCTGGTTAAAAAGACCGTAAGAATGACAGAGACATTTAACAAAACTTCTTCTAATTTTTGAGAACGGTGCCAGTCTCTGAAGGCACCCTACAGGACACACAGAGAACCCAGCATGAAGATCCAACAAAGGACACAAAGCCGACCGGACAGAGCAGGGCCGCTGGCTTCCTCACCTTTGGCATCTGCTGGGTGATCTTGGCCAGGTTCTGCCCCTTCTTGCCGATGATGAAACGGTGAAGCCAGGAAGGGGCCGAGACGGAGGAGACAGTGAAACTGTTGGCCTGGGGAACCAGGAGGCAAACCGGTGGGTCTGCAGCATCCGGGCCCATGAGCCAGGTCGCTCAGCAGGGCTCAGGTGCCGGCAGGCGCCCCACCCCCGGGCTCCCTCTGGGGGCAGTTACCTTGGCGTAGACCTCAGTCAGCGCCTGCCCCAGCTTCTCGGGCTCGCCCCGGAGTATCACGGTCTCGGAGGCGCTGTCAGAGGGCGGGATCTCCACCGAGACGCCAGTCCTCTCCAGGATCTCCTGCAGGGAGTTGCCCTTGGGCCCGATGACGTACTTGTGCTGGGACTTCTTCACCTCCACCGCGATGGTCGTGGTCTTCTTTTTCTAAGCAAGAGCACCGTCAGGGTGTCAGAGGGCAGGGCACGGGTGGGGCTGGGGCAGGGGACAAAGCGCTGCCACCCAAAGGGCACGGTGCAGGACACAGGGCCCCTGGAAGGGAAGACAGTGACCAGCCGGTCCACAGCAACCCCACCAATCAAGGGCTGGGTTTTCTCCTCCAAAGAATTACTCGACAATTTCAGTTAAGCTCAGAGGATAACTGCAACTTGGAAGAGCTACAAACAGCAAGACCACCCTCCAAACTAAGGGACACATTTCAGCCCTCGAAGCCACCAACACCCACTGGAGCTGACAGCTGCCTCAGAGAGGGGCCACTTGTGAATAGCACGTCCAGCCCAGGCAGGGGGTTGGGGGGTTGGGAACAGCCGGGACAGCCCCCACACAGAGCTCGACCCACGCTTCAGGGACAGGCGAGGAGGGGCGCTGGGCCCTGGCCGCTCTCTGCTCCTGCCCCCGGGGACCCCTCCCACCGCTACCTTCTCTTCATAAATCCTCTTGATCCGAGCCACAGCCTGGGCCAGCTGCTCCTTCTCCCCGGTGAAGACGATTTCTGTCCGGCTGACGCTGGGCGGGGGGATGTTGATGCGCGTCCCTGTCTCCTGCATGATCTCGTTGACCAGTCGGTTATAAGGCCCGGCGATGAAGGGGTGGAACGCCTTCTCCACCTCGAGCCTCTCCACAGCACGTTTGTCCTGGAAACCAAAGACAAAAGCTGAGCACGGCTCTGGACACGATCTAAGGAAAGCCGGGGCGGCTGCCGCCTGCACCCCGGGCCCACAGTGGCCTCACCTGCTCGGCGGAGATGAGCAGCACTTCGTGGCGGGCCTTCTCAATGCCCTCCTTGGTGCCGGTGATCCTGATCTGGTTGCTCGCGTCATCTGGGCGTGGGATCTGGATTTTGGTTGCGGTTTTCAGCTCCAAGTCTTGTAGTTTCTCTCCATTTTTGCCAATGACAAAGCGATGGTGTTCTTTGGGAATGGCGACAGTTGCTGAGGCCTGCCACGGGTACAGAACCAAAGAAAACAAAGGTATTCGTGGGCTCTGAAAACGTACATGTTCCCATGATGTTCTCTGGCTAGGACGCCGCTCTCGCCTGCTGTTGCCTAGCCTGCCCCCACTTCCCACTTCAACCGTTGCAGGTTGAGCACCCCCTCCTGGGGCACTCCTGCCCTGACCCCCAGCCAGGCTGAGCTCGACGGCGACAGAGTCCCACGGCCCTGGGTCGCGCGCCCACCTCTCACAATTGTTTAGCGCTAATTGTCTGTCCAGCCTCTCCTCAGCCTGGTGAGGACAGGGACGTTCTCCAGGCCAGTGGCTCTAGCACGACGTTGGGGGCGAGGCAGGAAGGCAGGGACACACTGAGTGACCGGATCACCTTCGGTGTCTGGAGCGCCCGGCCATCATTTTCAGACACGAGCCCCGTGTCTGGTAATAAACATTTCTCACTCTCCTTTCTAACCAGTTAAAACAGGCAACTCATCCGAGTAAAGAAAAGGGAAATAATCCAAACCCTTCATTCCATGAGTCAAACTACCAGAAATCAACCAGCTTCCCGAGGTCGCAGAGAAACCTGGGAGAAGACAGAGGTTTCCAGTCTTTCGAACCCTGTGCAGAAAACAGCCGTCTAGTAAGAGAACTTCAAACCAAAATGAAGGAAAGCACGGAGGCCCCACCACTGTCCCGGCAGAAAGTCAGAGCAGGGCCCGCTCCCCGCTTCCCCAAGGGCCGGTTCCCACTCAGAACACCGAGTGCTGACGAGAGGAACGCCACGGTGACGGGGGCGGCAGGAAGGGGCCGCGCGTCCCAGCCGGCAGGGGGACGGGGCCGCGGGCCGAGACGCTGCGGCCACAGGAGGTTCGTTCCAGAGACGGTTCAACGCCAGGAAACCCATTTACATGATTCATCACACTGTTAATCTGTGGGGAAAAAATGATCATCTCCACAAGATCTAAACCCACCCATGATAAAAGTGAAGGAAAACAAGTCAGCGGGTATCAGCCCCGGCCCCCGAGGGGCACAGTGAGCCGCACCCGCACCGGCCCACTCCTGCGCGGACGGCTCCGCGGCTCCGACACGACAGGATGCGCACAGTGCAGCCGCCCGCAGGGCCTGACCCCCTGGCGTGTGTCCCTACCGGAGGGGACACGGGCTGGACAGCAGGAGACCCTGTCCCCACGGCCTGGAACCCTGGGAAACTGCTGCTGTGTTACATTGTTTCTTACTGTCAGTGACGGGGAGGCTGAACTAGAGCCCAGAAGTCAGCCCCTGTCACTCAGCTGAAGTCAGAAGATGGGAGGGAACAGGCCGCTTGTATCCAACAGGCAGAATAAAGGGAAAGACCGCAAAGAGGCTGGAGGCCAAGCCAGCAAAAAAAGGTGGAATGTGGGCGTGAGAAATAAGAAAACATCCCTCACAAGGCCTAATGCAACTGTGCGCAGAGCTGATTATAAAGTTTGTGTGTAAAACAAGGAGGAACACCAAACACAGGACAGCCTTGAAGGGCAGCCAGGGAGGGGTCGCCAGCACCGCGCGCAGGGGCATCGGGCTCGGCGGGAAAGCCCAGGAAGGGCGTCCAGCGTGCGACAGAGACGGTCACTCGGGTCGGTGGGGGACGGGAGGTTCCTTTAAAAATGGTGCTGACAACCTGAGAGCCACGTGGGATGGGGTGAGACCGCACGTGGCCCCGCGCTGTTCACGGTGAACTCGGTGAACACCGTGGACCCCCGTGGGCAAGAGTTGGGGTGTAAGAACACCCTGACGTGCACCAGAGAAAACAGGAACAAACACTCCTACAGAGCCCGACGTGAAAAAATACTTCCGTAACAGTGACCAAAATAAAGAAGTGTTCAGTGAGACTGCCTGCACATTAATACACTTTCACAGAGTGGAAGACAGGATCAAACACAAATGGCAAACTGGGAAACATTATTTGTAATATATGACTGAGAAGAGGTTATAGCAGCCTTAACATATTGAGCAAGATGGGCAGCTTTAACTTGACAGAAAAGGGCGAGAAAGCAGGACACCCAGAGAAAAGAGGAGGAAAAGAAACTCAGTCCTGCCCATCCAAACGATGCAAACCAGAGCTTCCTTGGCTGCCTTTCGGGCCAAACACCGCGTGCTGGCTGGGCCCAGCAGGGCCACGGCGGGGACCTGCCTGTCACGGCACAATCACACCTGCCGTCACCTGCTGGCCCGGCCGCCTCGCTTCCAGGAAGCCTAGCCTGAGACATGCTGGGCAAGACAGGAAACTGCCTGGGCACGAGGTCTCCCCTGTGCCACGGCCCCTGCTAGGGGCCGGGAAGCCGCCTCAGGGCCCGGGCGCATCCCGGCGCACTGGTCCCACGCAGGCCTTGGGGTGAGGACGCCGCTCCGCGCTGACGCAGACACCTTGGGGGAACAGGCAGGGGCCAGCAGGGGCCGGACAGGGTCTGTGGCAAGCTCCCTCCTGCTGCTCTTCCCCAACCCCGACCAGACGGAGGCCCCAAGGCCAGGAACGCCGGCAGCAGGGCGGGCAGGAGCAGGGCCCGGGGACCCAGGGGCCGGCTCTGGCTGTGCCCGGCCCCTCAGCCCTGACGCTGCCAGCACCCAGTGTGCCAGGGGCTTTCAAAAGTGGCGAACACACTAAAGCAGATGAGCCCAACTACCCACCACGATGACAGCCTGACCAAAACAGAGCGAAGAGTGACTTCAAGTGATCTCGAAGTCCACAGCCCTCCACCTTAATTAGAAGGATCACCCTCGACTCAAGCAACCTCCCAGTACTAATGGTGAGAATTCTTGGACAATCAGACTTCAGGTCAGCGGAAGGACATAGCCAGTCAAGGTCCGTCGACAGGTCTGTGTTAGAAATCAAGAAGTGAATGGAGGCGGATGGTCCTGCCAGAAAGCTACAGGGAGCCAACTGGGAGGGGCCCAGCCGCTGGCTGAGAATGGAGAACCACTGATAAACACCCAGAAGTCCCGACGAGAGGAAGGCGGCTCTGGATCACCAGTGAAGGTGCGGGAGGGCCAGTTCAGTCTCCAGTGAAGAGGGAGGGAAAAGGGCCCTTTACCTGTCCCGCCCTTCCCACTCCATCGGCCAGAGGACAGCCCTTCCCCACAGACCACCTGCGGGCACGGGGGCGGGAGGCGGGGCTCAGCCCAGGCTGACCGGCTTGGCTGAAGAGTGGGCAATCTTGGCATCAGTGCCAAGCCCACAGCACTGTCCACGAGCTCTCTCCCAACAAACAAGGGGAACGTGAGTGACCAAGGCCCTGGCCCGCCCTTCCCCCCAGTTCACAGGAAGTAACGATGGACACGTGCTTGCCCCCAAGTCCAAAGCCATTCAGAAGGCGGGGGGGTCACTGCTAAGGAACAGAAGGGCTTGTGGCCCGCCAGGCACACAGTGGGCAGGCGCGGGTGGGCAGTGACCTGACCACCCCACGAGGGAAGTCCACATACAGACTGCGTGGAACAGGGTATGTTAAGAAATTACTATTAGTTTTACAAAGTGAGTTACACCACGCTGGATGAATTATAGGTGAATATGTGTCTGGGATTTGCTTTAATGTAACTGGGTGGGGGAGGGGGACCAGGGACGAATACTTTCCAGGTGTCCCCTCTCCGAGGACTCAATCACAAAATATTCAAACACCAACGACCGACAACAGCAGAAGTCTGAGAGGTCACATCCTGGTGCACTGGTCCCACGCGGCCCCACAGCAGCCACCACGGGAAGCAATTCACACACAACACTTCCCATTTCCTGCACTTAATGGTTTAATTCCCCGAGGCCGAGGCCAAGGCTCGCGGGGTTCAGGACTGCCCCACGGCCCATGTGGCCGAGCCAGGGCGCCCTCCTGCACCAGGACCCCGTCCTCAACACGCCGGGTGCCAGCGCGGCCCACTGCGCCTGCACTGCTGGGCGGCAGCCGGGAGGGGAGGCACCCGGCCCTCGCTCAACCTGCGAGAGTGTGGTCTGCCACGAGGACCTGAGGAAGGCACCACAGCGTCACTTACTCGCTCGTATGGTTTCCAAATGAATTCCAGTATTGGTATCAGACTGTTCATGGCCTTAAAACTGGTTTAAAAACCCACACAATTTGAACTTGTCATCTCCCACATCTGGGCCAGGAACTTAACCGGCACGGGCACACCCCGCTTCAGCCTCACCTGCACCTGGCCCTGCGCCCCCCACCCCGCGCCCTTGCTACCGCACCTCACTTGCAGCTCCTGTTCTGTGCCTCACACTCTGGGATGGCCTTCAACTTCCCTCTGGCTCCTTCACGCCGAGAGCACAAATGGGAGGTGTCCCAGTTCCACAACTGAGTTAGTGGTTTTTCACTAAATATGCCAGGAAGCTCGGAATGTTGCTCGCCCACCTCTGAACTACGAATCTGCCCACTGGTGGGAGAGTCGGAGGACGTCTGCGTGCGCCCCCTCGGGACCAGGCTGGGGGACACCCACCTGCGTCTGCAGCCGAGCCACAATGTCCTTCCGGGCTTTCATGACGGCGTCCAGCTTCCCAGAGACCATGATGGAGAGGCCCTGGTCTTTCGCAAGAGAGAGCTCCAGGTGAGCACCGGTCCGCTGCATGATCTCAAGGCAGATTTTGGCTTGTTCGCCTTCTCCAAACTGGTTCATGTCCTTGTATTTCCTCTCCTCCAGCGGTACGTGGAACACCTGCTCAGGAAAGGTCAAAGGGGGCGGGGTTAAGAGATCAAGAAGAGGAGGACGTGTGCGCCTGTGAGTCTAGGCACGGAATGCTGAAATCTGTGTTTGCTCGGCTGCTCTCTCCGCCTGCCTGGAAGAGATAAGCAGGAAGCACCTAAGGTCAGGAGGCTGACCTGACCTTTGAGTGACGAAGTGGGAGTAGATAACAGCAAGTCAGGGTGGGGTGGGTGGAAGGGGGTAGTGAGAGGGGCCTGGAAGGACCTTCCTGAAGACTCAAGACAGAGGAAAGCTGGGGGGTGAGGGCACGTGAGAGAGGGGGCGAGGGCTTACCAAGGCAGGAGGGGAGCGGTCTAGCACGATGGGGTGCGTCCACGGCAGGAGCAGAGGGGCTGGCCCCACCGCCCCGCCCCGCCCCGCCCCGCCTGCCAGCACGGCCCCCTCCTCTCTGTGGGGCCCGGACAGAGGACAGAGCGTGACACACCAAGCAGCATGTTTCACAAGATCAGGCGGCCGGGCCGAAGGTAGGAGGGAGACCCGGGACACCGCCTGGGGAGTCTGGGTTTAGGGGAGGCGCCCTCTCAGCCCTCCGGGGGTGCCAGCACCTCACCCTCCGTGAACTCATGAAGAGTTCCTGTGAGTTCAGGGAGCAGAAAGATGGGCTAGTGGAGGGGAAAAGCCAGGAAAACGGTGTGACAGGAAGCAGAGGAAGAAACTGCTTCTGGACAGGGGACACGAAGTAGACCAGACAGACAGGCCTCGCTGGAGCTGCTGGCGGGCAAGGGCGGAAGGCGGGGCAGCTTCAGGAGTTGGAGAAGGAACTGCAATGTGCTGTAAACAGAAAGGGGACCTGTCCCTTCTGGGTGCTGGGGACGTGGGGGAGCAGGAGGGCGGACCCCACGCAGCCCGCACAGACGGCAGGGTGGGGGCCGGGGGAGAGGAGCTGCCTCCTGCTGCTCCTACCTGAGTGATGACGGAAGCCTTGATGGGTCGGATCTTGTTGCCCCAGGCGCCCGCGGGTTCCTGGGCGCTTTCCATGCAAGCTGCTTTCTCAGGGAGCGGCGGGAAGGCATCCTTGTACGTCGGAGGGTCACTCTCTTCTTCTGAATTTAAAGTGGCAACTGGACCAGCCAACACAGAGTGAGAGGAAGCACACTGCTTTCAATGACGGGTGAACAAACAACTCAGAGGTTCAAGTCAGAAAAAGAACACTAGCCGTCCAGGGCCACCAGGCCCAGCACCTCCAGGTCCCGCGAGCGAACCGCAGGGGTCAGACTCTGAACCCGATGACAAGACCCCTGCCCTCGCAGCCTCCCTGTGAAGGGTTGGCTCGGACACCGGGCACCCCACTCCTCCCCAAACGGGGTGAGCCCCCTGAAGGCGGGCCTTGCCCCCAAAGAGTCTTCTAATCCTGTGTTTTAAAAATCACAATCAGGACAATGCCTGGCACAGAGCTGGCCTTTAAATCTGCGGCCAGGCACAGCCTCTGCCGTGCACCGCGTCGACAAGAAGCCCCGCGGGGTTCCCGTCACTCCCCGCCCTCCACAGGGAGTAGCAAGCCCCAGAAATGGGGCCCCTCATCTCTGCTGCTCCTGTCCCCCATTCTCACCGCTCACATTCTTGCCCCAATAACCACAGCTCTGTGAAAGCAGGAGGGCGACTGAGGGCATCCGCCCCCGGGGCTTAGGCCGAGCTCAGTGCCCGGCGACGGCAGGGCCTGACCCAGAGCCAGAGCTGCAGTGTCTGGGTGCCGGGGCTGCGCCAGCTTGGGCACAAGCCCTTGAAAGGTGGCCCAAGTGACCAACACAGTGAATTTTTACTTTTAATTACTTGAAACTTAAGAACTAGCACCCAATTCAGTTATTAGAAAACTTAAGAATGTTTCGGACAACATGGGAGTAGAATAATTTCCTCTTCGCAGTGAAAATCAAAACACAGACGAAGGGTTTCAGGTGGAACTTCGGAATGTACACGAAGCTACCCTGCCCTGCAAACGGAGAGCAGGTTCTGGAGGAGAGAAGGGGCGTTCGGTGGGGGCTTTCCCTCCTACGCTGGCGAGAGGCCGAAGTGACGCGCGCGAGGCGCGGGCCGAGCTCTGAGGCCGGCCAGCCCTCCCCCCGGGGGCGCCGCCGGTGCTGCGGGCCCACATTCGGTTCAACGCAGCCGGGAACAGCGATTTTGGAAAAAGAATCCCTTCAGTTACCAATGGTCCAACTCACTGGCTTTTCCGAAAGTTGCCCACATTTTAAATCTCACTGTGTCCAGATTCACTCGCCCCTCCTGGCCAGCTCCATCCTGAGTACAAGAAGGTGGGCCCTGGCCCTACCCCAAACCACAGGGCAGGGGAGCTCCTGCCAGCTGGCCCCAGGCTTTGAGGGAACGCTCTCCGCGGGCTCAGAAGAGTGCGCAGGGGCTGTTACCTTTGATCTGCTGCGGAACCAGCCCACTTCGGTGCTCAGCAAAGCTCTCCTGGGTCAAAACTGCAACGGAGCTCATGGTCGATGGCGCCCACACACGGTCCGGGTGAGTCACTGGGGCCGGGGACGAGGAGAGAGGAGAAAGTCAGCGCAGCCAGCCACTGCCTGTCCCCGACTGTCACACCGACTTCCCGCCCAGGTTCGATTCTCTCTGACTAGCAAACCACACTTACACCCTGGAATGCAAAGTGATACCCGATTTCTCAGCCAGGGAAGAAACACTCAGGGAAAGTGGGGGTCCCTGCCCTGTGGCTGAGAGGACCAGGGCCAGGGCAGCAGGGCCTGCAGGGCCAGCCGGAACCCACCACGCTGTGCCCCAGCAACACACACCAACACCCAGAAGGCTGTCCGAACCTCGCATCTCAGTTGCTCTGGTCATCTGTCCGCCCAGAGGCCTCCTGAGGCCTGTACAATTTATCACAAGGCAGCTGCTACCAAAAAGCCAACTGAGTGGCAAAGGCAAGACCCTCACCCGGGGCCCAGGGGCCTGACAGGCCTGCGAGGTGAGGGGACTGGGTGAAGAGCAGCTCTCAGTGGCTACAATGTAGCAGCAGCAGCAGGGGCTGCCCCAGGGGGGCGGCAAAGGGCTTCAGACTGGTGCTGGTCGCCTGTCCTCCAGTTTCCCGCCACCCCCCCGCCCCCCCCCGCCCGGCCGGAGGAGACTCACAGCAGGTGGAGCCTGGCTCTCAGGCGCACAGTCCCTCACCTGGGACCAGGACGGAGCTCCACCCCTGCACGCCCCAGGACTCAGGGGGGCACTATGGGACCCTGGCTCTCAGAGCCACAGTCCCTTATTTGGAAAACAAGGCTCACAGGAGGCTGAGGCCAGGGGTGTTGACTGTCCCCAGCTCTGGGGGCGCCGCAGGCTGCCGCAGCAAAGGAAAGCGCCTCTCTTCACACGGTCGTGCACCCAGTGTCTTGTGCCACCATGGCAACAAAGTAAAAGAGGGCCGGGTAATTTAATAAAAGAGTGACATTTTGCATAACTTTTACAACTTAGACCATTCCCCAAGTTCAAGAAAATCAGGCTCTGCATTAAAGAGAAGCACTATCCAAACTCGGATCATCCTGAACAAACAAAATCCACACTCGGAAAGTGAAGCCGAGACCTAGACGGGTGCCAGGTGACACCCTGCAGGGCATTGCGCACGCTGCTCGTTCGGGGTGCGCCGCCTCTGCACAGCCTCTCAAAACTCAAGGATGGAACGGAGAGCAGGTGGGCGCCCAGCCCGAGGGCAGGGCGTTCCGGCAGGACAGTCCAACTCACCAGCAAAACGGTCAGTAGCCAGAAAGTCCGTCCTGAGGCCACCTCTGTCAGCCTGCCAGCTTTTGCTGGTGTGGGACCAAGGAGGGAGAGAAAACAAGGAGAAAACCAGAGAAAAGTTATTTATCTGCGTTCTACAAACCAGGTTCTTTAACCTCCCAACCAGAACAGGTCCAAATAGTACTTCAAACTTTACTAATACTCAGGTAATTTTCTTAGAAAACAACAGAAACCCTGCTGTTAGGCCATTAGCTTCACACAAAACATTCCAGTGAGACCTGAACCATCGAAACTTTGAGTGGACAACTTTGCCAAGGACAGCGAGGCCGAGATTTCTCAGGAGCCCAAACTTATTTTAAGTGTACCCACTCTGAAGAAGGCTCCTCTCAGGACTGAGGGGCTGTTCTCCCGCCTGGTCACGTTCTTTCTCCCCCTCCTCGGCCCTGACTCCTGAGCCAGAAGGAATGGGCTCTGGTACCAGGACACAGCCTGCACTGTAAGCCTCGGGGCCCCCTCAGCCATTTAGGGGGACTGAGTGCTGCTGTCTTTAAAGGTCCTTTGGTCCCTTCTATCCACCAGGTTTTAGAAACCAGGCCAGCAAACAGCGGGGCTGGAGGGCACTCCCCAGAACGGCCCTGTGAGTGACGAGGGTGCGCGGCCATGAGCCTAGAGGACTCTGGGACCCTGAGGCTTCCAGCGGTCACTTCTGCTCTATGCAAAACACCACAGGTGCTAGATGGGGGGCCTAATGACAGGGTCAGCAGGGGCAGGGAGCAGGCGAGGCAACAACAGTCACGGGACATCCTACCTAATCAGAGAACAACACCCCCACAGTACTCTCCGCTCAGGAGCTAGGAAGGCGGTTCATGACAACCGCAGACGTGCCGGGAGGCTAGCTTTAAAGGGGCCCATCGTCCCAGCCGGGACATGGACCAGTGGCACCTCCGGATTCACACGAATCTGCGAGCACAGGGCTCGAGTTACACGGGGAAAGCACTACGGCCTGAGGCCACAGCCTTGCCAGGGTCCCAGTTCCATGCGCGGCACAGACACACCCGAGACCAAAGGGACACGTGGAGACAGACTGACCAAGACTACACCGGAATTTGTCTCCCGACTAATTCTAACCTGCAAGTTTTAAAGAGTGAGGCAAGAAAGAAAAAGAGCCTGCCCAATAAGTCACATGGTAGGGTAGCACCCCCCCCCCCGCCCCCCGCCCCCACCCGCAGGTCTGACGGTGGGCGGGGGGCCTGCAGGGCATGTGCTCTGCGGGATGGGATGGGATGGGATGGGATGGGATGGGATGGGATGCTCGTGTCCGCCAGGCTTGCACTTAGCCAATCAGGATGCGAGACCGAGGTGCTCCGGGCCCAGACACCGGTGGGGAAGCCAGGATCCCAGGGCCCAACTGCCCCCACCCCCAGCCGTCCGGGGGCTGCGCGCACACCTGCCGGGCGGCCTTCCACCTCCACAGCCGCCCACTCCAGGCTGTCCCACGCACCAGTGTCACGTCGAAAACCCACTGTCATCCACCCTTCACAAGCCAGGCCCACACGCTCCCTGTGCTGCCACTGACCGGCGTCTGGCTTTCCTGGACAAGGCAAGGCCTCAGGCCCAGCAACAGGCACACGACAAGCCCGAGCAGCACTGCACAGACAGGGACCTGCAACCAGCCACCCCCCCCGCCCTGCACCTGGCGTCACACACCCGAGGAGAGGAGTCCCTCAGGGTCTCTCCCGACGCTGCTCACACCCCTTTCGGAAGACAACCCCAGCCGGCCCTCCTGCCGGACGCGGCACAGGGGTGCCCACGCAGCGGGCGCAGCCGAGCCCGACGCGCAGCAGCGAGACCTCGCGCAGGACCTCTGGCGCCAGACACATGCATAGGCCCCTGGCCACAGAGGACGGAGGGGCCTCCAGAAAACACCAGACTGGCCTGACAGGACACGCTGGGCCTCCTATCTCCAGATTTCAAAAGGCAGCTTGAATCTGAAACGTCGCAGCTGAATAGATTATGTGAATGGATTCAATTTGATAACTGTCTAATAAGGCTATCATTTTCCTTATAAATTTCTTTAAACCCCACCTTAAAAAGTCCATTTTAAATACGTATCTGAGGCCCTGTGTAAATCAGACCTCAGCCCCACCTGGCCAAACTTTTGGCCCATGAGGCCCTCGGGCCAAAGCTCGGGAAGGCCAGCACCAACCTCGCCCACTGGCTCCAGCTCCGCCTGCCGACAACCCCCAGATCGACGCCTGCTCGTGGGGTGGGGGGTTAGGGGGGTGTCTTTCTGCAACCTGAGGAGCACAACCCTGGTGGGGGTCCTCTCCAGCCCCCTTCACTTGCTCTCCCAAATTCCTAGGACATCTTCGCCCCAAAAACAGAGGCCAGAGAGCTGCTATCACAGTTCCTCACTTGATCTAATAACGTTGCTCAAATGAGGAGTGAAAAATACCCCTCAATCCCGACAGAAACCTCAAGGCCTCCCACGGGAGCCACACGCCACCCGGCCCTGCTCCGCGCGGCTGCCAGCGCGTGTGTCTCGCCTGGTGCTGAACCTACAGCTTCTCTCCTCCTCCTGGACAGAGAGCAAGGCCACCCACTCTTCCCAGCAACACTCCTCGGACGTGTGAGGCGGAGCTCCGACTGCAGTTACTGCCAGGACGGCGGGTCCCTTCAGCCTGCGGCAGCTTTCAGCTCCTTTGCCTGCACACGGCATTCAGGTCTACCCAACGCAAACCTCCAACTGTCCTGAGCCTGGACTTCCAGTGTCATTTCTCAAGTGTCCGTGGGCACAGCACAGCCAGTATCCGAGCACAGGCCTGCAGCAAGCAGGACTGGACAAGGAGTGTGGGTGGAAGCCCACTCTTCTCTCCCCCCCGCCCCCCACCCCGTGGGAGAACCGTGTGGATCACACCTGAAACTTGTTCTTAACAGATGCACAACATAAAAATCTTTAAGTGGAGGACTGTACTTTTTGGCTTCTAAAACTAAGTATAAATTGATTTCTTGTGACGTTTGGCCAATTGCATGTGCAAAAAGATACATCTTTGCAGAAAGAACTCATTAGTAACAGCCCAGATGAAATGTTACCTCCAACTAATGAGAACCTGGGGTTTTACATACCAGGCAGGACTGGCTACAGAGAGAACCAGAAACCTCCAGCTGAAACCCAGGCCTTCTCCCCTCTTCTTCCAAAATTAAAATGATTTACTTTGATCCCCACAGCTAACTCACAAGGGAAATTTTTTAAAGTACTTCTCTGGACCCATAAACCAAACGTGATAAACATAACATCCCAATGGGCCAAAAGCCACCAAGCCTAAGTCTCAGACTGGCCCGAGAGCGGAGGGGACGTGGGCACGCGTGCGTTGAGCCGAGTCCTGGAAGTCGGCACCATCCGCCACCCGCAGGAGGAACTTTCGCAGATGCCACCTCAGCACGGCCCTCCCACAGGCCACGCGAGCCCGCGGGCGGGGACAGGCTTAAAGGGGCAGGAGCACGCCTGGCCTCCCTGCCTTCCATCCAAATTCGGTATTTTTCCGTCCTGTATCTTTCGTCTGGGACCCTGGGGCACCTCCAAGTTGCGCACCGGCAGAGGAGGCCAAGGCCCAGCACCGACCCCGCAGACGGGGCGGCAGGTGGAGGTGCGGCTGGACTGCTAGGCCCCTGCCGGTCCGGCTCCCCTGCGGGACAGACCTCTGTGACCGCCCCGCCACCGCCGGGGGAGGAGCGCTCCTCCTGGGGGGTGGGGGACACAGCCCAGACGCCCACGTCACCGACCTGGTCCCAGGTCAGCCGCACCTTCTCGGCTCCGGGGAGGGGGGTAGTGCAGAGGGAAGGCGACCCCTGTAGGGGGTGGGGGGGCGCTGTCGCCTCCGGGCGGGCGCGGGCCGCAGGACGCTGGACTCGGGAAAGTTTCTTACTCTTCCCGTGCCAGCGCCGCGGCCCATGCGCAGTGGTGACACGTAGCTGCCCCCCCCACCCCACCCGCCTGGCCGGGCCCGGGGAGGAGGGGGCGTCCGGGCCGGCCGGGCAGCCGAGGGGTGGCGGGACGGAAGGCGCCCCCGGCCCCTCCCCCGCCCGGCGCTCCACGTCGGCAGCCCCGCCGCCGCCCGTCGGCCCCGCCCCCGGTGCCCCGACTGCCCCGCGCAGCCCGGCCACCGGCTGCTCTGGGCCTGCGCCCCGGCCGCACCGGACTCCGCCGCCCGCTCACCCACTGGCTGCGCGGTGCGCTCGCCGCCCGCTGGCTCCGAAGACACCCGAGCTCCGCTCCGCTCGCTCCGAGGCCGGCGGCCGGGCCCCGGTGACTATATAGGGCGGCGGCTCCAATCCCGCAGAGACACGTCAGACCGCGGCGCCCGCCCCGCCCCGCGCCAGCCCCGCCCCCGCCGCGCACAGGTCGGGGCGCGGAGTCCTGCCCGCTCCAGCCCGAGGGGACCTGCCGGCCGGCCGCCGAGACCCGCCGGAAGGACGGCCGCTCGGCCTCCCAGCGCAGAGCGGCACGCGAACGGCTGCCCCGTCCAGTCGCCACCTTCAGGCGCCGATTACGAGGGGTCTTTAGCCCAACCACACTCCCCTGGGACACAGGGCAGGCCTCCCAAGTTTGGGGCAGAGTCTCATTCCCGCACTCGCACGGGGTTCGGTCCCTTATGTCCTTTCACGTCTGTTCCGTGTCCCCACTATTCCTGGGCTACCAGGTTAACCCCGTTCCAAAGCGGAGCCTGCCCTTTAGGGAGCAGGCTCTCGAGTGGGCCAGAAGGAAGGGGCACCTCCCATCGCGCCCCCGCCCTGCCCGCAGGTGCTTCTACCTGAGGCTGGGGACGACCAGCCGGGCCTGCATCCGTTGCATAACAGGCGACTGTGACCGTTTCTTCTTGTCAACAGTGCAAGTCCAGTGGGGGAACCCGCAGACACACCGGCTTGGGCCTGGGAGGAAGGGGCGCCCGCGCAGAGCCCTGCATGAAGAGCGCCCGTGCGCCGTGGACGCCTGAGCGCAGCCTGTCCCAAGCGTGGGGAGGCGCAGCGGCCAATGTGTGGGCGTCCTGGCAACAGAGGCGTCAGCCTA